TCGCAGGGCCGCAATCGAACCATCGGGGTCGGTTTCTTCCTCCATTCTCTTGCCTGTTGACAACGACGTTTGATTAGTATTGGGCTTTTGCAGGACAACAAAACGAAACTTCAGACGAGAAGGGAAGATGGGCTTTGACCGAAGGGGCAGGAAAAGCCGATATACATACGGAGCGATCCCCACGCTAGATCTTGTAAGACGGATGCCATCATGGCGGGTTGGCAGGATGGCGCGGTGCGGATGATATGGGACAAGCACAAATGGCGAGTCGGTTTGGGCAGAAGACTGCGCTCATAATACCAGAGTGTAGACCGGGGTTAAAACAAGGAGTAACGACTCGTTTTGCTACCACAATGCGACCGTGCTCACCTGTGCGAATCATCACAGGAGCCCTGGGGAGGATCTCCGCGTCCGTGACGATGATGGCCAGAGAGACCGCCCCGTGTCACGTGGTCCGTATCTTGGGCCCGAACCCGTTCGTTGGCCGTTTGGGGGATAAACGCGGGTAACACAGCATAAGCGACGTTGACAGGGAGAGTAGTGTCTTCGGACGCTGAAATACACGCTGCCTACAAAAGTAGATATGTATATATATATTGCGGATTCCATACAGTGTGAACTCAAAAAAATCACTAAAACAATTACTCCATACATACCCAGATGTCCAGGTCCATATATAAATCGTCAAGAGCTCAGCTACGCCATATCCCCGTTCTCTCCAGAAGTCTTGCCACCAGCCCCTTCGCCTAGCCGTGTTGTAATGTATGCAGCACCCAGAGCTGCGCAGCCACCAAAACGCAAGACCCAGCCAACACTGTCGTCCCACGGCTCTCCTCTAGGTTTTTGCAGCGCCTTGAAAATTGCACTGCTAATCAGCGTCGAGGCAATCTGTGGAAACGAGATGGCGACATTATGAATCCCCAAAATTACTCCAGCTTGATCGACCTTTTCCTCGCTGCTCCCGTTCTCGTCGCATTCTGAGCCTGGATGACCGTGACTGAGGTCGGGAATACCCTGCCTAAGCTGATGTCTTCGCTCCCGGTTCTCCGCATCACTCTTTGCAACCTCTGCCGAAATAAACGCAAATGGAGCCCAAAGGGTGAGGGCCCAGGATATCCCAACAATGGCGATTACCACAGTTCCAGCCTGGGGGGAGTATATGAGAAACGTACTAAACATGCACAAAGAAAACAAGACATGGGAAAGAAACCACAATCTTCGGAGTGTAAGACCCGGTATTTGGAGCTTAGAGAGAACGTTGTATTTTTCGGAGGGCTGTACAGCTTCATGGCTCGTTTCGATTGCCGCACCCGCCGAGGCGGTGAACGAGAGAGTCGAAGTTGATGGATGGCGACTCAGATAGGGCCGATCACTAGACGTGGTGTCGGTATCGGAATCCTGCGCTAAAGCCGGACGATAAGTGGGAACGACAAGTAGCGGAAGGACCATACTCGCAACAAACGACGTGACCGCATAGGCCAAGAGAGCAAAGGTGCCTACCCGCGTGGCCTCCTCCCAGATAGCTGATATGGCGTCTTCAGGGAGATCCGGATGCTGGTCAAAAATCGGATTGACATAGAGCTGTCCGATATAAGTAGTTGAGTAAAACAAGAATGGAAACCACCCCACCCAGGCGCAAAGCTGGACCTCGCATACTTTGCGAATTTGCGGTGGTAACCGTTTAATGGACGCGAAAACCTGTTTGAAGAAACATATAACCCCTGGATTCTTGCTGCGAGGTGGGCCTTCTAGTCGAGGATCTCGTTCTTGAATATATAAACAACTAATGAGAAGAGTGGTTCCCAATGCGAGAGAGGCGATCACGCAAAGCACTTTAAATTGCGTATTCCCGAAGAAGGGAAGGACTTTAGGTAAATCCAGATAACCTGAAATATAACCTAGAATGTTGCCAATGCCCGTGAGCCGACTAGCCCAGGCATTCGCTGATTCTTGCTGGTGCGCAGGCGCATTGTCAACAATAAAAGCACGTATTGCTGCTTGAACTACACAATTTGCATATCAGAAAACATCTCTTTACCGGACGTAGGATGGGCTTTACCGACCTGTGTTTATAGCAAAATCGAGACAAAACATGAAGAGAGTTGCCACCACGATCGTGGTCACTTTGACGCCTTGAGATTGAGCGCCGGCCCCAAATATCCCCAACACTCCCCCGACCATCTCACGAACCCAGGCGAGTGCCATCAGAGATATTACCGTAGCAATCCCACCTCCAATCATAAAAGGCTTTCGCTTTCCCCATGGAACCCGACAGTTGTCACTGCGAATCCCCACGTAGGGTTGAACAAGTGTCCCAGTCAAGGGTCCAGCAATCCATACAAATGCAAGTAAGGATTTACTCATTCCCAGGGAAAGTAGATAGGGCTAGAACGAAAATCAGCCAAAAAAAAAAAAAAAAAAAAAAAAAAAAAAAGTGGCAGGGGTTCCAACTTGTGGGACGGCAATAACTCACCGATCCATTTGATAGTTCAACAGACCAGACAATCTGCAGCCTATTGCAAGAAAGACGGGATATTAGCACCCCGAAAACCAGAAATTTCGGAACAAGAAGGAAAGACGTACCCGCCAATACTTAAAGTCAGCAAGAACAAATACCAGCTACTCTTCGACTCGCCCTCTTTATCGGACTGTCTTGCAATAGCAGTTGCATCTTCCCAAACCTCCCCAGATCGCCTTGAGTTCTCCGTAAGGAGAGGAGACCTAACGTCCTCTCTAGCTGGCACTGACGACGGCATCTAATGGGGCAACAAAAGTGAAGACTCTTTTTCTTTCTAGACTCGTCCCCGACAAGATCACAACAGAGAGAGAAGGCAGATATCGACAGACTCCCGGCCAGAAGTAACAAAAAGGTCACTAAGACACAGGAACCTATAGCCCAGATACGGTATCCACGGTCGGGATTATCAGATGAAATAAAGACGCCGATCTTATCATATAGCTCCCCACCACGGTCAAGGAAGAATAGAACGAACGAAGGGCAGTATAGACGAAAAAGAGGTCAATAGACCTTCTCCAGTTATAGATATATAAGCAAAGCCCGAACAAGTCGAATGTATGGGTTTAAAATGACAAAGTTTATCTGATCCTCAAAAGCGGGATCGCCCATCTCCGGCCCGGTTTGTGGCAAGAAACGAAGGGAAAGATCTCCCTCCGAGAGAAAAACAGCAAAAGAGAGAGAGAGTGTGTGTGTGAGTGAGAGAGAGTTCAGGTTCGGGTAAGCTTTACGCAGGTTGTCGCCGCAGAATAGGTGGATATGCCATCCCTACGCATAAGCAGAAAGGATGAAAAGATGTCGTCGGGAAGGCCAGAAAAGGAGGAGAAAAAAAAAGGAAAAAGAAGAAAGAAAAAGAAAAAAGCTTGGGGGAAAGTCGGCCCAAGGAAATAGCTTTCAAATCGGGGATAGCCACCCGGTTTTGAATGGATAGATTCAATAACAATATTATTTTGCTTGGGCTGTGGTAGTTAAGCGGTCTCCTAACTAAACGCCGCTGCGGGCTTGATGCTGCTGTTTCCTGTGAGACAGCGATATAGCTTGGCCTTTCTCGTCCCGGTTCCCCATAGCTTTAGGACACAAAAGAGGACCCTCTAAAGAAGATGGCGCTCGGCAATAAGTAGCCCGGACAGAGCCTTGTCACGAGGCCCTTCTACCAGCCACGAGCAGAGCCAGTTTTTGCCTCTCGAGCCCATCAAGCTTGGTGTCTGGCTCTCGAAAGTCTCGGCGGAAGGTTATTTAGTTACATAATCCCATCCGTGTGACGCAATGCTCTGCTGGCCAAAATGGTTGGCACTCAGCGAATTCGAGGGAATACCAAAGAGCGTTGGGATCCGGAACAAGGAATGCTCAGTCAACTTTTTGACATTTCCTCCTCTTTAGGCCAGGAGCCCCATCACTCATAACATCGACACGTTTCACACAAGTCTATATAGCTAGCCCAACGTCACACTCATCAACCAGGAACATGGGAAGGACAACAAAAGTAGCATGCAAATTACACGAGGAGAAAAAGGTAACACAGGCAGAATAGAAAAATAAGACCCAAACAATTCCATGAAAAGCCCTTCCTGAGTATACACCTAGAAAAGAAAATAAAGAAACTTTGAATAATAAACCAAGTGGTGTGTTGATATCTATATGAAGATTGGAGCTCAATGCCCAAGACATGATATCTAAACCGTACAGAATAGAAAACCAAAACCCACATCGTGCTTCCTTTTTCGTCATTCCACCCTGCCTCTTTTCGAGGAACCCATAATCGCACCATCAGAATCGTAAGCACGACACATCATGTCAAGCCATACTCGCGTTAAAAAAGAAAAAGCATGTCGCAGTGGTGTAGCGACTTCTAGCGCTAAGGAAAGGCGGTAGCCTCATAAAAGGGTAGGAACTCCATGGCAGAATGTAAAAGAGAAACAGCAAGCTGAGGGGAAGTGTATTAAAAATGTAATATTGGGGTGAGAAGTGAGAATGCATGCCTTGGGAATTGATACAAAAGATTGAGACCCGCTGGATCATGAATATGCCTCGGCAGCGTGACCGGAAAAGACTCTGAAGAGTGTTCAAGAACAAGAAGCATGGCTCACGAGCCTAAGGAAAATTTCAGAGATAACCACTGAAGAGACCGTGTCTTCTTCAGATGCAGCATAACATGATTGATGGCTCATATCTTTGTTGCAGATGAACAACAGATAGATCCAGAAAACATTGCAGTGAGTTAAACAAGTGTACCAAAAACCATATCTCGAACCATGGAGGGATTTATGGAAAGACTTCTGGCGCCATAAATTGCAGGGAATGCAGAAGGAAATTGGGATGATCTTTGTGTTGGGGGGGGGTAAGGGGAGGGGGGTATCATGGGAGCAAAATAAAAGGGGGGGAAGCAACACATTTGTTTTAATGCCCCTCAAATAAGACAGTCTCCATTCACTCAGATGCATTGTATCGCTCTACCCTGCCACATGCCCCACAATGGGGAATGTACTTAAATCTGCTGTTGCAGGAGCTGAGGGCTGATCATCTGTGGAGCAACCATAGACGGTAAGTTAGGGATAGACATCGAAGGCATGCTAACACTAGCCATATTCACGGTAGTGGGCAGGTAGCTGGTATCAGGAGTGGTATGCTCCTGATCCGTGGCCTCATGTTCGGGTTCCTGCTGTTCGCGGTCCTCTTCGTTGGAGTTGGCAGATGGCTGCTGGCCAGCTTGAGCACCATGGGTACGACGGTGCCTAATCCGTGGAAAGCGAGCGTTAGTAAAGGGTACCATGCAGGGTCTTGTAAGATGCAGAATAAACACATACTGTGCAAGGTTGTCTGATCGTGAAAACGCTCTGTTACAATAAGGGCAGGGGTATGGTCGCTCTTGAGTATGAGTCCTAACATGCCTAGATGCCAAGAAAGCGTCAGCGGCTATGGATATAGGAACGAATTCGAAGCGCGCCAATAGGGAAATCGGGGTGAGAAACTGGTGATTAGAGGAAAACAGGAAATAGAACATACCGTTTTAAGTGTTCTAAGCGCTTGAACAGCCGTCCGCATGATGGAATCGGGCACGAATGGGATTTCTGCGGGTATGGCCCGAGCTCCATCATAGTTGCACTCCTGGCCCGACGAACTGGTCCAGGGACATTTGACCGACTGTTAGAAGAACCCGAACTTTCGAGAGCCTCGCCACTGGTTAACATGGGCATCTCGGGTTGGGGATTGATCAGAGACAGATGGTCATCGGCCTGTGTTTCGTCCAAAGTTGGTAGCGGAGTCCCCAATCTTGAGTTCTCATGGGAATGCATCTTTTGGGTTTCCTCCGCCTTGTAGCTATGAGTAAGGCCGGGTGGAGACTCCGGGTTCGATTCATCTCCGTCCTGGACCGAAATTGAATGGTGGAGGTCGCTTGGCCGATGCGCAGCATGGGGATTTGAATGAGTCTGCCCGTTACCAGTAGCAGCAGCGATGGCATTAGTGATTCCAGGAGGAATTGAAGACCGCCTTCTTCGTTGCTTATATGTGGGCGACCCTTCAATCACAGAATAAACATTCGTCGATGGAAAAGTGCGTGAGGCAGTGGAAAACTGAGGAGCAGCGAAATTCGAAGGAGGCAACTGCATCATGGCGTTGAATGCTGCCGTAGTACCAATATCAGGAATGGCGGTGTAAAGACCAGTATCTTCATTTGCAATATATGCAGGCTCTGAACCAAGTTGAACGTTGTGTTGGGGTGGAGTGATGGGTTCAAAGCTGATGCCGCGATGGCCATAATCATCATAGTGGGACGACACAAAGGACGGAGCAGGGGAGTATTCCATGTAAGTCGGCATCGACGTGTGGCGCTGGTGGATTCTCGGTACAGGAACGCCGTTACGATCGTACTGAACCTGACCAAAGTCTTGTTCAGCCTTGATACCGCCAGTTCCCATGGTAGTAGTTGCACTGGTAAGGCCTACTGAATTATAGATACCTTGATCATGTGTTTCTTCAGGCACAATAGGCATCGCTGGAGGGAGCTGGGGAGGAGGCATGGAATCGGTGGTTCGAATCATCGGGGACGCAGAGTGGTACGCTGTGCTAGCGTGGGCAGAGAACGAAGAGGAGTTCGCCTGCTGTGCTTTTGTCAACTGCTCGTACAGAGATTGGGATGAATCGAACTGGAACGATAAAGCGGGCTCGTTCACGGCCACTGTAGTGGCTTCCTGGCCCATTTTCTCCCTTTTGAGATCCCTTTCCAGAGCGTCAAGGAAGAGCCGGTCATGCGGCACGCTGTACCAGTAGAAAACCTTTTGCTTCTTCTGCGTACGGATACAGTTGTTCTTATACAAGAAGTCGAGAAAGGGACTTTTCGGCTCCTCGAGTGAAGCATCTGTTCCAGCTTTAAGGTTTCTGAGGTCTGAGAAGATACCCTCTTCGAACTTCTTCGTGTTCTTGACAGGTCGGCCAAATGCCTGGAAGCGGAAAGAAAGACATCTCACGATATCAGTCCCCGAGATGTGAAAGAGATTGTTCCTGTCCCCAGGTTAGACCGAATTACACGATTCAACCGGCGTGGATTACACATACCAGAGAACGCAAGAGACATAGTCACCTGTAGGAAGGAGGAAACGTCTGATGAGTTGATCCGGCGCCCAGTCAACGGGGGCCGAAATTAGGAAGTATTTTACTAAATAGGAGATCAAAAGAGGGTTAAACAATGACCTATCAAACATCTCCGAAGGTGTCTGATATGAGGCGCAAAGACTGATGCTTCCAGAGAGATGAGACGAAGAAAGGAACTTACAATTGTCGACCTGCTGGAGCGCAACCTGTGCATCCTGTGGAAGACTTTGCTGGGCCTCATTGGAAAGCATAAAAGTTTCGGGTTTCTGCGGCGGTGCCATTGAAGCACCATGTTGAGAATACATCACGGACACAAGCAACCGATTCTGAGACAGGCGTTAGAAGCAGGAACCAACAATGAAAGTTTCATTGAAATCGCGGTCTGACGTGACACAAGCAAGAAGTCAACGCCACGACGACGACGACGACGACGACGATGAGGAGGATGAGGATGAGAAGGAGAAGGAGAAGGAGAGGTACGGGTGAGGTACGAACCTGTCAGGGCCAGGGAAAAGGATGTGAAAATTATTAGATCAAAAAAAGAAGAGGTGCGACGGCGAGTAAGTTCGGAGCGATGTAGCAGAAAAACGAAAGGGCCAAAAAGAATGGCGAAAAGAGGTGTACACCGGCAGAGCGTAAACGATCGTGGAGGTTCAGAAACCGGTACGGGAGATGTCTGAGAAAGGACCAGCCTCAACGATGACCAGACACAGGTGATGCGACTGCCGTCGAGAGAAAGGAGAGCAAAAGAAAGAATTGGGCCTGCCCGGTGTATTACTACCCTAAGTGTTCGGTCCTGGGAGACGATCGAAACGAAGGTGAGAAAGAGACACGAAAGAGTAACAGAATGATGGGATGGCGGGAAACAGACTGAAAATGGGGGGAGAGAGAGAGTGAGGGTGGGAGAGAGAGAGACAGATGAGCGAGAGAGGTTCCTTAGAAGGGATGTGTCAGAGAAGAATCAGATATGGCATGGAATGGGGGAGGGGGGAAGAGAGGGAGGATTGAAGGGAGGGAGGGGGTGTGATAACGCTGGGTTTCGATGCAGGCCGTCTTGGGAACGGGCAGGCGAAGGTTGATTTAACTCCCCGGCTGGGTTTTCGTTACCGCTGGGAAGGGGACGATGGCGTTATAATACGTACGGCGCCAATACGGTACTTTCGGTACCCACGCTGATGGCTGGGCCCCTGCGCCAAGTCACGAGAATTGGGCTACGGTAATCTGGGTATCCTCCTGTAATACAAGGCCTTTTTCCTGCAGTCGCTCCTCTTCTCGCATCCCTGCTCGGAGACCCGGGCGCAAATTTTAGTGCTATTCAAAGAAAGAAAAAAAAAGAATAATTTAAAAAAAAAAAAAAAAAAAAAAAGGGCGGTCGCCATCGCAAGAAGAATAGACGGCGGGAAAAAGGTTCCCCATCCTGCTAAACTCCACCTCAGCGCCGAAGCTGATCTGCTTCTAGAACCGCGATAGAGGCGGAATAAACTCGCTGGCCTGCCCTGTCGGAGATGCGCGAGTCACACCCACTGTGAGACCCGTGTCGGATTAACTTTCCCATGTTAATCTTCTCATCGGTCCTCCGTCCTCGATGGCGGCTTCAGGGATAATGCCATCAGTCACTAGGATCTCGGTCCCCCAGCTTCCAAGGTCTCGAGCCTATCTTACGAGTGGTGGCCACCGACCTGGACGCCGTTCGATGGTTCCCCAAAAAATAAATAAAAAAAAGAAGGAAAAGAAAAAAAGGGCAGAGGGAATGACAGGAAGAGCCATCAACGGCAATACGAACTCACTATCGCGCAAGCGAAATCTACTAGGAGGTATATCGTTTTAGTGCGCAAGAGGCGCTCGTGGGGGAGGGCAGTCAAGAGGCGGTGATGGAGTCTGGTATTATTTCCTGCATATTCATCCATACAGAGTTAAAGAGTCCTCCGTCCACCTCGCTGTCATATCTATCAACAATGATCCCTGTGGACACGTAGTTCGACTTCATCCCATTTGAGGTCTTCGCCCAGTTAACTACGGGGGAGTTAGTTACTCGAAGCTCATTGCACAAGCCGTCAAAATTGGGATCAGACGGCCGACAGCCTGTGGGGAGATGCCGTCCTCCGCATCCCCTCTCCAATCCCGACGTCAATTCTCCCTCGCGTCACTTCTTTTGGGCGGCGGGTTTGGGCTCTTGTGTTGGGCGAGTCACTGATCAGCCAATGGCCACGCTAGAAGAGCTCCATGCGGTCTGATTGGCGGCGAGTGCATGCATGCATTTATTTTTGTCGGCTGTTTTGGGGGTCATCTCAAACGAGAGGGGGATGGGTGAGAGGGGGGCTTATCGCTGTTTCAGATTCGCGCTCCGGACTTTTAGCGCAGAAAATGGTTTAGCCTGCGTTGGCCCCAGCCAGCGGCCGTCGCCAGCACTTTGCGTAATTTTGAGCATAGTTACGACACGGGACCGCTGCGAGAGAGTGTGTGCGCGCGGGATAAGAGGCACTGCAGCGGAGTTGGGATGTTCAAGGAACGCGAAATGCGCATTCCTGATCGTCCACTGCCCATCAACTCCGTCGTGAACTACGGAGGATGTATCTCTTCATTGTTCAACAACATGCGGGTTTGCTGCAACGTCTCCCATTGTTGGACTTTTGTGGCCCATCGGTCGGGTCGCATATCTTTCGAATATGTATGTACAGTTACTCCGTACATACGGAGTACATAAAACCATTGAATATGCAGTTAACTACGGAGTATGCAAGAAGAATACAATTTTCGGTCATAGCCATTGTCTTCATGCATCTGGCCTCCAAGGAAGTTGGGAGGCTTGACCACTTTCTTCAATGCAGGCGTCGAAGCGCAAAAGCGCCCTTGACGTGATCAAAGTGCAGACCCAGCGGAAAATTCAAACAAATCAGCGTCCAGACAGGAATCACCCAGCCTCCTCAGAAAGAAAGTTTGGCATTTAATCTGAAACACCACCGCACATCATATCCACACTCAGCGCTTGCATGATCATCGCCCTGAGACAACGCTCGCAGCCCACTTCCTCTCCCTCTCCACCTGCCAACAGGAGCCTAACCCAAACCCTCATTGACATCACATCATCGTCCGCATGCATCTTTCAGGCATCTCGGCTGGGATGAATAGCGCTTCCAAAGGCCAACTGCCATTCTGGAACAACGGCTCAACGGGTGGTCCCCAACGAGCGAGCCCGGGGCTTCGTGTGTGCCCTGGAGCGCTAACCAGGGGTCGGGGTTGTCAGGCACACCCGAGGACGGACGCGACTCGGCCTGCTGGGTCGATGACTGGCTGACTCGATGACGGGAAGCCGAATACCAGGGGTGTGAACATGGCCTTTGCACTCGGTATCCGCCCTACATGTAGAGGAGAATTCACGACATTTCAATTGATGTTCGTTGGGGCTTTGGGTCCGATGGGAGTCGACACAGGGTGAGAATAATAACCACCCTACAGAGTACAGAGTAGTCCGTTGACAAATTTCAGCGTGAAAAAGTCAACACATTTTAGCTTGCGTACCTGCGTCAAGCCGCTAAATCTCGTCCTACATAACGTCCGGTTTTGCGATTTGAGTGCCGAAGTAAGAAGAACGGAGGAATCCACATGCCGTAACAAGCATGTCGATGGGGAAGCTTACTAGATAAAGATTGCAAATCCTGTGTGCCACTTCGCAGGACTTCTCCCAAAAAGCTTGCGATTTGCCCAAGTGACGAACCAGCTCATAGAGAACATAGTGCAGAGCTTAGTGGTCAATACTTTAGTAGTTCGACCGTCCTTCTAGCGAGCTTCGCCTCATATGATCAATCAAACATTCTCCTCGTAATCTCAGTAAGCTAAAAGAGAACGTGTGGACCTCAATCAGATCACTTGATGATGCACATCTTCACATTGACATTGTGGGGTTAGAATTTGAGCACTTTTTTAGCACAGAAGTTAGCTCCAGATAGCAGAGATGACTGATAGCTGTCAAATGGAATACAACTTTTAACTACAAAGCTGACTTCAGTCCGATACCGTGTGCCGATCATCGCCTGCTTCTCATACAACTCTCTGACAATGTCGAAAATAGTACCAAGTCGGGAGGACCGGCCGCGACGCTCCAGAAATACAAGCTCTTGTCTCGAATTGGACCCATTTCAACACCTCCTACCAAGATCACCCCTCTACAAGCAAAAGAAGGCAAATTCGTCACCGGGGAGACCAGGCTGCCGAGAAGAGCCAACATTCAGGGTGTGAAAGGACGGGTTCATCATAGTAGCCGCTTGATCCGGCTTGTTTGCGCTAACTAGTAGTCAAAAAAAAAAAAAATAAAATAAAATAAAATAAAATAAAAAAGGTCCCAACTTCCAAAGCGGAAGAAACTTTCTTCTTTTTCTTGTCTCGTCAACTTTTCCGGAATCCAGACGGAGTTAGTGCGCCACGCGCTGCTGAATATCTGCGGGGAAATCCAATCTAGCGTGGTCGACGGCGCCATGACTAGCACCACTTCAACAGCATTTCTGCAAATCTCTGACACGCAGTAGCCAGGAACGAGCGCCTGAAACCAGCCATTTTTCCGCCTCACACGCTTCATGCATGTCTTGATTCGAAGCGGTGGCTTGAAGTTTCTGATACGGGTCCGCTGATGGGCGAAGATAGCTCGTCCAACACGTGGATTTTAACCTCAGGAATAGTCAAGTAAGGGCGCAGATTGTGATAGAATGCTGCTCCTATCAAATCATTTTGACATTAACTCAAAATTTGTGGCAGGAGGATACAGCGGCGATCTGTTCTTTAGCCGCTAAGCTGGTCACCTGCGACCCCTTTTCTTGCCTTTGCTCATTGTTCGTGGGCCCTGGATATCCGCGAGATCCCGCTTGCTCAATCTTAGTGTGCCTCCAGAAAATTTTCCAACGGATGGTCCGCCAACGCCCCGTTCCCTTCTCGCACTGCTGACCTTCCGTTTCGGCGTAGGCTTCTCAAGAATAATTCCATTTTCTTTTGCTTCCCGTCGTCTTGTCGCGTCTTTCTTTGCTACTTTAGCTTCTATCCCCTTTCTGTGAGACATTGGCATCTTTTTCTGCATATAGATCGAATCATTTGCTCCGATAGTTTGCATACGAATATCAAGTGCACGGTGACGATTTTTCCCGGTAGGATTGAGGTCGTCGGCAGACTCAAGGAGATGAGACTCCTTTAGCAAGCGTTGTAAGGCAAGGTCGTTTTTCAAATTCATCGCATCATCAGCTCCTTCGTCGCCGTCGGATGCATTCGTATTCCGCCTTGCTGTGGTTTTAGATTTCATCTGAGACGAGGACGGCGGCTTTGCCGACTAAAAGAAACGTAAACATGGTCAGAATAAGCCAAATGTGTTAATCCGCCTGCCACCCGTACTCGTGAGACGTACCATGAACTGTTTCCGAAGCTCTTTTTCAAAACCATCTTTACTTATTCTGTGAGAAGTGCTATGATCGACCACCTCCGGAGCCGTGTCGGAAGGGGAAGTATCGTCCCCGTCATCGTCGGAGATGCCACTCCATTCAGAATCTTCCTTGTCATCATCAGATTCCGTATCTGGAGGATTCGCGACAGAAGCCTTTCCTTTCTGCGGCACGTCCAATGGCTCGAACTGATCTTCAAAATACTTTCGGAGAAGGTCGTGGGAGTTGGGCGGAACGGCGAGAGGATCACCTTCTTGCTCAGCAGGTCGGGAGACCACTGTAGCCTCCCGTTTCCGTTTCCCCAGCATCTTCAGCTTCCTTCACCTTTCTCTGATGCAGGTATCTCGAGATCAGCTTCCGCTCCCATCCTGATAGGCAAAAATTCAGACTTGCGCTTATGTCATTGAAATATATCACGTGACTATAATGCGCGGCGGCGGATGGTAGTGGTCGAATTACCAGCGTCCTTGATGGGCCGGATTAAATGAACATTGCTTCACCCGTTGAAGGATGACACGGTTTCGTCCCTGCATTGACCTCCATGCAGGTCAGGTAAAACAAATTGTTGGCGGCACTCTGACCGCCGAGCTTGGGGAGCTAAAAACGAATTACGTTTCTGCGCTTCCGGCGGGGCACTTCGCAAAGCTCTACAAGGACCATGGCTTAACGGGCGGGCATGTGGTCATGCTGGGGCCTGGGAATGATGATGCGGCGAGGGAAGCGCTAGCTGCGTGGCCGGGAGGGCTACATGTCGCCGGGGGTATCACAGATAAAAACGCACAGTACTGGATAGATGCTGGAGCTGAAAAGGTGGGCTCTCATCCATGCGCCCCTGCAATCACAACTATCGCGTTGGCGTGTACTGGCGGCTGACGTGAAAATAGTAGGTCGTCATCACATCTTTCCTATTTCCCGAGGGTAAATTTTCAATGCAGCGACTCCAAGCAATCCTTACGGCGCTTGGGAATGACAAGTCCAAATTAGTACTGGATTTAAGCTGCCGAAGGAGAGAGAATACTTGGTTTGTTGCTATGAATAGATGGCAGACGATTACGGAAATGGAAATTAATAAGGGTATGGATGCACAACGTCCTCGATACCCGGATATGGGACTAAATGAAGACTAACTTTTTGTCCTAGAAACGATTAGAATGCTCGAGCCCTACTGCTCTGAGTTTCTGATCCATGCCGCTGATGTCGAGGGGTTGCAGCAAGGAATCGACGACGAACTGGTATCAAAATTGGCGGCATGGTGCTCCATCCCAGTGACATACGCTGGAGGCGGACGAGGTCTAGCAGACCTCGACCGTGTTAAGACAAGCAGTAAGGGAAAGGTCGACCTGACCATTGGCAGCGCGCTGGATATTTTTGGAGGGAGTGGCGTGACATTTGCAGAGTGTGTGCAATGGAATAAGGCCAACGGAGACTAGTATAATATCAGACAGATATGCCTTATATAGATAGGTGAATTGCCATGCTATATCTTTAGCGATCGGCTTGCCAGGATATCCTTGGGATTCTGAAGCATTGGTACAAGGCCAATGTCGGTGTCATAGCCCTCTCGATATAGTTGCCCTCTGGGGGCATTAGGCAGCACAATATAGAGAGGATTCTATGCTCTGACGATTTTCACAAGCGACTATTACGAATTTTGATAAATATGTTTCTTCATATTTTTAATTACATATCTTCAAACAAATCCACAAACTTCTCGTGTTTTCCAAGGTTGTTTTATATAAATCCATCGTAACCTTGGAGCTAAAATATAATTACGCAACAAGCTTAAGTCGAAGCCCCAAGCATCACCACCTCTCTTCTCTCGACCTTCACCAGCCAACCACCAGTACCACCCCTACGGGCACTCTCATTTCCTCTAACAATCATTTCCCTGGTGACATATCAAAATTTATATTTTCCTTAACTGTTTCTTAAATTCTTTCCTCTCAACCACCATGAAGCCCGTCGTCTCCGCGCTCAATGCGTGGAGTTGGTAAGACGTCCCTCCATCCAGCACAAAACGTGAAGCCAGGGCTAACATGGACGATTCCAGTTTCATCATCTCCATCTTCGCCGTCATTATTCTCTCCGTCATTGGTTCGCTGTATAAAGTACGTTTCCCACCCTCCGGCTACGTTCCGCAGATGCGCGCCTGCTGTTTACCTCCCGGGAGTCATATCATCGGCTAACAATCCAACTTCCAGCGCAACCACCACTCGCTTATGGGCTCGAGAGACGACCCTAAAGATGGTACCGCAGTCGCAGGGTCCATTTTCACTGCTGTTATAGTATATGCCGTACGTCACAGGAGTTCCGATGTTTCCCCCCATCCCAAACTGCCTATCTACGTGATACGCTCTCGTTGCCATGTATCTCGATAAAATCCTTCTGAGAACATCGAATTCTAACTATGGACCAAATCCATCTAGGCATTTGCTGTGTTTTGCGGTCTACAAGCATACCTCCACGTTCGATCAAGTCGAAGAGGAGCGATAACCTTGTCCTAAGTGACTCGAAAATGAACAGTGATGAGATGCACTTGCATCGATTCTAATACGATTTCCTTGATATATTTGTTTTCAAAACGGATCGCGGAGTATACGGCTGTTTCTTGTCTAGGATTCTAAGTTTTACAATTCTTTTGCTCCTCGCAGAGCTGGTAGAACCTTTGCGAGTTGATAGGCGTGTGATAAACGTGGCTTGTTCGGTTCTTATCTTGTTTTGTCATATTCCATACTATATGTGTATATCTACAGAAACCAGGCTTTTGGTTGATGGGAAGTTTTACATTATATGATATCTACCCAACTAATGATGCTAGGGTGGTTTCGTCCCTTCGGTTGATGGACGAGTTAATAGATCAACACAAGTTTATACCGACAGATATCTTGTCTTCACCTTTGTTGACCTGTGATCAATGGAGAGGTCTCAGACGGCAGCTTACTTCAGTGTAATGCACAATCCATGTGGTGCAATAGAGATTCAGCTACATGCCATTGCAGAGTATTCTGTATTGTCTGTGCAAACAACAGCAGGAGGCAATATTTATATTCAAAACTTGGAGCGAACCTTAACAGGTATTCATCATATATACATAAGCTTTTGTCGTTGTTCGTGACCCAAAACGCCGAAGAAATGGACCATTTGGATAGCATCATACGGCACCTTGTTTTGATAACGCCTTTAAAACCAGTGAACCCAATAACCAGACAAATTCTTCCTACTCTTTTTCGAAAGATAAAGGAGCAAACCAACGCCAGTGAGGAAACAAGCGCCCATCTGGGCGTTAATAGATTGATACACAGCGACAATCAAAAAGCATGACCATAGATTTTGGTTGTATAGTACCTTATTCTTCAGCATCTTCCGGCTCCACTGGATCGAGCATCTTGCTCATGTATGGTCCATCGAGCCAATACCCAAGCTTTGCGTAATAACTTCTGACACCGACCCCAGAGATGACGCTAATCTTTCCACTTCCATGCTCCTCTCTTGCTATCCTCTCGGCCTCTTCCATCAACAGGGTTCCAAATCCGCGATGTTGGAACTTCCGAGGATCACGACCGTGAACGGGAACAGCTGAACCGTATACATGCAGCTCACGGACCAAACTAGTCTGTTGACCGGTAAGCTCTGGGCGGAAGGTATACTTTGCACTGCACTTTCGTAGACGGAGAAGGCCAATGAGAATATCCTGTTTCGGGTCTTCATAGGCAAGGAATGTCTCCCATCCGTCATTGGCGACGTAATCACGCCGTATTAGCTCAATCTGGCTTGGTCGGATCTTATTCTTGACTTCGTTAATTCCAACTTCTCGAGTCCGCACGTCTCTGCAAGTGGTGCCGAAATCTTTCATTCGACCAAGAGCGAGTTCGCGAAGGTTACCGTTCTCAACGCCGGATGTGACAAGAGGCATTGGAATATCACGCTGCACACGATAGATACGAGTCCATGGGGGCACCAGGGCAAGGATGCGAGCGACAATGTCAATCAAAGCATTTGGGGTATAGTTCTTGTAGCGACCAGTCCGCCAAAGCTCATAGAGACCGGTACCTCTGATAACTAGTGTTGGGTAGATTTTCAGACCGTCCGTTCGGAAGGCTGGGTTCTCAAAGTATTCTTGGAACTGGAACAAATCTCTTTCCATCCCCACGTTAGGTAGATCTGGCATCATGTGGCTGACGACCTTGAAACCAGCATCCTTCGCCAGTTTAAACGTCTCCGCCACAGCCGCCACGGTGTGTCCTCGGTTCGTATCTCTCGCGACATCTTCGTAAAGACTCTGCACACCGATCTCCAATCTCGTACAGCCGTACCTGAGCATAGCACTGAGATGAGTGTCCAAACAATAATCTGGACGTGTCTCTATCGTGATTCCGACACATTTGATATTGCTCATCTCCCCGGCTTGGACCGCTTCATCAACATTGTTTGTTTGATATCCACTGAGCGCGTTATGGAGCTGGGCTATGAATTCTTCTCTGTAGTCCTCTGGCAAAGACATAAACGTGCCACCCATGATAATATACTCCACCTTATCCACGCTGTGGCCAAGGGATTTGATCTGGTCCACCCGCCCTCGCGCTTGCTCGAAAGGGTCATAGCGGGCGCGGATAGCTCGCATTGACGTCGGCTCGTATCCGGTATAGGACTGGGTGGAGTATTCAAAGTCGGAATCAGGACCGCCTGGACAATACACGCAAATGTTTCCAGTGTATGCAATATGAGGACATCGATGGGGCTTGCACATAACAGCAACAACCGCAATACCGGAAGATGTCCCTGGAGAAAATCAATAATCAGTGCATGATAGAGACGTCAACAGCGAACCACACTTACTTATCGGCTTTGCGATCAGCTTCGGCAAAATATACTTCTTATAATGCTCCGGGACTGCTGCAATGATTGCTGTTAGAGGAGGCTGAGTGCTCAAGCTGTGCTTCTTCGAAATTTGACCCCGCAGCTTGTTCAGGTTGATATCTTTTTTGGGCTTCGTTGAGTCCCTCTGAGCCTCATAGTCCTGAATCAGCGCATTCGCTATGTCCGAACAGGCTCTCATATAGCGCTCATTTTCGGGAGGTAGCTTCGCAGCCTTGGGCAATTTGCGCTGCTGGGTGGCGGGACGTAGAGTCAGAGTCTCCGTCGCCATATTGACGGTTATGGACGCAGCGTAAAACTAGAACTTCACACAATAAACAAAGGAGGCCCGGTCTATGATTTAGTGATACCACGAAGAGCCGATTAAAGGAGCGGAAATAGGTGGCGGTGGAGCACGGCGGAGAAGCGTCAAAGATCTGTCATAATTTTCGTGATACTCCGCGACAAGGTTCAGGTGGGAGGAACCGCAAAAACACACTTCCACCCCCAGTAGAAGCCAAGAACCGTCAAAGATTGGTCGGGAAGCCATCCCGTCGTCAACACGAACGTCGTCAAAAAAATACTCCCAAGGGCCGACTCGAGCTCTCTCTGCTTTTGGTTTCTCTTTTCCTTCTCTCTTTTTGTTTCTTTCACGCTCTGAGTTTTTCTTTTAAAAAAAATGCAGTCCTTCAGACGCAGCACACTGTCTGCCCTGCGGAGCGCCGTCCGCGTCCAGCAGCGCGGATATTCTAAGCCTACGTCTGGCTACGCTTCCACGATCGATAATCTTCGGATCAACAGCGAAACAAAAGTTCTCTACCAGGGATTCACTGGAAAGCAAGGAACGTAAGTGTGGCAATGTCCTCAGGCGGTTGAGAAGAGACGTTGATACTGATATGTGTCCTCAATGCTAGATTCCATGCCCAACAGGCGATTGACTATGGTAGCGTCGTTCTGCCACACTTGAAAGAGAGCCAGCATCTGATATACTCTAGGCACCAATGTCGTTGGCGGTACCAATCCCAAGAAGGCTGGAGAGATGCACCTTGATCGCCCCGTGTTTGCTACGGTGAGAGATGCCATGAAGGAAACCGGCGCCAATGCCTCTGCGATCTTCGTTCCGTGAGCTTCCTCTCGCCCTCTAAGGCCTCCTTCCTCTTTTCTGACAAGAATTCAGTCCCCCAGTGGCGGCTAGAAGTATAGAAGAAGCAATTGAGGCTGAAATGCCCCTTGTTGTCTGGTTTGTTACCCTCGTGTCCCCGTGATTATTCAACACACACTAACTTTGGACACAGCATTACAGAAGGAATCCCTCAGCATGGTACGGTGTATTACTGTGATATCCAGCGAAAAAATTTACTAATTGATATTAGATATGGTTCGCATTACGGATATTTTGAAGACCCAAAGCAAGACCAGATTAGTCGGTCCTAACTGTCCCGGAATAATTGCCCCTGTATGTTGCATCCATTCTTGAACGGGTTTACTGAATTGAACACCAGCTAACTGCTGGTCTTTAACCCCCCAGGGCCAATGCAAAATCGGTATTATGCCCGGATTTATCCACAAGAGAGGACGTATTGGCATTGTCTCCAGATCAGGAACCCTTACGTACGAGGCTGTGAATCAAACCACCCAAGCTGGCCTTGGTCAGTCCCTCGTCGTTGGTATCGGCGGTGATCCTTTCTCTGGTACCAACTTCATCGACTGCCTTCGCGTCTTCCTTGAGGACGAAGAGACCGACGGTATCATCATGATTGGTGAAATTGGAGGTAGCGCTGAAGAAGATGCCGCGGAGTTCCTTAGATCTGAAAACAAGGCAAACAAGCCAGCTGTCGGGTTCATTGCCGGTATCAGCGCCCCCCCAGGCCGCCGCATGGGTCACGCAGGTGCTATCGTTAGCGGAGGTAAAGGTGGAGCAGACTCGAAGATTGCTGCCCTTGAATCAGCGGGTGTGATTGTCGAGCGAAGCCCAGCGTCTCTTGGAAAGACTCTACATGCCGAATTTGTGAAGAGAGACTTGATCTAAGGTTGACGGCTTTGGGTCTTTATTGCCGCCACTTTCCTGCTCACAGCATATGTATTTTTTACTTGTGTTATCTTCCCAGAGTCCCATTTGATTCCCTGATTGCATTACCACTGTGACATATATTGAGATGCGTACTTTTATACAGCCTGCCATTATCTCTGGCTTATTAGACTTTATCCCTTTCTAAGCAAAACCTTATCATAAGTCTGTGTCACTTTAGGTTTTGAAAAGCGAAACCGCGGGCGAGGACAACGGAGGATACGCCAGCCAGCAGGCTGCTTGTCTGACTTCTTTTCGCCAGAGGTTTCAGCAGCGAAATCGCGCAGCCAAGCTCGCCAGTCTACTCTGTATCAAACCCGGTATTGACGGTTAGAGAGCCGAACAACAATGTTCCCGGACAACTATTGCAATTTGCGGGAGGATCCATTCTGCTCAGCAAAGCACGGCTGGATATCCCGGATGGCAAAAGCCGCTATTAACCTTTTCCGGCCTCTCGTATCCGCGGTTGGTCTTGGGTTCAATGCTCTGCAAATATACCATCAAGCCGGCCGAGTGGTGTAGTTGGTTATCACGTTTCGTTAACACCGAAAAGGTCCTGAGTTCGAGTCTCAGCTTGGTCAGTCTCTTTTTTGGAGAGAGAGCTTCTCTTTTTTTTTTTTTTTTTCTCATTCTGTGTATTTTCTGTCTGGATGGGTTTTGTTTTGACTTGTCCACCTGGCCCATCCCCAGAATGTGGCATCGAGCACAACTCGCTACAGGAAACTCAAAAAGCTCTTTCGCGAACCCGCCCACCCATTCCAAAGAGAGAGAGGGGGGTTAAAAATATTAAAAGAAATAGAGCTCCCCTCAACACCCTCGCGCTGAGCAAACGCAAAGAGCCAAAAAGACCATGACAGGACAGGGATTCGAACCCTGGCGGGGTTGCCCCCAGTAGAATTTTCCGCCACTTCACGAGGCGAAGCCACATGGGATCACGTGAACTTGAACCTACCACCTTAACCGCTCGGTCATCCTGCCTGTTGATGCGACGGGGGCACTCGACGGAGCCTATGGACAAAGGTGTACCGTTGAAGCCGTGCTGTTCGGTTCAGTGGCCGGCGTCCGGTATGATATGTTGTCGGCTGAGGTGTCGTATCAGCAGCCCCGGTGAGATAATAGTCGAATGTTTCCGTTTCTAGCGAGGATCTCCTGCAAGGAGCTCTTTGTGCGATGGATACCATTGTGTGGACATAACGGCAGTCACGGCTCAAAAGGGCCTTTGTGAATCGGAGAGTACTAAAGTTGTGTTATTAACAGGCTAGACGTCTTGTCGAAAGAAATAAATCCTTCCATCCCTCGAGGCTTTGATAGAGCCTCTGGATTGCTCCTTTTTGTTGGGTGGTGGACAGCGAGGTGTGCTACGATCTCATACTATATCAATTTTCGAATCCCCAAATCAATCCATAAAATACATCATGCATTAATAGATAACCTAATCCTCAAAGGTTCTCTCTTCGTTTCCCACCTGTCTCAATTCGTAGTAAATCTAAAAGACATCACAAACTGGGGGACAAAGAAAGTCGGATGCCAATTCCAGCCACACGAAAATATCAAAGACTTAATTGGGTACTGGCTACAAGAAGAAATGTAGCACGATTTTGACCGAGAAAAGAAATCGAAGAAGAAAAGAAGAAAAAGAAGACCTAGAATTGCACAGGGAGCAACGCTGAAGGTAAAAAAAAAAAAAAAAAAAAGGGCACTAAAGGGATAAGGAATTTCAGAAGCATTTCTTTCCACCCCATATGTAACAAAACTTGATATTCATTTCGTTCCGCCATCCGCAATGTTTGCCAACCGTGACCCTCTCGCCAGAATACAAAGAAACCATTTCGATGATAGGCCCAACGCCGGCCTCGCATGGGGTGGGGGACCACGACGAGGTATCAGAATAAGAATAAAGTCCCAAAAAATTGTAGTGAAGATACACTAGAACATAGTTTTAAGTCAAGGAGGTGCAGATTCGTGAAGGATATGGTAGAGTGGCCCATTAGGATGTTCAAAGGCAGCGATCATGACGGTAGAAAAAGGCGCCAAAGACGGCCCGCAACGCACTTTCCAATTTCGAACCGCATTTGGAAGGGAGATGGAGCGGAGTAGAAGAATTTTGAGACCCCACGATCACTCCTCATCACTTACAGCAGCGCTGTCAGTTCCGTTTGCTCTCGAGCTATTGAACGTCAATTTGAGTTTCTGTGACGGCGTGGCACCAGACGCAAGAGGAGTTCCAGCACTTGAAACAGCGGCCGTCGACCCATCTACGGACTCGTCAAAGTCGGCAAAATCGGGGTGCTTTTCAGATTCCTTCTTCAAAGCTGCGATGCAAGCGGCCTAATGGGGGGAGGTCGTCAGAAATGCATTTTAAATTATTAAAACGAGTGCTCTCCCTAGCTTACCTCAATCTGGTTCGCATCCTGGAAAAGAATGCTGCCATCTTCATTATAGGTCCTGGCATTATTGCATAATAGGCGAATATCATCTAGGAACTCTCTCAGACTTTGATATTCATCTCGATTGATCCTCCTCTTGATTGTATCCATGGCAATGGGATTTTGAATGATAACGTAGTAATCCGGATACTGGCTCTTCGGTGGTGGCTTTAGGAATGGATCGATGATCGGGCGCGTGCTCGGCTCGTCATCAGTATCTGAAGAATCAGCAGGGACTTCCGCTTGGAGTCCCATGAGGATCTTGTAAACCTTATTGAGAATGGTTTGCAAGACCTCACGATCTGCGTTATTCAGCGTCTCTGTCGCAGCAGCAGCGGCTGCTATCGCAGCTTTGCTCTGTCTGCCTCTTCGACGCTTGGCAGGGGCCTCCTCTATTACCTCATCGGCCTTCCGCTTGGACACGGGGCCTTTACGTCGTCCTTTGGCCCGTTGCGGCGTGGCAGACGGTTCCCTAGAAGGTTCCGGTGAGGAATCTATACCTTGAGCCTTTCTTATTCGTTTTTCTTTATTGAGTCGTCTTCGCTCCATTTTAGCCTCATTTCTAGCGATGGCCTCCTCGATAGTATCATCTTCGGCGTCTACTGCCATGGCCCACTGCTCCTCAGTGAGACCATCGTCATATCTCATGACCTTTCGCTCTCGGGCACCTCGTCCAGTAATTTCCTCGGGTTCTTCGGCAACAGGGTTGTCTTCTGCTAAATAGATATCAGGAAGCTCATCTTCACCCATCAGGCGGGGATGTCGATGTCCGGGGCCGTAATGATCGGTTTTCATTCGCTCTTCGTCGATCTTTTGGAAAAGAGTGAGTTCTTCATCAGACCGCGCCATGATATCGTTTAGATCGTCATCATCCATCTCGTCCTCTTTGCCCGCCTGGTCTGCGGAGTCGGCGGTTTCCAACAAGGTACGAAGCAAAGCATCACGCTCTTCGTTTGTCGATTTATTGTCGAACTTTCCGGCCTGGATAACCTTTCCGTCCATGTCCAACTTGAACTGCGCTCGTTCAAGGATCCTCTCTTCAACGGAGTTGGAGCTAATCAATCGGAGAATCCGGACCTCGTTTTTCTGACCGATACGATGTGCACGATCTTGAGCTTGAAGATCCTGATGAGGATTCCAGTCTGAGTCATAAATAATGACAGTGTCGGCGGTCTGCAGGTTCAAACCAAGACCACCAGCTCGTGTGGAGAGAAGGAAGCAGAAGTACTCTGATCCAGGGTCATTAAAGCGTCTCAACAATTCGGATCGATCATCCGACTTCGTAGAACCGTCGAGACGCAGGTATTTAAGACCGCGGAAGCGCAAGAAATCTTCCATGATGTTCATGATCTGAGTCATCTGGAAGAACATCAAGACACGATGCCCAGACGCCTTGAATTTTGGCAGAATTCGATCGAGCAGTTCGAATTTACCAGCCGTACGCCAAATGAGATCATTCGTACCCTTTCCTGGATTCATTTCTTCCTCAACCGATTCAAACACGAATGGATGATTACACAACTTTCGTAGCTGCATAAGCATGTTGCTCAAACCACGCATGCCTGTCTTACCGCCTTTACCGTCGCTGACCACCATCTTGTTATGAGTGACCAGTTGTTTATACAGCTTGGCCTGCAATGCGGAGAAGCGACATTTGATAACACGCTCCTGTTTATCAGGAAGATCCTTCTCGACATCCTTCTTCAATCGACGAAGTAGGAACGGCCGAAGCACCTTGTGCAAGCGACGAATAACGAGTAGCTTCTCTTCTTCGGTGAGATCCATACGATCCTGACCACCTGTGTTCGCAAATGGGGTATTGAACCATTCATCGAAGGACTTAACAGACTTAAAAATATTTGGAAGGACGAAGTTGAGAAGCGCCCAGAGCTCAGGAAGGTTGTTTTGGAGTGGAGTACCAGTGAGAATAAGTCTGTAACGCGAGGTGTAGTATTGGGTGAGAGTCTGCGTCAACTTCGATTGAGTATTCTTCATTCTGTGGCCTTCATCGACAATCATATGAACCCATTTTACCTTGCTCAGAATCGGCCGATCTTTGATGATGTATTCGTAGGTTGTCAACAAGACTTGGAATTGTCCCCACCGAATAGCTTGCTGTTGTGCTTTGCGACTGTTGGGCGGTCCCTTGTAGACAATCCGAGAAACCGACGGCGCCCATTTCTCAAATTCGAGCGTCCAGTTGGTTAGCGTACTGAGAGGAACAATAACCAAGAAAGGCCCGTTTTGCTTCTTCATCTCGATCAGATATGTGATTAAACTGATAGTCTGGATGGTTTTGCCGAGACCCATTTCGTCGGCCAAGATACCGTTAAGATTGTTGTTGTAAAGTGAGATCATCCACTGAAGACCTCGGAGTTGGTATTCTTTGAGAGTACCACCAACAAGGATAGACGGCTGCACGGTAATATCTTCCTTGATCCGATGGGCCACAGCGTAGTAATCAACTTTACGGCTCTCTCCTTCCTCGTCTTCCTCATCGGACTCAATTTCAGAATCTTCGTACAGATGCTCATCTCCTCCATACCTTTCTGCGTGAGTCCTTTGCTGTTCTTTTACCGAGCGAGCCAACTGCTTGAGGAAGCCATCCGTTTGCTTGAGAAGATGAGAGATACGCGAATCCTTGGCTTGACCAAGCAATTTCATGTACGTTTCTTCATCGTTCGCCTTCAAGGCCTGGAGACGCTGCTTGGCGGTTCTTTCAACACGTCTCTGTTCTTCACGCTCCATGTCATGGTGGTGTCGAAGCATCATCTGGCCGAGCTTCTGAGATCGCGCTCGCTGCTGAATTCCAGCATTGATAACTTCGCGACCATGATTGAGGATCGCCTGCAGTTGATCATACTGTTTCTTCTTCTCCTTGGTCTCACGCGCATCACGTTGCTGTTTCTCGAGTTTCTCAGTGACTCGCGCTTCGCGGAGCGATTGCTTCTTCATGCGCCGGTGGCTACTGCGGTTGGCCGACATAATTAAATTGTCATAGTGAATCATTTCATACTGTAGCTTGTTGCGCAGAATTCTCTGTTTCGGGAGAAGGTTCAACATCTTGTGCTCGATCAATGCTCTCACTTTGAGAGAGTCATCAACCATTTCTGGCGAGTCTCCCTTGCTGGTATCCCACACACTGAGGTTAGCTGGTAGCTTAGCCAATTCGGCTTTTCGTGCAGAAATACGATTATACAATATGATCTCTCTCTCTTCCCGAAACCTATCTAAATCTATGCCAAGAGGCATAAGGCTCGGGATCCTAAGTCTGTATTTGCGCATTGAATGGCTGCCGTAGCTGATGCGAGCTAGAAGTGCCTCGTAGGGAGATTGGAAGGACTGGTACATAGTTTTTGGTATGTTTGCCGAGGCGTCATCCGCTTTAGGCCCAGTTTCGCGGGCCTGGCTAGCGCCATCCGACGCACCGTCAAGTGAAACAGCTCCATCGGTGCCTCCAATGGGCATACTCTTCTTATTTGCGAAGAGCTGCTGTTGTACTCTGGGAGGAATGGGTAAATTTTTGGAAAGCATCTTGAATGCAAGGATCTGGTTTTTAAGAATGGTCAACTGTTCCGGTGTAAAGCTAGTCATCCCTGCGGTCGCATTCTTTTGACTAGCTGCCGCAGTGGTCGCCGATCCGGATTGCCCAGGCGCAGAGTCTGGGGCTGCAGAGCCGTTTCCGCTGGCGGATCCATTTCGACCTATTGAAAACCAAGGAAAAAGAATGTTAGCGACATCTGGATCCCATGGTTTTATGCTCATATTGGAACTCGAATAATATTACCATCAATCCCATTGGGAACGCCATCGGGCGAAACTCCATTTGCCTGTGGGACGTGCTGTTGCGCCTGTGGCTGCTGCTGCTGTTGGGTTTGTTGTAATCGTTGCGCTTGCAACTGCTGTAGCTGTCGTTGCTTATGAATGGCCTGTTGGCGCTGGACGGCGGAAAGAAGGTGGTGCGCTTTGAGGAACTCGGGATCATCCGGGCGTACGCCTTGCTCTTGCATATGCCGATATTTCTATTTTTCAAAAATTAGCACGATATTTGGGAGTAAATCTAGGTAGGTTTAATGGTTGAGGTTGGGGGGAAGCATAGATGAAGGAAGAATCCAAGGGTGAATGAAAGGAATGCGGTCCATGCTTACCTGATAGACTTCTTGGATATGTTGTTGAGTAAGGTTGGGAGGAAGACCAGACTGTATGGCCGCCATATTGGGGCCTGCCTGAAGGGAAGCCATTGCCTATCGGCGGAGAGTATTCATGAACAATTGGCGGTCGCCCCAAGGGAAGGGGGGGAAATCCGGTATCCGGTTTTGGCGCTGGGTGCGTAGCGGGAGGAGGGGGTCGGTCGCGAAGGCTACTATTGTACAGGAATCCGGAGATTATCGGGCGGAACGCGACAGTACGGGCTTGAAGCGCGGCGCGGGACTAAGATCCGATGTTCTTTGATGCTTGGCAGATAAGATTTCCTCTAAGCTATGGCGGAGCGACACCGAACCAACAGGAGGCAAAATAGAAAATACATGCAAGGTGTTGCCAAGGGAAGGTTGCGGGCGCTGGCGCGCACTCAGGGGCGGTGAATGGGTGGAAACGCGTAAGGGTAGTATGTCCAGGCCTCTGGTCGATGAAATGGGGATGGAGGGAATCAGCTGTCGCGAAAACTCCCGTGGAGGACTGTGAACCTGGGCTGAGCCGTGATGGGAGAAGGGAAACAGCAACAAATCCTGTCAAAGATTTGGGGTGTCACGTGGCAGAAGTGCTGAGTCAGCGCAACCGCCACTCGCCAGCCACGATCGCCCGAACGGGAAAGATGCGTTGGTCTCAACCAGCTGCTGAGTCAGCGCAGGTCACCCCCCTGAAGCATGTCCTCGACTTTAAATGGTATGTATGTATTGATTTTATCTGGCTGGCCGCACGCCCTGCGCCTGGAGACCTGAGGCTGAATTGGGCCTGGCAGGAGTAAGGGCTGAGGACCTCCGTGCCCAAAATCTGCGGTCTGTGGAGGCAGATTCAAAGGAGAATCGAACCCGGACTACGATTTTAATCTATCTAGTAGGGGATAACTCGTCGGTGAAGCCGACCCCTTTCTTTCTTCAATTCTCAAGAGTCTTTTATTAACCTGGAACCCAGTCACTTTAATGGAGAGAAAGATGTTACAGACATATTGTCAAAAGCTCTCAAGGAAAACTATAGTAGAAACAGATATTGCTATGCCACGTTTTCCCTCCCGGGCCATGGCTACAAAGGACCCCTTGAACAGGGATAATGATCATTTTCCAAATACCCAGAGCTCCGTTCGCGAACCAGGAGGCACACAGCATATATGTTCTCTGTGCATCTCCCTTTTCCCATTCTCCCGTCTGTCTGCTCTGCCTTCCCGAACAGGATGTCAGAGCAGAGCGCCGAGCTGCAGGTGACCACAACCGCTCCTCTGTTCTGTGAACGACGACTAAGCACAGTCTGTGATACAATCCTCTTCCTCTCTTAGGCTGTGTTCATTTCCCTTCCTCATTTCTTTCTGCTTCACTTGGAGTCTGTTGCAAAGTTTGGTTCGGAAGCGTCATCCTCCCTCAGTCTGTTCACCCTGATCCATCATCTCTGTTCCGTCACCTTGAACTCAGGATGCTTCATTATATCTTGCCTGCACTTTCTCTAGGACTTCATATTGCCAGATTTTATGAGTTGTTTTGCTCCTTTGAATATTAAGACTTTTCTCTCAACCGTACATTTAAACCAAGATATCAAGTCATCAGCAGGACATCCATAATGGCTCACAACCTTGTGCTAGAAGCTGAACATCTGACACAGGTTTTCACACTGTTGCAGCCCCAAGATCTCCCGAACACAGAGCTCAATGCACAGATTGGGTCCTGGATTAACACTCGCTCGTTCATGCTCAGCCTTCTTAAGCGCTGCATCTGTCCCACAGCTGTCAGCGATGAACTTCTGGTGAAACTGCAGGCTGTAGGCTTCAAGAGAACCCCTTGGACAGTCGAATCCCTTACCCATCAAATCAAGGCCAACAAGGACTTCCAACGCGCAATAATCAACTTTGTATATCTCTGGGTGATTAAGTTTGTATTGCCGCGTGAGTTTTGCTGCTCTTCTGGTCCTTTTCGAGTCTACCCGGATCCTTATTGAGGACTCTTGGTAGTAATGGATAAAGATATGCAATCGTTCTCGTCCACGGACTCCGACAGCGAGTATAGGCTGGACTTAAATGTGAGCGGCCCCCCGGGCAGGGGAGCAATTCGTCTCCTAAACCTGCGGCTGACCTTTCCGGGCACAGGTATCAACTAGAGAGATGGACCGCTGTGCGATTACCGGAATATACAGCGTCGAAGCATTTGGATTCAACAACAGAGCGCCTGGAAAGGTAGTCCCCATGCGAATCCTTCCCGAATGCCTACGCAGCGACGACAAAGCCCAGCACCTCGTCCAAGTCTTTACCGGAGGACGGATCCACTCAATCCGATCGATAATCGACAAGCCCGAAAACGCAATCTTCATGTCCGAAGCCATCACAGACAGCTTTCGAGAATTCTACTGGTCCCTTAAACCAGCAGCAACAACAGCCCCCAGAACCACAAGATCCAACCTCGCCGTCGAACGACTTGCCGCCCTTCAGGTCCCCGAGATCGCATCCCTACCGCCAAACTCGCCCGTTGTGCTCGGGGATAACGAAGCGAGCTTGTCCGTCCCTCCCCCTTCTCCAGATCTCTGCCGCCTACACCTTGCCGTGGGGCAGATCCTTAACGAGACTGGCTCTCTCCCCATGATCCTAAGGTTCTCTATGCCCGGAACTCTCAAAGAAGCCAAGCAGTAAGCCGTGGCCTATGACGTGGCCTTAAAGCATCCTTAACTCTATGGATCCCATTTATGCTCTGGTGGTCTTCTTTTGTTGCATTTGCAAAGTGTATGTTAGTTATCTTCTAGCTAAGGGAATTCCATTATCTTCAGTTCACATACCTTCCAGGCTTAAGAGGCGCCTGTATGGGAACCTTGTGCCTATCTGCATTGCTAAGGAACCATACCTACATACAGGAGAAAGTTATATGTAGGCAGCATAACTTTGAGAGTAGAGATGTTGCTGTTGTCGGTTATTGTTGTAAAAAAAAGTCAACTTGAACGCTAGCCGCAGGGAAGAAAAAGGGGGGTTAGGTTTTAAATAGTTTTTGAAGTTGCCTTTCTGCCCTCTCATTCACGGGACTACTTGAGCCAGACAGGTTGGCAACCTCCGTTTCTTCATCCACACTGTGGGATAAAGTAACAAGAGAAAGAAGAGTTTATTTCGGCTTCTTGCGTCAGAAAAAAAGAAAGAAAAGCAAAAGAGACTGGTCTTTTTCTTTTGCCTGTTTCCATTGACCTGCTTTCGGTCCCAGCTTTCCGACCTGGAAAAAGAAAGAAAAAAAGGTAGTAGAGATTAAATGAGACCCCTTTTTAAAAATAAAACATGCCATTACCCATCAACTCATACATATAAATAAGGAGCGAGCCAAGAACCATCTACATATCCACCGCTCTAAGTGCATTTCTCTTCGGAGGCGGTGGCGGTGGAGGTTTCTTCGCTCGAATAGACGATTGAGAGGAGGATACTCTGTTACCATTACTATACAGCCCCATACTCACAGGCCGACTTTGAAGCGGATTACTGGAAGAACCGGATAGAGAACTAGACGTGAAGCGGTCTGGGCTCACTTTCCCATGCGGTGACGATATGCCGTCGTCGGGATACCCGTAATGGCCGTCGTAGTTCCGGCCGTTGGCCGTGCGGGCATGGGAAGATGTGCTGTTTATAGAGGCGCTGTCGCTGACGACCCGGCCTGAGTGTGGAGGGGATACCCGACCTCGAAGCTGGGTGGGTCCTTCGAAGGTGGACGTACGGCTAAGAGGGGGCTTGTATAATGGAGAGTCGAGACAGGAGGAAGCTGTGCGGGTCGGTCGTATAGGGGGGCGGGCATCTAGCGGCTGATCTTCGGGCTCGAATCGCTCGTGGAAGGAATGTGCAGTTGTGTTGCGGGATAGATTTGGTCGACGGACGGGACTTTGACTATAAAATAACAAGTTAGCTGGAAAAATAAAAAGAGATTGCAAGGACAACTTCTTACCCAGTTGGCCATTCATCTCTCAGCTGTAGCAGCACCTCTCGGCACTGGTCATGGTAATTAAGTTGAGCATTGAAAAATGCTCGAAGATCGGAGATATTGTCTGCTTCCGACTCCCTGATATCCTGCATCCGTCGGTAAACATCCTCATTAGCCTCCTCATATTTCACCTTCTGTAGTCTTAGCTCCTCTTCAACGCGGAAATCTTCTCGCTTTGCTTTTTGCATCTTTGCGAGCGAAGTGTCGTATGCTAAACGGCGACTTTCGAGCTTCTTCCTAGCAGCCTGAAACCATCGTTAGACATACTCGGAGAACCTCTTGCGGCACAGCCAGCCAGTTCGTACCTGATATTCCTTCATCTGAGCAAGCGACCTATCCAGCGACTCCAGCCAGCTCGACGTCGCATCAGCAACGTACTGCTCCTGAATCCGAGCACAACGCTCATTGGTTCTTCCAAAACCTGATGATCAATCAATCAAGTTAGCCGAAAAGAACATTCTCCGCGCCATGAGACCGAACGTCATTGGGGCAGTACGAACTGATAAGGCATTGCCCAAACTCGGAATTGCTTTCAAAATCCTGCCCATGGTTTACCATCGCTCCTCCAAGGTACCCTATAGAGAAGAGCTTTCCGCCATCCCCTTCGTTACGTTTAGATATCGCCCGTATGTAGGCCGTCATAGCTTTGTGAAGGCGCTCCAACCCTATAGCCGTGTCAGGAATGGGTTTATCGGGCTGGCTGATGCGGGGTACCTGGTGAGCATACCATCATGTCTCAGGGCCATCTCTGCTTCCATCGCCTTAAAGTCGTCCGATACATTTGTCTTCACCTCGCCACCCATACGCTCTCCGGCCCACTGCTTGAAGCGACCGAGCTTCTTGTTCACGTTCATGACGCCGTGCGGGGATGGAATCGTCGAATCTTGATTAGCTTTAGATGATGACGATGGAGCTATAGTGAAGCGGATTGGGAACGGATGCACAAGTGTATATTAAATGATATTCGATCGGATTAGCTTTATTTGATGGGATTTACAATTCCATCAAACAGCACGGGATGGAAGAGCCCCTGGAGCGGGAAACAAGACTAGATAACGAAATGACCTGAACGAAGGGCGAAGAAAGCAGAACGCAACAAGTAAACCACCAAGTAAGCAGGAGGATTTAGAAAAAAAGAGAGGGAAGGGAGAGAGAAGGCCAGATGTTGGGCCCTTATTCAGATATTAATAACAAGCAACAAAAATAAAAAATACTCCGAGCCAAAAAAGGGGAGAGAGAGTAACTGAAGAACCTTGGAATGAGGGACACGCGACCGTCAATCAAAGTACCAAGTGTTCTATTCCTGCAATGCGCATCTCTTCTCTACCCGCCCGTGATCAACATGGAGAGCATAAGACAGGCATGGGGTGTCTCCGGTAAAAAGCCAAATCGAACGAGCAAGGGAAATGAAAAGTCACAACGCCCTTCCACCCCCGGCTCTGCTCGTCCCTATTCGCCATCGTTTCCCGCCAGCTTGAGTCCTGGCCGTAGGGGTTGGGGCGGTGGCCGTGTTGCACTGACGTTTGAGATCCGTGGGTTTGATTGCGGTGTCTCGTCAAGGTGGTTCTTCTCTTGTTCCATCGAAGCGCCGATCGAGAACCCGTCCCCTGGTCAAGCACCGTCGGTGTCGCTGCAGGCTGGTTGGCGGTGGAGCACTGGCCTGCCCAGCCCAGATGAAACAGCACCCTTCGCGCACGTCAGGGTTTGGTTAAAAACTCCACCCGCTTGCTGGGGGGGAGAAAGGCTTGTCGCTGCCTTTTTCTTTGCTTTTTCTACTTTTTTAACCCTTTTTCTTTTGCTTTTTCTTGGTTTCTTTTTCGCTTCTTGGAGCTTGCTACATAGGGCTAACTAGTAGGGCTGGAGCCAACCAGCAGCCAATGCCGCCCTGCGCCAGACATATACATATTACGCACATACGGAGCACATCCAGATATTCCATGTGGGTCATCCAGCTCCGGGCGCTTGCGAATCCTCAAGGAACAATTCGCGTTCGAAGGGATGCGGAGGACAGAATATTTCTCCATTAAGACTGGTGAAACATACACAGGCTGAGCATTGTCCAACCACTAGGATGAACGCTTTCATCCTCCCCCCCCGGGGATTTCGTTCTGGCGGTCTAGATCGTGACAGCTTGCGGTGTACAGCCACTTTATCCTCCAAAAACCTGTTTTACACGCATATACGGATCATGTACGGTAAGTACATACATACGTTGTGCTCCGTATGCTTTGAATCACAATTTACCAAAAAAGGAATAAATTGAATCAAAATTCTTTCTTCTAATTTTATATATTTATATAGTTAATGTGGCTTATCAAATGCTTTTTCCAATATTTTATCAGGCTCCAGGGCATGGATCTTATCCTGATCCAAATCCAAGAAGTAATGGGTTTCGCAGAGCCGTTTGATTGCGGAATCAATCACATCTGGTCTCCCTAGATCAAATTTATAGTAGGAACGAGAGGTGAACAGAAAGAAGATGACAAGCGGTGGGACAACATTGTACCACTCCTGCAGGATATCTTTGGCACTGCGGTGGATTGTGATTTGCATCTCCTTCCCAAACGGCGCGCTGACAGTATCCTCGAAACCTGGAGCCAGAGGGGGTGTTAACTCGACAGATTCCATAGGGGTGCCTGAAGGATGGGGATCTAGAGTAACTGGCGACGAAGGCGATGAAGGGTCGTTTACGGGCACAACATGCGCCTGAAAGAACGTATAGAACGGCTCTTTTCCAAAGAAAGAGAACATCACCTCCCTTATAACAGCAAAATGAAGTTGGGCGTTGAGCAGCAGGCCGATCACGGCTGTATATGTGCTGGATGAAAGTGTAGGGTCGGTCTTTCCGAATCTCACACAGGGAGCTCCTCGTCCTCAGGAAGCTTGTCGTCCTCAGGGAACACCTGATGGGGGTGTCTTGAGGGTGAAGCGGCGCTTGCAATAGTTGAACAGTTGCTCCAAGTCCGGTCCCAGAAGGTCCATGCCATGAAGCAGTGGTCATATTCAGTCCTATACCAATATACCAACGGTCGGTGGAGCATGACCGCATCTTAAAGGAACGCCAGACCCTGTATCTCCTGTTCATATACATCTGCTTGCCGGCGATAAACGATGTAATCATGATACAGGAACTTGATGATGAGCATACCAAAGTGGTTACAAATGAAGATGCTGGCTTTGACACTACAACTGATGAGGCTTCATCAGTGATCCCCGCTGACATCCTCATGGACCTGGACAAACTTGCGAGCACTCCCCAGATCTGTGATCCCATTGATAATGAAGTTAGCCAGAAAATTGACACAATGCTGACTCTACGTGACCATATCCCAATTAAGCTGCAACTACACGGGCGACTCCGCGGGGTGCGCTTCTGGGAAGAGGCCATGCACGGTGAAAAGGAGCATTCATTCCCACGGTATCAGCTATGGTAGAGATGGAAGATACATAGCATGATGTTGGCGATTATTCATGCAATAATATCGAAAGGGATGTATATATGAAGAACTGCAAGTGCTCCTTGAGAAAGACTGCCGTCATATACATGTTCTTCGTCTTAACTATCGTACCCATTGTATCCTGGTGGTGTCGTTCAGGGTCGGACGAGTTGACACAGGCATGTTGTAAGCTTCGAGAAGCGCCTTGTCAAAGCGCTCCTCAACCACTGCTTCTTGTTCACTATTTCGCCACCATACCCTGCTCACTGGTAATCTTTGGCTTTCTCCATGTCGTCCAATACCTCATTGCAGTGACGGTCAGCATCCGTATTTCGCGATCGCGGAATCCAGGTGTATGTAACATCTCCTAGGTCCTGGAGCTTGTCGTCAAGATCTGAGGCCTCCTCAATCAAATCCCGATTGGCCACTTCGTTTCCCTCAGCATTGATCCAATTATTTTGGATCCACTTTTCAACCCAAATGTTCATGCAGTTGACAGCATATCTCGAGTCCGAATGGATTGTAATGTCAAGCACCGGGTTCGAGCGCAGTTGTTGGTGTTTGTCCAGTGCCATCTCTAGGCCCAGAATAATGGCAATGATCTCGGCTCGCTGGTTTGTGGGACTCTCATATGCTTCAAGCCGCCGGGCCCAACAATGAGGCTTTGTTCCATGGCGCTTTTTATGAACGGCGGCAGCGGCACCAATTGCGTTGTCAGAGCCATTTCGTCGACATGCTCCATCCACATATATCATCATTTTATAGACCATGATGGCGAGTTAAAACGAGAGAGGTTGGTGTCAAGAGTAAAAAGAGCTGGCGAGTAATTCCTCTGTGCTTTAACAAATAAAAACGACGGCCAGCACGGAAGCGAGTGAATTTGGATCTGATCTGTTCCAGCACGCGCCTTTCCCTCTCCCAACGCCCAGCTGCGATCCAAGTAAGCAGGTTCCACCGCATCCGCGCAAGCCTGGTCCAGCCTTCAGGGATGAAGTTATGCATCGCTGCATACTCAAAAAAGCAAGGATACCAGCCCGCTATGTCCCAGTCCATCAACCAAAGATGCCCGGATTTGTCAAGGAGAATGTTTCGAGGTGCGAGATCATGATGAGTGAAGACGAATGGTTCCGCTGTCGAAGGTATATAATTCTTTAAGGATGTAGCCAGAAGCTGGTCTTCAGTGACTTTTATAGCGGCCCGCGGATTGGAAAGGTTGACCCAAAACGAAAGGAACGATGTCAGGTTTGCTGAGCTGGACCGTAGTGGTAATCGATAGAGGTCATCGAGCCAGAATGACCTACATTCGCCGGTCTTTAGAGACCCTGCGGTTGACGAGATCATCGATCGTAAGGAGCGAATATATCCACGAAGCTCCAGGGCCAGTCTTAGTGACTTGATCCAGCCTAGCTTGTTCCATGCTTTCTCCAGGCTGACTCCATCAACACGCTCCATAATCAGATACACCATGCCCTCGAAATAGACAACCCTCTTGACACTAGGGACGCGTATGCCAAGCTGACGGGCTACTTCCATAGCCTGGAGCGTATCTTCAATCAAACCAGGTTGGCACTCCTTAGAGACAAGGTTGGCGGATAATAAAGATACCGAAGAACAAGATGACAGGCGAGGCGAATCTGTAATGTAGCGCACAATATCGGCATCTTTATAGCTTCCAATCAGGTTATCCATGAAGGTTGAAGACATCTTCTGTAGGGGTGGTCAGTGACATTCTTTCTCTTACTCTGGGAGCCGAGCCTCCCAGAATTTCCCTGCCAAGACCAACCGAGCATTGGAGAAGCATTCATCACCTGAACCAATATGCACACCACTGATTGAAGCAAGAGGATTGTCCTCTGTGCCAGAGATGGCCATTCTGTCAGCTGCCTCGGGAAAGATGGAGAAAGCATGGAAGAGAGAGAGAGATCAATGACAGAGTGAGAACTGATGGCTTGGTTGAAAAGTAATCCCCTCGTCCGGCCGCCAGCAAAATTAGCGCCTTGGCACCAGATTACAAACTACAGTACTCCGTACTCCGTACGGAGTACTCTGTATTAATGGTGTTTTTCTGACCAATAGGTTCACACACTAAAATATATGGGAATCTATTGGTTAAGCAAAACACGTTCATAGCTGGTTTTCGTGTTGATGTTCAAAAACATGTTTTCACCCAATTCTCTGGTGGCTGCTTGACCATGCGATAATCAATGCTTATATGCTTTACCAGCTATCTTGTTCTTGCTCTACTCCGTACTACTAGGCCAATTGGGCATATGGCATTCCAGAAACAACTCTATAAGGCTCTCTTCAAATCCACTGATCCCCTACCACCACAACAATCAAATACAGATCTTATTCATTCACAAACTACATTATCAGCTATGGCAGTTTGTGCCTGGTGTCAGTCTAAAAAGCAACAGAGTCAAATGAAGAAATGCCAGATCTCTAGATCACTGCATGGTTGCTCAGCTTGTATAGTAGCTCTCTGTCTCAAGGGGCATTGCTGGGAAGAGTTCCATTCTATGGAATTGTACTCCGTACTCCGTAATATAATCAAAATAGGCTTAGAGGGAATAAATTACAGATTACCGCCAAATACACCAGTTTCCAATAGAATTCCAGTATTAAATACGCTACTGTACACGCTAATTTCTATGCTAATTTTGCCTGGCAGCCGGACGAGGGGATAGCTGGTGGCTATCATCCAAAGAAAACAGTGAGGACAGGATAAAATATCTCAGTAAGAGAAGAAAAGAAATGGCCACCAGCAGACAATGGCGGGGCCTGACAGATAAGCAAAAGGGCATCATTTTTGTTGCCCCCCTTTGCTCACATTTTGCTTACAAGCCAGGGTGTATCATGATGTACTGCTGGGTGAGCGGATGAGTGTACAGGCCACAGCAGATCATGGCTGTGGCCATGGCCAGGTGGGCAGAAAGAGATGCAACGCCATTTCCAGCTTGTGGAAAGTACGATGTTGAGAGAGTGCCCAGGGTGAAGCAGGGTGACCGGTGCAGCACTCGAGTGATCAAAGAGGTTGTTAGGTTCGTGGTGCGCGAGGTGTGGTGCGAGGTGTGGTGCGTGGATGGTACCTGAGAGAGTGCGTGGAGAAAGGCTTTGGCGAGTTGAGGGCCGAAAGCGGCTCCAGAACTGGCCCGTTTTGGACGCCGGCTCGCCGGATGATCGAAAAATGAAGTATCAGCGAAATAATTAACATATACGGAGGATATAGTTATATATATATATATTTACATAATTCATTCCTGAAGAGCGCTCGCGCTCGAGCTCGATCCCAGCGGCTAAACTTTCCACGTCAGGGGTAAACCAGGATTATCCATCCAATCAACATCCTCAAATAGCAACGGCGAGTCACAAGAGTCGAAAAGAGGCGGCGAGTCTGTGGGTGATAGAGACTGCTGCGAAGAAGGCACTGAAGTCGGCCGCGTGGTCAGGGCGGGAGAGTCAAACAGCGGCGTGCCCAGCGAGAAGTCAACCGTATCGTTGACATACTCCGGAAAGCCAAGGTGGTGGTGGCTGCCCGACTGCGGGTTTGCAGAGAACATGGATCCATCAATCACAGTACTAGGGTCAAGATGGTGGTGATCTGTTGCAGATATGCAAAACCCACCGTTGCCAATGTAATCCATCTGCGGCCTCGCGCCTCCCGTCGTCGCGGCCAACATGAGGTCGAACTCGTTCCAATCAATTCCGACGGCGGCTGGGTCGTGGCCCGTTGATTGGTTCGACAGGTCTAGTCCTATCCCCTGCACGGCGGCTGGTACCGTCGTGGGGACTGGGATGGACGGTGGTGTTTGCGCCTGCGTTTGTGGCTGCAGCTGCGCTGAGGTGGTTGTCCCGATGGGCCCCACCGGAGGCCATCCGATGATGGTCCCGTCAGGCAATTTCTTCTGGAACGTCTTCCCTTCCAGCAAATCCCTTGCGTATTTTCCGGGTGTCACTCCAACGACCTTCTTGAACACCCGATGGAAATGGCTCGGGGTCAAACCCGCCTCCGAAGCCAGATCCTGCAGCGTCGGCCGTTGTTTCTCCCCACCTGCCAAGGCAGCCAGCGTCATCGTCTCACATGCCTTCTGCGCCAGACGGACGTGGGGATCCGTGGGCGCACGTAGATCCTCAGGCTTGCACCGCTTGCAGGGTCGATAACCCGCCTTCTCTGCCTGGGCGGGAGTGTCGTAGAATATGACATTCGCACGGCGCGCCAGGCGGGCAGGACATCGTGGACGACAGTATATCTTTGTGGTGCGCACACCGTACACGAAGCATGTAGCTGCAGCGTCTCGGTTGACGATTGCGCGCCATCGGGCCGAGGGTGTGGCGTATGCCATCTTGTTGTCAGCTGCCTGAGTAGTCATCTTTTTTCTTTTTCTTTTTCTTTTTCTTTTTTTTTTTTTTTTTGGTAGAAGGGAGGGATAGGAGAGCGGAAACTTTTCTGAAATCGAGGGAGAGATCGCGGAGCGGGATGTGGATCGTTCGGGAGGAGTGGCGGGTGAGGTGGCTAGGGGAGGAATGAGTATCTTTTGCTAACTCTATGCTCCCCAATTGGGTAGGTCTAGGTGGTCTATAGAGACGAGTATACAGGAGGAAGTACGTAGGAGGTCGGCTTATATCGTTGACAGATTTGTCTTCTTAAGTCCATCCGGAAGCAAGAAAGGTGTAAAAAAAAAAGAGGGAAAAAGGAACCGTGTCTTTTCTCCTTCGCTTTCTTGCTTGTGCTCACCACTCGTTTTGGGGGGGAGAAGCGCCAAAAAAGGATGTGTCTACTGCTTGATATTGGGATCTAGATAGGAAGGTAGAGAAAAAGAGTCCATGTGGACGTTCAAAGGAAGGTTTGTTTTGACCCTTCTGAGGATGTGCTTTTTTATATCACACAATAAAGGGGGAGGAGGAGAAGTAGGAGCAGTTCAAGTATAGGTATGTTGGAGGATGTGGGATTGGAGATAAAAGGGGTGGATAAGGATCCCAAGGCAAAAAAGAAAAGGTGCCAAAGAGAGATATATCTTCCAAGACTTCCGCGCGGATCGCTAGATCTTGAAGAGGATAAGGGTGGTCTGGGGGGAGGGGGGTGTGGATGAGAAAATGAGAAGCCACAGGTGGAAGATATAGGGCAGCCAGGCAAGATATATAGGGCGCCGAGCAGCCTCCCTTGCCGGCGGACAGCGCAGAGCCCGTCGTCGCGGCGAGATGATGAAATGGCCCGGCCTGCAGCGAGGCGGGTGCGTGATTGGCCAGTTTGGGAGCAAGACCGGGGCCGCGCAAAAGACGCTGTGTGCGGCAGGTGGCGGCTTAGTCATGTTCGCCTGCCGAGGACGCGCGCTAGAGCCCTTTGGGTCGAGGTCACATGTCTCGCCGAGACCAAAGCGGAATGGTCTCGACCGCGCCTTGGCACGGCTTGCGGTGGGTGTCCTGTGGCTGATGACCTTATGTCAGCGGTCTGGCTCTTCGTGATTGGCGGGGCCACGCCCACACCCACGCGAGACCGCCGTCTGCCCTTCCCGTAGCACGCAGCGCGTGTCTTCCGCTCTGACTTGGCGGCTTGGGAGGGAGGGGAGGAATCTCTTGGGAGGCTTGACCATGAGGTCACTTGGCGTTCCAGCCGCAGGAGGAGCATGTCTTGAAAGGGCAAGGATTTCCACGCTCCCGCTTGGCGAAGGGCGGAACCTTATTGTAGCCCTCCCCGCTTTGCCCGGCTCGTCAGCGCGCGGAGTTACATCGGATTATTTACGGGGGGCACGCTGGTTTCGTGTCCGCGGAAACGTCTCCTGCGAAGCAGAATTGGTGATGGCGCTCCGAGGTCTGGAACTCCCCACACTGCGGCTAAAGACACGACGTCATAAAACGGTCCTCCACCGGCCAGTCCGCTGCGCTCTACCCTCCTTGTGGTGGGATCACTCGCCCTTGTGTGCTTAGGCCCTCTTTGGGTAAGTTTAGCCCCATTCAATTGAGACACCTACACATCTTAGCCAAACAGCAAAGTCCACACACCGGAACAAAAGGTCGTGTCTCGTCATGGCTCCATACATCGTGCATTCCACAAGGCTGCCTAGAGTCACTGTAGATGATCCCCGTATTCTCAACGGCCCATCATCGGGGAACTAGACCGCGAGATATTTACTCCGGCGATTAGTGAAGGCCCTAAATTTCCGCAGAAGAGATGCGTAATTGCGAAATCATAATAAATTTCTACTGGTTCGGCCACATGATGGATTTGCTCATTTCCTGCACTATGGCAGCTACCCATCAAATACACATGTATGCCATTGGAAAAAAAGAAAAGCATTCCCGCGCATCCTATCATAATCGAACCGAATGAAATACGCCATCCAATTAAGTTTACTCCTTTGTCTTTTGAGTACCACGAAGCAAACCGGTTCTCCGGGCAGCAATGAGACCGGCCTTTTGACCTTGTGCAGCGTATCTGGAAATGGTGGAGGCTTTACCAATGTGTTGATGGTTACCACCACCGTGAGGCTATAGAGAAAAAATAGTCAAAATCCACCTGTTCTCCGTAAGGGGACGAAAAAAACTTACATGGTCGACAGGGTTCATGGCAACACCACGAGTCTTGGGCCAGGAGTTGCGCTTGACAGCGAACTTGTGCTTGGCTCGGGAAGCCTCTGTAGCATACGTTAGCGAAATTCCCAGGGAAAAAAAAAAAATTAAAAATTGCAATCGTGTTGTATTTGGCCACGTACTCAACAATGGCTTGTCTGTACGTCCACCACCGGCAACAATACCAACCATTCCTCGGGAACGGCTCTTCACGACCTTCTTAGCACCAGAGGGGAGCTTGATGCGAGTCTTGCCCTCCTCGGGGTTGTGGCCGATGACCGTGACGTAGTTTCCGGATGTTCGGCCAAGTGCACCTCTGTCTCCAACCTTCTCCTCGACGTTGGTGACAACGGTACCTTCGGGGACGGAGCCCAAAGGAAGGACGTTTCCGACAGTCAAAGCAGCGTTCTTTCCAGCGTAGATGAACTGGCCGGTGTACATGCCCTCGTTGGCAATAAACGTCTCGGTGATATCCTTGAACTTGTACGGGTGGCGGAAGGAAACTTGAGCGAGGGGAGCGCCTCGGCCAGGGTCGTGAATGATCTTCTTCACCACTCCGCGAATGTATCCGTGTCTCTCGGCATAGTCGAGGGTTCTGAACTGAGCTGGTGCCTTATTGAGACGGGTGTGGGCCGCTGTTTAAAGAGGTAAAGATAAGTCAATTAATCACCATCTTCAAATTCCCTTCCATCGACAAACTCGGACTCTTCTTGATGCAAAACAGGTTTATCACGTACTGAAGATGGATCCACGACCCTTTCTCTGATTGCGGATCACGCGACCCATGGCGTCTGACTGTATAGCAAATCAAGGTCAGCAAAGGCGATGTTACTTCGTGGAATGTCGAGTCGAAAGTGGCTTCATACCTCTTCGCAAAATTGTCGTCTGGTCGGTGAGGTTGCGAATTCACGCTCAAAATGCAAACCAAAATTGTGTGGTCGTTTGTGTAGGGTGTGTGGTCGCTAATCTAGCCGAGTTTGTACTAGCGCGGTTGCCACTCCTCAACTCCAGCTCCTCGACGCGAGCGATCACGATCAGCAACCCTCTGAGTCGCCGAATCTCCATTTCATGATTAGACCTCGCAGAGAAAAGCACCGTGGTCTGGGTCTTTGAACTGAAAGGTCCGGCATCGTTCGCGCTCTCCAAAAAGGAGACACAAGTTTCTCCTCGAATCTCTACATGCCATCCATGGCTTTTGCTAGGTTCTAGACGTGGAAGCCATGAAATCGTCAGGTCTATTTTTGCTGAAGATACCTATGATGCGCATTGTGTCTGGTTGCGGGCGGATTTTTGATGGTGCTTTGTACCCGGCATAGCATGGGATGCAAATGCTGCTGCCTTCATTAACCGCTATAGCCAACCCCGGTCTTGGAGACTCTTCCCATTTCATTATCGGTGTTGTTGCCCCAAAGCATCTGCATCGCAATTGTTTGGACGCATTTATTCTTCTTCATGCTAAATCGTAAGAAAGTCCTCTGTTGAACGCTATTTGATAATTTTGTTTCTTTTCGTCATTCACCCCGCCATTCACTCCTGGCGGAGTCGAAAGCTTAACCTGAAGGTTTACTTTCTTATGATGGATGAAATTGATTGTCTTGCTCGGCTGGCAAATTCAATATTGTCCTTCCTCAGAGATCGTTGCAAGTTGCAACTTTGCGTTTTACTTGCCACTGGTGGCTTATCCATGGTCTTCTTTGTTTTCCAGGGCATCGCCATTGAGACCCTTTTCCCTTTCATGTCAGCCCTGGCGAAGACCTTAAACGAAGATATTCGCAGATCCGCTTTGTCTCCGCTGAGGGTTCAACATAGGATACCCATTCTGGTCCGAGCCATTTTTCCCCGGCGGCGCTTAACAACATGGCAAATTATAAGTTTAAGTGGTCTCGGGACTTAGTCCGGACACACGTCGTCGATATTTCTCAGGACTACGGATGGTCAGATTCTAACGCATCACGAGAGAATGCCAGCTGTCGCTGTAGCAATCTCCATGCAGCAAAGATCAGTCCGGGGCTGTTGCAGATGCGATAACGGAATTCGAGCCGTGTCTTTGGTCCACGTCATTGGATTCTTTGCTGAGACCCTCTCGAAAATCGAAACTGCCAGCCTGATGGGTTTGTACGGATGATGTTCGGGGTGCAGAGTGAATTACTCGATTTAGATAGCTTTAGCTGATACTGTGGCTTTAATCGCAATTGATACGTCCTCCTGAATGGCCGCTTTAAAACGGGCAAAGCGCGCTCCACCCACGCTTGCTGTTGTAGCTTTCCCAGTCACTCTAGAATCTTGTGTCCTTGCCAGACTTAACCCAAACACCTCTCGCCAACCTCCAACTTTCAACTTCTCCACACCATCAACAACACCATGTCTCACTCAGACTCGGACACGTCTTCGTTGTCATCTGCTGTGTCAATAGAAGATGAGGCCGTGGCGGCTTCTATAAATCGCACGGTTGGCATCGAGAAATATTTCAAGCGCGAGAAACAAACCGAGTCGCCGCCCCCGAAACGTGCCCCGTCACCGCCACACGAATATGTGCTGGCTGACAATCCAAATATTGCAGTCAGTAATCTCCCGGACATATTTCCATTTTCCCGGCTTTGATATGTGTCTTCTTAAGACGCGTCGGTTGCGTGTTGAACGCGCTGCTAACGCCTGACATTTTTTTCTTCCCCAGTTCATCGTGATGTTCCGCGCGAGATTTAGCGATGTATTCCCCAAGTCGGTCCCCAATTACGGCCCACAAGATATTGAGAGAGGAGTTACGGATATTGTACCCGGTGATCACATTGAGAAGTTGTTATGTGCCTTAATTGGCCTGATCCTGAATCGGAAGAAAGATGTTGAGTGCGTTTACCTCCGGAACCAACGTTGACTCGAACAGCGCGGACTCGGCTCCAATTCCCCCAAGAATGCTGTTTCTACTCAATCTGAATTTGTGCGCTGACCCTTGCGATCCCTGCGTGTAGAAGAGGTCACTATCAACGTGCTCTCGAGGAAGCTGTGCAGACACATTATAGCCAGTGGCCCAAGGCATGGGAGGGCAAGAATCCGCTCCATGGCGGGCGCACATTCGCAACTATGTCGCCGGAAGAGCGCGTGAGCATCCTGTATTCGTGCTGTGGGAGTTAGTCGCTAAATTATTCTCTCCAGCTTTCGTTCCTTCGAACATTGATCCTATGGGCCCTTTCCTCCTCCGACGCCGTCCAAGCGAAGCTCAAGGAAAGCTATAAGCAAACAAGACAAGAGGGGGACCGTAATCAGCCGCTTTCTGTTCAGCCATGGGGAAGCGACAGCTACAAAAGGCGATATTGGCTTATCGAAGGCCGTGATGACACACATTTCAGACTTTATAGGGAGAGTAATCCTGCGCTTAAAACCAATACGTGGTGGAGCGTAGCGGGCAGCATTGACGAGTTAAAATCTGTTGCGGAATCCCTTGGAAGTGAGAAGTCTCGCGCTGCTAAAGAGCTTAGCGAAAGGATCCGCAACAGTATACCACGTTTTGAGGCGTCTGAAGAGGTATGTTCCTACTATGACGAGCATTGAGCCACATGGACGATTAACCGTATGATAGAAACGAAAACGTCGCGACTACCGTCTAGCACGAAAAGCAGCATTTGCCCGTCCTGAACCAGGATTTTCCCTTTACGAAGGCCGGACTCGTGGAAAGAGGATCAAGTATACATTTTCTGATGAAGAAGACTTTTCAGAAGGACTTACTTCAAGGAGATCCACGCGGCAACAAACCCGCGGGTCTACTCCAGCGGAGCCGCCCGGCCCAACCTTCACCGCCAGTGGCCGGCAAGTCAAGGCTCGAGTTGGGGGTATATATGGTGAAACAATAACAGCCCGACAACGAACAGATTCGGCTCAAACCGCTGGTCTTATCAACGGTAGACCGCAACGAAGCACAAGATCTAATGGATTAACACAAAGCTATCAGACCGAGAGTTATAATTCCGTGGATGCAATGGATGAAGATGATGAGCCGGAAACCGTCTCAAGTGGACAAGAATGGGAAGGAGGAGATGAAAACACCGTCGATGAAGACGAGGATATGAGCGATGTGGGGTCTCTGGATGAAGAGGATACAGTTCGACCGAGTCTAGTTGTCCAGCTGAGGTATGGTAAAGGAAATGAGGACCAGAAACCAGCGAATCCTGATCCAACGAATTTCGCCAGTGACAAGGCACCTGAAGTGAAATCACCCCATGTGGGCGCTATTATTTCACCAAATACTTCAGTTGTGCAACTTGGAAACCAGACTCCGTTGGCCCATCCCCTCCCTACTAAGGACATGGAGGGTGTAGCTACCAAAGTCCAATCACCACCAGCTCAAACCACCGTTATTCAGGGGAATGACATGCCGCCTGGTCAAAACGGTGTTCAGCAGCCACCAATCTGAGGGGACGAAAAGCTTGTCCTGATTACAGTGTTGATGCATGTTGAAGTTACTCATTAATTTGGAAAAGGGAGCCCATAGCATGTGATTATGGACCATTGATCTACAGGGGATTACATGGGTATATTATGGGTGTGGGTATATTGAAAGAATCTAATATCATATATCGAAGGATTAGGTTTCAATATTATCCTCCGTCTTATATGTACAGTACAGCAATATCAATGGAACGCTGAACAGTGCGCAATGCACCCAAGTTCATATGCTTTCCGATTAAAGATATCAAGCAGGCCGCTTCAGCATAGAGCGGAAAGAAGATCTATGTGGAATACTGGAAGGGAAGCGGATAAAGCGCCGTTCCGGACTCTGAACGCACTTCTTGAGCCAAAAAAGATTCGAATCCCGGCCGATTAGGCCAAGTAGCATGATTGCGTAGTTAACAACCCGCAATTGGTTTCTCTCAGCCACACTGCTGTACCCAGCCCTTGGGGATATTTGCCAGGCTATATGTATTGCATTTTTGCACCTCCTGTTACCGAGTAACCCATACCGTATCCTGGCGCGGCTAGTTTGTGGACGGACAGTGCCAGTGTCAGGCTGGGAGGACGCGCGTCCGCTTTTCACTGTGCTCCCATGCTCTCATTTATCAGACGGTGCGGTATAGCCATCATAAGGCGCTGTACGTGAAGGAGTAGAGCTCGATCCGGCTCAGAGCCTTGACATATCCCAGCCGTTCAACTTCCACCACCACCGCCGAATTGTGAATCCGACTGTCCTGCCACTGGATTGGGCTTCGCGGTGCCAGTATTTCCAGCCACAGAGGGCAAGCGTCCAAAGCGTGCCTTGCATCAGAGGCAACAGGACCTAAAGTAGTAACCCAAGTATTAGCAACATTAGATTTCAACAAGATGAAGACGGTTTTCAGGCCAGCATTTCCCTATAAGATAGATCTTATATGTGATCCGTACCTGGTCTCGAACGGTGATCCAAGCAATCCGGCCCCAACTCTCTGCTCCGCTGATGCTCGCGAGATAGCTCTGCTCAAATCGTAATTCTGGCAAGGGAGGCAGAGTTGCCCGATGGTGGTTGCTTTTCACCATCCGGCTAGGGTCGACAATCCCCGTTGACAGACTTTCCGCATCAGACGGGACGCGTTCCAGTGTGTTCTCATGGTGTCGTCGGTGGGAAGCAGAGAAGGGCGAGGTCGTCTCGTGGTGCGAGGACGGAGAGTGCTGGTTTATAGACGATGTCTGAAACGATTCAGCGACCTGCCGCATACGGTCGGACATTTTGCGTAAGTTTTCTTTGCGTCTACAGCAGGGTGGAAAGGATGAAAGGGCGTCGGAGTGCGAGGGCGGAGGAAGCTTGTTCGGAGTTGATCAGTCGACGTCGGCAGCTTGGCCGGATTTCGTTGCGCCCTGAACTTTCCCCCACCAAAATTCCCTTCTCTGTTTCTCTCCGTCCATCTCCCCGCAGAGTCAACAGAACAACAAATTGACAATCATTCCGGATAAAATGGCTGCCCCAGAAGGATATCCTCTTCTCTGCTTAGAGAATCCTCTCCTGGGTATAGTATACTGAATCCTCTGCCAACTATACAAGGGCTAACTCGTCATTTGCAGATATCCAGGGCGTGGGGTAATACCTAGTTCCGACATTTCGTTCAGTGGCCAATTGCTAATGCACCCTTAACGCAGAAATGAAGCGATGCTAGAGAAGTATGGCGTCAAGGCCAACGATGCCATTCTTGCCGAAGAGAAACATATGGGTCTCTACGAGGATCTCCTGCAAAATTGCGGTGCGAAACTGATTGCGGGAGGGGCTGCTCAAAATACTGCCCGTGGAGCTCAGGTACTATTTTCCCGGAAATTCTGTCAAGATTTATAGTTGGGCAGATCATCCCTTTGGATAAATGCTCACTGCTCGATTAGTACATGCTTCCCGATAATTCCGTTGTGTACATGGGCTGCGTTGGCAAGGACAAGTACGCAGACATTCTCAGAGATGCCGGAAGCAAGGCTGGCATCCGCACAGAATACAGAGTGGATGATGTTCAGCCAACCGGTCGCTGCGGTGTAATAATCACTGGCCACAACCGCTCTCTTGTGACTCACCTCGCTGCTGCCAATGAATACAAGCTAGATCATCTCAAACAACCTGAGATCTGGTCCCTAGTCGAGAAGGCTAAATACTTCTTCGTTGGTGGATTCCACTTGACTGTCTGTGTACCAGCTATAATGGCTCTGGCTGAAGAAGCAGCTGAGAAGAATAAGGTGTGTATGTTCGCTTCTTGGGTTATATTTCGAAGATTGCGCTGCAACACTCATGCTGGGCACTTCGATGGAGTTGCTAAGTCACTAAAATAAGTGCTAAAACTGGAGAAACTATCAGACTTTTATTCTCTCTCTTTCCGCACCATTCATTCCGGCTGTCTTTAAGGATCCCCTTGACCAAGTTTTCCCATACACTGATTACATCGTTGGAAATGAATCGGAAGCACTCGCCTTTTCCGAAGCCCACGGATGGGGCATCAGCGATCTTACTGAGATCGCCAAGAAGATGGCCAATCTTCCAAAGAAGAACTCTCAGCGCCCTAGAACCGTTATCATCACTCATGGCACGGAGCCAACTATCTCCGCTGTCTCTGACGGGAACGGCGGTGCTGAAGTAAAAACAACCGCCATCCGGAAGATCTCCCAGGATGAGATTTATGATACTAACGGCGCTGGGTGAGCTGATAGCAATTAATGTTTTCGATTTCAGCGAGAAAGATGCAGGCTAACTTTTCCAACAGGGATGCATTTGCTGGAGGATTCTGTGCTGGCGTGGTTCAAGGAAAGACCCTTGACGAATGTCTTGATATGGGCCACTGGCTGGCGAACCTTAGCATCAGAGAATTGGGTCCACAGTAAGTTTCCTCTCGAGCAGCATTCTTTCCTGAAGCCTGGGCTCACACGATAAACCTTTTTACTAGATTCCCCTTCCCGAAGAAGACTTACACATCATAAACCGAAGAGGCAACCTGTAGAAGATTTCAACCTCACCAGTGGCCCAAAGATCTCATTCGTATTTCCGTTCTGTCAACTCTCACGACTATCCTTCCTCTTTCCTGAGATCCGAAATTCAACGATTACATACATTACATTTTGATGGCCGCAGGCCGAATATTGATTCGAATGCCAGGCGGCGTAACATTGGAATTCATATAAACTTATGTCCCACATAACGCCGGCTCAATGGGGAGAATTGGACATACTCAAAGCGATGAACGTTTTCAACAACGCCAAAACTCTCGAGCTGATGAACGGACAAATGGATAGAGCAAAATAGATAGCCATAATGAATAAATTATTATTATTATTATTATATATATATAAAAAAGGCATTTAATGCGACCTTACGGAGTCTAAATATTATTAAGCCAATTTATAAAAATCACTTTGATAAAGTCCACGCTTAAGGGAACTTAGGAATTTCGCTGTTCTGAAATGACAGCAAAGTTGCAAGAGCAGCTCCAAGAAATAAAGCATCAATCCATTAGTTAAATCGTCAAACAGAACAACAATAGTACATGTCAAATAAATGTAGTATCAATCTAGATTCTAGGGATAAAATTGACGGTGCTCATGCCGCTAAGAATATTCGAAAAATTTTCGGTTGTCAGACGGAGTTCCCGACATACTCGGAGACCGGCAGCACCGAGGATGACAATGACAGGCTGGTGGACGACGGGTTATCAGCGCTAGGAATGCTGTTGTATATCTCCGGGGAATATCTCTATTTCCGCCCAGAATTCGACAGCTGTTAAATACAGCCGGCGCCAGTCAGTGAACAGCGATTCGCCTAGAATAAATGTGGTGACCTCTAGTTATCTAGGCCATAATCCCAGGAAAGCCATATAGCGCGGCTTCGGACGTAAGTCTCGTTACGTCAGATTCTGCCACAAGTGGGTAAGTGTTCAAACGGTGCTACCGGCATGACTATTCTAAACTTAACTCTTCACGTTCAACGACTATAAAGAGATAGGCTATGGCAGCGGAACCTGATCAAATCCACTTTTCACCCACCCTGTCCGCTTGGAGGTGTTTGGCCAATAATGCCCGCGGCTCTCGCGGACGAGGTTGCATAGCTTCCGGGAGGATGACCGGACGGGTTAAAGGGGGAAGAAAGTAGGCGTGGATCATTGGCATTAGGAACACCAATGCATGGAACGCGTTCAGTGAATGATCGGTGGACAGTCTGCCAATTCTGGTAGTTAATCATTGAACTCCCCGTTGGCGTAAAGCCATTGCTGTTCTGGCTCATTACGGGAGTAGAAGATCGATGCTGTGCCGAGATTACGGGATTGGATTGGAGAGGCGGGTAATTCAAGGGCGACATAGGGTTCACATCATATCCCGAAGACCGACGCAATCCACTATGAGTCGCCGTTGATGGCCTCGTTCTCGGGGAAACTTCCCCTGGTTGCGGCGTAAACGGCGTCTTCGTTATACTTGGGAGCGGGGGGCCTGGTGAATACGATGTTACAGCCTCAGGCGGCATTGTTGGACTGTAGGGGCTTCGCAGCACATTATCCCCAGGAAATGGATAATCCATTGACGCTCCATTGGTATCAATCGATAGACGTGGCCACGGTTGGAATGTTGCTGCTCCGTTCTTGGATGCACAGCTTTCTCCGGGATCGGCTTCAGAGTTTACAAGCGCATCAACCATCTTATCCATATCGTCAAATGGCGAAACAGATTCCATGGCCGACTCCTCATTTTCCACATGATTATCGCACTGTTTCGGGGTAGTCACTTCTTGTTCAGCGGTCTCCGAAGAAAAGTTAGTCGTAGTAGAAAACTGTGCAAAGCCCTCTTCTTCGTAAAGGAATATATTCTTGTCATAGCCGCTTGCTAGGCTGATCGGAATTTTCTATTGCTGGGTAAGTATTTCGAGATAAAAAGAAATAACGTCACGAAATCGGGAGAACGACATACTTTACGGACTACCAAGTCAAGACCATCAGTAACCAGTTCCCGCACACGAAATAGCATTTCCGCTTTCACACGGTCAACACTAGCGGGTCCTATTGACCTGGGTTTGATGTTTCCCTGTTCATCGACATAGCGTGGGGATTTGCCATCTTGCATCAATGGAGAAAATCCTAGCGTGTCGCGATCCTCCTGCAGGAGATAATCCAGGTAAGGTATATCTGGAACACTGAAGCTAGAGGTAAGCAATGTCAATGTGTTCGCATAGATCTTCCAGAACTCCTTGATTTGCACACCAACGGCCGAATCACGAGCTTTAGAAACGAGAATGAAACTGTTGACCACTAGCCAAGAGCTATAATTTCGTAGTGCTGGCAAGATTTGGCAAATAGGTTTGGAGAGCTTCTCCACTTCGGCTAGTAGAACCCGCAAGAGTGTGAAGAATGTCTTCACATTAAGCTGCAGGAAGAAAGTGGGTGCATTTCCGTTGGTATCTGGCTTAGTTCGCGCATGTGCTTCAGCAGCAATATTGACCAAGCAGAATTTTTGAAGGAGGTCACCGTCCAGAGAGCCCTCTATCAGTTGGATAGCCATTTGGTCAAGCACTTCATTCTCAATATCATCGCGTTCTGCGAAATCAACACCCTTATAACACATTGCATGAAGAAAGGTAAAAGAAGAAATCAATGACTCCTTCTCATCTTTTGACTGGGCCAACTTTCCATTTGACCGAGCATTCAGAATCTTTCTGAATTCGATTTCAAGATTTCCGGGCGCGGTTGGGTGAGACTCCGTCGCACATAGAGCACGATAAAGATAGTAAGTCGCTTGCAGATGGTCAGCTTCGGCACGAGCAATGATAGCGAGTTGATTGTGGAATATCCCCGAGGTGGGCTTGATGGAACCCGCTAGAGCGTAATAGTTAACCACGTGGTTCCACTCCCGTCTTTTGGGATCAGCAACCAATTCCGTTTGATAGTACCGGGAGAGATCTCCCAGTCTAATAAAAGTGGAATAACACGACTCAATTAGAGTATTCCGCAACTCCTGTGCGATGTTGGCCGGAGTTGGAACATCGACTGGCACGATCTGCAGCTCCGCTGCAGCTTCTGCAAGCTCCGGCGCCACCTTCGATCGCAGGAGGATGAACTTGAGATATTTTTCATAGAACTGCTGGGCACCACTGATGAACTTTAGATATTGATGCTTGAGTTTTCGTTCCTCAACCGGGCGTTTCTTCCGGGCCTGCTCGTCACGGAAATGAAGAAGAAGTTTCCGAAAGCGAGAATTGATTCTCATATGCGAATCCCATATCCGGCTTTCGACCTCGGGAGGAGCAGGGCCCGCTCCCGCCTCAAGGTTCCTACAGGTGGCATGGCAGGAATGCTGGAATCTAGATAGGAGCGTCAGCATATCATCGCAACTGATGAAAAGGAGGGAAAGCCGTTTGGGGGGCAAATTAAAAAAAATGAGTATACTCACTGTGCTAGAAAACGATTGACCTCCCGAAAGGTAGGTTCTCTTGCTGAAAGTTCCTCAAGAAGCTCCTTCTCGCCTTGAAGATCGATTCTTTCAAAGCACGGGACGAAAGTTCGCGGTTAGCTCAGACTCCTACATTCTCTTACAATTCGCACAGCATCGAGCAATCAACTCACATCTGTTCGCGCCCCTGAGACCCTGATGCCATGCTTCAAAGGTCCCGCGACGATTGTAGACTTGGGCGCGGCCAGTACTTCGTTGGAAAACAGGGGTAAACTGCGTGCTTTTCAACCGTTTGCGACGGGGATTGACGGGCTCGCGCTTGCCGGGGTGGTTATCCAAGCGATGACTGGAAGAGACAGGCGGGAGACTGGAATCCATGGAGCATTTCAATTATATAGTAATTATCACGGATTCAGTGACTCCCTAGGATCGCAGCGCGCGATGCCGTGGAGTTGTCACTTCGTTCTCATGGTGATGCCAATATGACTTCGGTTTGGCATGCCATCGGATCACGTGATAACTTATCGGCGGCTGCAAGTGCTCCGTGCAGGCCGCCCATCAGCATAAAACCGACGCGAAGACGAGGTGAAGAACAACGCGATACGCTGTACAGGATCAAGGTTCGAGCTCAGCTAACTGGCGAGCAAGATTTCAAAGCCCTTTCTAGCTCTTCTCTTTGTTCAACTGCTCAGTTTGGTGTTGTTTGCCTCAATCAAATTCTGGTTTTAGCTATTTCATCAATCGTCCTGTCGCATAGATAGCTCTTGTCTCTTCAAATCTTCTAGCTCGAAGGCCTTACCCACAACCACCACACCTCGAGCTCCAGTCATGTCCTTTTATGTCTCATCTGGCCAGCAGCGCACTCTCCGCGCATGCATGGTCTGCTCAATCGTTCAACTCCACAGTGTACGCCTCCCTCCTTTCCTCGTGCCATCAGGTTCCCTTCAGCGGACTAACATCCGTTTCCACCCCTCCAGAAATTCATGCGCGACGGCTGTCCCAACTGCGAACCCTTTCTGAACCTCCGCAACAACGCCGACAGCATTCAAGAATGCACATCACAAGTGTTCGAAGGTTTGATCGCCCTAGCAAACGAGCGGTTGTCGTGGGTTGCGCGATGGCAAAGGTTAGATGGCTACGTGAGCGGGACATATGCGGTCAAAGTTGTTGGAACGGTGTGTTGCTTCAACCATACATTTGACAAGAAGAGGGATTGGAAGTGCTGACGAGTGGATTGTGTAGCTACCGCCGGAAGTCCTTGCAACTCTTGAGGATGCTGGTGTCAAGTACTTCCCGTATGTATCGCCACATCACTTTCTTCCCGTTACACGAACCTTGCTAATATCAAAATAGGAGAGATGGAAGTGCTGTTGATGAGGAGGGTTAGCTGTTCTCTTTATTTTTTTTCGATTCGGATGCTTTAGCAGGAGTCGGCGTTTTGAAACGAATTTATCACGGACTCGTTTTAGATCATGTTTAACGCGCGTGAGCATTGGCGTCGGTTGACATATGGTCCAGATTTTCTTTTTCTTTTTACCAAAAGATATGAAATGCTTTATTTGTATCGTCATGGAGTTGTCTAAGTTGATCAGAGACTGGACGCCTCTTACAAACTCGGATTCACTGCAACGGCAATGGCGTCAAGAGCCAATAAAAATGCAGCATCATAAAATGGAAACAAATGAGAGTGGAAATAGTCACTCGTATATCAGTTCACTATTCGAGGGAAAAAAAGCCAAACCCGGAAAGCTGAGAGGAACATTAAAATGCACAATTTTACAAGTGAGATTGGTTACCAAAGCCATTTGCCATCAATAGCCTCTCAGCCTCTTGCTTTTGCCATGTCACCTTGGCGGTCGCGGACTGCTCGCGTTGCTTATTCTCCCGTCTACCCATCTGGCTCAAATGAACCTCATCGGGTCCGTCAGCGAGTCTCAATGTGCGGGTATGGGCCCACATGGCTGCCAAAGGTGTATCCTGGCACACACCCATACCACCATAGGCCTGGATTGCACGGTCAATGACATCCAGGGCAACCTTAGGAACGAGAACCTTAGCCTCAGCGATTTCCTTAAGGGCAGCCTTGGCGTTGGCATTGTCAATGGCAACAGCAGCATTGAGGACGACGAGACGGGCAGCGTCAATCTCCATGCGGGAGCGAGCGATCCACTCGAGGACGACACCGTGTGAAGAGAGCTTAGCACCGAATGGCTTCTTGTTCTCGTCGTTGGCACGAACAATCAACCATTCGAGAGCCCTTTCGGCGGAACCGATGGCACGCATAGCGTGGTGAATACGTCCTGGGCCGAGACGGCCTTGGATAATCTCGAAACCACGGCCTTCACCCAAAACCATGTTAGAAGCAGGGACACGGACGTTCTTGAAGGTGATTTGGCCGTGGCCGTGAGGAGCGTCGTCATATCCGTAAACGCTCAACATGCGGTGAACGGTGATTCCGGGGGTATTGGCCGGAACAAGGATGACAGATTGCTGCTTGTATGTGTCTGGGTTGTTGGGATCGGTCTTGCCCATGACAATGTAGATACTGCATCGGGGGTCTCCAGCACCGGAAGACCACCATTTCTATAAGAGGAGTAAAATATTAGCAGATTGCCTCTCAATGAAGGTTGAGACAACAAATATACCTGTCCATTGAGCACGTATTCATTACCCTCCCGTCTGATGTTAAGTTGGATGTTTGTGGCATCGCTTGAAGCAATCTCAGGCTCAGTCATGAGAAAAGCGGAACGAATCTTTCCATCCAATAGGGGTTCGAGCCATTGCTTCTTCTGGGCCTCATTTCCGTATTTAGCGAGCACCTCCATGTTGCCAGTATCCGGAGCAGCGTTGTTGGTGGCCTAATAGATTACATGGAGACTGTCAGCCACGGCATGTCAGGCAAGAAATGCAGGTCCAGCGCATAACATACCTCGCTGGCAACACGACTCTTTCCAAGGATCTCAGCCATCAATCCGTATTCAACATTGCTGAAGCCAGCACCTTCCTTGAAGTGGTTCTTTGGCAAGAACATGTTCCACAGGCCGAGTTTCTTCGCCTTGACCTTGAGCTCCTCAAGAATCGCAGGTGTCCGCTTCCATCTTTGCTCGCCCTGGCCGAGCTGTGCTTGGAAGAGAGCATCTGCGGGGATACATTCCTTTTCGACGAACTCCTCGACCTAAGGATAAGGGAAAATAGTTAGCTCCAATCTCGCCCTTTCATGTCCAGCTGGGCCTGGGTGACTCGCTTAGGAGGTCTTGGGATGGGTCAACTTACAAGATCGAGGGTCTTTCTAGCCCGTTCACTGACGAACGGAGCAACGATTGGCGGGATTCTGGTAGAGGCAGACATGGTGGACAGAGCTGGGGGAGATGTGAAATTTAGAAGAGCTGCCAAGTGTGGAGATATAGTGAACTCTTAACGCAGCCCAACGGAGTACTTTGAGGATAAACCACAGAAGATCAGCACAAAATCCAGATGGGATGCAATGTCTTTAAGTATTACGAGCTCCAAAGAGAGAATAAGGGTTCAAAAATCATACGACGGGAAAAGCAGAACCTAGAACCGCCCTCTCGAAGCGATGCTGATGGGTTTGCCGGCACTTGGACCTCGGCTGTTGGCGAGGCGGACGGTGCCAGCTCGGCGCATTACTCAGCCCAGAACCCGCCAGTAGACAGCAGCCTGGGGGACTGTGCTGGGCTTCATTGCTTCCCTCAGGCTGAGTTAAGTACAGGATCAAGATGGATAAATGAGGAGTTGAGCTGGCTCGCTATACTATTTGGCTCAAGATAGACTATCTAGATGACTGCACGGGGTTCCCGGCACGGGATCACCAACCGCACCGAGATATCAGCTATATCCTCGTCGGCTTGCGAGAGTAGGTCGGCACCGATTGCACTGTTACCCCAGGCCCAAGAGTTAATTAACCGCCGCCTGCACGGGGGTTTCCCTCACGGCTTCGGCCATCGTTCCTCACCAGACATGGAGAACCGGCAGAGGCCTTGGTAATTGGCTAGCTTCCCCGTTTACGCAAAGAAAGTAAAGCTTCACGCTACTCAGACCCGCTCCTGCGGGTGAGCTGAAGCTAATCCACATCGTCGAGGCCTGAACCGCACTACATCTCACCTTGCTAGGCGTCATAGATTCGACAAACTCCTTGTGCCATGCCCAACACCGTCGGAGAAGCCATCGCCAGGTCAGAGTGCGAATTGATACAGGTTCTAAAATGGAGTCGCCGGAACAAAGCTCTTCATCATGGGGGATGTAGACAAATTCTGTGTCATTAATAGGATTCTCGACAATTCTTAGCAATGTAACAGAACCTGGCAACACCATATCAACCCCCCACAACCAGCCATTAATATCCTGATGTCCCAAGTCCCGTTTTGTAGGTGCCCTATGCACCGCTCTGATTCCATCCTATGGGCCCTCCGCGCCGCTAAAAACGCCATACCTGGTCCATAAGGCACCGCCAGAAAAATTGGAAGGAAAAATACAAATAGTGAAAATAAAGTGGTGGTCGTGAAGCCTGTCATGATAACACAAGGAAATTCATAGCAAATGAGAACGGTAGCCTAGAGCATTTGTCGAGCTCGAAGCCAGAAATCCTTAAGCATCAGCGCCGTCATTTCCAGGTTTCTCTGAGCTCATCTTCTCGTAAGATTTCTTTGCAATGGCCTTTGCAAATAGGACTTGAGGCTTTGCGCTGCAGCCATCGTCAGTATCTTGTCTTAAGAGGTTGTTTTCATGGCCAACTAAAAGTAACGGAACATACTTTTTGAATTTCTTTCCTTTCAAATCGCATATCTTCTTGGTGCATGGACTCATAATATCATCGGATGGAGACACATAGTACTCTGGAGCCCTGTTCGAATCCTAAGTCAGCGTGTAACTCTACATACGGGCGAGATAATCCAAGATCGGAGTCATACTTCAGAGCCCCCCCTTCAAGTTTTTCTTTTAAAACTTGACGGTGATATTCCATGGATTTGGTAGCCGCGGCTTTAGTATCCGCTTCACAGTCACCGCTGACCTTGGTAGTATCTTTTGAAGGCGAAGGAAGAAAAGTGTTTGTTGAGCGGTCAGAAAGAGGAAAGGGTCTAGAAGGGCTGGTGGCGTTGGTTGTCATGATGGGAATCGAGGAGTGTATGGGTTTTTCGGTATTGTATGATGGGCCCGTGGAAATCGCACAGGTATTCGCGGAGAATGGTCTTATGATAGCTTCAGCGGCTGATAAGTGTTAGCGATGAGCTTGCCTTTATACGGGCCAAAAACAGACAACGGAAGATTGTTGGTGTAAACAAACCACTTCTGAGCAATGGTGCGTTCTATCCAGGATCCCAATTCCAATTTAAGTTGTGGATGCAGACAGAGAAGTTATGCGCTTGAGCTCGGAAATCAAGAAATTTTGCGTTGAATATCCATGTTGACAAGGTGATAGTTGCCGTGGCAACGTAACTACCCTGATCCTGGCAGCGGAGACCCAGGGCAGTTAGCGCGACTTTCTTTTCCGGCATACGTCGATGACAACCCTGCTTTTCGGTAGACTCTGCGAGAAATATCACACGTCTCGGCGGTGCTTGTCAGTTTCTCTCAAGAGATGTGGACAGTGGTGGTCCCTCTGGCCATGGTCCCTAGTATGGAGTACTCTGAGAGACTCTGAGATCGCGGCTTGCATTGGAGAATTTCTCTATACTGGACCACATTCCGGCGGCATTCCCAGTACTCGGTACGGGCGGGCACTCTCTCTGTCCAAGGTGTGTCCCGTCGACTAATAGTATGCCAGCTCCTCACCTCGTGAACCAGGAATGTTTCAAAGCCGTCTCTGCCGTGATCCTCTTGGGCGGATCAAAATGCATCAGGGCACAAACAAGATCTCTAAAGTCTTTATCGATATCCTGGCACATAGAGAATGGTTTCCGCGGGTTTCTCTCATTGAATCCTTCCCAAAGGGTTTTGAAAGCATTGCACCACGGGTTTTCGTCTCCCAAGTACGCCAGAAAACCATTCAAGCTTTCCGCGTTCGCGAAATATGACAATTGGCGCTCGAGAATGACTGATAGAGGCTCAACACCTTCCGGAAGCTGGCTCTCGTCCATGGAGAAGATGGCTTCCTTAAGCATGGCGTAAATGCACTGACAAAAATTTAGCATATTTTGAAACATATTATGAACATGATCTCGGCTTACCACGACGCCAAATGAAAATATATCAGACGCCTTGTTAATCGGGCCGCGCGCATGCGCTTCAGGGCTCCTCCACATATAATTACCTAGTTGTTTGCCTATTATGGAGCGACCAGGGTGTAGGTGCACAGCATCTTCAACGTCAGAAAGCTGCACCTGATCTACGACTATCTTCCTCGGGTCTTCTTTCTCAATCCTCCAGTTGATTAGAATGTTGTTTGCTTTAATATCTGTGGCGTGTGAGCCTTTCCTCTGTCCTATTGGGATCAACGAGTATACCTGTGTGAACAATGTCCCGTTCATGTAAGGCCGCAATCCCACGCAATGCATCTCTCAAAATACGTTTCGTGATATCAAGGGGCAAATTAGTTTGTGGTGCCATTCTTAGTAGATGGTCCGTGAAATATTTATATACGAACAATGACTCTTCTGGGATCGTATCGCTCAATGTCCGAAGATACGGGCTCCCCAAATCCTTGTGCATATTCCGGTAGTAGTGAAAGTCATTCTGGAAGACTTCTTTCAAAACGAACTGCTGCTCATCGGAGCTAATGAGAGATATTAGCACCCTTTCTGTGCCTGATCTTTTGTGCATGTACGGAGCACAGAGCTAAAGGACCATATTGGCTTAACATACACAGCAAGATACACCCGCAGCCTGGTAAGCTCCTTTTCCTGCAAGACCTTCTTGATTAAATAATGCCGGCCTGATTGACCCCGTAACTCTATATGTTTAGGAGCTTGTTTATGTAGTCCGTTCCGCAGAACATTTGTTGAAACATGGCTCTCCCTGGTCTTGTTTCTGCCGAACAAGGGGAGCGTAGCAACAGGAAAAGGAGAACCCAGGCGATGGGCCGCAAGAATCCTCCGCCATTTTAAGCGGTACGCAAGCATAGTGATCATTAAATAGGGACATCATCCCAAAAGGTATTGGGGACGTTAGTCCGCAGGCTACGGAAAAAAGGACTGAATTATGCAGCGCCGTCTAGAGAGCTTGAATGGAGTGTGAGCCGATGATGTCACCAAATGGGCTATCATTCCAGGTAAACAGAAGCAACAAAGCATTGCCACTTTCTCAAACGCAAGACTCGGGTGTGTACCCTGTCTCGTTAAATGTAAACGAATTCCTTAGAGCAACGTCTATTTATCAAGCCCGTTAAGCCATGATAGGCCTACGAGCACTAGGCCTCGGAAGGAGAGTGCCGTGGCGGGTGGAACTCCCTACATACAGTGCAGTAGGCTACGGAGGCATAGGTCCTGAAGCACGAATCTAGATCATTGTGTATTGCTATTATGTAGAAAGGAAGGTAGAGAATGATCACACCTCATGCAGGGCGTCGCTCATGCAAATATGTACAGTAGAAACACGATAACGGGGATAATATTACAAGACATCGTCTCACCCGATAATATGCCTAGATATGTCACTGTAGGCCACATAAATAGCACGCGTAGATTATTAGTGCCTATGTGTTACCCGAGATAAGGCGGAGCGTGGCCACTCTTTTGCAGCGTCACGATTCCGATGTTCGAGCGCCTTGCTGGCACCCAAAGGAGTATTAGAAGGCGGAAGATAGTTACCCACGCAGGGAAATGCTTCTTCCGCAGGGTAATATCGCTTAGGCCTTCGGCTATGGTATGTTGTCACCGTCTGCGATTGTGGCAGAAACCCGCCAATGCAGCGTGATAAGACTAAATCGCCGTGATGGTCGGGGGTTTTGGCCCCTCGATCAGATCAACGATAAACATTTTTAAGACGGGGCTTGGGGAAGCTTGAATTCAGCACTATCCCCTTCATCATGCCCACACAAATCCGCCGGACTGCTTCTCTGTCGCTTTATACCTGCAGGATTTTCTTCCGGCACAAGATTACTGGCCGTTGACCGAGAATACTCCAAATGCACATCATGCAATCCCTTTTCCTCTTCTTCCGACGGACTCAATGTATCTGACGACGGAGGAGGGGAATATGGAAATGTATGATTGCATATCTCACAATCCGTCTGGCCGTCAGACGGGTTGCGTCGATGCAGGCTGCCTTCTTGATACGGTGGGCTCTGCATGGGTGAATTTGGGCTCGGAGAAGGCGTTTCATACGGGGGTGATGCTGATCGGAAGCTATGGGATCGAGATACCATGCTCTGCATTTTAGGGAACTCGAGATATGATCCCACGGCACTCCGTGAGAATAGCACCAATCCAAAGGAAAGGAGGACAAATACGCTTTGGATTATAGAAACCCGCTTTTGGAAAACGACCTCGTCTGCAAGGATGGCGAGCTGCGACGTAACAGCAAAAAGTTCGTGGTGGTATTGCTGTCGCTGCTGTTCAAACTCGATAACAACAGAGTGCCAAATATGGTCATACTGCTGCCTGAATTCTCTTAATTCGTGGAGTACAGTGGAGTTTAAATTCTCGAGAAAACTAGAAGTTTTGGCCAATTGGCGCTTCTCAACCTTGTTGAATGCATCCCGAAGGATCCGCGACTGCTCCTCAATATACAAAAGTGATAGAGTTGAGTTTGTCTCGAGCATCTGCAGCCGCTTGTGAACAGACTTGAAGAAAGATTCCTGGGTTGCGGGATTCGGTGGAGGTGGCTGAGATACCACCGGTGTTCTCTGGTTGTCTGCAGTCGTTTCGTTTTCCGACCTCGAGGAGCCGGATGTAGAGACCATCCGTGACCCAGGAGTCGCTCTCTGATGGTCGCTTCCACCTACCATAGTAGGTGGCGTGTCCGAGACCGAGGTATCTTCCAAGCTGGTTGACCCTGTTGCATTACTTGCCCAGGTTTCGCTCTCTGCAGATTCGTGAGCCTCGGATTGATAATCAGGATCTAAAGCCATATCATAGATCGAACTCATATTGTCCGAACTCATCCCCAGTAGAAGTCTCTCGATTTCGTTTATCTGAGGGAAACAGGAAGCGCCAAGGGCCTCCTCATCCGGTAGGGTTCCAGAACCCGTCTGGGTAATAGAGATGTTCACATTTTGATCTCTAATCTCGCTTTGTGTTTGATTAGAATTTTTCATGGTAGGAACCGAGCCAGGGTTCTGTTGGGCCTGCACAACCGCTTCAACTGCTTCCTCCTCTGCCCTGGCGGAGTCTCCATAATTTTTGTACTCTTCCATCATCGTTGTGCCATGCACTCTAACAAGACTCAACGGGCAATAGAATTCATTCCCATAATGAGAAAAGAACTCGATTTTCAAATATCTTGCCCATATAAGCGGATTCTCAACGGCAAACGCCTGGATTTCCCGGGTATTTGCCGCCTCGTACGTTCCCAATTCCTTCCACTTATCGGGCTTTGCAGGGTAACGATCCGCTACGCTCACCCTGAACGTGCGGAATATGGAGCTAAAGAACTCATAGTTGGCGAGCACGACAGTATCCACAAGAATATCATCACAGAGTTCTAGGATAATAAACTTGTCCTTGGCTCGACACTCGTTAAGCATGTAGCTGTCTTTATTTTCAATTAGGATGGACGAAGACCCGGTACATTCTCGATTAGTCTTCAGCACAGTAGCTGCACAATCGAAGGAGGCATAATTAAATCGCTCTTTGCAAGTAACTCCGGCATCTTTCCGGCGAGCAATTCCCCGACGAGGAACCCCGTCCGACTGGCTCTCACCTTCAGTGCCTTTGGTGACGTGCTTTTCACCATTAACAGACGAGGAGGTGGACTTGGCATCCTTCGTCTCCACTGGCGGGATATCTGAATCACCTGGGCCAAACCCACCAAATCCCAATTCAATCTCTCCCTCTTCTCCGAGAGAATCCAACGCATTGCTGATCTCGCCCGGCCGAGACCGTTTTCGCATCTCCGTCGATCCAACAGCCTGTCTGTTCCCGCGCACGTTATCCACCGACTGGCCAATCTTAGCCAGATTCTTCTTCTTCCATTCTTCGAATGATAAAAACTTCTCATTATCCAACGGACTCTCGGTGTCCAACTCCGACTCCACCTTAGGCGTACTTACCGTCTCCGCTGAAGAAGCCGTTGGCGCCTCTGACGTTCGTTCCGTAGCCACGCTCGCACTTTCAGTCATCCCATCCGGGGCAGAACTACTAGCCCGCCTCGAGCCCAAGCACACCGGATACCGCACGTATTCTGCCTGAACGTCCACAAAGTCTCTCACAGGGCAACTCGCAGCGTATCCGTGGTCCATCGACCAAACGTCCCCCCCAGGCTGCGGCTGATGCCGCCGTCCTTGAAAATCTCCATTTTCCGCAACGAGCAGGGGAAGAAGGAATAGTAAGATCAGAACATTCAGCACGCTAAAATCGATATCGAAACAGACAAACGACCAGCGCCCGCGCATCTCGAGGCGTATCGTCTGGGAAAATGGGTGGTCTATAGCGCGACGATCATAGAGTGACGAAAGGGGAGGAAGGAATGTGAGAGTGAGAGATCAAACTCGCGGAGGACGACGTCACTCGGTCCTGTAGAGTAGCCATAGCGATCAGAATCTGTACTTGTCATATGTTGAGGGGGGGAGCCGGCATCCCGGTCATCGGGGCACGCATCCAAGAAGACTCACATTTCAATCATAATCATTAAAGGAAAAAAAGGAGAGAAAAATCATCAATAAAATGGGGTTTACCAACCCAGTTCCAGGCACTCAGCACTTCCTTCACGGAGAGAGAGAAAAAAAGAAAAGAAAGAAGAAAAAGAAAAATGGTCCTCCGCCAAAAACTCCGCTCAAGCCCTTTCACGTTGAGCCGGTGTGGCGCTTCATTTGCCAAAACTGCGTTAATCGAAATTCTCGCTTCCACGCTTTTCACAAGGCCATATATAGAAAAGCCTAACAGCGCGCGCAAATCATGGGACGGCTCAAGTCCAGAAGTCAAGTCTGAGAGAGCCGAAAAGAACAGCGTCGGAGATATCAAACGGCGACCGTTATGCCGATGCGAAGAGGCTGGGAACAGCGTCTCCACACAGAAACAAGGCAAAGGAGATAAAGAGGCCTACGGGAGTACAAAGTACAGAGCTTGGAGAATAGGGAGAATAAAAGAATATTTTACAAAAGCACGATCAAGTAATAGTAATCAATGGTTATCAACTAACTAGCAGAGATATAATGAATTCAGATGCAAACGGTTTGTTCTGCTCTCTCCTGCGTTCGTGGAAACGGTTGGGGGTCAGCCCGCAAAAAGAAAGCCATGAGGGAAGACGGGTTAGAAGAAAAAAAGAAAAAAAAGCAAAAAAAAAAAAAAAAATCAAGGGCCGCCGAAAAGGACAAAAAGACCAAGCTGTCCAGATCCCTAAATTTGGAAGACTCACCCGCGGAATTATTAAAGCTTCGCCCAACCTTTTCGCAGGGTCTCGCATTGGATCGAGACACGAGAGCTATTGGCTGGGATAATATTAACAACCGTTGCGGACTTACAACGCTTCCGGATCGCACGGCCGCAGACTGAGACTGGGGGACATGAAACGAGTGTCACTGCAAGGTAGTGCCTTTGCTCCTTACGAACTGCCGTGATGCGAAATGGGCCAGAAAAACGAAAAAAGAAAATAAAAAAAAAAAAAAAGGCCGAGTAGAATAATGCCTTATATTCTTTTTTCCTACTCCTTTCCCTTTCTCTTGCTTCAGATCTAACTCTCACAATGTTACTAAAGTACATGAGCAGCCTCTCAAAACGATAGTCCCCAAGGCTGCTTGATCCCAGAGTACACATTTTTTTTCCCTTTTCTTTTCCTTTTTTTTTTTTCCCAACGTTTAGATCTGAAAGCGCTACCGTGTAGCGAGTGAACAAACAACAAAAGAGGGCGAGGAACGAATGCCAGAACACAAAAACACCTTCACCCAGAGCTCCGTCCTAGTGTTTCTCTCCTTCCACCTTTCTCAGCGGTGATAAAGGTGGCTGCCATATGAGGGCTGCAAAAGCCTTCGCTGGCACAAGCTTCTTTTCCAGACTCCCTTTTCCCCGGGCTGCATATCCGCCTCTTAGCATCAACAAAAAAGGGGAGATGAATTCCTCCACGACTCGAAGACTGTGCAATGCCTGCTGGTGTTATGATAATAATAATAATAATCATAGGAAAACAAAGGTATATAACTTCAAACACGCTGTGCGATGAAAAAGGAATTGAAAATAAAAAAGGAAAACGCCACCACAAGGTACCCAATTGTCAAATCTCCGTTGATGCCTCCCAACTTCGCCGTGCCGTGCCGTCCCGTGTATCTTGATAATGACAGCCACATATAGTACAAACAAAACTTCAATGTAGACGACACCACACCCGCAGTTTTCTCCAGTCTAGAACAAACAGTGGGTTTTTGTATTTTTGTTTTCTCAAAAGAAATCCACATGGTCAGCGGTGCACCAAGCTTGGGCGGGGGGTTATGCGGTAGAGATATATGAGGAGAGAATGCTTCCAAAGTTGGTTATGATATAGAACAAAAAGAAAGGAGGAAAAGAAAAAGAAACCAGGCTGCAGCAGTCGATGTGTCAGGAGAGGAATCGGAAAAAGGTCGATTGACGACGAAAAGAAACAAGGAGAGACCAGGAATCGGAAAACTTATATATGAAGATCCTGCCATCCACCAATAAAATCAAATTCATCATCGGGATAGCTATCATGAAGTGAAAATGGGCAGGAGTCCTTTTTCGGCTTGATCGTCTGGAAGGGGTCGTGGCGCCAGTCTTTGCTCAGCAAATGCGACTGTGGATGCTGGTTTTGACGGATTCGGTTGTGTTTCGGGCTGCTTCCCTTGCGAATCCAAGGCTCATTCTCGGATCCGAACGAGTTGCGTCCCGCATCCTTGCGCCAGTTGCGGTTGACAATCTGCTTCGCCTTCCACTGGAGAGGTTGCTGCTCTTTCGGGTGGTAGTTGCGTCTCTTCTGGCCCAAGGCTGCCCACTTGTCCATGATCGTTTGCTTTGGAGCGTACTTAGAAGGAGTGAAACTGCCAGGGCAAGGAGAATCGTTGCCACGGAAATTTTCGGCCTTCCTGGGGATTGGAACGCTCTTGGCTTGACCGTTCGGGATCATCGAACGCGAGTTGAGAGCGGAAGAAGTAGGGTCGATCTCTGTCAACCCAGATTTTCCAAGCTCATCTTCCTTGCTCTCCTGACTCCAAGTACGCGCATTGTGAGCCTGACGGTTGTGAAGTTCAAGGGCCTCATTCTCCATTTGATCTTCATCCCAGAGATCACTCCAACTCTTGGATACTTGCTCGTCATTACCCTTACCAAACACGATGGACATGGAAGGAATGGGAACACCAACAGGTTCCGGCAAAGAGCCACTGATAGGAGCTTTGTCGAACTGTCTATAGCGATCCTTGGGCAATGCCATAGATTTGAATGATGGTCCAAAGTTCGAATCAAAGGTGGATACCATAGACGCCGAGCCGTGATTGCCCGTGTACCATGACATGCCTTCGCCTGCCGATGTTGCAAAAAGGTCTTCCGTGTAGACTTCAGAGTCGGGAATTGCGGACAACTGACGAACAGCTTGTTGGGGAGTGGACTGAAGAGCTTTTGCCCATGGAAAAGAATCGCCTTGGTTGATCTGAGGACTCTGGATTGATGGCGTGCGAAGGGGTTCACGATAGCCGCTTGCGGGGACAACATTCCGGTCTTCGGTGCAATAGTCGTCCAGAGTCTCGTCGTCGATTGTGAAGGAGACAGCACGAACAATGGCCTCGCGCATCGCAGAAAGAGATCGCTTTTTCGGATCAATGGCCAAAGAATGAGTCAAAATCTCAAAAGTATCCTGAGACATATTGGGGAAGACATCAAAGAGCGACTGGCGATCACGAGCATAGTCGGCGAAGAGAACGTCGGACTCAGTTGGCGTAACAAAAGGGTTCCTCGAGAACAAAATGTTCAAAAGGCAAATTCCGATGGCCCAAATGTCGGCCTGACCAGGGGAATACCCGGCTGCAGTTGGCTCGTATTGTTCAGGAGCCATATACCGATCACTTCCCACGCACGCCTCAAAAGACCAATTGGCACGCGTCGCAAGTCCAAAGTCACCCAGCTTCATTGAGCCATCCTGGCACAGGAAGATATTCTCGGGCTTAATATCACGGTGATACAATCCCTTGGAATGCATGTACTCCACAGCGCCAATGAGTTGTAGCATAAAGTCACGGACATGTTCGGTTTCCAAGGGACCACGATCAACCCTGATAGCTTCGTACAAATCACCCATCGAACAGTACTCAAGTACCAAGAAAATATGTGACCTGGTTTCAAAGGAGTGGGTCATATTGACAATGTTCGGGTGGAAGCCGAGACGAGCATGGCACTCCATCTCCTCGGAACGTTCGTCGACGGTCAGATCGGAAGAATCTGATGAAGCCTGTTTGGTCAAGCATTTGATAGCAACTTGTTCTCCGGTCAAGGTGTCCTTGGCGAGGAAGACCATTCCAAAGGAACCATGGTTGAGCGGGGTGACCGTGAGGAATCGACCATCCAACAACTGTCCTTGAACAAACTTGTCCCGCAAGCAATCCATATTCGGCAAAGTGTAAGGGCGATCAAGGAGCGAGTCAGTTCCAACAAAGAAAAGAAAATCGAGGAGAGAGATTAAAGGACGTGTGACCTCCGCCGCTGGCCGAGTACTGTGTGTGTTCTTGGTGCGTATGAGAGACAGAGAGAGGAAAAAGCAACCCCAAACCCAAAGCTAAACGCGAAAAGCACAAAAAGAGAAAAGGAAAAAAAACACCGTATTGTCGATTTAGATGCTCATAGAATGCAAGTTTCGAAAACCGTTCGGAATATGTCAGAAGGAATACAAAAGAAATACCGCCGTCCGGACCGTGTGGTGAGAGGGAGGAACGACACCCTCGGAAATCAACCGAAGAAAAAGGACGGAATTAATGATCGTTATAATTGCATTTGGACTTTGTAAAAGAAAAGGAGCCTCGATTGGCCAAAGTATGAGTTAAAAGAGGAGAGAGACAATATATATATATATATATATAAACAAGAAGGACCAGAAGGTTGGATGAGATCGAGCAAAACAGGAAAAGGATATCGCTTCGTTACAGGTCGTGAAGTCCACAAGGTGGATGGGCGCTCTGGTGATGTTGACGGGGTTCAGAGCTGTTAGAGATAGCAGGCCTTCTTGGACGGCGGGACTGGTGAAATAGGAGGGCGGAAGAGAGGTGGACCTCCGAAATTTCAGGAGAGCTTTGGAGGATGAGTCACGACTTCCAAGTGGCAAAGGCCATCAAATGCCCTTTTCGTCGGGGCAACAAAACGAAGCGTCAACGTGTCAAATCAACAGCTATCGTAAGATTGTTTCTTTTGGCAGGTCTGGAGCTAGCTTGGCGGGACGTGCCGATGTAGTGGAAAGGGAAGGGCTGGCCTTTTATGAAACTGGTTCGAGCAGTGGAGCAATGACTGTCCGCCAACTGTCCAGATCCACTTATCCGCTCAATCGCTGGGGAAAGGCGGCAGTGGTTGAACAAGATGACGAGACAGGAGCAATGGCTCGCAGACGAGGGCTCCGGGGGGATTGAGACAGGTGGTGGAAAGGGGTTGTGATGGTGATCGAGACCGTTTCGTTATTAGGACGAGGTCCCAGGAGAGCTAAGCGGCTCGGTTGATCGATCGAGGGAAGAGGAGAGGATAAACGCGTTGGAGAGGAGAAGAAAGGAGCTTGCGAGCGAACAGATCAGAGCTGTAGAATTGACGGCTTTCTAGTCTTTCTACCAACACACTGTCATCCTGGGATTTAGGAGGCGGGTGGCGGGAGGATTGGGACCGTGAACGGGGAGAGCAGACGAAGAGAAGTGACAAGAAAAAAGGGGGGGAGGAAGAAGAGAAGACGGGAGAATGAGAGAGAGGATGGGACGGCGAAAGAAGCTGGATTACGTGAACGGAAGGATGTGGGAAGGCGTGGAGGACAAGGGGAGACGAAGAGAGGAGGAAAGAAGTAGAGGTAGCGAAGAAGGAGAAAGAAGGACGGCAGATGGGGCGTGCAGCGACTAGTAGCGAGGTGAGGAGAGGGAGAGTGAGTGGTTGAGGTGAGGTTGTGAAGGGGGGGCGAAAAGCAGGACGATGATGGATGACTGTTTTGGTTGCTGGTACGGCGTAAAGCCTGCTACTGTAGTGCACGCTTGATGGGCGGTGTGCAGAAAACCCCCCCGTGGTCGAATGGGAGGCGGGAGTGACGGGCCCAGGAATACCTGACGGATACCCGGCCTGCCCTATGAAAGACGAACACCAGGCGCGTCATTTTGGGCACCGCAGCAGTACCCCAAAGGTACCGCTTGCTGGTGACGTCTACTCAAAGGAAGGCGCTAGAAGGACGGAGAAGTGCGTGGATCTACTTGTTTCCACGCCCCGCACTTGGCCGAGAACGGCAAGGTCAACGTGGCAGGACAGCACGTAATACCGCTAGCTGCGGGCGAATATGCCGCTCTAACCTTGCTGAGGCGTATCAATACGGTCACTTACCGCATACCACTTACGTGTCCCCAAGGAAACTGAGCCTGGTCGGGTCATGCAGGATTTCTCGAAACGCAGCCTGGTTGACATGGCCAACAACCACCCTTTTCGCTCCCTGCATCTGACCTTGTCCATGAACGCTCCAGAGGTATCTTCAATTTAATTTTTTTTTTTTTTTTTTTTGAATTCCGTTAACCTTCCTTTTTCCCTTTCTCTCCCAGAACCAAAAAAAAAGGGCACCGCCATCGTCATGGAAAAAGGCATCCCATGATCATTGATCGTCTTTGATTTTCCCAAGGTTCATTCTTGCCGCGACCCCGCATTTTCACAACAATCAATATTATCTGCACCTCTGTTTCGGCCAAGTTGGCTTGAGCAGGTGATTGGATTCGAAACTCTGAGCAGGATCACCAGCAAAAAGCTTCCCACCTCGAAAAGTGCCGGTACCGGTAATACGGAGATACAGCTGTTTCGGGACATACCACGGAGGTCAAAACTCGGGTCGGGGGTGCCAGGTGATCCCTGCTGGTGACTCGCTATTCGACCGACGTTTTGAAACCCGTCGCCCAGCTCAGTCTCTAATTCGTGCATGGCCGTCAATTCGGCTTGGCGGGGTTCTACGCACGCTGGCTGCAGTTTAAGCTCCTTGGGGGAACCAGGAGAGGAACCGTCGCCGGCGCTGTGACCATTCGCAGCCATTGAAGCCAGGGTAAAGAAAAGCCATGAAAATAATAATTTTACTCCGTCGTAATAATAATAATAATATACCCCACGGAGAACGGAGTAAACATACATATGTACATACATCCACCCATCCAATCCATCCATGATACACGGTACGGAGTACTTGAAACGGATTTGTCGTGCGAGCTGATGGCTGGAGGCGCATGACGAGCGGCGGCAAGCTGGGCGGGAGAATGGCCTGGAAACTTCATCGAGACGAAAAACGCCAAAACCGGACTTTGTGGCATGCCCGGCTTTTTCCTACACCCGCGCTAACCGGAGCCGGTCTAGCTCGCTGAGTCAGCGCACCGGTGACCACGCCGCCACATGCGCAGCCTCATTCGTCACTCTGCGATGGAGTTGCTTTCTCCGCAAAATCAGGTGGTACCTGGCGCTATCGCCCATTTAGAGTGCGTCTCTCAGGTACCACATGATGTAATGGAGCTCGCTGTCCGACCTGACAGGCGATCGACCGTCTAGGCAGATGGGCCGCGTCGTTCGTTGAGAAGAAGGGAGGGGGGAGTTTTTTTTTGAAGCCTCAGGCAATCAGGTTTGACAGTTGCAACGGCGAGGTTCCCATCCACAACGACCACCACCGATCAACCCAAGAAATCTTGAAACCCATCTCGAGCCAGCCAACTCCGCGCTGCTGATGCCTGCCAGGAAATCCAGAGAAGAGTCGTCTCGATCGCAGTCTCTGGGACTGTGATGCAGCTATCATTCGTTGGCAGCCCTCCTCCCGGTCGTTTAAGCGCTCACATCCAATCCTTCGGGGGCACGCTGATACTTCCGCAGTCTCAGAATTCAATCAATCGTTCCCAAGTCCCAGTCTTTTTCTTGGAGAGCAGACCGGGCCGGACCGTCCATTTTCCAACTTTCTGGCCACGAGCTGAGCGCCCTCTGTACCGAGAACAGTACTCTTCTGAATCAACCCTCTCAGCGTAACCGTCCGGGTACTCTTCCATTGATTTTGACCCGCGGTAACTCTTCTGTAAAAAGGAAAAATAGAGGGTCATGCCCTCGATTGTGGGAAAAAGTATCATTTCCCCTCATTCACTTGTCCAAAATTGATGGCGCAGGGGGCTTGGATTCCCCGAAATTTCCCTCCTTTTTGTCCAATAAAAAACACCTGTCCCCCAATTTCAGTTGCATCGGTGCGCACCATGGCGTGCTGTGCGTGTTTGTACGTCGTAGTTAATATGCACACCTCTGCATGTCTATGCGGGAATTGTTAGCGCATGGTAGGATCTCATTGCTTCGACTCCCTTTTTCCAACCTCACCGCCATCTGGACGTATGCAAGACATTTCAGCCCGGTCTCCGAATGCGCTGCTCGTGTCCTCACCCTCCTTTCGGCGCCTGTAGCTCACTTTTCAGGATCTCTCTGGCATAATGATCACTCCTTGCTCTCCTCCGCGCAGCGAAGCCAATAATCGTGGTGGACCACCCATCCTCGGGGCCTTGGGATATGCAGGCCATTGCATGCTTGATGCTCAAGTGATTGGAAAGAAACACATGGTTGGATATTACTCTCTCATTGAGATTTCCGGCAAAGGGTCCCGGAAAGCATATTCATTATCCTCTCTTTGTTTGGAGTACTCCATACTGCACAACAAACAAGATACCCACCCACCATCACTACCGCAACCACCGCGGGTAGAACTCAATTGGATGTTGACCCGTGAACTCAAGAAGGCTTGCGCGACAGTGCATCATACCTGCCAAACAATTTTCTGATCTACCAAGCGGGGTTGGACTATCGATCACCGACCCAAAGACCTCACCATCTTCTGACCCAGTGGCTGGAACTTTTCTGCTGCTAATGGAAAGGCGAGCAAAAATTATGCATACTGTCCCACCCCCATTGGGCATTGTCCCAGAGTGATGCAAAATCATCTTGTGCAGTTTTGCCATCTGATCACACCATGTCTCCCGTCTCTGTGAACTTTGCATTGGACTCTCGAGCCGTGCATGCGGCCTTTGATAGGAATATTCACCGGGCTATTAGCTTGATATCAAATTAATTTTTCTTTCTTTCTTTTTTTTTTTTTTTTTCAACACCGTGTTTGTCTATTGTATTGAAACTTGGCCAAAGTTCATGGGTTGATCAACCACATGCTCCAAGAACGAGTTAAACGGGAACCGTTGGTGTGAGTCTGTACAGCGGCGTTAACTGCTCCGGTGCAGAGCCCAGATCGCCAAAGGCCTCGATGGGATATACGTATTTTCTTATCCTTGCTGGAAGGGTATTACTAGACGAAGGGTGGCAGCAGAGCACTCACCGGCCGCCACAATGGCCCGAGAAAGACCCATTTTCGGCGGGATCGTGCTCCCATACCCCGAGACTGAAGCGGACACTCAACTATAATAGGAATCTCCTCGTCATACTGGGTCGGGGTCACGTAGGATCAATGGCTGTCGCGACGAACAGCATCACCCTCCCCAAACAATGAGTGCAGTGCTGGAACCGTGACAATCGGAACCCGCCGTACTTCGAAAACCAGACGGGTAACTTTGCATGATCCGGGAGCTAGTTCCCAGTCATGAACCTGAGTTTGTCGATTTCATAATTCCCCCGCGACGTGTTGTCGTTACACCAGTCTGGACCGAAACCAACGATCCCAAGAGGTCGGCATCAGTCACACCATCCAACTTCCCCCAAGTCTAACCATAGCCACTATTGCTCGTATCTCGTTTCTTTCTTTGGGTTTATCACCTCCCAACAGCTCATACATTTCGCAGCCCACAATGTCCCAGCTCACGGCAAAAACTCCGCACCCACCCGAACGAACTCCCGAAGACGCAGTAGCCCTCTTCAAAGTCATCGAGGACAAATTCCCCTCTGCCACGCTCGGAGACGATCGATGGTACCTCATTCCTGTATGAACCACACCCAGTAATACTTTGTAGATTGTTGAACTACCACGCGCCATTTGCTAAAGCGCGTCTTGCACCCATGCTTTTCCTGGTTCCATTAGATTGCTGCTCTTCCTGGCTCCGGCCAGCCGGAATTCGCCATACAGCTATACACATATCTCACCTCGAAGCCTGAGTATTCTACACCCGAGGCCCGTCAGAAGCTGGTCCGACGCCTAAGAGAAGCGCTGGTGAAATGCGTCTCCATCATCGGGGTGTGTCGCCCGTTAGAAGTAATCTTCGGCATATCAAAGATTGAAAGGCCGGAGGATAAGGACTACTCATTCTCCAGGTTCGTACTAAGTCTACGTGTGCGCCCTCTGTCTATCTCTCTCTTTCCCTCCAGATATCCGTCTTGCGTTGCTTATTCGATATTCTCCACCCTGCAAGAAGAAAACAAAAGAGACCTACAATTAACCCGCATATCAACCAGGGAACACTGGCAATCCGGGCCCGCCAACCACGCCCGCGGCAAAGCCTGGCTCGACCGCATCTACAAGCACAACATCCTCTCCATCAACGACGCGCTTGCCTCCCATAAGGATTTCGCATGGATCTCGTACGAAATCACCTACGGCCTCTACCTCTCCGACCACTCCGTCATCGATGACGTAGAGACCGAATTGGTCGTCTTGTCGGGTATTATGATTCAGAACCTGAGAAGTGAGACGCATTGGCATCTGAGAGGGACGAGGAGGGTGGGTGTGAGTATGGAGGATGTGGAGAAGGTGCATCAGTGTGTCAGTTGTTCCCGAAGTCTTCGAATCCTTCCCCCCAGGGGCGTGCGGAGTTTGCTGATGGACAGTATAGATTGAGCTTGTTGCGGAGTTTGCGAGGGTGAGGGTTGATAAGGTACCTCGTGTAGCTGATATTGAGCATGAGGTTTGAATTTGTTATGAGATGGAAACACAGATTTCCATTATCATGTTATTATACATTCCACAAATTTTGAGTCTAATGTGGTATATGTACGGAGTAAACGTATCAGTATCCAAAGGGTGCATAGAATCACTCCATCCAGGCACTTGTTCAAAGTGACCATTCAGTTTTATCATCCGATGCGGTGATAAACGGCTCATCAATTTGTTTAATAGCATAATCACCACACAAAATACTATTGATATAAGTTAGCATTTTAGCAGCAAGTGGAAAAGAGAAGAGTCTCACCAAGCTTCGGCGACCAAGCCATCCAACTCCCGAATAACCTGCTCCCTTCTCGCAGCGGTGTTTGTCGTCTTACTCATTTCGGCCTGCAAATCCTTGATGTGTCTTCTCTTCCCTGCACCTGCAGCAGCCATCACTTTCCTCCCCAAACAATCGCTATGGAACGCGTGCTGACACGGGAACACGAAAAACTGCCTGCTGAGCACTGGCAGCGAACATATCCAGCACTTCTCTCCCGGTTCGACGATTGCATACCGGGTGCCCAAAGATGCAATTTCTCTTCTAATTTCATCGGCAACATGGGCTGAATTGTCCATTTCCTGCCGCAGAGAATCGATATGGCGAGAATAATCTTCCAAAGCGGTACAAATTTCGTCTTTGAAATCATCAATCACGACAAAATCCGGGAAGAACGGTATGAGATCTTCAATGCGAAGGAGTTCACACCGACGAAGAAATTCAATCGCGTCTTTGATTCCAGTCCCCGGTTGGTGGATCTTTTTTTCCGCAACAAGGAGCCAGAGCTTCTTCCGTAGTTTGTTATTTCCTTCCGGCCGATCAGCAACAAGTGCTGCTAGTTCAATGTCATCGTGCTTCAGAGCTAGCTGCACAGCCTCGAGATATTGACCCATCATGCTATAAATATGGACACAGGACTGAACGCGACCATGCTGGATACATAATCGCAGCGCAAAATCTGCATCATATGGAGGCGGAGATATAGGTTGAGACTCAAGGTAGGTAAGAAGGCCGGCCTCCGATTTGGAAGGATGAGAGGCGTATATGGAGATTAAGGTATTATGCACGGCTGCCGAAGGGTCGGGGTGGTTGTTGATAATGAAATTAAGGTATCTAACGGCCTGGTTTTGCAAAAGAGAAACCTTTGTGTCTTTATTGTAGCTTAGAAGGGCCGGAATGAGTTTGGATGGGTCAAGGTTCGTCTGCCGCATTAAAATATCGACGAGATCTGTAGCAACGTGCGTCATCAAGACGCTGCTGTACTTATAGAAGACTTCCGGGTCAGTCTGCTTCTTCAGCACATCTAGGGCTTCAGCCCATTTCTCGCGCTGGACCCAATAGGATAACACGAAGTTGTGGTCGTTGATCGTGATTGCAAAGTACAGCAATTCCTCTTCGCGACCATGGCTCCCGATAATATCATAGACAGTTTTAGAGTCCAGATCGGCTTTGTATTTTGATACAAAAGCTTGAAATTCGGATTTGATTTTCTGTAGCTGGTTCTTCGCTTCCACAGAATTGGATCCCTCTGATAGTTCGGCCCGTGTTAAGACTGCATCGTCTAGGGAATCCATTTTTGAAATGAAAACCTCGATGAGCCAGCTAGCTATCATTGTCCGTTGCATCGCTGAGGACCTCTTATATACGGACATTTGAGTCAACAGGTACTTTCGTAATGCGTCCATCTCTCCTTTGTCAATAAACGTTAAACAAACTTCCTCGAAAGGTTTACTGCTTTTGCCCCAAACCTGAGCAGCGTCAAGGAACTGGCCCTTGCTAGCTAGATAGTTACCAGAAGCAGTAGCAACAGCATCCTTCTGAGCTGCGTCGTGGGCATATCGTAAGGCAGCATCAAATTTCTGCTCTTTGAGGAATGTTTTCCATATATCCCTGTCTTCGTTGTTGGCAGCGATTTCGAATATTTCTTTCGCAGTGAAAAGCCAATAAGTGCTTTTCTTCGAATCCGAAACCAGTCCCAGGGAGCTTTCGCCTGGTTCAAGTACGGCCTGGTCGTATACTATTTCGCCACTTAGCCGGTTGATGGCGACGATGCGGCCTTCGACTAGGGCGAGGATATGCCATTGCGTCATGACCATTCCCTTTATTGGGTCTTGAATGAGCTTTTTCCCGCCCCTGGCGGATTCCGTGGCGGGTAAAATTGAGCGAGAAATCATTTTCGCATTATCAAATACACGGTTTCCAACTTGTGGGTCAGCGCATAAATTAGGAATGGGTCCATGGAAGACGCCCTGACTGGAGAGCCAAGCGAAATGCTTTTCACCAAACGGTTCTTCGCCATGGGTACAATCAAGAGGTTCAGGCAAGACAGCTAAAAGAGACGGTGCGGACAAAGATGCTGAGGATAGCTCATGGACGAGTGGCGTTTCCCGCTGGAACAAATCTGCGTATAACGAGCCGCCTCCTTCTCTCCCATGCCTGCCGACCTTTCCTCTAAAGTAAAGTATTCTTCCATTTGAAGACAAGACAACGTGCCGGAGATCTTGTTTACCAGCAACGAAATCTACCCAGATCCCCGTCACCGCCATTCCGGTAAGTTTGTATACCCCGTGCATGTACTTCTCATCTCGGCGGTAGAACTCTGACGCTGGTTCGATATACACCTCATAGATATTTCCATCTGCCGCGCCAACTAGAATCTCTCGGGTGGATGCTGTTGGTTGCGCAGGGTTCCATGCTACACTTTCAATAGAGACGCCTTTCAGCCGTGGCAGGGGCTTTGGTTGTCGGGATTGGGTATGAAGATAATAATTCTCCCCAAGTGTGGTGGTGATGATCAAATGTGACGCTGAAGGATCAAGGAACATGCGACGGATGACACCAACCTCGGAGGACTTCTTAGGCAGATCGATATCTAGAGGTAGTTGACATGAGCCATCGGTCCAAGATTGGGGTTAAAGATCGGGGCATGCCACCTTACCATCTATATCCTTTGGGCTATTCAAGTCGATTCTTAGTATCCTCCCGGTAGCAAGGGCAAGGATTATGACATTGTTGGCAACCTGAGCAGCGACGAAATCCGCCGCAACCGAGAACGCGAGCTGAACTTGTTCGACGTTGAACATCGGTAGAGACGCCTCAGTCAGCTTCGCCAAATTCCCGGACGCAGCATAGCCGCTAGATCCATCCAGCGCCATTGATGCGCTGAAATAAGGAGTCACTATAGCATTGCGAGGTGCAGCGGTGGCTGTATATCTCGTGGGCTCTGGGCATCGCCTGATGACGATGTTCTTGCAGCTTAACTATCCTTACATAATCAATGACCTTTGGGGCTGTGTTTGGGAAAGATAGGGCATTTGTTTCCTAAAATGCCGACCTAACCAACTTGGTAAACAATCCCTTGATCGAGCCTGGTTGGGGGAGGCACACCAAAGCATATCCTCAATGCAGTGAGGGATGTTTAATAGGTGTAAAAGGCCCTGTGTAGGTATAACGCATGTTCTAAATTCTATTGCTAATATACGCTATGCCTGTGATGCAGATAAATAACACCAATAAAAATCTCCAAAGCTCTGTAAGTTATCCAAGTTAGCTGGGTATCGCTGAAGTCAATGTATCTTTCATCACATAACCACACACTCCCTATCAGGCTGAGTCACCTTCTTCAACGCTGATGGACCTATGATCCTTTCAACATCCCTTGGTATATCTTCCGAGTGCCTATGCTGCACAATACTCACACGTTCCAAGCTTTGCGCTGACGAAAGGGGCTCAGTGCTCTTCCGGCGTGAGAGATATGAGAATGCAGCGCTGAGTTTCTTCTCTGAGGAAGAAGATCGATCTTTCTTCCGGGAATCTTTGGAAGCATCCTGGGGGCTATAGGACGCTGCGGTTACGTGTGTCTCCTCCGACACCCGGTTGGTGAGAGTAGCGAATGGATTCCGCGAACTTTGCTCTTGTGGATCTTTGTCCGAACTCGAATCTAAAGTTTCACATATGCCCTTCTCGAACAGTAAACCGCTGTATCTATCGGTTTCTTCGTACGGCGGCGGAATTAATTCAGCGGGGTCGGCATCGATCGGAAGGATTTGGTAGAATAGGAGATATGGAGATTCTTCCCTCAATGCTTTGTCGATATCAATGAGTGTGATACGCTCTTGAGCAATATCATCAAACCGCAACCAGTAATTGCTATGATCCAAAAATAAATCATCTCTTAGCGAAAAGCTACTCGATGACGAACCCAAATCGGTCAGGGAGGTTCCCCTGACTAGGGAAATATAATGGCCCGAATCGACCGAGTTTCCCCGATGGCAAACTACTGCCTGCAGAGAAAGCTTGAAATTCCCGTACAGAGGGGCACCGTCCTCCAGATTATCGTCTTTAATAAAGTGAGGAAGACCGATCTCAGTAGGAACGTCGACATGAGTATCCAACCGAATGGCCCTGCCGTCAGGCAATACTGAATATCTTTTAAGGCACATGCCTAATATGGGCCGTCTCGTTGAGAAGTGAGCTGCTGTCTCGGCGACATTTGTAGGAATGCTATCCGTATACCAAGCTATCGAATAGGTTAGAGCAGCCGGCTTATATGCAAAAGACGGGTTGCTTACGAATCAAGCTAAATATTTGCCATGCAGGCATCAATACTTCTTTTCGAACGCTTCCCTTTCTATGCCTATTGACCAGCCTCCTGGAGCTGGTTTCTTCAATATCGCTACTGATACCATCAACATCGGGGAAAAAGCGCTCCCTAACGATGCTGGGGGTTCGGTGTGCTCTTGGAGGACGTATAGGAGAGCTTACGGAGTTGGGTAGTGGAGACGGTTCTTCAGTAAGTTCAGGGAAGGGAGCTAGATTGGAGTCAAGCAGTTGAGGAGAGGAATTTGTAGAGCAGTCAATTTCGACGCTTTCCACGTGAGAAGCATATCCCTTTGACATGGAATCCATCGAGGAGATGGATTTCAATGTATTTTGGCGTTCAAGGAATCTTTTGACCTCAACTCGATTATTGAAATACGCTTCCAGACACTCTTCTAAAGTGACGGGGTTGTCATCCATTGGTGGAGGAATGGCAACTTCTAGAAGGCGTTCGTTTATAAATCTGTGATCATCACCCGCCTCTTCCCTGCCGTTGTGAAAGATATCCATCTTTAATGTTATTAATGGTAGCTCTAACTTCTCAGTGATGAAGGTGAATGCTTCCGATGCATCTTGCTGCCGCAGTAGTGCTGCATCGGTCCAGCCGCATGCAGCTAGTGCTTCTTGAAGTTGTTTTGTCTAGAGGGCCGGAGACGCCGGTCGTTAGAATCAAGGGATTATAATATTCGAGGTAACGGGGCATGGCATGAAGACTTAGCTATACTTACTATGTCGGTGGTGATCAATTTCCCTGATCGTAGCATGTTTACCCAAAGCCGCAGTAAAACCACAAGATTCCTTCTGGGATCATCATCGAAAGTGTTGTATAGAACTCCTTCGAAAAAATCAAGACGAGCAAACATTGCAAAAAGAAGGGCATCGAGATAGCAGGTCACCCCTTCTCTGTTTTCGGCCCCCAGCAGTTTCGTACTCGGTCTGTACGTTCTAAGAATGCCTTCAATAGAATCTTCAATGATAACTATAAGCTCAAACGCTTTGTCCACATCTCCGTTCGCATGTTTGGATTGGAGTGCATATTGAAATTGCTGCTTCCCTAGGTTTGGTAGGCCGTAAGCTGAGACGCGCTGTTCTAGTCTGGAAACCTAGCATTAAAATTAGTACGACATTGGACATTAGGAGGGATGGAGAGCCTACCAATTGCTTTGTGATTTTAGTTTGGTTTCCACTGCCCTCTGCTTCCTTTTGGCTGACTGAGAACAGTCTCCAAGGTTGCATCATAGAAACATCAGTCGAGGATGCCTAATGCATGACAAAGATATTCAGCCATAAATCCAACATTTTGTTATATATTCACCGCAAGATAAATATTAGGGCACAGTATTCCGTTCACATATGTAGGAGGATGTAACCGGGTTACGAACCATAGAGGAAGCTTTTGATCTCCAACCAGGGAGATCCTTGCGTCGACGAAGCCTCTCCCTTTTTGAAAGGAATCGATGGATGCTACCGCTCATACTGTAATACTGTTTCAAATTGTTCAGATTATAATATAAATTATTGTAAAACGGTGGCTGGCGCTGTGTTCTTATTGATCAATCAAGTCGAAGCCAAACGGATGCTGCCTGGTCACAACGGTAGCTAGGTCAGCGGATCGTTTCTCAGCAGGGCGAAGTCAGATGCCTAAAATAAAAGGCTGACAAATTCTCGCACGATGCAGATATCAATTTCAAAAGGGTTGATACTTCGTGGAGGGCCCGTTGTCAAAAGAGATATAATCTAGCGACCGCCGTATACGACGGTCAAACACCCCGGAGTTGCATTGAATTTCAAGCCGCGTCCCGGCAGCTGAACGAATTTTGTTTCTGTCACAAAGACGAGAATGGGAGAAGAAACTAAGCAAAATATATCAGTATTACCGTCCAGCAGTTTAGGTAACAACTTAACAACCGGCTTGCCTTGTGCCAGCAGGTCTCTTGGTGCACTCATGATCGCGTCAAACGCCCGCCAGCGTTGCCCCTCTTACATAACCAGCCCGCCGCTCGATGCTTTAGCTTTTCTTGGCCGGGAAGGATCCACACGAGACCCGCATAAGGCTACTGACTAATCAGTGGCTGCTTATGTCAGAAAAATGCAACTGGTGCAGCCACGTGATATTGAAGTTGGACTGCAAAATTTCCTTTCTAAGATGAAAAGCTGGAGAGCAGCAGTGCCCGCAGTCACAACAATTGCAGCAATGGCGCTCCATGAGCCATTAAGTCAGCTATCGAGGGCTTTGGCCCGTCGTGTCACGCCATCAATCTGTTCCCCCTTACCCCCCTTGCGCCGTAATGCCTCCTCAAACGCACCGACCACTCCTCCCGCTGCGAATGACTTGGACGAGTTGGGCAGTGACTCCTTTTTTGAAAGCTCAACGATAGACGGTGAGACAGTCAAGAAATTCGACCCCATTTCGAGAAGCAGAACGCGGCGACAGCAGCTACCTCGAAGCCGGTATGTGATTTTGACCCGTTCCTCCTTCTAGCGGCATTCTCCTACGGGATCCTTACATTTCGAACTCAGGTACCAATATCGCTCCCCGAAATACGATAAAGGCCCTCTTCATCCTCACAGACCTCCCCCAGAATGGGACCCTTCATCCCGCCTCTTTGTCCCAGGCCCCTTCACCAATTCGCGTGTCGAACAAACTTACGAATCGACCATAGCTCCAGACATTCTCACCCTTTGTTACGTCCACAACCCACCGGGTTTCAAGCCACCACCAAAGCCCGAACGTCTTCGATCTTGGGATGATAGCTCTCCATATCACGAGAACAGATCTCTCCGTGGCCCTAGAGGTGGTGATGTCCTCCGCCTGCTCCGCAAACCGATTACTTTCAGAAATATCCCGAAACTCGAAAAGATCACCGTCCACAGTTATGTAAAACAAGCTGCGACTGACGGGTCGGCTTATTTGCACGTTGCTGGCATGGTGCTTCAGGCCATCACCAATGTAAGGGCACAGACGCACAAGTCCAGGACCAGTGTACCGAAATGGGGTATTGCTCCTGGAAGATCTCATGTCGCCGCCACAGTCGAACTCCGTGGGGAGGACATGTATCACTTCTTTGGGAAACTCGTGGATATTGTAATGCCGAGAATCAAGGACTGGAAGGGTGTCAAGGGAAGCAGCGGTGATAGCAGTGGTAACATCACCCTTGGGTTTGAGCCGCATATGGTAGCCCTATTCCCTGAAGTTGAGGTGAACTATGATATGTGAGTACCAAACCTCCCATCGTCTTTTGTTCCAATTGTGGATTATTGCCCACGGAACTTACTCATTTTTCTTCAAGGTACCCACCCAAAATGATTCCAGGTTGTCATGTCACCATCCAGACTAGTGCTCGGATGGATAAAGATGCCAGACTACTCCTCAACGCCATGGGAATTCCGTTTTATGGCAAATATGTCGATTAAGAAGGCCCAAGCGTAGCTTACTCGGGCACTTCCCTCATTTTCTTGGCGGCAACCACAGTTATAAACCATATTTTGTTCCGAGCCTTAAATGGCCTGTATCTGATCCAAATGTTTGTCGGAACGTGTGTTATATAGGAAACCTGGGTTTGAGTTTACGTACTTTATGTATTCTAGCAACATCATAGCCTCCATGCATGTCTATGTACAATATTAGTCAAAATAGATTAGTTGACATTCACTTCTTGTCATTTCTCCGGAACAATGCTCTTACGCCAAATGAGCGTATACTTATCTCTGTATCAAGAAAAGCAGCAATTACAATAAAGAGATTACTCATACATACAGGCCAACAGAGCAACATTGAAATCTGCTCCTAGCAAGCTGCAAGAATTTCACTGAATGCCTCATGTGTCTAAGAAGGGAGGGAAACAATAAAGTTCCAGCACATGTGTGTTTGACTGTTGTCCGTGAAGTCGTCATGAAGTGAAAAATTGAGGCTTAAAATGCAAGACATAGCTCATTCAAAACATTATCACGAAAAAATAACCGCAAGATTAGGTGCATGTAGAGGGTATAGAGGAGGTAGTAGACATAGCCAGCGCCAGCTTGGCCCGTCAGCCAATCATCGTCTCCAAGAATGGGTCATTCAACAAATCGTCTGCGCTGGGTCTCTTCTCATGGTCAATCTCAAACGTCATATCCAGAAACGCTGTGGCCTCCTTGCTGGCATTCTCCGGCGGTGGTGGTCGGGCCTTGTTATTTCCAATGGCAAATATTGCCTGGAGCTGGCTGCAATCTGGGAAAGGATGGGCACCAATAAACATTTCGACAACAAGGCAGCCAAGACTCCAGATATCTGCCTTCTTAGTGTGTGCTGTTTGGCGCACGACTTCGGGAGCCATCCAGTACACGCTTCCCTGAAGGGACGGGCGGTGCAGATGACGAGCTGAGCCTCCCGCGCTTAGCATATTCGAAGCTTCGACACGTTTGGATATACCGAAATCTGAGATTTTGATTTGGCCTTTGTTGTCAACAAGGACATTTGCACCTTTGATATCTCGATGGATAATGTCACGACTATGAAGGTATGAAAGACCCGTTAGGATTTGCCGGACAAAATTCCTGATCAAAGGTTCCTGGAAAGTGTTATATTGCTTAAGCATGGTCGCAATGGAACCTCCTGGAACATATTCCAAGAAAATATTCAGGTACTGGTCGTCAGTGGATGTACCAAGGTATTGCACGATGTTCGGATGTTGCAGGCCTTGAAGAAGACTAATTTCGTGCTTCAGGGCGTTGACCATGGTCGTTTTCTTGTTGTCAAATTCCGTTCCCTTTGTGGCTGACGGAAGTTCGACTTGCTTCACAGCCATGAGCTCCCCCGTAATCGCATGGAGGGCAAGAAAGACGCTGCCAAAGGATCCTTCACCGATCAAAGAACCTTTCATCCAATTCTTGTTGCTGAAGTTATTCCCGGCAAGGAAATCGGCTAAGCCATCATCATCTTCCTCACCATCTTCGGCGACAATTATACTGAGGCGTTCGTTGAGCGAACCCCCGGTATCCGGAGCATTGAGGCAGATAGACTCATCAAGGAAACCTTGCCTCGATTCTCCACCTGCAATTTCAGATGCACTGTCGAAGGAGACATAGGATTTGCGATTGGGTTCTACCGGAGACTCTTCTTGTAACGGTTGCAAATTGGATGAGGCTATAGAATCACGGAATGAAGCCTGAGGAAGATTGAATCTGGATACTGAAAGGGGCCTCGAGCCGCGTGTCGGTTGTTGCCCGGCACCCGTCAACCACGTATCAGCAATGCTCGGAATAGGCGGTGCGTCTTTTAAGCTTGATGCCAAGCTGATGTTGCTCACCACACTCAGGCGGCTGGCAGCGCGGCTAAGCCGTTGAGACCGTCTCACTGATAGGCGCATTGTCTTTTCGATATCTTCCTTCTGGTGACTTGGGAAATAAGACGTTAATTCGTGAATAATCATTTCACTTGGCGGGCGAGCACCAAAGAAGGACCGTAATTTCGTGCTCTGCTGACGATCACCGGCTTTGGCTGTAGCTATCTTTGGATAATCGTCCCTGTGGCGATCGGTGGCTGTTAACGGTGACCGCGGCTGCCGTATGTTATGCCATGATTCACCAGTTAGTTTTTGAAGCTTAATCTGGTTCCTCACGTTGGTAGTGCTGAGCGCATTCATGTGGGCTACTTGGTTCTCATCCATTGCAAGTTGAGCAGCGCGCTGAAGCTCCTCAGCCTCAGGCTCGCCAGCATGGAGCTTCCTTAGTATTAAACGCCCGCGCTCGGATCGACCAGACCCGTCACATATCTGGAGCAACTCCGAATCTGATATTCGCCTGCAGTTTGCTGGATCGGGATCCAAACCGTCTAAAACGTAAAAGCAATAATTTCTGAAGTGGCTCTCGGGTAACAGCAGCTTCCTGAGGACGGCCAACATCACCTCCTCCGCGGTCTTGCAATGTTTTACATTAAGCACTTTTGTCTGTCCACCAGTGTATATGACTCTAATGACCGGAGAGTTTGGAGGTAGAGCGCCCATGGTAAGTCCATCGATACTTGGGGCTTGTCTCATGTGCGCAGCTGCCCTTGAGCTCTGTGAAGGATCTGAGGGGCGGGAGAAGTAGCTTCCGCCTTGTTCTCGACGAGCACTTTCGACGGGGCTTGCGCCAGCGTATCGGTAAGGCCGCAATCCCCGATCATGCTCAGTGAGAGGCGATGCGGCTCTCGGCGAGCCTTTACCGTTTTCATGACGAGGCCATTGGCGGCTGTTGGACGGTTGTTGACGGGCCGTAGAGGGGCGTGGCGATTCGGCAGAGGGAGGGGTGAATCTCGACGAATCCAAGGCAACAAAAGAGTCCTTAATCCGTCAGCATATATATACAAGAATTGCTGATCTGCCAATACCAACTCACTCTATTTTTCTTTTTTCGGCTCGAAACACTTTTGGTCCTTAGTTGCTTAACGGCTACAGAGATGCGGACCCGATCGCCAACCTTCTTGATTCCCATCTCCTGCAATATTTTCTGATCACAGTCTAAAAGGTTATCGCCATTGAAGTGATTCGCTATTAAAGTCATTTGCATTGTTAGCGGCACAAATTCGTATAATAGAGGCATCTTATCCTAGACAAGTACCTTTGAATATAGCCTCATACTGTCCGCAGCGTATGCTATGCAGCCAGTCGGCTACCTTTTTCTCGTCCCATAACCTACGTGAACATATATCAGTCGATTGTCAAAAGGGAGTATGGTCACAGAACGAGGGCATGGCGTCGTACCGAACCGAGTCGAATCCATCACAGCCTTCGGAGAATTCAGACTCCGTTGGGCTGGAGAACACACCCTCCCGATTCAACATTGAGCCAGCTTGGCCTTTACCCGGCAGGGTCATATATGTACTCGAGATTGCTGATGGTATGGAAGGCAGGACGGCAGTGTAGGGGTTTTGAGTTCCTAGCATCATGAAGATGACGCTACGAACGACCGTTTCGATCTGACCGGAATGGCAGACCAGGAAATTGGGGGATTATAGGGCAATTGTTGGCTCCTGGAGTTTCAGAGAGATTGGGATCTCGAACGAAATACTTTCATTTTGTCATTTGATGGAGAAGAAATGTTTGAAGGAGCTGTTTTTAGACATAACACCTTAGCTGTGGTTGCTTTCATGACAAAAACGGCAGATACATGGAAGAGCTTACAGGTGAGAAGGACTCTCGAGAAATTCAGAACACTCGGATGTGCCTCTTGTCCTTACTAAAAGGTCGAAAGGCGAACGGCCGCTTTCTTGCCGAGACCTACTTGGACTTTTGTACGAAACAAATCCGTCTGACGAGAAACGAAAGGCAAAAGAACCCGGCGGGGCAACGCGCGCTTTTTTCTTTTTTCTTCGTTTTTTTAATTAATTATATATTTTTTTTTATAATTTTTATACTTCACAACGTAAAAACTGGGGAACTTGCTGAGGTCGGAGCGCGATCGTGTTTCATGTGAACCTTGGATGAGACAAGAGTTCTCGGGGGGGGAGGAAAAAGACGAGCGAGGGCTGACGTTCCACAGAGTTTCAGCACCTCAGGCCAGCTCTCAGCTCAACCCTAGCAGTGTAGGATAGGATGCGTCGGATAAATGAGTGACAACGAGAGAAGAGAGAACGAATGCTCAGATGTCACCTCCCTTAGGATCGCTGGAGGAGCCTCGCCGGTGGGTGGTGGAATGGAGGAGCCCTGGCGATAAGAATAGCTTTGTTAGGCCAAGTTGGGCGGTTCCGAAACTCAACCACGCCCTAGCTTGTTACAGAATCCGCAGTGTGATTGGCCGTGAGCCCCTGGGTCTCGCCTTAAAACAACCGTGATCTTGACCCTGAAATCCGTTCTCTGGCGACGAGCGCTGATATTTTCCGAAAGCGAGCAAACGGCGACCGTGGCCCAAGAATGGACGGTATTGCCGCTGACCTCGGCCATCAGCCGTCGGCTCTCTGCCGGCGACTGGCTGGACTGCCTGTCGTGAGGCACCGCTCAATGGACGCCCTCCCTCGACGCTACATATGTATCCAACCACTAACTAACAGTTAACAAGTTGGTGAGTACAATGTTTCTGCCCATTTGTCCACAGTCAGCCTGACTCGCAATGGCAAAGTGCAACGCTGAGTTGTTCCCCCAAGGCCCAGGCCTTGAAACGAATCTTGCTGCAGCGATCGTCATGCAACGCCGTTCCAGAGTCAGGGTACAAGTTACATTTTCAGTTTTCTCCTCCGCATCCACGCTCAAAGACCAAAATTAAGCGCTGGAACTGTTATGACTATACCAGGCATCATTGGCTCAAAGCAACTTCGATCCTTCAACCAGAAATTTTTATGGGAATGAGCAATCTGTCTATTTCTGGCCCTTACAAAATGCCCCATCTAACGCGGAGTACCGTGGCTGTTCCATGTTCTGCTCTGTTTGTTAACCAGATGCCCTCCATCAACAGGGGATTTAATTCTGGTACAGTGGGGTCGCCCTGGGCATAAACCATTATGCGTGAGCGCTCTGCTCCTCTTCTGCATTGAACGAAATAGGATTAGAGATGTTTGACACTGCCATGGCCTCTCCGAGGAGATACAACCCAGGGCCTTGAACCTGAAAGAAAAGGAAAAGAACGGTTGAACTTTTCAAAAAAACAAGAAGAAGAAGGCCAAGGGAGTCTCATCCGACCCTGGCCTGTGTTTGCTCATGACTGCAAGTGGAAGCGTGCATGAATTTTACCATGTTGATGTCTCAGGCTTGGTTACCATGAAGCAGTAACTGCTTCTGCTTGCTGAAAGAGTTTATGCGTGTGCAGCATGCTCAAGGTACCTAACATCCACAGTGTGTCTCTCTCATTACCAGCGACACAAGCAAATGCTGAACGTTACTATGGAAGAAAGACATATGGATGTTCTCTAATAGCATACTTTGTATAAAACCCCTTGATTCGCAGGTGGCTCATCAGGTGTGCAGCTTCCTCATCCTTCATGTGGACCTTCTTCCGCTGTTTGGGCAATTCTGACCATAGAAGTGCCATCTGATGCCTGGATATCTCCTTTTAAGTCTGGCGAATGGCATGGTTGTGAAGGGAGAATTGCATCTCACCGAAAATCTGTTCACTACAAAGTTCATTTGGAACACCGCGGTGGGATACACCCCGTGTATCATATCTGGTGACCGGACTTCGTTGCTCTTCGGTGGTCTAGACTATACATCCATTGAAGGTTCCCCCCGCAAAAAATTCCATTTGCCGGGCCTCTTAGGACGGGCTTGTCACCCTAGTCAAGGGAGGCATTCAAACACGAGGCTGTTTGATAATGCTCTTCCTGCGATTCCCAGAAGGGTTATACATGGCGGAGAGCAGCGAACGACTATCACATGCTCCCCTCGCTGACTGCACGTCGCCTCGGGAGAGGTGTATTGTTGGACCTTTATCAACCTTAGCCGGCCGCTGCGGCGGGATGGGCATACTAGCGAGGGACTTCAACCTTTGCGGGGGGTCGGTATATTTTGTCCTTTCTTTCCTAGCCCATGAACCCACAATATGACTCAAATAGCATTGACCCTGATTGAAAGTGATTGCAGGTGGCACCGGCTGGCCAGCAAGTGCTTTCTCTCGCGTCGGTCTCCTTTGTAGGATACCTTAACAGGCGCATCTATTGAGGATCCATAGGCCCTTGCGAAGTATATCTCCATGTGAGTCAAGCTCTCAGTCTCTGATTCCCTTCGCCAGCCTTGCCTACCGGCTTCTGAGGGCCACCTCCTGGGGCTTCGCAACTGCTCGTATCTTAGATTAAAAGATGAAAATAGTGAAACTGTTCACTACGTATTTACTTTCGATGTTGATGTCGTATCCAATGCCTCCTCTAAACTACATCCACTCATCCTTGGAGGCTACACCAACGGCAACCATGATCATTGTGCGCGCGCACTTTTTCCGAGGGTATGCAGTGGGCAAACCAAAATTCTAAACACGGAAAAGGCAGATCCCAGATTTTGTTGAGTTGCGCAATTATGGGATCCCAAACGAAAGCGCCTTTTCGATCTGGTACCTTGTCTTGATGGTAGGTACGGCGACAAAAAGCATCTCGCGTATATCGCCACCTTGCTTGAGGTCTTGCCTAAAGGATAGTCTTCGAAAAAAAGGCGATGGGCAACTTTTTTGATAACAGCAGCAAATACTGCAATAAGCCGTAAGGTTGCATATTCTTGTCGATGCTGTCCATGCGCGGGGCGGGTCTCAAAGAGCCAAATTTTACACCAATTGAGAAGTATCAAGAGAACAATCAAGTAGAGGCTAGAGCAGCGAAGTACAGCAAAAGAATTGACTCAAGCTCCGTGGCTATTTGCGGTATTGTGAAATGCAGAACGACACAGGGACATGCCCCAAAATACAGTACAGAGTAATTCTCAACGAAGCCTTTGAGAGACCTCTATTAGATGACACAATTCACCGGGTGCGCGCTACGGGATTTGGATGCCTTTTTAAGAGACATAAGCTCTCAGAGCAAAAAGAGTAAGGGAACGGAGAAGTGGGGTTTTGAGGGAACCTTTATTAAAAATAGAAACTTGATTCTCCAGGGATCAAAAGGTCATTCCAAGAGTCGGGAAACATGGTAGCCTTCCGTGCCTGGATCACCGACGGTGGACATGGACACCTTCGATTGATTTTCCAGACCACCAGCCAAAAGAGCAGAGCGCCGTTCCTGTGCTGTCTGGGCGGCGGCGGCTGCGTTGATTCCCCGCACTTCGACGCCCCAAGGACGGCCGAGCACGTGACAGTGGCGCGTGGACTCCGCCCCAACCCCTCACCTTTATCGCAGCTTCTCCGCTCAACTGCAGGGGAAGCTGGGGAGAAGGATTCAGCAAATCGAGATAAGAAAATGGACGAGACTCGCACCGCTTCGGGGAAAGTTAAGAAGAAACGTACAACGGCCAATCGCAAAAATCTGACTTGCGAATACTGCAGCAGGCCGTTTGCGCGCCTGGAACATCTCCAACGACATCTCCGCACACGTTGAGTTACCCGTTTCACCCCAAACCTGATAGCTCATGCAATATTGTTCCGCGACTATAAGCTGACCTGCTCCCCAACTGTAGATACAAAGGAAAAGCCCTTTTCCTGTGAAATATGCTCCAAGAGCTTTGCTAGAAGGTTTGTCGGCAGCTTCTTTCGCTTGGATGAGAGCTCATATTGTCCTCCAGTGACCTCCTGGTGCGCCACGAACGCTTGGTTCATCCGGCCGAAGCTGCAGCTGCCAGGGGCCAGAGCCGGCCCGCCGCAACCGCAATTGAGATCCCTGCGACGCCTGCTTCCGCCCCTCTATCTGCGGGACCGCCCCCGGCCCCTTCCCATGACCACCGCCTTCTAGACCTGTCGGATCGTTTGAACATCCAACCTCCTGCGGTGTCTCGATCGGATATACCAGAAGCCACTCCGCAGATAATAGATCAATCTCAATATAATCCGTCGTGGGGATACGATCTGAATTTACTCTCTCATGCTGCTAGCCATGTCGCACTCGAGGGTCAGCAAGAGCAAATGGTCCAGGTTCGAAAACCAGCATCGAATGCGCATGATAGGCCAATGACAGATAATTATGGCGTTGAACCTTCCATTCTTGACTTGGCAGACTTAGGCGACCCTGTTCAGGACTTCACAACGTTCCTGGAAAGCGTCGGTTTGGCCTCAGACTGGGATTCTGGAATGTTCACAGCAGTTGAAGCGGAGCCACTTCTGCAACCGCCGGTGATACCCTTACAGCCTGCTAGTCCACCGAGATTTAATAGGGACCTTGGGGTAGAGCACCGTCACAACACTGAGGAGGCGACATCATTTTCAAATTTTGGATCGCGACTACCTTCTTTGCAACCTGAACCACAGGAGCCAGAAGAACGAGGAGGCCTTCCTGAAGAGCTATCCACGAGGGCGCCCTGGGATGTGTCAACGCAAGACCGCCAGCTTTTGGTGTCCCGATTAGAGGACTTCTCTCATGTCCTCCCAAAAGGCTTTACACCCCCTTCAAGGCATGCCTTGTCTCGATATTTTGCCGGTTATGTTAATGGACTCAACGAGCATCTTCCATTTATGCATATCCCCACACTTTCGATTTCACGTTCTCCTCCAGAACTCAGCCTTGCTCTGGCAGCAGCAGGCTCACATTATCGCTTTGAAAATACCCGCGGTATCGAGCTCTTCCATGCTGCAAAAGCAATTCTCCTGGAGCGAATCAGACGTCGCGATATTAGAAAACTCCCACCTCAATGGTTTGTCACTCCGACGTCGAATTCTGCCGTGCACACGTCCCGCGGGTCTTCTTCCATATCTAACCCAAGCACCAGTCCTTTTCAGCCACCATTCATCCCAATGACAGATAATGTGGTACATCCCGGCGAGGATTCCGAGGCACAGATGGAAATCATACGCACGTTTCTGCTTCTTACAGTCTTTGCTTCGTGGGAGCGCCACCCGGAATTGTTAAGAGAGATTCTAGCTTTGCAAAGCACGCTTGCTCGACTTGTTCGCGACCATGGACTTACCGACCTTGGTCCTCTTCCTGAAACGGCGCCTTGGGAAGACTGGGCTCGTCAAGAAGCGGATCGTCGAACCAAACTAATTGTCTATTGCTTCTTCAACCTTCATTCTATAATGTATAATATTCCGCCGTTAATCTTGAACTCCGAATTGAAGCTCATCATGCCATCGCCGGCTGATGAATGGAAAGCAGCCACGGCTTCTCACTGGCGCCGGCTGCACCGCTCTCGGGCTGGCACCGAAATATCATTCCAGGAGGCATTTGCAAGGCTCTTTATCAAGTCGCCTCAATCGAATGGTTATACCCCAATTTCGCCATTAGGGAATTATGTCTTGATCCATGCCATTATCCAACAGATATTTTTCGCAAGACAATTATGCTTGTCGGCGCCTCTGATGCCGGGAACGAGCATCAGACCAGAAGATCTTGGCGTTTTAGAAGCTTCGCTAAGTGCGTGGAAAGCCGGGTGGAGACGAACTCCTGAGTCAAGCATCGATCCTCAAAATCCTGCTGGCCCGATTGCATTCACCTCCACCGCCCTTCTTGGATTAGCATATATTAGGCTTCACGTGAATCTCGGGCCTTGCCGCCGTCTTGTAACCCAAGATCCGTTGCAGATAGCTCAGGCACTGAAAAACTCCCCGCCGGTTGGCCGCCATCCTCGGCTCATAATGGCGCTGCTACATTCCGCTCACGCGCTCTCAATCCCGGTTCGCTTGGGCATAAACTTCGTCGCTAAAACACATTCGTTCTTTTGGAGTATCCAGCATTCTATATGTAGCCTTGAATGTGCTTTTTTGCTAAGTCGATGGCTTCTTTCTATTCCCGCAACGCAGTCGGAGCAGCCGCTTTCGGACCACGAGAGGAAACTAGTGCTTTGGGTCAAAAGTATGATGGACGAGACGGACATGTCTGTCGAAATGGAGGCCACGTCTGAGTTGGACTTTTTAAATGATCCGGTAAAGGTCAAGCAATTGAGTCTCACCGTCGTACGCGTCTGGTCTAGAACTTTCAAGGGGAATACAAGCTGGCCGATTGTTGACTTGATTGGTTCGAGTTTGGAGATTTATGCTGATTTGTTGGAAATGGGGCCGCTTTCCTGATCCGATTTTCTTCCCGCATAGAGCATCTCTTTATAGAAGACAAGTCAGAAGTGCTTTCCACTTAGCCTTATACATTAAAGCGAGTCACGCGTAAGTTATACTTGATATTCATGGCTTGGGTAATTCATGATATCCGTTGTGTTTTGGCGTTTATTTTTGTACACAAAATCTTTATAACCCGTTTTGGTATGTCGTTCTGGTCAATATGGAGAGGAAATCTTCGAGGTTCCATAGATGGATATAGCCTGGGAATTCGTTTATGTTCTCGATAGTACGATATTTGGTTCACTTGTGTAGGACAGTTGACAAAGTATTCGTACTATTTAACCTAGCGAGAGCAGACTTCCCATTGATGTTTGTATCCCAAGTAGTGAATAATTCAATTTCAATATTTCAACTCTCCCTTTAGGTAGTGTTTTGAGCGAGAATCCCAAAACGAATCCCAAAGGAATAATCGTGGTCTTCAGGTCGTTGTCGAAGATGCACTTGATTTTTCCCTATCTTGCCGTAGTAGAACGCTTGTCGGGATAAATTTTAGCGCTGACATTGAGTTTGTGAGTTCAGTAACATCATGGTCGGAGGTACATATATGTACGGTTTCACTTTGATCCCTAGGCGATGTATGGTTTGACGTAAAGGGATTCGGTGTTTTGCTATTGGGTACCTGAACGTATGGAGGTTCAGCGGGAGCTGGGGTGGCCTGAGTGGAGGTTTTCATAGATTCGAACGGCTGAAGCCTTCGTCGAGGGGCTTCATGCTGCGTAGACGCCGGTATCGAGACTCGTCTATGTTGTGGCAAACTGGACTTGAGAAGTGATTTATGCTTATCTATACCGTCGTTTATGATGTAAAAATTATAGGTCTGTGCCGTGATAGTTAGCGAAACAGTTGACGGTGTTTCTCATTAAGAGATGCCGTAGAAATTGCACTCACTCTCGGGAAGGAGTGCTTGTCTATCAAATGCATTCTCCGCTTCTGAGGTGTAGAGCATCTCCGTTCGCAGCCTTCCACAAAACAACCGAACTGCACAATAAAACTAGTCAGTAACTCATAGTCATGCGAGGATCTCCACATTAGAGGAACTAAGTGAAAAAGGATAAAAAGCATCACCGTTTTCTCTCCCCGCTCTCTTCTCGCAGCAGTAAGCGGATCATGATTCTCTTCAATATGGCGAGCAAGAAACAACTCGGACGGGAAGTTCTTTCCACATTCCGAACACCGATTGACATGAGACTGCTTGTAGTGAATCTCATATTCTTCATACGTCGAAAAAGATACGGGCTTCCGGTGTGGAGGGAAAGCACAGCGTATCAATTCTGGAGATTGCACGGACGCATCCAAGTGCACATGCTTGCGTTGAGGCAAATGGCTGGCGAGAGCCAAAGGTTCCGACTCGATTGCAAAAGTAGGCGCGAGCTCGGATGGCTCAGGTGCAGAGTCCTTACGTGAGCGTTTGGCCATGTCGAATCTTGAGGGTTGACGAGGATCAAATTTGGGAGAAAGAAATAGAAGGATTGTTTACCCTAAGTGGTTAAAAATTCGCAACTAGGCCATATTCCCTATTTCTTTGCTTCTTTAACGAAGCCTGCCTAGCTGAGTCTCCTTGTCTTGGTATGGGATTTGGTCTTTTTGGGAATAGGTGTACGGAGTAGGTACTCCGTACTGGTGTGATAATAAGTTAGGGCTTCAATCCACCGGGTGAAATCACAAGTGGCAAGTTCAAAGTTGGATTTCAAACAACGGATCGTCGTTGGTTCTCAAGCAAAGCTGCATGAAGCCGTCGGTAGTTGAATGTTGATAAATTAAACTCGGCGCTAAAAACCGATAAGATAAGAGGCTCCACTGGTATTAATAAGCAAAGTGGGATAAGGGCGAAATATTCGCCTTGTGCTTGGGACTTCAAATCTCGTCTGTTTCATAGCAGAGCACCCAAAGACGAGAGAGATTGCCTGGAGAGCTTAACGTGATCATCATGGTGCTCCCAAAATCCAGAAATGCCGTTGGGCTGGGGAACAGCCTGATGAATGACCGTTTCGGCAAAGGCAAAGCTTCAGATCGGAAAAAGGTCTCATACAACGCTGCTGCAATTCGACGAACGGGCCCGGGAGGAGAAACATACATCACGAATCCCACAGAAGAAGCATCATGGGTTAAAATGCGAAGCATTACGGAGCAGGCTGCACTAGATGAATTCCTCAGCACGGCGGAGCTTGCAGGAACGGATTTCACTGCTGAGAAGATGAATAACGTCAAGATTATCCACCCCGACCAGAAAAATCCCTACCTGCTTTCCGCTGCAGATGAAAGAACAGCTGTAAGCAAGCATCAGCGGAATAAAAATCGGCTGACGGTGCCGCGACGACCGAAATGGAACTCGAAAACAACACGACAGCAACTAGATATAATGGAAAGAGAAAATTTTATTGAATGGAGGAGAGGCCTGGCTGAGTTGCAGGAAAATCAAGATCTTTTGATGACGCCTTTCGAGCGAAACATCGAGGTATGGAGGCAATTATGGAGAGTCATTGAGCGATCGGATTTGATCGTACAGATTGTCGATGCCCGCAACCCTCTACTCTTCCGATCAGAAGACTTGGAAAAATATGTGAAGGAAGTTGACCCAAAGAAGAGAAATTTACTGTTAGTCAATAAAGCGGATATGATGACGCCACACCAAAGGGAACTTTGGGCGGACTTTTTTGAGTCCCAGGGCATCAGCTACAAATTCTTCTCAGCAGCATTAGCGAAAGAGCAAAATGAAGCGAAGTTAGACGAAGAGGTGGAAGACGACGCTTCGGTAATTGCTAATTTAGTGAAGCGTACGAGTAAGGCCGCTCTAGACGATTCCGAGGGAAATTCTGAAGATGACGATTCCGAAACCGACGAAAGCGGTGGCATTCCTCTGCCGGCTGATCCGAGTGAGTCGAGAATTCGGATTCTCTCAGTTGACGAACTCGAATCCTTGTTCCTTGAAGCCGCACCTACCCCTGACCCTCAAATTGACGGCTCTGAATCCTCAAAGAAGGTCACCACCATTGGGCTTGTTGGGTATCCGAACGTCGGGAAGTCAAGCACAATCAACGCTTTACTCGGGGCAAAGAAGGTCTCTGTGTCAGCAACCCCAGGCAAAACAAAGCATTTTCAGACCCTTCACCTCTCCCCTACTCTTGTCCTATGTGATTGTCCTGGTCTCGTGTTTCCAAACTTTGCCACCACCAAGGCCGAGCTTGTTATCAATGGCGTTCTGCCCATCGACCAACTGAGAGAGTATACTGGCCCAGCAGGACTCGTTGCTCAGAGGATCCCAAAACACTTTCTCGAAGCTATATATGGCATGAAGATCCACACACGCCCCATCGAAGAAGGAGGAACAGGAATCCCAACTTCTTCTGAAGTTCTCCGAGGATATGCGCGCGCAAGGGGCTTTGCAACTACCGGGCAAGGGCAACCTGATGAGTCTCGCGCAGCTAGGTATATTCTAAAAGATTACGTAAATGGAAAGCTGCTCTATTGCCACCCTCCTCCGCCAATTGCAGACAGTGTGCCTTTAGATCCGACGCAGTTCAATCAAGGTTTATATGACCTTGCGCACCTTCCTCCTAAAAGACAAGCAGCATTGCTTAACCAATCTTCCAGCGCATCTGTGTCTGGGTTTACGGACAGCAACGACGTGGATACGAATTCAGATGTCATGTCGCTCTCTTCAGCCCAGCCACCATTTGAGGGCGCTCGGTCCCGAAACGTTGATGCTGGATTTTTTACCGCTGGTGGGAGTGGTTCTGCCGGTCACCTCAAGATGCCGTTCAATCACGTATACACCGAGCAGGGGGCCAAGCAGAGGCATAAGGAGCTTTCCGGACGGAAGGTAAGAACGATGATAGCACTGGAGAAGGGAGTTGATGTCTCAGAGGTACAGACCTCTGGCAAGAAACACTTCAAAGGAGGAAAAAGGAAAGCAAAAGCGAAAGGCAATACCAAAGATGCCGATGATTTTTGAGTTAAACTATTCCCTAATGATATATGCACCTTGCTTGATGTTACGTGGATGTTAAACCTTTCTTTCTTGCCCACGCATAGATGGAGTTTTGGTTGTAACTTGTTTTGCTTTAACACTGGGCATATCCTTGGTTGAATCGCTTGGTGGGTTAGATATATATAAGTACTTCATACTTACGCTTTGTGGTGGTTGACCTGATCTTATCAATCGGCTTATCGATAACCTTAAATTCACGTGATCTCCACACGATAACACGATAATTTCTCAGATATTAGTTCTGGGAACGAAAAAGTCGCAGAGGAAGAGCAGACAAGGAGAGCATATGCAGACATTTCTTTCAAGATTATTTATTATTGTGGACCCACTTCATTAAGAGAAACTTGTGCCCGTAATTCCTAGCCAAGATGCCTCCGAAGCGAGGATGGATGTTGGTTTACGCTCACCTTTCATTTCCTGTGAATATGCACTGATAAAGCCGTTGCTTCCTGTAGAGACAAGAAGACCGCGACAACATACCAGCTTTTTCACAGATCCCAGAATGATCCTTTGATCCACGACCCTGAGGCGGATGACCGGGTTCTTCACCAGGTCTCCGGACCATCCCACCCACCCAACGGTCCAAGAGCTACAAGACATTTGGGCGATTTGGAGAGGGAGTTTGCCCAGTCTGGAGCCCGTAAAAACGAAGGAGAGGCGGCGAACTACGGTATCTTCTACGATGATTCCGAGTATGATTACATGCAGCACCTTCGGGAATTGGGCAAGGGAGGTGGGGAGGCACATTTTATCGAAGCTTCAGCCAGGAAGGGCAAAGGCAAAATGAAGAAGCTGGAAGATGCACTAGCAGAGAGTGGCCTTGAAGGCGATTTCGATGGACTTTCTCTGAGGGACGCCTCTTCGACCTATGGTGGAGATGACATGCTGTCAACGGCTTCATCGTACGTTAGAAAACCCACCTATCAGGATCAACAAGATGTTCCCGATGCGATAGCCGGATTTCAACCAGATATGGATCCAAGGTTAAGAGAGGTTCTAGAGGCTCTTGAAGATGAGGCGTTTGTAGACGAGGAAGGTGAAGAGGATGTATTTGATGCCCTTGTGGAAGGTGGAATCGATGCAGAGGTCGACCCGGACGAGTGGAGGGATACGTATATTGAAGATGATGATGAAGGATGGGACTCAGATGCTACAGAAAAGGCACCGGTCCAACCGATGTCATCCTCGACATCACACAAGAAGGACGACTCGAAAGCATATACCACTTCTCAAACGGAGTCTGAGCTCCCTTCGCACGACGCACCTATTCCGGACGCCACGAATGATGATGGAGATTGGCTTAAGAATTTCGCGAAATACAAAAAGGATATGAAATCCAGACCTTCGCCAACTGATGCTTCAGAAAATGCTTCCGAGCTTCGTACCACAGCCTCGACTTTGTTCACAGTTGGCGGAACGCCCATTCGGAAAAAGAAGCGCAAAGGCGCACTTACTAACCCATCCGCATACTCCATGACTTCATCCTCTCTTGCCCGTACTGAAGGTCTTCGCCTCCTGGACGATCGCTTCGAGAGGGTGGAGGCTTTATATGCGTTGGATGAAGGCGAGGAATATGAAGGCTCGAGTATGGCGGATGACGTGTCTATCATGAGTGGTATGTCCAAGTATTCGCAGACACCGAGCATGGTTTCGCAGAGCGGCAATGTTCCGATGAGGGAAGATTTCGATTCAGTGATGGACGAGTTCCTGGGCGGGTGGCAGGATCGCGGAAAGCAAGCGAAAAGAAAAGGGGCAAAGGGAAAGAGAGGAAAGAATGGCAATGAAGTCGCGGGCATGAGAATGTTAGATGAAATTCGGCAAGGACTTGGACCTGCGAAGGTTTCAGGGAGGGTTTGAGATGTCCTTGCGATAATTCTTGAAGTGCCGTTTCTACATGTCGATGGTTGAAAAAGTATTTTCGATGAGCATTTTATACCAGATTTTGCATAGCGGCGAATGGGCGAAGTCACCCGCAAATTTGATTCACCAATAAATTCCTGCATAATTCCTGTGTCCTTCCACTTTAAAATGGTGATATATTACAATAGTAGAGTACATACTATTTTGATTATTTGTCGCTTTGTCTAGTGCTGATGTGTCACATCGCTCCACCAACAATGTTAACAATCCACATTGCCAATCTCACATGCCACCCGACACGTCTCTCTACTTTTCTAAAATCCTCTCTGGATACCGCCTTGGCATCCTCTTGAAGCCACGCCGCCTCCTCTCCCAGTCTTTGCTTCAACTGTTCATTCGTCGTCACCACCACTGCGCCAACCTCCAGATCAAGACTGTAGCTGCGTTTCGTATAGTTGCTGCTTCCCACAAACGTCAAGCTAGGAGTTTTCTCGTTTGGAAGCGTGATCCAAAGGCCTTTTGCGTGGTAGGTCCAGCCACCCGGTTCACCTACAGTGCCGCGCCGCCATTCCTTTAACTGGATTGAATTTGTCTTTTGTGCTTCTGCAACACGATCAAGAAATCGGGCTGAGAGGTACGTGTATCCTGCTGGCAACATGCCTGAGACGCCAGGAGAACCATAGAAGCCATTGGCCCAAGGCGAGGCTGTGAGCACGACGCCCTGTGTATGTGGGGATGTGGAATATGATGTGCTGGCGATAAGAAGAGAGGACAAAGCAGGGTGGATGTTAAAATACCCAGCCGTGAAAAGCCACTTGGAGTTTTCTAACGCAGGGTTGGTAGAAAGAGCACCAAGAATGCTGATGACGGCGGGAAACTCTGTTGATTCGTCTGGCTTCAGAAGAGGAGTGAACTGCGCGACTGGATATACGTAGGTCTTATCTTCCGAAAACGAAGAGACTGAAAGTGTGGAAGTAGTTGGGGTTATCAATTTCGGAAGTATTGCTGAAGCGCTGGAAATAAAGTCCTCCGGGCGCTCCAGGGGAGACGGGCCTGTATTTCCCGATGGCCATTCCAAGGTGTAGCCGGATTTCTGCTTTTCACTGGGAATTACGAGAAAGCTCAAGTTGCAAATAGCCGTATGTATACGGCCATAATAATCAGACAATTGTTTCGAGCTGAAAAGATGATATCTATCCAGGCGGTTTGTGAAGTAGTCGCTGGAGAGGTTTGCTCTAATTGCGAATGGGGCGTTAGCATACCACCATAATAAAAGCCGTTTAGGATAGAGGTCTCACACCCAGAAAGTATTATTTCATCATCAATGCCGTATAGTTTCATGTGCTGTAGTCCCCATCCTTCATTAATTCTTCTTGGGACGTATCGTTTTCTCAAGCCGATCAAATTGGGGGTATGAAACATTCTAATTTCAACTCGATCAGGCCCATGTTCGGCTACTAGCGAAGCTAGGAGGGAAGCGCATGATGGATTGGGCGATTCGCGGGTGCCTCTTAGGCAGTCGGTGAGGATGGAAACTGTAAGATCAGGGTTTTGGCGTAGACTTTCGCTAATCACAGTTATGAGTTCATGTTCGGTTTTGCCAATGTAGAGAGTAGAGAGGTAGATTCGACGTTTCGCATGTCTTATTTTATGCTTAAGGCAAATTAGCATTAGCAAAAAGAGCAAGCTTTCGTGAAGGCTCTGTAAATACAGACCTTGAGGGTTTTGTAGAATGACTCTGGAGACTCGATAATCCTGATATGCGACGCGTGAATTTCGAACCGCGGAGAAATTCGATCCAATTCAACTGTTAAAGCACCGAGAGGGGATGTAGAAGCAGCATGATTCGCAGAAGCAGCAGCGGCGGCACCTGGGTTGGATGTGAATTTGCGGACTCGGACGGAGACCTGGAGAGCTCGCCGGCGACAGCATGGGAGGCATCGGCCTCCAATGCGACTAAACATGGTATTCCTAGGAGCTGGGCGCAAGCATTGAGTGCAAGGGAACTATCAATTGGCTAGACCCGTGTCTCTATTTCTTCAATTGATTCCGTCCATGTCTTGATAATGCCGGAAGCTTGCTCGTCAATTTTATTGCTCTTATCTTATCAGATCTCCGATCGGCCTGCGCTAAACTCTTTCGAGACTTGTAAGTACTTCGCTCATCACCGACGCCGACATCAACGATTGCAAAGTCACTCGCAGTCAATTCAGGGCACCTTTCGCCGCAAAGATGTCGACAATCACTCGTACACTCCGGAACCTCTGGAGAATAGGATTTAAGGTATGCTATTCTCTCCGAATCCTCAGAAACTTGACTGACGGTTTGAAAATAGGAATATGGCCACCAAATGCAGGTATGAAGAAGTTGAACCCCATCCGAGCCAACCGAGCGAATTGGATAGAGCGCTTACGTACCGTGCTGTTTTGGATTAATAGTACATGGGTATGTCTCTATTATACTGTGCTATACCGGATTAATGGACTGGCAGATCTAATTTGTTCCATGCAGGCGATACGAAAGCCGGGACCCTAGTCGCCATCGACCGATACGGAAACAAGTACTATGAAAACAATGCCGAGTTACCACGTATGTGTCCATGAGCAAGGGTCACAGAAGAAATGGACGCTCTAGCTAACTGTTTCCGCTTCCCCTTTCGCGAACCCAGTCCGAACACGATGGGTGGACTACAAGCAAAAGGAACTTGATGCCTCTCATGTCGAGCCCGGATGGTACGAGTCTTGGTTCCCCCCGCTACTTGGATAAGTCGGAGGCTCACCTTATTTAAAGGCACGGATGGCTGGCTTACATGGTCAACAAACCGCCAACCGAAGACAAAATCATGCAGACAGGCGTGCGGACATGGGAAACCCCCGAACACAGACCGAACCTGACACTATCCCGCGCCGCATTCAAAACATATTCGACGTATGTCTATCTACGATGATAGTGGCACTCGGAAACTTTAGCTTTTACTGATGATTTATATTTAGGACCAAACCAAAGTACTCTGCTTGGGACCCGGTTGCGAAACCGAGATAGATTTTAAAATTGTGATATAGCTCACTTGTAACACAGCAAAGCAGCAATCCATCAGGAAATACTCCATTAAATTACTGTATATAACCGCGCCATGGGCCCTCTTAAGGTAGCTGATCAATCTCTGTACAAGTGATTCCATTGCGAACTAGGTAAATCTCGCTAATTAGGCCGTAAGGGAGCCTCTCAAACGCATAATAAAGACATACCGCAGTCATGGGTATCGGATGAAAACAGAGGTGCACTGATAGATAATCTAGATGGTAATTAATACTGAAAACTTAAAAATCATTTTCGAGAAGAATGCAAAACACTGTTACAGAACGTATCCACCGGATCCAACGTTCCACCAATGTCGAACTGGTCGCCGGTCTTCAAGATCGATACACCACCAAAGGACGTCCTTGGCCTTTTGGATCTGGCCCGAATGTTCGTAAGCTCTCGCCAGGGCAAACCATGCCTCGGAATCATCCCAGGCAGTTCCCAGCTTTGTCAACGCAGACAACAGACCATAGGCTCGATCTCGCGCAGCAAGGCGGTCGAGATACTCCGGGGAATCCTTATCGTCTAATGGTGGTGGAGCGGGCTTAGATGTTCCCTTCGCCATACCGTTTCCATGCAATGAAACGTCCAGGGTTGAGAGTGAGAGACTGGAAACATCAGGTAGACTCGACACCTCTGGCTTTTCAGTGGGCAGCTTTTGCTCCCATATGTCAAGTAGGAGATTTGCCAGTCCCACTGTCGCTCGGATATGATCTGGAAAGTATATTAATGCCTCCTCAAATTGCTCCATAGCTTCAAAGGGTTGAGACTGGGCTTGAGAGATGTATCCACGTTCAGCATAGACATCCGCCCAGAGCTCATCAGACGACTTGGCTCCTCCCCAACCTGGATCGGCAAACGCTTTTGCGGATGACTCTTGTTTAGCAACAAGCTCCTCAACACGTTGCGCCTGCTGCTTAGCCTCATTCCAGGACCCAAGAGCATCCTCAAATAAACCAGCGCGCCTATAAAGACCTGCCACAAAAAGCCATATTTTAGTAAGGAGACCGAGCGCCTGCCTTTGAATGTGATCCTTGGAAAACCTCGTTGAAGTTTTCGCTTGAATACCATGACGACCAGCGGTCGGTAGCCGGATATCCTGAAGAGGTGGCTGTTGCCGGTGGCCAATTGGAGGAGGCTCCTTGGTGTATTTCGTGTTGTGAGCAACGGGCGGCAAGCTCTGCCTCGCGGACACCGAACCATTGTGCTTGGCGGTTGGCGATTGCATATAGGGAGGCGAAGTTGACACGTCCTGAACCTTGGCTTCCGTTGGATCTGGCTGTGGTTTATGTGGATGGAGTTGTGATTTTGAATGTCTTTCCAAGCTTCGATGGCGGATGGCCTTGCCGATACTACCTTCCCTCCGGTGTAACTTTTGTGGTTGGCGGCCGTCCTTGAGACGAAAAGAGCTCGACCTAGTCATGGCAGTTTGTGGTCTTTCTTTAAAACCAATCATGTTTTCATCGGTTACTTGAATGGGTGGCTTAGAACCATCCACCGAACAATCAGAAACGGAACGATCCCTTGGCGGAGAGCTGCCATCCATACCAAAGCCAGATTCGTGATCAAAATCCCTTTGGACCCTTTTTCGGCCGAAAAGGCTACCTCGAATACTGCGAACCCCACCTGAACTTCTCGGAGGGGCAAGATGCTCGGCTTTTTGCTTTTGATCTGGCTCCAAAAAACCTATGTTTGCGAAAACGCGACCAAAATGTCCTAGCAGTTCTTCGGCATGGTTAATGGCAGCCTCAGGTCCATGCAGAACCTCAATCAGGGAGAGCTGAGTCATTCGCAGTTCAAGCATACTTTCCTTCTTCCGGAGCTCTGTATCTTCAAATACTGTGTCGTTGTGCTTGCCGCCGGCATCCGTTGAAGGATGGGAATATTTCTCGTGGTGCTGCTCGCCTGAGTGTGTTTTTCCGTCGTGGGTATCACCTGCCATCACCGTATCAAGAACCGCTTCACAAATATGATTAGCGGTTTCGAACTCTTCGCGCGCGGTTAAGAGAAGAGCAAGAAGATGCCATAACGGAACGAGGTCTCTCTCGCCGGTGTATGATATTTGATCTGAATTCAGAAGCCCATGCCCCATCACGTCCGCGGAGCTTAGAGCAAGTCGTACCCGATCAATTGCACCACCTAGATCTCTGGTCTCTGCAAGCATCAAACTCAATGCAAAGATAGAAGCCGGGTTCATGTCCTGGCCCAATTCCTCCGCCAAAGATGCCTCCAGCGACGATATGGCTGAATTCTGTAAGTCACGTCGGGTTTCCGTTTCCGCAGTCCATCTTGACCAATTTGCCAATCCAATACCAATAGCTCGGTATGCGCCGGCGAGCGTCACCGGTAATAATTCATTATTCTTGGGCGAGCTCATGCCGTTCAGTTGTGGAGAGGGGCATTTATCATCGCCTTCACTTGTTAAGGCGTGTTCGAGTAGATTTGTTAACTGCTTAGCCTTTTCGGCTCTCTGGTAGGTACCAAAACAGCACACCAATAGGATCCCATCTGACAAGGTACGGACGAAGGTATTCACATCTTCAATTTCCTTAGTCGGTTTACCAGCTTGTTTCGCTCGAGCTTTGGCAGTGTCAACAAGGTGAATATATGTTTCCAGGGCCCTCATAGCAAGGTCGAATTCGGCCAATGCCGAGTGCACTTGGAAAAGGCGCCGTAATATCAAGGTTGAGTGGAACGTCTTCGTCGCTGCACGGTAAAGGATCTGAAAATGCGATCAATGATTGTTAGTGAGGAAACAGGCAATCAGCCCGAGAGGCACAACTTACATCAAGCACATTACGAGATAACGCGTCCCGTCCACCTTTCCCGAAATCTGCGTCTTGCCATTCCGGACCGCACAAGATCTGCCAATTCCGGACAACCTGCTCCACCCAGAGTTCAACCTCATGATTTGAGGAACTGGCTTTCGGGAATTTCGCGTTTCTGAGCAGAGCATTCTCGCATATCGTTTCCACGCGCCTAAACTCGGAAACAAGCTGGGCTTGCTTTGGACCTTCCGAGGAAGGGATATAAGGGAGTCTTTTCTGTAGGATGTGGGAAAGGAGATCGTAGTATGCGCGCCATGTTGAAGCCTTGGGGCCTGACTTGGCGGAGGCATCACTAGAATCTGTCGTTGACGCCGGGTCACCTTGCTTCACCTCACAGTGGGATGCCCACGCACGAAATGATTGCAATGCGAACTCGATAGTAGATTCCGTCACTTGCGAACCCTGAGCTGTAACAATCTTCCCAGTACATCCTGCTGTCTTTGCTAAAAGACGCTCGGACCAGAACAGATATTGCGGGGTTAACAGGGCATTCGACGTAGGAATGGAAACTCGGGCGGCTAGGGGTTTCATTGCTTCCACCGCGACTTCGACGCCAGACAATGATTCCAGGGCAGCACCTTAACAATAACTACATGAGTATGCCATCCTACTTCTCAGGTAGGGAGAGTTCATACCTTTCAAATAGCCAGCCTTCACAATACAGACTTCGGTCCATGGTGACAACACCTCCCCGTTTCCCGAGAGCAAACTGACGACATTATGAAGATCCTGAGGCAGATAACTGGCGGCTGACTCCGGTTCAGATAATTCCCAATGCAGCCAACTAAGACACACCTGGGCCTGAAAGGTATTCTGTGTGACATCCGCCCCTTCTTCTATTACGGATAACACAGGGGATATCCGTCCGAGGAGGTGTTCTGAATCCTGCGCAGCGGAAGAAGTGGTACTTTCAGATCGCTTCTTCACATGGTTAACGATTTGCAACTCGGTTTCCGCCACTAGGAGTAGAGCTGCGTTGAAGGGATCCGATATTAGCCTCCGAGTCCAAATGTTTAGGGTCGGTGGGACTCAATACCCTTCTCCGTAGGGGCATGTTTCGATATCTTTCGAAGGATATCGGGGACTTCATGCCAATTTCCATTGCACCTTGCCGTATCCAGTAGCTCTATATAGCGACGGGCTTTGGTGATGACCTATTCTTATAGAAAATTATAGTTAGAGCAAGGGCGGAGAGCCGGAGTTGCACGGAGTGTTGGATCGTGAGAATACGGAGTACGCACCGTCATGGTTTCTCATATAATACAACACAGGATTGGAAGTGTAATGTAGCAATCATTTTCGGGCCAAAGGGAAGAGATTAGTAAAAGGAGGGTCTCTTAAAAGGAGTCATTATGAGTCCATGTTCGAGCCATCTTTGTTGTTCCTCAGAGAACGCTTGCTGCAGCTGTGGACGGTGGTGATCTTCGGGTGCGCTAAACCTTGAAAATTAGCTGAATAAATAATTTCCGCACCAAATTCATTCATCCAATCTCCAAGGCGCAAACAATCCATGGCTGCAGCTATTCTCAGGAAATATATCCACCGTCCTTGACACTCCTGCTCTCCTCAAATTGGGCCCTAAGAACAAAAAGGCCCGGCAGCGTTCTTGTTTGCTATAATGGCCTCGACGATGGCTCTCCGAGCAGCTACCCACCGGCTAACAATAACCCCAGTTGAGGAGCTGCCGTCTATGGCAGCGTATCTCGCGTCGACCCTAGGAGAAAGTAGCGCCATATTGTCCACTCCAGAGCACCAGAGAAAGGCAGCGGGCGCACCGGATACTGCGCTACTGGTAACTAAGCTAAAAGCTCGAATTACCAGTCTACTTCAAGACCGAAGCATTGAAGGCCGGTGGACAGCAATTATATTGGCTAAAGCTGCGATTGAAGCTGGTCAATGGGAAATACTCCGTGGCTGTGAGCCTTGGGTTCGAGCGCTTTTGGCTATCCTGGCTGTAAGTCTTTCCTGGATATGACATCCAAGTCTGGAAATGCTAACGGAGAATTTTACCTGTAGAAACCAGATCCATCATCTTCGAAAAAGTTGGCTCTCATTACCTTGACTCGAATCTTTCGACTTACCCACCAGTATCCGACTTTGACACGGGAAATAACAACCCCGTGTTTGCCGTCGTTTGTAACTTCGTGCCTGAATCTTATATCCGTCAAATCAGCATCCGATGGAAGCAGAAAATTGAAGCAGAATAACCTGCTGATTATTCCAGTATTTAGCTCTTTCTTGGAGCTTCTACCTAACCACCCTACAATATTCCGGCCTTTCTCTGCCCAGCTGCATGATTTGCTCGTACCTCTGATCGGTTCCCTCGGCTCCAATGATTTTATTTCTGAACCCCTTATATATCTGGCTCAACGCCTGTTCGTGTCTCTCCATCACTGTGCTCCAAAAAATACGTCTGGAGACGAATGGGTCAAAGCATACCGGTCAACGATATCATCTGCTCATCGCGTGGGAGATCATCTTTTCAGGGCAGTCATAGAGCAATGGGAATCCGTTGATGTTGAAAAACGCAGACCCGGAAGATCTAGAGACTACAATAGCCCAGTTGGTGATGATGGTCCTGATCCACTCGGGCTTCAGGGTTGGGATGGCGTTCAAGAAGGCAGTGGTCGGCTGGTTAGCTTGTTGCGGTTACTGTCACAGTTTCTATCGACTCATACACATTCGAGCGTGTCCATTCCTATTGGTTATACTCTCGACCTAACAGCCCGGCTAGCCTCCCTCAGTATTCCCGTCTTGGAAAATGACGACGATAGATCAAATTTAATCAACCGCGAAATCAGCCGGGATGAACGGGAAAGTTTATTCAGCGAACTCCCAAGTATCCATGTTTCCGTATTGAATTTGCTCTCTACAGTCGTGAAAACAATTGGAGCTGGGAGTACTTCGATCGCTCAAACTTGTCTTGACCAGGCTCTCTGGATCTTCGACGCGGCAAACGGTAAGAAAGCCGTTCGGATAGCCGCCTACGGGTGTATAGAAACTACATTGCCCATTATTGGGTATACATTTACAAAAGCAGGAATTGGTTTGCTGGCCCCAGCGATACGACTCGCATGTGCCGATTTACTACCCCAACATAACCCCACACAGTTGATCGAAAAGGCACCTAAGACCAAAGGAAGCCAAACTGCAATTAATGCAGACGCATTCTTGGGCACGAATGCTGCGTCTGAAGCCATAGATCCCAAACTGTCAAACTCCAAGGAGATTCAACTCCCTGGCCTCGAGCTGTTGGCGAACTTTCTCACGTGCATTCCGACAGATTTGATCCCTTTGTCCCTACGTGCGGAAATTGATCGAACTGCGATCCTTACGGGGGCCGTGAAACTTATGATGGCTAGCGTGCTTAATCCTATTCCACCCACAAGCAATCAACGAGGTCATGCCAGTATCATGCCATTCCTCGCGAGGAGTAATATAGACGACCTGCAAGTTGAAGGATTATTGCGGCCACGGATGCCGGTTCTCATGACTGGTACTGGGAAAAGAAAACTCACGACCCAAGAAGAAGACATCAGGATGGAGCGCGAAGACTTAGGCACCATGGACCGTGATATTTACAAACAATCGACTTTGCTGGCTGAAAATAGTGTGCTAACGGAATCGATCCCTAAGCCAATGGACATTGACACGGATCTTGAGAGCAGGGGTACCAAGCGAGGTCATGAAACCGACAGCGGAGCTCAAATATCGGCACCATCCTTAGAAACACAGCCTGTGATCGTTTCTCCAGATAAAAAGCCTCGCACAGAGACGAGTTCACCGATGGCCGCTCCTTTGCAATCTATAGAGGCCCCGGAACAGAAAGATACGTCAAGTGAAACTCCTATTCTAAGGGAGCCATTGGATAATAAGCCACTCGCTCTGGAATCGTCGCTAACCAGCACAGCGCTTTCACGCGCTGAGGTGACATTAGAACTACCGGAGCAAACACGCGACCACAATGCTTTTCAAAGTAGGATATGCTCGACGATGCAGCAGGGCACTGTCACCAAAGATGACGAGGAAATGGCGTCTGACGATGAAATTCCGCAACTTAATCTCGACCCAGACACCGATGAGGATGATGATGTCTCTATGCAATAGCATCAGAGTCGAGTCAGCAACCCTCGCTTACGAAACTTGTATAGTAGACTTGTCCTTAACGAAAAGCACTCGCGGAACAATTCTGTTTGGCCGAGGTGGTTATATGTGTACGACTTAAAATAAAAATCTAATCCGTCTAAATTACGTGGCATAAGTATAATACTAAAATGGTTCTATAAGCATGCGCTCATGACACATCGCCAAATGAACTTTATCTGCCAAAAAGGTCCGAGGCAACATTGCTTGCGCCTCAGGACATTTTGTCTATAATATCTGAATTCCGCGCTGCCACCACTTCTCTCCTTTCCACATCCTAAACCACTTTCCGTGCCAACACCACCAGCCTTCGTCGGGGGTTCCAAATCCAAAACCCCGCAGTGGACTAATTGGAACAGGTTCAAATAGCCAAATCCCACCTCTTGAAAAATCATTGGCAACAAGTGGCCCTGTTAACAAAATCCAGGTGATTGTGAACGCAACATTACCCCATTGTTTCAACCATTTGGGCAGCGGGAAGGGTAGATGCGACAAGAGATGTGATGTGAGGTCCTGGGCTACAATTCCCAGAAATTGGAGAATGAAGAACAGAAACGGACCCGACAGGGGGTGTGTAGGTGCAAATTGGGTGTAGCTTCCACAGGCGTGGATGAGCCCACTGAGCATAAAGGCAATCATTGCCCGTAGGAACAAAAAGATAGGTTTCTTTTGGAGAGAACGCGGAAGATATTGGAACATCCAATCACTTGGCGACACAAAGCCATACCGGAAGATTTGATGCCACCATTTGCCCCATCCACCAGCCAAACCATAGTCGAATACACTAGAGAATGGACCAAAGAGCCCACGGTACAACCACGGTGCCTCGATTGGGACGGTAATCCGGGTAGAGGAGCCGTAGAAGAGAGATAAGAGTAAGTAAGCTATGCACAGGTAACCGTGGAGAGTCGTAAGCGACGAGACAATACCGAGATATATAAGGAAGTGACGATATATATGGGCGAAAAAGGCAGCGAAGTGGCCGAGCGGCGCAAGGAAAGGCGGATGGGGCGAGTCAACAAGCCCCCAGAAATAGGAGTCCCTCACCATGAGGATTTTGACAAGATCTAGGCGCAGATAGTGAATAAATGTTTTCTTTAAAACCGACATGAGCACATATTTTGTTGGAGGATCCGCCACGGAGGGTGGAAGTGTCGGGTTACCCCAATTCCAACCAGTTCCTCTAAAAGAAAACATCGAGACGTCGAGGACCCAGGTGAAGCGATGCGAGAACTTCTCAGGATAAGATTGCCATCTATATTTTGCTCGGCATTGAAGACTGTTCGTTGATTTTTCGCCCGAGGTTTTCGACAGACCGCCGTTCCCAGGCGAGGATATCTCACTTTCCCAGAACTGTAGGTCCTTGTGCCCGTTTGCCTCAGCATTGACACCATTGGACCTTCTCCCGCGAACTTCACGAGTCCGCTCTATCCTCTTGAACTCTCCTTGAACGTCCCTAAACACAAGTAGAGTTGCACTCCAAATCGTATGCCATATAAAGCCCATACCGACACCGTAGCTATTTGCCATACCCAGGGTACGACAATTGACAATTGTCAACGTATTCAAGTATAAAACCACGCAAAAAGCAAAGTGCCTAGCAAATCGAAAAGCATTATGGCGGGGCCATGGAACAAGTAACACTGCAACGACGATGAAAATAGAGATGAAATTGTGAGGAAAGATGAGTGGAAGAATTTCTCCCTTTTTCATGCGATCAGCAAATTCAACTTCCCGCAATGCCAAAATGGCACGGTATCCAGGACTGACTGGGAAGCCTTCCATTGTTGGCCCGAAGGGACAGAGTCGACTGGCCACATTACTCCCGTCGTGAAAGACGAGGCGTCTCTGGCATCTTTTATACGACAAAATTAAAAAAATTAAATAAATAAAAAAAAAAAAAAAAAAATTGCGCAGGAAAATGCACAGGGTGGCTGGCTGATTGGCAGAGGCTTGAGTCAAGCCTGGTGACAGCAAATAGGATAACAATGCATTTTTAAACACACGAGCCCTTGAGGCCTGTTTCCTGTGACTGCGCTGGCCATCTGCAGGAAACAGAGCATTCAGACGGTTGCACCGCTTGTGACGCGACGCCGGAACTGCAAGCCGTTTTCCTGGTTGGATTTAAGGTTATCGGTGTGTGTGGAGACTTTAGTCTGAAAGCGCGGTCTTGGCGTTGTTTTGATCGGCCCAGCAGCTTGGGTCGCGTCACGACCAGGGGGCTGCAGCGCGTTGGCGCCGTTTCTTTGAGCAGATCCGAAGTGCAGCTCTTGAATCCTGCAGATTCAATACGTTTCACGCCGTAGCACTGCACATCGATGCAGTGTGTTGTCTCTCGGGTTAAACGAGGTGTCTCTCAGTAGTAATGCCACCCCGAAGAACTTCAAAAACCCCGACATCCGTGCAACGGGTGGTTCATCGTCAGGGGCGTCCAGAGGAGGCAAACGCAAAGCTCCTGCTCTTATTGACCTGACCGCAGACGATGACGACGAGGTGGCATTGAGCTCGCAGGCTCGTAGTGCGCCAAGGCAATATGTTCCCAGCCAAACCCTCAGCCAACCTGCTCTTCCTCCCGAAAATTTTCTTTCACTCAGCCAGAGGCTTCCAGACACCCAGGCCGAGCTGGAGGAAGAAGCAAACGCTGCAGCAGTTGTTGAATCCTCCCAGGAGTTAGATGACTCCGCCTACTCGGACTTTGAGCTTTATGGCTAGCATATTTCTCTGAACACCTTGGAATCTTTACTCTGCTCACTAGATATAAGGTACTTTACTCCACAAAATAGTCGGGGTTAGATATTATAATGGGCAGGCGACCAAAGGAGAATATGTGAACATTAGACGCGAGCCTGGCAACCCCTATGATTCCAATGCAATCCGGATCGACAATGTCATGGGCGACCAAATCGGCCACTTACCTCGCCAGCTGGCTAGCAAATTGGCTCCCTACATAGTAAGTCCGTCGGTTGCGCATTGGGGTTGCGGAAACTAAAGGGTAAAAATCAATTATACAGGATTCTGCGGACTTACTAGTAGAGGGTGTTCTAGCGGGAAACAAGGGTGTCTACGAATGTCCAATCAGCCTAAGACTATATGGAACCAGTGAGCCCAGACAGCAACTAGAGCTCGTAGCGAGAATGAAAAGGCAGGGGCTGCCGGTTGCAGAGCTGCTCATGAAAAACAGCGACAGGAAGAAGCGTCAGCTGCAGGAATTGAAAGCCGCCGCCGCCAATAGCTCCAGGGCACGCAAAAACATTGGAAGGGGTGAGGAATGGAACAAATCGGACAATGCCTTTGGCGTTAATATGGCTCCTCCCGGAGGGCATTCGGACGAAAAGAATAAGAATCAAGAGTCTATTGACGACATTATCGGCCAAAGCGTTGTCTTCAACCCCAGGGAGATGAGCCAGGTCGTTGAAAAGTTTGGCGCTGATGAGAAAGAACTTGCAGCAATGCCGATGGCGGAGTGTCCGGCCTCGCTTTCGACGGAATTGTTACCATATCAACGTCAAGGACTCGCGTGGATGTTAGATAAGGAATCACCACAGCTACCAGGGATTGGACGTGAGGATGTGGTGCAGTTGTGGAAGCGGCAGGCCCAGGCGTATAAAAATATCGCAACTGGTTATGTCACAAACCAGGCACCTCCACTTGCCAGCGGTGGAATCCTTGCGGATGATATGGGTCTTGGGAAGACTATACAGACTATTTCCCTTATTCTAGCGGACCTAAAGGTGGCATCCGCTCAATCTTCGAGGACCACACTGATTATCTCTCCGCTTGGAGTGATGAGCAATTGGAGAGACAGATTGCTACCCATGTCAAGCAGGAGAATGCGCTTAAAGTTCTCGTATACCATGGGACAGGTAAGAAAGAGGCCGAAAAGCTCGACCAATACGATGTAGTAATCACCACTTATGGTGCACTTGCCATGGAATTTGGGCAAGTTGATGGCAAAAGCCCTAAGGCCCTGAAACCAAAGCAGGGCCTTTTCTCTATGCGCTGGCGCCGAGTTGTCCTAGATGAAGGGCATACTATTCGATCTCCACGGACCAAGGGAGCAAGAGCAGCTTGCGCTCTGGAGGCCGACTCTCGATGGTCACTGACGGGGACACCTATCATTAATAACCTGAAAGACCTATACTCACAGCTTAGATACCTCCGTATATCTGGTGGATTGGAAGATTTTTCTGTCTTTAACAGTGCACTAATCCGACCGCTCAAAGACGAAGACCCCAACGCCAATCTCGTTCTCCAGGCTCTAATGGCGACAATTTGTCTACGCCGGAAGAAGGAAATGGGATTCATCAACCTTCGCCTTCCGCCCATGCAATATCCTTCATGTCAAGTTTTCCCAGCATGAGAAAGAGAAATACGATATGTTTCAGTAAGCTCTAGGTGAACTTCTACCCTACCCCTTGTCCCAAACTAACGAAATGACTACCAGGGCCGAGGCGAAGGGTGTCCTTATGGAATATTCTAACGGGAAAAAGTCGAATGTTACCTATTCACACTTACTTGAGGTTATCCTGCGCCTTCGACAAGTCTGTAACCATTGGAAATTGTGCCAAAGCCGCATAAATAGCCTCATGGATCTGTTGGAGAAGGAAAAAATTGTATCTTTGACACCAGAAAATGTAAAAGCGCTCCAGGCGCTCCTCCAACTGAACATTGAGAGTCAAGAAACGTGCCCTATATGCCTCGATTCTTTGGATCAGCCAGTGATCACGGCTTGTGCTCATACCTTCGATTATTCTTGCATAGAGCAGGTCATTGAAAGACAACACAAATGTCCCCTTTGCCGCGCAGAACTCGCAGATACGTCGAATCTTGTTCATCCCGCTGTTGCTCTCGGTGAAGACGACAGCAAGGTGGATGTCGACCCTGAGGAAAGCAGCAGCAAAATTCAAGCTTTGATTAAAATTCTAACGGCACATGGTCAGGCTCCGGGAAGCAAGACAGTTGTTTTCAGTCAATGGACATCGTTTCTTGACCTGATTGAGCCGCAGCTTGTAAAACACAATATCACTTTTACCCGGATCGACGGTAAGATGAGCTCCACCAAACGGGATGTGGCCATGGCGACTTTGACCAATGATCCGAACTGCACTGTCATGCTCGCGAGTTTAAATGTCTGCAGCGTTGGCCTCAATCTTGTGGCCGCCAACCAAGTTATTCTTACAGATAGCTGGTGGGCGCCTGCCATCGAAGACCAGGCAGTGGATCGCGTCTATCGACTGGGCCAGAAACGACCTACTACGGTATGGCGGCTTGTGATGGAGGGGAGCATTGAAGATCGAGTACTGGATATACAGAAACGCAAGCGTGATCTGATGACCACCGCTTTTAGGGAGAAGAATTCAAAAACGGGCGAGCAACAAAGAGCGAGATTGGCGGATTTGGAAAAGCTGCTGCAGTAGGCGGTTCAGCTTCATTGCGAGCCAGAGATCTAAGTACCTCTTCCACCTTTTGTTCTTCTATGATTCTTGTTCTTTTCCTCCTCCTCCTTTCCGATTCCCTCAAAATGCTTCTTGGCCTCTAGGGGTCTTCGCCGGGTAGCCTTTTCTTTCCATTTGCCTTTTCATTTTAGATTCATTGAACTGTTGCCAATGATCATTTATTTCTCTGGCAAGAGTGGATTTTCTGCTTCTTTATCCTTCAGATCTTCTTCTAGATTCGTTTTCGGTTGGTGGAACACATGGCTAACAGTGCGTTCTGGCCCTTTGATTTAATATTTTGTAATGTATCTTCTATAATATTTACTGATGCTAGTCCTTCATCTGAATGTCGACATGAATTGTCACACACACTGCTCACAGCCTTGGCGCTCATCTTAAGATTTAAGTGAGAGAGAGAGTCATTCTGAGTGTGAAATAAAAACCACTTCACCTTTTTCTTCGCATCCAGGGCTGACAACCCACAGCCGAGGCTGAGGTTCCCTTGGAGCCAACAATCAATAGCCGGTTCTGCAATTTTATATATATATATAAATTTTTTTTTTCTTTTTTTTTTTCAATGTTGGAACCCGGTGGATCCGTATTGATGGTGATGGTGCATGTTGGAGCTTCGGATCCAACGTACCGATGACCCCTTTCTGCATAGAGATAGGGCTGCAATGTGAATGACTGAGCCCAGATATCGAGAGGAAATGGCGGGATCGGGCGGCACCATGAGCAACCCGCCCTCCGCACAGCCCACTATATAAGGAGAATGAATATTTCTCCTGGATTTCCTCATGTGTTGTCTTGGATTCCCTGTCGCTGGACGGATTGGACTTTTATGTGAAGATTGTCGGCCTGAGCTTTATAGCAAGAATCAAACAAAACTTTTAACATATAACTACCCTGTTCTACTTCTCCCTTGTCACCATGGTATTTAAAAGCGACGTCTCTCTTAATGTCTCCAAGTTCCAGCCCAGCGCGATTCCTCCAGCCAGCCATGCAGTCAACCAACACATAATGAGCATGGCGGATGGCAAGCCGAGATGGTGGGAGGTATGACGGAGCTTCGTCTTCTTAGTCTTTTTGTTTTCAAGATTGTTTCCTGCCAATTGCGCTGACCGTGACTTTGCTGCCTCTTTCTCTCCTGATCTCAAGGTCGGCGCACAAACATTCCGTGAAATGAGAGCTAGGGGCGAGACTGCAATGCCCCCGTCAGCTCTGTTAGATTGCGCTCAGTCATTCTCAATTCCTTCTCGCGAACCCGGACGAAATATTCCATGCAGAATAATTAAACCGGAGGGCAGCTCTGCGCCGTCAGGAGTATTCTTGCATATTCACGGCGGTGGGTGGGTTTTGATGGACGAGGAATCGTAAGGCTACACGAATACCTTAAACATTCTACCTGCTCCGTCGGCTAACAAAGCCCTTTCAGCCAAGATGCCCTGCTGAAGCATTATACGGATGCTGCCAACCTCGTCTCTATATCAGTGGGCTACCGCCTTGCACCCGAACACCCCTACCCTGCCGGGCCGGAAGACTGCTACGATGTTGCGGAGTGGCTCGTAGAGAATGCTGAAAAAGAATTTGGCGCGCCTCTGAAGTTTATGGGCGGAGAGGTAACTGCGAGATCCCCCGTCTTTGATTCCGCTGACAACGACCATGGGGTGAATGCATCTAACCTTTGCTACTTCAGTCTGCTGGAGGCCATCTGTCAGCGTTGACGGCATTACACCTCCTTTCTCATGAAAACCCGAAATACTCTGATTTCAAATTCAAAGGCTTGCTCCTCCATTTTGGTGTATTCGACCTCTCATCCACACCGACAACATATACTTTCAAGCGTAGCCCAGCACTCGTTATCGACCGCGAATCCATGACCCATTCTACCGTATGTTCCTCTGTTTGATTTCCCCACCAATCGCAGCTTCTCCACACTAACTACGTCCATTTACAGAACGCGTTCCTTCAGAGTCCCGCTTCCGATCCCAAAGACCCTAAGATTTCTCCATTATATTTCGATTTTCTATCCCTTACCGCCTCGGGAAATTCACTCCCTCCTGCAGTATTCACCTGCGGAACTGAAGATGTCCTTCTTGACGATACTATTTTCATGAGTGCAAAATGGCAGATGGCTGGTGGCGAAGCAATAGTGAAAATTGTGCCCGGTGCACCACATGGATACATTATGTGCCCACCGGGATTAGTGCCGGGAACTGAAGAGATATTGGAATTTTTAGAGAAGTTTTTGAAGGAGAAAGTTTAGCATATGTAGGCAGCGTCTGTAGGAATGCTAGGGGTTTCATGCATGCTGCCGGCTTGTTGGGAATATGAGATGCATCTAGGGAATCGTTAAATGACCTTTTTTGCTTTTTTGTGCAATAGCTACTGTCTCGAGACCAGCGAGTAGCCCAGTGCCTACACATGTAGTACGGTGTCCCCAGCGCAACAGGAACAACCGAACTTAAAAGCAAACCTCTTGGTCGCAATAGTTAAATAACAAGTTACAATGTCTGAGCGTGCCTAATTCAAGCGTTATCCCGATCAACCGATAACCTGCACGCTGTGAAACTCCATGCCATATCAAGTTTGGGGGATAGGGGTATCGAATCAAGCTCAGCATGCCATGTACGCCAAAGGAGAGAGAATAAAAATGGAGGAATTCTAAATTTGAATCAATTTCTTTTCCCTTCCCCCTTTCCCATTTTCCAATTCTCATACCTATCCATCTCAGATCAGTACGAACTAAAGAAATAAGACGGAAACGACAAGGCACTGGTAACTAGCCCTACACGAGACAAACACCTAAGTGATGCCACTCGCTTCCTTTGCAATTATTGCGCAAAATGGCCATCGCAGATCCGGCAAGAGAAATTTGGGAAAAGCTTCCCGTTAAGGCGATCTGAAGAAGACAAAATCACAGCGAAATAGGACGAACTTTTTCGGATTTGAGAAAAGTTCGCAATTTACTGTGTTGCACAGCGAGTAGATTCTTCCTCCATAGTGGGTGTTTTTGGGGAGTTATCAACCAAGTCAGAGTCATCTCCACTTTCCCGCTCTCTTTCATCCGCACCGTCAAAACCAACGGGGCGACTTTTCTTGGGTGAATGAGAAGACGGATTGCTTGGAACATCAGATTTGGCAAAGTCAGGATCATTACTTGGTGTAGCTGCTGGTGCGTTCCGTAAATTTGCTGGTGAGTCGGTGGAGGATTCTAATGGGGCATTCGCCCTGGTAGGTGTAGCAACATTGCTGGGTGACTGTGTGGATGTTGTTGCTGGCGTGTTCGGTGGCTTGGCCGGGTGAGCGATGGGTTTAGCAGAAATACCAACATTAATGGGGGACTGCGAGCAACTCAATGCCGGCATGCTTGGTGAATCAGTCGAGGGATTGGTAGGCTTGGAAGGGATACCAGGCATGCTAGAAGTAGAAGTATTGCTTGCCGATTGCGTGGTCGGTGTAACTGCTGGGCGGTTGGCAGGTCTCAAGGGAGTACTCGTTTTGGCGAATGTAGCAGCTTTGCTGGGTGGCTGATTGGGCGTCACTGGCACATTCGACGTGGCTGCCGCAAAATTGGCAGGAGGTCGACTTTCCGTGCTGGCTTCGTTGGTTGAAGCTAGTGTCGATGTTCTCGTTTGCGCATTTGGCTCATTGACAGGTGGGCGCATAAGCTGCGGTGCATTAGAGTGCGAAGAATTAGCAATGCTTGCTGTCGACAGCGGGAGCGTCGCAACTTTAGATGCGCCAGCCGGGTGGATCAAAGGATTAGGTAGATTGGAACCTGGAATATTGGCCACCGATGGGGTAGGGGGCGCAGTGCTAGGTGCACTAGTTGGACTTATCAAGGGATTTTGGTGCACAGGGTTGGAAAGGTTGGCATCCGGTGGTACGGGGGTCGTGTTGGTAGGAGACCTCGGAGGCGCGCTATGCCGTACTGGAATAGGAAAATTGGTTGATAACGATGTGAAAGTTGCAAGTCGTGAATTAGGCGGCTGTGAAGAAGGAGTTGCAAACAAACTGGTATCAGGCTGTAAAGGAGGAGGCCCAGAGCCCGGGTTTGGGGGACCATATTGAGGGGCTGAGGAACTAGGAGCAGTGAAAAGGATATTGGGGTTCACATAACCTGAGGGAGGACGGGGAGCTGGGCCAGAAAATCCCATGGACAACATGATAGGCCTCTGTATTGTCATCCTGGGAGGTAGCTGAGAGGAGGGAGCATTGTTGTTAAACATGTATGGTTGCTCCATCGGCAGCGTGGCCTCGGCTTGCCTCAGTCTTTCACTCTGTTTTCGTGCCCATGCGGCAGGGTCATTACGTTTAAGCCTTTCGTCATCCACTTCTGCCTGAACGGCTTGTTCCTCCTCCGGAGTCAAATTGTCATTATCCTCACGCTGGAAAGTTTCAGTGAGAGTGATCTTTCGAACAAAGTTAGGCTGTTCCAAAATCTTATCGAGGACCTTTGGATCTTTGCCTATGAATTCAGTAAGGCTTTGCTGTTTGACTTCCTTTGGCGGGAAGAGGTATGCCTTCTTAGACCTAGTCGCATATCGTATGGGGTTCTTCTTATCGACCACTCGGAAAGACAGTTGGGTCTTGAAGACAGTCTTGTTGTACATAATGTCTTCATACGTGCCTCCAGCAATGAAGCGATAAACAAACACCGGCTTCCTTTGTCCGAAGCGATATGCACGTCCAACAGCTTGCTCCTCCCAAGTTGGATTGAATGCAAAATCGAAAATAACGACCCGATTAGCGCCAGGAATATTCAGACCAAGACCGCCCGCTTTTGTCGATATCAGATATACCTGCATTGGTGAATCAATTTTGTTGAAGGATTTTGTGGCAGATTGACGGCTAGTAATAGGTGTAGTGCCGTCCAGGCGGCAGTATCTCCAGCGGTTTACCTTTAAAACATCCTCAATATAATTAAGAGTTGGTATGCTGTGAGAAAATATAAGCACTTTATCGCCGGCATTAACTGATTGTTTAATAATTTGATCTAGCATCGCCGCACGATGAGAATGTGCAGTGGACTTGAGATCGTTAATTCCGTCGAAAACACGTTTAAGTTTACTGATGGTTTCGGGAGCCAAAACTTGAGTAACGGGGGTATCTTCAGGGCTCGAATCCTGGGTGGCAGGAGTGTCTTCGGGGAAGCTTTCATATTCTGAATCTTGAATCAATGCCTTAGCCCTTTTGTCGATATTCTTCCCCAGCAATTTTTCCATAAAACACGACGGATGATTACATAGAAGAGAGAGGATAGCGAGCCAGGCCCATACACGCGTGCTCGCTACATCGTCTCCGGTATCCATCAGGGTCTCCACGTATAGTTTATACGCCTCTTCCTGGAGGGCAGTTAAGGGAACAGTTATGACAAATTCCACTTTTGGTGGAAGGTCGCCTGCCAAGACTGAGATATCGGCACGATTGATTTTAGGATCCAGGTCCTTTTTCAGCACTTGGAGTTTCTTCAAAGATTCCCGGCGCTCGGCGCGGGTACTGTCGACATATAGACCCGCTTCGATGGGTTCAATGTATTTGGCTTTGAACTGTACGAAATCGCCGAGGTATCCAGGTGCAATCCAGTTAATCATCGCATAGTACTCTTCGAGGTGATTTGCAAGGGGAGAACCTGTGAGGGCAATCCGACTTTTGGATTTAAAACCGCAAGCGGCGGCGGCGATTCCGGTGGTTCTATTTTTCATCTTGTGCGCTTCGTCGGCGATGATGATGTTTGGCCCATTAAGCAGTTGTTTTTTCACACTTTCGTGTTGGTTTGGCTCGAGTGGGCGGGGTCGGCGTTTTGTCGAAGCATTATGCACTAAACTTCTGAAAATATCGTAGCTGATCAGAAGAATACCACCTTCCGTATACCATGCGGCGATTTCCTGCAATCGTTCCCGGGACTGAATATTTGATAAAACCTTCCTCACAGGACCGAGGCTCCGCTTTGTTGCAGGGTCTTGTGGTAGCCACCTCATGAACTCCTCCGACCAATTTTCAATCAAGGATGGTGGACACAGAATTAAAGTGCGAGATTCGCGAAAGCAGTCCGGAATTTGTTTTCTAATCTCCGGATCTGGAGAATTCGCAGCCTTTGCAATCGTGACAAGAAACGAGATACTAAGCCGAGTCAGCAAATGTAGGGCATGTTGACCCTGCTACAGATCACAACTACTTACACTTGCATTGTTTTGCCTAACCCCATAGTATGGGCTAGAAGACAGCCTTGTCGTTTATCATCCTTGATCAATTCTCTCCACATAAACTGCATTCCATGTAGCTGATGAGGCTTGACAAGGCGACCGATGTGCGGATCTAGGTAGATAACCGGTTCATCGAAACTGACAGCCTGCCGTTCAGGATCGCTGTTGGCCACGCCTGAGCTCCCAAGTCGTTGAAGGAGACGCTGTTGTTGTTGCTCTTGAAGCTTAACTCGGCGTTGCGCGCTCTTCTGAGTATCCAATGCCTCCTGGCTTTGCTTCACGGCACGCTTTCTTTTCCGATGTGGTGTATGAGTAGAGTTGGGTAAACCATCTTCGTCCCTAGGAGAGCCGTCAGGCTCATCGTCCAAGTTAGTCTTCATCTCAGCGCTAGCTTCTGTAGAAGAATCCTTTTCTTCCTGCCCCTTCGACTTCTTAAAAGGATAAGTCCGTAGAATATCAGCGACAAGAGAAAGAAAGTGGCGGGTTTTCTTCTTGCGCATTGAGTGCTCAATATCCTGCTTTTTTATGCCCTTTTCTGCGATTATTTTCCTGCGCACGATCCAAGAGATATACATCACAGTCATTCTCAGATACAGCTTAGAATCTTTGGCGCTGGTGCCAGGAATTGTAGTACGATGTTCCAGCAAGTTTTGCAGGCCCTTGTACACGATGCTTTTCAAATATCTGAAAGATTTAGTGTTGAAAATACGGGTTAAACCTATTCTGTCCTCTTCACCCATGTAATGAGCATACCAAGCCATCAAATGTGTTCGGTGTAATTGGAGCTGTTCAGTGGTGAGGCTCATGATGTGATCCAAATCCAGATCAGCAACTAGTGTTGAAGCTGTAGATGAGATTGATGCACTCGTCGAACCTTCAGAGTCATCAAGGAGGCGTGATGACGAAGCGTCTCGCCTATGACTGCTCATCGGTGGTGTACGCACGTGAATAGCAATCCTTTCTCGACTGGTCTTGATATTGCTTCCGTTCTCATTGTCACTTCGTGTAAGATCCACGATTTCAACCCCGACAAGGTTACGTGAGCTTGGGAGTGAGGAGGAACCTTCAACACGGCCTGCGACAGTATTGCCGGCGTGCCCCCTACCGTCCCCTCGAAATCTCACTTGCTTCCTGGGAGAAACAGTGTCTTGGTCGTCAGATGGTTCAATAGTAGGACAGGGTGACGATGATAATAGTGCATCAGCAGGTCTTTGACCATGACCAGGTGGCTCATCATCCGGAACAACGAAATCATCGGTATCATTGCCACTATCCTCAGTGTCAGAACCTAATGACTCCTCATCATCTGGCAGCTGAATATGCCGCGGGGGCCTTGGCCGGGAAGCTTTGGAATTGCTGGCTATCTTTGGTGGGCATTTTTCAGTTTCCAACACAGTAATAGTCCATTTTTGAAATTCTCGTTGAAAAACGGTCTGTTCCATAGCTTGGCACTGGAGTTGTACGTCTTTAGCCTGAGACCAGGGGGACATTTTAATCGCCTTTCTGATTTCCTTTAGACGGTGGTCCAGGTGTGCAATTTCACTAGAAGCAGCTTTAATGCCTGCTAGTCTAGTTCGTTTCGCCCTTGCGCGGCGCCACAATCGCCTCGCCTTTCTTTCCTCGATTGGCCGCTTTTTAAGGTGCCACTTGCTAATATAGTCGGCAATACAAACATCAATAATAGCGTCAACGGCTGCTGGAGACAGATCCGTTGACCGCTTTGAGCTATCTTTTTTTTGCTCGATTTCCTCCTGAATCTCGTTCCAAGTTTCAGAATCGTAGTCGCCTTCAGACGCGGAATCGCCATAGGCTGGTAATGCATCCTGTTCCCCTCGGGGCGGATATTTGGCAAGTAAATAATGCAATCTGTCACTTCCTAGGTCGAATTCTGGCCAGTCAAACATGTTCTCTCTGGTGACGTTGACCTTTTTCCCATTTTTGACAAACAAGGAAAAGAATTGGGAATCACCTTGTACCGCCGATGAGCCGCGGTAGGGAAATACGGCAATCGCGGGTTTTCCTGTCTTAGTTTTTAGGTATTGAGGTCTTTGTCGAAGGTAGTATTGCATTTTTTGGTTTACAAAAAGCCGGTGGCCAGTGGGTAAGGAATCAGGCGCCATGATGCAAAATGTATCTTCCCCGCTCTCATCCTCATTGATAGTGTTGTCTGGGTAAAATACCCCTGAAATTGACATTTTTCTGTGGTCCAAATAGCGTCTCTGGAGCTGCTGGGGCTCACTTTGTTGAGTTGTCAGAGCGCTGAGGTTTAATTTGCGCCGTTTCCTCCCATTTTTATCTATAATATAATGCTCGTCATGGCGTGTATTTGCTTCGGAATCATTTAGGGTTGAAAGCGATCGCACTTTCGACCTCGAAGGAGGGTGGCTCTCTTTTGAAATTGGAATGTGATCTGCTACTTCATAACTAACTGGTTGGAATAAAGCGTTCTCAGCGTTGTTCGTTGACGCTTCAACAAAGACAGAGGTGCTGGGTTGAAGAGAGGTAAGGGTCGAAGGAGCGGCTGGCAGCGAATGTCTTTGAGGGTGGGTCGTCGGACGTGCAACGCTTGGGGTTTGCTGATCATATTTAGAAGGACATAATTGCGTAGGATTTCCACTCGAGGCGTGAGGATCTGGAATAATATCTGCTGAGCTCAACTGGCCAACATATTCGTTATACTTTGGGGATGTTCCCTGGAGATACTTGACTGCTCGAACGATCGTGGCTCGCTGGCCAAGAGACTTCAGCCCAAACTCTTCAGAGAGGGTTTGTTTGTTTATCTCTGTCAGTAGAACATAGCCGGTGACATCATTCTCGCGTAGAGCTTTTTCTAAAATTTCAGGCGCGGGCCGAGGCGGGGGAACCTTGGAATGGCTCCAAGAGTCAAATGAGGCGCGACAGAGATATGCAACCACCTCGTCGATTGACCAATCGAAAGGGTCTTTATTCTCCAGTGGATTCTTTTCCATTACGAAACCCATCGGTGAGGCCTTGTCAAGGGACTGATCGCTAAACTGAAGACATTGCAAGCCGACACCTCGTCAATCGAGTGGGCGCAAACACGTGGGAATTGCGGGTTTCTGGAGGGAGACGAGAAGGCTGTCTAATTCGCGTAGGCTTGTCAGTACTCATTTGAATGAGCCGGAAAAGATATTTCCAGTAAGGATCTGTTGGCAGGAGTAAGATGGGCACAGAGTGTCAGAGACCTACTATATCTCCCTCCCTTTGCTGATCTTGGACTGTAAGCGCCAGCAGAATAACGAAGTCCACCGCCTTTCACGTGAGATAAGATAGTTTAGGTACCTGTGATGTAGCACGTGGGAAGCACGCTGCTTGCTTTGTGGCCCAGTTAGTTAGTTGGCTTGGAACGTGTCAGAATTGGACTTCAAAGCCCACACGGGGAAGCACAATCCCTGCCAGCAACAGCAGTGAACAGGCGGGGTGCGCTTGTAAGACTGTGTGTGAAATGATAGGAGGCTAGACTGGAAAAAGAAATATCTATCGAGGAAGAAGCTAACAAAGTCACTGCTAGCCAACTCGTTAACGGGTTAAGCAGTTGACTGTAGGTATGTGGAAAGGCTTCAATTTGGCGCGCAATATCACTGCGGAGAAATCACAGAAAAATGATGCCCTATTTTTGGCCTGGAAAAATCACGTTGACATCGCTTGGGAAACAGGCTCTAGAGCAGTTAGATGGTGTTAACCTCCTAACATCTCCATAGTTAACTCGTAACCAGTAGTTGTCACCTTTTTTGGTCTGAGCCCAGCATTATCCTGTCTTCATGACTGGGATGCTGACTTGAAGTTATACTCACGATACGCGTGCTGGAAAGCATCTTCACTCCATTACTTTGCTAGTCAGAGTACGGAGAGGTTGTTTACATATACATCAGCGCAGTACAGTGTACTATCCAGTTTATATACGCGTGGCTTGTTCAAATCCATCATCTCTAGGAAAGACAAAGTACCAATTTCACACGCTCCCTTTCCAGGCCCTGTCAGGCTGTCCTCAGCCCAGTCCTACATAATTAAGTTTTCTGCAATAACCGATCGTCATTCCTTGCAGGAGGGCAATGTTAGTTGAGTGTAAGAGAATCTCAGTAGGTCTCACCCTGGAATATGCTGCAACAATGAGGTCCATTTTAGATATTTTGAAAAGCATGAGAACCTCGTGTTGAAATTCTCCAACCCGCCGGGCGTTGTTGTCGAGACGGAGTTGGCTTAGCAATCCTCGGGGCTTGACCAAGCGGGGCGCTGAATAATCGTCCCAGTTCTTCCCCTCGATCCTGGGTCTTAATATTCTTTCACGGTTGCGCCGAATCTTCACTTGATCAGTGATGTAGATATCTGTCTCTGTCTCTTCTCTTCTTGATCAAGTATAAACTTGTATTTTTTAAATTCTGACTCTCCTTAGACGCAAGTAGGCGATCCTGTCCGCTTAAGCCAAAAAGAAAAAAAAAAAGAAAAAAAGAAAATATGGACCAATCGGTATATGCGACCTATCCGCCGGAGCTCTCTCCAGAGCAAAGGCGGTATTTAGTAGCCACAGTGAAAGACTGGACGATACATCACGGACTGACTGTCCGACCATCTCCAGACTTAGTATCAAAGGCATCTGATTCCAATGCTGTGTTGGCAACAAATGCGCCGGTGACATTGTTCCCGAGCCTCTTCCCAAGATCCTGCTATCAGTCAGCGGTTTCCGTTCAAACCGCATATAACGAGCTGTATGCTGCGATCACTGCAGATGAAGCATGGCTAGGGGAAATTATCGAAGAGTGAGAATACCGCCCTTTTCTGGATAACTTAGATGTTACTTACCAAATCCATGTTTTAGCCTCGTCGATGTCGATGATTTTGTTGCCAATCTATGGAAAGTCCACAAGGCCGTTAAACAAGAAGGTTATGTCCAGCCATTATCATTGGGCCTTTTCAGGTCAGACTATATGCTTCACATCCCAGAAGGAAGCACTGAACCATCTCTAAAGCAAGTGGAATTCAATACCATCTCATCATCCTTTGGCGGGCTTTCATGCCTTGTGAGCAAGATGCATTCGGATCTTCTCTCTTGCCCACCGGGAACTCCGATTGCATACCCACCACACCAATTATTGAAAGAGAATTCCATTCCAGAGAATAAGGCGGTTGCGACTCTGACTGCAGGACTTGCCGCCGCTCACGAAGCTTACGGATGCTCCAAATCATCACCGTCGCTGCCTCTGTGCATTCTTTTTGTGGTTCAAGATGGGGAGCGGAATATATTTGACCAGCATGAGCTCTCAACTCGTCTCACACAATTCCATAAGATACCCGTTTTCCGCGTTATCACTACAGATGTCCTACGGTTGACGTCTGTCCCCCAAGACAACCCATCTCGCCCGCTGGTATATGCCCCACCATATGCCCCATCAGTCTCCTTTGAGGTCACCACTATCTACCTCCGGGGTTTCTACGGACCTAGAGACTACCAAGATGGAAGCGCATGGGAGGCGCGTACTCACCTCGAACGCTCAGCAGCAATCAAATGCCCCACAGTCCTCAACCAACTATCGGGATGCAAGAAGGTCCAACAGGTCCTCGCTCAGCCGACCGGACCCGATCACTTGGCCCGATTCCTCCCCAACGCCGATCCTCAAACCATCAAGCAAATACGCGATACTTTCGCTCCACAATATGATATCTCTATCTCCGGGCAGGGGCAAGATCTCGCCCTCAACCCATCCACTGCCGCAAAGCACGTTCTCAAACCCCAGCGCGAAGGCGGTGGGAACAACATTTACCGCGAGGCAATCCCGGGATTTCTACGCGCCATGCCTGAGAAGGACTGGAAGGGGTGGATTCTGATGGAACTCATCCAGCCACCGAGCGCAGCTAAGAACGTTGCACTTCGTAGTGATGGTGAAGTACTGACTGGTAATGTTGTCGGTGAATTGGGTATTTTTGGCACAATATTGTGGAATAATGAGACTGGGAAGGTTATGCGCAATGAGCAGGGAGGGTGGCTGATGAGAACCAAGGCCGATGACAGTGACGAAGGTGGTGTTGCCGCGGGTTTCTCTTCACTCGATAGTATATTACTCATTTAGCAATACCGGCGTACATAGAAATTGTGGTCGCTGACTAGAAATCAGAACATTTGAAGACCTACTGGCATTGAATCTAGAGAAGAATACATATATGAATCTCAGAATGAAAGTGAGGTCCATGGGAACCCGAATACAGGGGATAAAGTATCAATCTAGGTGTTTCTTTTTTTATTTAAAAAAAAAAGAAAAGAAAATCCAGTGGGATAAGCAGAAGATAAAGAAGCAGAAAAAGGCTTAGAGCGCGTCAAGTCAAGTCATCAAGGGCATGAATACAGGGAAAAGAGCGCTGTGATGCCAGGTGAAAGTTACTGAAAGTTCCGTGTCTCTTCTAGGGCTGGGATCAGCACCCAATAAGCAATGAGAAATGAAGAACCACGGGAAGGACCGCAGCCAAGAGGTAGAACCAGGGATAGAACCCAGCAAGAAGGGCCGGGAGTAACCGCCCTCAAACATAAATGTGAAGGCAAAAAGGTCAAAAAATATCAACATGGAAACAAATGGAACCATAAGCAAAAGGTAGAAAAGCCAAGCAGGTCCTGTGGAGAAAAAAATCTTTCTTCCTCTTTTTTTCTTTTCTTTTCATGCAGCTTATACGCCTCTCCGGTGGAACATGATTGCGCAGAAGTCTTTTCGAAATCTGGGGATTCCTTTAAACATTCGAATCTCGAATATTCCTAGTAGGGAAGGTTATCCCTAAGGAAGTTTTCGAAGGAGCGCTGTGAAGACATGTTTCGCTGGTGTCCTCTCCATGGGAACGGATAGTTGCGAGTCATGATCTCGCCAGTGCTCGTGTTCACCTTGTGAGCATGGTTGCGGCGAATGGAGAGGCTTGAGGGGGCCCGAAGTCGCGAAGGTGAAGGGCTAAATCTGTTGATGCCCTGGGGATAGTTCGAGGCCCGACAGCGCTGGTCGATTTGCATCGTGATATTGGCGAGATGCTCAGTGGAAGCAGCTTGGTTGTACGGGGTCGAATAGCCAGGGATGTATGGTCCATCGAAGAGATGATAGTCGTCCAGGCAGCCTTGAAAAGGTGCAGGGAAAAATTTGGCTTGTCTGGATACGACAGTGGACTCATTATATTCCGTGGCTATTTCGACGTTTTGGCCGTTCAGCCCGCTGATCGGAGACGTCCACAGCTGATGGACCCCAAGTCCTTGCAGAGGTTGATGCATACCGAGTTCGGAATAGTTGGCAGCCAGTGCATTGTCTATGTCCGTACGATGAGCAATGGTGTCGAATTGATCTGTATAACCGGTCGCTCCCACGGTATCGCCAGTGAAGAAGTCGGCCGATGGAGAAATGGCGTTCACAAAAGGGCTTGCGGACTGCGTTGGGCATTCGGGGTTCTCAGCGGTGAAAGCAACTGACAATCCGGATTTCGGGGGCGTCTTCCAGCTCATGCGTCGCTTGGATACTGATCTGGGTGTAGAAAGGACTGACCCAGACGCGGAAGACAGTTGGCCCTGATTTACACTTGTCAGGTCTGCATTGGCCTTGCCCTTCGCTTTGGGCCACCACTGGGGCAATTCATTTTCTGGTAGGTCTTTCCAATCGTTCAGACCAAGATCTGACGCTAAGACTTGCAATCTAAATAGGAGCTCGATGCTATCTTCCAAACGATGACCCGCATTATGAAGGTCATTAGGGTGGTCCAAGAAGATGTCCAACGGATAATACTGTGGCATCGCATTTGGGTCGAAGGACCTTGATTCAAGTGCCGCAGGTTGGAGGTCGAAACGCACTTTTAGAGAGGTGTTATACTTGACGTTTTCTGACGATAACCGCTCAACACGCTCGAGTTCGGCCTTGGTAATGCCCCCACGACGAGCTGTCCAGCAAGACAAACCTAGCGGCTTGCGAGCATCACGTTCACGCCTCATGTTCAAAACGTTATCTGAAGGAAGCTCTTCATTCTCGGCCGTCATTCTCGCTTTGATGTCTCGGTAAGTGAGACGGGTGTCCGATCGCATCCAAAACTCGACGAGCCACCCGGACGGTTTAACGGAGATGTATCGCGGTAGAAAGGGGAAGTTTCGCACAGGATTACCTTGGTAATCCAAAACAACTTTGCCATTCTCCACCAAGTATCCGATCGGCTCTGACTGGCTTTCTTTTGGGGCCTCCAGTCTAAAGAGAAGGAGAGGGAGGTTGCCTTCATTGTATGACGAGTGGTATGGATGCGAACAAGTATGAAACTTATCCGGAAGGATATCATCTAAAGGGAGGAATCAGCCTTTATCTCAGGGAGAGATGATTGAGGGGGCAATGACACTACTTACGGTGACATCGATGGTTCAATCCAAAGAGATTTGCGTCAAAATAGGGCCCAAAAGCTTGTGAAGTTCGATTAGTGGGGATAAATGCAAGAGTTGAGGGGAGGAGTCCTACACAACAGAGCCAAGTTTTTTGCAGCCAGATTTGACGTTATGTCGGCTTGCTGGTTCACATCCCTGGTAGATCCAGGGGTTGTAAAGCCAGAATATGCAGGTCTCTTCCCAATGGAATCAATGCTGAAGAGGGACGCTCCATATTCTGAGGCAGAAGGAGACGCTTCACTCTCATACCTCAGTTCGATTGCCATGTCGCGCTGTATTATAGCTGAGATAATCGCTGACGCAATGGGATCTTTTCGCAAAAAATGGAAAGCAACAGACTTATCACAATGATGAAATCTTTCTAGCAAGATAAAAAATGGTTGGCTCAAAGAGTGAGGTATGGAGGAAAGGTAGAGAATGACGGTATGCTGTGAAAGTGAGAGAAAGAAAGCGGTTGGGAAGAAGACTAAGTGGCAGGTTATGTGTGGAAGGGAGCTGGTTAGTGGTAATGGGATTAGGTCGGAGGCAAGATATGGAAGAGAGGGGTGGATATCAAGCAGCCCCTTAAAAATTATAAGGCTGGGGCATTGAGGAATGTTCCTCGCTTGATATCATACGTACTGGGGAGTTGCTGAGATAATTCACTCAAAACATCTTCGTTAAGTGAAGTGGATGAACTTGGGTCCGGGGGTATATCCAATTATCCAGTGAAACCAAAGATACTAGCTCAATAATGGAAGGTATTGAGCAGCAATTGAAGATTACATCTATATAATCCATTTTTGCACTGAACATTGGGATGCTTTCCGGTCCGCATAGGCATATTGCACGGTACTCAACAGACCTGAGTTATCTATGGTCCTTTGGTAGATGGAACCCTTCACCGTCCTGAATAGAGGAACACTTAATCTCAATTGATTAAGCTATAGACAGGAAGCAGGTAATTCCCTTCAACCCCAAAGCTATTATGTTAAACCCGCGATGGATTGATATAGCAATGTGAGAGCCACCAAGCACACGGTGCTGCGGAACAAGGCCATTCTTTGACAAAATCACTGGCAGCATGATATCGGTTTAAGATTCCTGTAAATAAATAAAAACAGTGTCCTTTTTTGGGGGGTTTTCTTTTCAGTTAGTAAATGATAAGAATAATAGGGATAGAAACACATGCAAACTCGAAGAATGAAGATGTCGAAGAGAAGAAGTTCAAATATCTCAAAAAACATTGGTCGCCACGTCTCCAGTCCCCGCAACGCTTCGGTCCCGTAAGTAGTTAGTTAACCTTAAATCGACTTCCTGCATATCAACAGCAGCAACCAATCACCAAACCAAATGTAACATAGCATAACACAGCAAGGCAAAGTTAAGAAAAAAAAAAGAAAACAGCTGGAAGAATTGAAAAAAAAAAAAAAAAAAAAAAAAAAAAGTGTCAATCAAGGAACAGAAGTCGGAAAACAGCACAAGCACTCAAAGGACTTTTTATCGAGGAAACAATTCGATCGTTCGACTCAAAATTGAATCCACGCAGATGAGAAAATTCGTTAGCACCATCGACACAGTAGGGACCAGCCCTGTTAGTAAAGTAATGAAGCAGTGATGTTGTATAGCATCGTCAGGACTCGTCTGGCCAAGGCCCTTCTTCTGATTTCCCGAACTCATCTTGCCCAAGGCTATCTTCTAATTCCTTGTCTAGCCAAGATGCATCCTTTGGTTTCCCAACTTCGTCAGGCCAAGGTATATCTTTTGATTTCCCGAACAAAGACATCAAGGTCAAATATTCCTTTTCCGTAAGGATCGCTTTTAACATTTCCTGATCTTCGTGGAGGATGTTCTCTTGGCGACGAGGATCGTAGGTAGTTCGCAGATTCAACCACTCTGACCAATTGATTTGTATAGCAGTTCCAAGCACACGTTCAAGAGCTCCCGCGACTGGTAGTAGGCACCTCATTCGTTCCTCGAGAACATAGTTGGCGTAGGGAGAGGCCGAGATGTAAGGTTCATCAGGCACCAGCGGGGGCATCTCTGTTGGCGGATTCAGAGTATTGATACCTGTGTGTTTCCATACGAAGGTGCCCCAAACAGTTTCTTCAGTTTCTTCGGCTTCGGTGAGGTCTCTGGCCCTTGTGAGATTTTGTGGCTCTGGGCGATTCGGAATCTCGTTTGCAGGTTTCTTTGGAGAGGGTGGCTTTTCGGGATTTTGAACATTCTGTCGCTGGCGCTTGCATCTCTCTGCATCCGGTTCGTGTGGTTCCTCACGCTTCCGTTTTGGCTGAGCTGACTGTATTGATTGACCATGGGGTTTAAGAATTTTAAATCCCCTTCTAGCAAACATTTGTGCCCTTGGCGTTTCTGCAGCTGGTTGACTTTGTAGATGTCTTACTCGGCTGGGTGCTGGGAAATGAATTGGCCGGACCTGTGGTAGCTGCGCGTGTCCGGGCATCTGAGAATTAGTTGGCGGCTTCCTCGGTGCCGGTAACGGAGTTGGCAGACTTCGTGGTGGCTGCAGTTTCTTGGGCCCCTGGAAGCTTCCTCGACAACGCTGGATGTGAAATTCAACATCTTTAAGTTTCAGTTGCCGATCGCACTGTGGGCAGGATACAATCTGATGAGCTGCTTGTTGTTGTTCTTCAAGCAATGTCAACTTTTGCTTCTTTCGAGCCGGTTTCGCGCTATTCGAAGGACCAGCCCCCGTATAATGCTCATCCCGTGCCTTGCGTTTGATGACTATCTGTTTATTATCTGTTTGTCCAGGAAGTCTTTTGCCGCCCGTGGAAAGTAGGTGCTTTCCTGCCACGTGGTGGTTGTTGCCCGCCTTCGCTTTGTTCGAGGAGTCGTCATCGTCCGGAGCGTAATCGCTGTCATCGCTGCTATCGCTCTCATCCCCAGACGACTCTTCAGGCTCGTCGCCATTGGTTTTAGGGTTGTCGTCGTGACTATCGCCGTCCTCATCACCCCCTTCATTTTCATTATATTGGCTGGCGTCTCCGCCATCGCTTCCCTCACTGTTGGCGCCATACCTGCGATCTCTATCGGCTCTATTGGCTTCGTCGCCTTTATATTCGTTGCCTCCATCTTCATTGATATCATCGGCATAAGCGTTGTTGGAGCCCTCAGTATCTTCATCGCATTGTTCGTTATGGCCCTTGTTTTCTTGCGCAGCAGCCGAGAATTCGGGGTAACCCGAAGGAGAATTCGCAGCATATCCGTTTTGGCCAGCAGTATAATCGACGCGGCTCGTGATCGGGCTTGAAGTTGGCGTCGTCTTGACCTCGAAGCTTGCTGCGGACTTCTTCGCATTATCTGCTGCCCTTTTCCTGGCTCTCTCCTCCTGGTCTTTGATATTTTTTAAGTAATTTTTATCAAAGGGAATCCTCCCTTTGCCAGGGTCATTGGGATCAATGAGGCCCGGGGTTATACCCCGGGTTGTATTAAGGCTAAGGTCAATGCCTCGCTCTTCTAACATTTTATGGATTTTTTCTCTATGATTTTCTGTAAGCTTGTTACCCTTGCCCCAGGAGACAATGTTGAATAGTTGGCGGAATCGTACGTTCCTCTGCTGCAAGGCATTGGTTGTCATCGCGAAATCCGGAGCCATTCTAGCAGTAATATCCTTAAGGCGTATGCGTCTATCTAGACGTAGCCACGCTTCGACACGCCAATCCTCAACGTTTGACGAGATTCTATCTGGCAGGATATCGAAGACTCGGATTGGTGCTTGACCGTAATAGGGAGATGGCTTTAATTGTACCGGATCACTTTTTCGAGCAGCTCCGTCTGTCGGGTTCAGCTGATACAAGATATCCGGCAGATTATGCAACGACCAATGGCATTGTGATGGCACCGGTAATGTAATATTGTCTGCGCTCTGCGCGTCCTGACTATTTTTCCTTGGGGCTTTTTTCTCTATAATTATAGATTAGCGTTCATCAAAACCTTGAATTTTCCTTTGTCACCTACGAGTTTGCTCTGGCTGATCTCCATTCTTGTCCTTTGAAGTACTGTTTGTAGAGTTTTGAAGCGATTTACGGACCACGGGAGCCACAGGCGCTGTGGGTGTTGGAGTCTCCATTCTGGCAGTGAATTTCGAACCCTGCCACTGGTGGATTGTCTTTTAAGACGTAATAGAAAGAAGTGCAAAAGTTTTGAGTCCTGCTCAAGCGTTTAACAAGGTAATGTACACTAGAAGAACTAAAAATGGGTTATCACAAAAGATATAATTTTACTGAGTAGTAAAAGCAGACGAAGCGATACGGAGAAGAGAAAAGAAAAAAAGCGAACGAGGACAAGAAGGTAAGAAGGAAAGAGGAAAAAGGATCCGAGATGGCTGGAAACCGTTAAGTCCTGTCTTGCCTTCAATGGCTTAGCAATAGGGGAATAGAGTCCTTTCATTCCCATTCATTGAGGCAAATACCAGCTAAAATGCGTTGGCTAAGCAATCCACTGTCCATTGATATACAAGTGATTGGGGGGCCGTAATAGAATCTACCCTGCTACCTCGTCTTGATGCCATTGTATGTTTTGGTTGAATGGCATTGACAGGTAGATCCATATAAATTTAGGAAGAAAGTCATAGAAGTTGTAAAATGCCACGAGGCAGCCTTTCTTTATTCCGCTAAAAGCCCCCATATAGCTCAGGGACAGAATGGCTAGCCAGCTAGCCACACGGCTTACATTCCGCGGACAACACAAATCAGGGATCTGGAGACGAGGCAGGGCATTACCCTGGAGAAATGGTGTAGGCTTTTTTGTAGAAACACCTTCCCGGGGGTAGGTATATATTATACACGGTACGGAGTATATTGATGCTTTTTGCGGCAACATCGAGTTCCGCGTTGGAGGTCGACAGAATCGATAAAGACCAACGAGAAAAATAAATCGAATCACTCGCGGAATTTTCAAACGGAAAATTCTCCATAAGAACAAAGAAAAAAGGCTTTTCAGAATGACTCGTGTGGTCCAGTTTGGCTGTCTATTTTCCTAGCATTCCGCGCTGTGTACGGAGTACTCCGTACGGAGTTCGTGGGTGTTGATGAGTCGTTGATCAGAGTTTTGGAATTGAGTTCGGCTAACGGAAGCCACCCGCTTGCAGCTTCCCAAGCCACTCCGCTAGCCTTATTCAGACTAGCCTAAGAATAAGCTCAGATAATAGGCACGTGATTCTCTGGTTTCTCTGCTGCTGGAAAGCTTGTGTCGCGTCCCAACCTTTCCGGCGGCACCGCTCCTTTGGTCGGGGATTGCAGCGAAGCCCATTGAACCGAGCATATCGCTCTGGTGACGCCGAGGGCACCACACTCAAATGCCCAGCAGGCTATAAGGGCTGCGATAGCCCGATACTTTACAAACGGCATATTTGCGCCCACTGAAAAGCCTCATCTGAACACGATAATAAAGCCAATATCAAAATTGACGAGCGACAGCATAGACATGGCGAAGAGGAAGAGAAACAGTACAGCCGAGGGGGCTGGTCAAAAGAAAACACCCGACACAACGATCACGTTCATCTCCCGTAAACCAGAATGGGCGTATATACATCTCGAGCTGTATGTAGCATTCGCACGAACCTCGACCCGCAATTCATATCTAACCCATTCTCATCAAATCTCAGGGTAACTCAACCTCCCAGCTCCAATCCAGAACCCCTTGACCTCCTTACCGCTAAAACATATTTGACCTCCGCCTTATCCCAGTTCCTTGGCCTCTCGGGTACCGCCATACCCTTTGATATATTAAAACTCCAGGCCGAAAGCCTACCCGTTGGTGCAGCATCGGCAAGAAGGAAGACGCGGAATACCCTATGGATCAGAGTCCCTCACGGCGATGCTGCAGCTCTAATTGCAGCCGTGAGCTCGTGGGTGGGCGGTTCAAGCGGAGACGGAGGCTCAAGCGTGGCGTGGAAGATTAGGGCAAAGGGAAGCTGGTTAGGTGCCTTGGTGGGAGGCACGGGAAGAGAGCTTTTTGCACAGTAATTCTCTGAATGATGGCCATGACTTGAGAACATAACAAAGGTATTAGCCCCATTTGAGAACACCTTTTTTGCCTTCTTCCCCCCCCTAAAAATAAGCAAGCCGTCCAATTAACCCACATTACTAGGCTGCTCTTCCATAAAGCGCCCAGAAGCAAGGAGCTACATTCGGAAGAGTAACACCCTAATGCGTACGGAACAACACTCTCCCAGCAAGACCTGTCCATTTTTTGGCTATAGGGCCTAGAAGATAATCTGAGTGGTCACTTCACCCTATTCTCCGTTTGCGGCGCATCGTCGTGACAACTAGGAAAGAAACCCGACTTCCTAAGTTTACCCGAGAACCCTAGGTGTCGCAAGGGCTTTTATATAACGCGTTGATATTAACAAGGTATCCGGAGCTCAAGAGTATACAATGAGGCGAGGGAGGGGTTACATTGATATTCGGGGTATAACAAGAAACTTCTTTTGATATGAAGACCAGAATAACTGCGAAGAAATTAAATTATGTTCAAAAGAAACGCTATGCGGCTATATGTATGTTTCGGTCCACTGGTCGAAAACTCCCGTCTCAAACTCCACGCTCGATATCAGCCTCAGCCAACAAAATGACACAAGGTCAAGGGATATAGACCCTCAGTCATATATCCAGACACTCAAATAAATATATGAACACTTCATTCCAAAAGAATTGTCAGTTTCAGTAACGGAATTAAAATCTAAAGGCTTTTGGAACTTTTATCTTTCCTTTTTTTTTTTTTTTTTTGTTTGTTTTGTTGGGTCGGGTGGTTTAATTTGTGGATGGTTTTACGGCACATCGGAACTGATACGATTTGCACCCAATACTTGCCCTCTCGAACCTGAAATGGCCATAGTTGCTGGCGCGACCGTAGCTTTTGCCTTCAATGCAGCACGGAGGTCCTCGATGCTGCGCTGTCTCCAGGCATCCACACCACTCTTACTTAGAGGCTGAAGGACGAGATTGTTGCGCCGGGAGATAAAATCTTGAGGTTTCGGGGGTGGTGAGGAAGTGATGACATCGAGGTCAGCCGCTAACTGCTCACAGAAGATGTCGAGAGGCAGGTCATTGACATCATTGCCGAATGGATTCTCAATTTCGGCGCAGATGGCAGCGATACCCTGGATAATGTATGTAGCGACTAAATTGGAAATGTGAGCAAGATGTGCATTCCTAAGCTAGGAATACTGGCGAACATGAACCTTACCGACACAGCCTGGGATGGTGATCCATCCCAAGTCCTCAACAAGTTGGAATGGCAAAATGAGCACGTAGATCCATGTGATCTGCGAGATAAGGATCGTGTACGCAAGGGGCAGTGGGGTGTTGAGAACACGTTCCGTGCCAGTCATGACCTCCTCCATAGCGTACAAAGCAGTACCTAGATTCTTCATGTCAACACCAGACCTCTCCTCGAAGCTCTATATTTATCCTTACCGGCCTGAGACTGGTAAACCGGCAGCCTAATCTTGCCTTCGTTCATCAGTTCATCTACGTAAGCAGATAAATATGACAGGATCTCCACTGGCAAGTTTCCAAGAGGCTTCTTCGATTTCTTAATTGCTTTTCGCGGGTTCGAAATTGCCATTGGGACGCTAAGATATTGTCCGATGGCCTTTAGGCCACCAACGCTTCGGGTTCCGCAGTCGTTAGGGTCATGGGCTTCCTTAGCAAATGTATCCAAGTGGCCTACGAGGTCGGCAAGGTCATCGTATGCGATATTAGGCTCAAACCGTAGTTTATGTTTCAACGCAACCGCAAACGCGACGATAAGGTTAATCCCAGTTCTAGTTGAGAACTGAGTTAGGAGGGACTCGTTGAGCCAACAAAACCGCACACGATCAGACGTACAATTTGGCCAATATATCTTCTTTTCCTTCTTCTCCCTCTCGTTCTTCGTTATGGATCCAGATGATGCGAGCCAATGTTCGAGATGATTGCATCAATAGGGCCCAGTACTTTCGACCTTCAGCATATCTTGACGGATGTCAGTGACGGTAAAAATGCGGAGATTAGTTTTGGAGGCCCGACCTTTCATATGCTGTTGAACTTCGAAGAGAAAGAGAAAGACCGACGACAAAACCGAGAACAGTAAGTAAAATGGACGACACTCCCACTAAGCCATAGGATCAGCATATCTTGCTCGCCTTCTTTTCAGAACACCATAGAATGCAAGACATACGCTTATGGACAAATTTTGTAATGACAGTGATCAAGGTGGCCCAACCGGACATTAAAATCAAAGGAATGATCATACGCGGCATAACACTGCCGTGCAATCGAAGGAAAGTAGGCCATTTTGAGTGTCGATCGAGGTTTCGTGGTCCAACCTACTCAGCAGTCATGGTTAACCCGGGTTAAAGGCGAGCAATTGGGGGTCACATTCATCCGTTAGAATGAGCAGGTCATGCGTACAAAATAATCATCAATATCAATGCTTGATCTCCTGGAAAGTAGTTGTTGAGGGAGCTTGCTTTCTCGTTCTTCAGAGCCACTGCTTATATAAGTTGGCATACGCGATGCACCCTTGTGATCGAATGTCGTGCTAGTAGACGATGCGGCGTCGGCCTGTTGACCACTCTTCGCAGGTGGGTGGTGAGCTGGGGCCGGCTCTGTATGATGTATAGCCATATCAGCCATGATCAAGGCTTCTCTCGGATGTCAGCGCACAGGAACCGGGTTGAGGGTGGGTGCTATGGAGAAATATGATGAAATGAAGGGATAGTAAAACAAGGATATTGGAACGGATGCTTTGAGATTCAGTGTCTGGGCTTGGAAATTAAATCTCCGTTCTCCTTCAAAAAGGGGGGGATGAATGAGAGAAAAATCCCAGAAAAGGATTGTCGGGATATAAACAAGATCAAAGGAGTGATGAATATATACTGATACCGAGGCAAACGTATTGCCCTCACAACATCTTGCACAAAAGAAAGATGAATGCAGAAATAGAACAGAATGGAGAAAAAAAGACGACTTAGCGGCTGGCGCGGAGGAAAGAGTCGTCAAAATATGTCCAAAGCTGCTTTGGCCCCCTCTGATTCCTTTCCCATCCAAACAGGGAAAGGTGAAACACAGGATGCATGGGCTAGCCCTCGCTCACAGTGGAGGAGCAGGGGCTGAACCGAAGCATCCACCGTCATTATTGGTAGAAAAGCAAATTATTCCTCCCATGTTGGGCTTGGGTCAAACAGCACAGTGCCACAAGCTTCGGTTGCGTTCTTGCGAAGGCAGTGTATTTTGACATGCTTTCTCATCCCTTTTGTCAGATGGTGGAATCAAACCCGCCATAGAAATGACAGATTGTCTTGGGAAACACAAGACAACCTGGTGTTTCTGTTGAGCGTTGGCATGGTTGAAGCAGCGGGACACAGGACACCGGAAATGGAACGGCGCTGAAGAGTCGAAAAAGTCTAGACTCTCGCCGTTGTCTTTTACCTCGTGGACCCCAACGTCCGCAAGCGACACGAATCGCGGGATGCGGCCAAAAAAGAAAAAGGGGGGAGGCTGAGACTCAGGAACCTCACAAGGCTGGCACCTGCAGCTTCAGTCCCCGGCAAGTAAAATGCTTGACAGCCTCTATTTGACATAAAAGGCGGTACAGTATGGCCCAGCTGTCAGTCTGTCATGCTATGGCGCCGCCACTGATGGAAGCCCGAGAGCTCTTCATTCACGGAAAGATCCCGCCACACTTAATTAGTTACTTACGAGAGACGTACTTCGGTCATTACTAATCAGGAGAGGGACGTTCAGCCGCAATGGCACCCCGAAGCGAAGACGCACAGCGGGCCGGCCACGATCCTTAGTCGATTTTTAGCGTAGTGATTGAGGGAGTTGAAGAGCCTTGTGTGGTTATATTCGGAGTTCTCCGTGTGTGTCTCCGTCGCCGTGAATTCTCGTTGAGAAACGATCACCAGGTTTCGCATCCGATCTATCAGTTATATATAATTAGTTGGTTAACTGCGATCTTTTAAGCGGATTGCCAGAGCAGCATCGTGGCATATCGTAGGAGTTCGATCCGAAGTGAATGCAATGATAAAATCCCATCGTATTCGGCGAACTTTTTATTTAGACCGACTTCTGCTAAGTCGATTAGGGGACGGAGGATTAAAACAAACACGTGTCAAGTCGGCCGCCCTCTGAGATTGGGGCCTGGAGAAATCGTAGGCATGCCTAACTGAAATGGTAAAAAGAAAAAAAAAAGATTTTATGTTAATCCTTGGGCGATTTTACTGTGCCTATCATGGAGACTGTATGCTGCCGGCATTGAGATTTTGGGATTATTAGCGGGGAGGTGAAAGAAAAAGCAACGAACTAGGCTTCAAAGCGAAGGAAATAACAGGGGACATCACATCCTGTCTGTATCCCGTACCTGCTCATCTATCGCGGTGCTGGTTACAAAATTAATCATATATTTTTAATCAGCCACTGATCAGCCCTGTGATCTGATTAAAAGGTCATAGCTCCCACCCTCTACTTTTCGAGAGCCGGTGTTCCGGCCTCAGGAAGCCATCATGCAGCGCTGACAGCACCTTGTGCAGTGTCTGCAAACTGCGCAGCACTCAGAAACGACTTGGGTTCCTGAAGATAACGGCCAAACTATCCGGGACTTTCTCTCGCATCGGCGTTCAGGAGACTATCGTGACGAGCTCCGTCCGGCAAGGAAGCCGAGACGAGATTTTCCCACGAGACCGAGACTCCAGTGACACACGCACGGCGCTTCGAACCGGACAAGCAGCAGCCGCTGTTTCTGGCCTCGTCTGCTTCTTATCGATAAGGCGGTTCTTTCCATCTTTCTTTGCCGAAGTGGCAGGGAACATCGTTGATCCGGGTCGGCACTGGCATAAACTTCCTCAATCGGGCTTAGCGCGGTTCCTGCAGGCTGTTTCCTCGGCAGCCACAGCAGCTCATGATTGGCCAGCCTCACCGATTGCCGTCCTCCAGACTGGGCGCGAGGTGGAGACCGTGGCTTGATTGGCTGCAGATACAAGTGGCTTCCCCAGATTGCACAAGAGCTTCGATGGACGGAGCTGCGAGCGAAGGTGCAGAGAGGGGAAAATGCTGGCGACATCCTCAACTCTGGCACCTTTAAAAAGGAACCGCCTCGTGCCCCGACGCCCTCTTCTTCCACTTTTCCTTCCTCTGAACCCGCTCAATCTCAATCTCTCTCCTCGCTGGCTTTCCTCGTTTTCCTCCCACCGCGCGAGCTGCTTTCCCGGTGACATCATCATCTACCCGGCTCGCGTTTTCCCACCGGAATTGAGAGCGTAGCTTGCTTTTTTCCTCATTTCCTTGTCTTTTTTTTTTTTTTTTTTTTTTTTGTTTTTAGCACACTTGAAGATGGCCTCAATTTTCCGCTCATCCGCTCAAATTAGAGCTGCTGCCCGCACAGGCAATCGAGCTTTCTCTGCACATCATGCACTCCGCGCTAGCGCAGCGGCGTCTGTCAAGGCTGGGACATCCGCAGAGAAGCCATTTTTCCCCAATGAGCCCGCTGGGCCTACCGTCAAGACAGCTATCCCTGGCCCCAAAAGCCAGCAGAAGATTGCGGAGCTCGATCGCGTTTTTGATACTAGAGCTCTGAATATGCTGGTGGACTACAGCTCTTCGGTCGGAAACTAGTGCGTTGGACCCCGACACTCTTAAGAAGCACGCTTGGGAAGTTACGCAAGCTAATTGAGTCGCTTTCACCACCTAGTATCGCTGATCCCGATGGAAATGTTCTGCTGGATGTGTAAGTTTCCATACTTCCAGTGCGAATTGTACAGAATTAGGCTCAATTTGCTAACGCACAATCCCCAGGTACTCCCAGATTGCTTCGATCCCCGTTGGCTACAATAACCCCAATCTCCTCGAAGCTACAAAATCGCCAGAGATGGCCAGTGCCTTGATCAATCGGCCGGCCTTGGGCAATTTCCCTTCGCAAGACTGGGCTCACATCCTGGAAACTGGTCTTCTCCGTGTCGCCCCCAAGGGCATGAATCAAGTGTTCACCTCCACCACCGGCTCTGACGCAAACGAGACCGCATACAAGGCCGCCTTCATGTATCATGCGCAGCAAAAACGTGGAGGACCAGAAGTCGAGTTCACCAACGATGAAATCTCGTCCACTATGGTCAACCAGGCCCCCGGTTCGCCAAACTACTCTATCATGTCCTTCCAGTCTGCCTTCCATGGACGTCTCTTCGGCAGTCTTTCCACTACTCGAAGCAAGGCCATCCACAAGCTTGATATCCCTGCCTTTGACTGGCCCAAGGCGCCTTTCCCTACCTTGAAATATCCTCTTGAGGATTTCGCCGCTGAGAACGCACAGGAGGAACAGCGCTGCCTCCAGGAAGCTGAGAGGATCATCAAAGAGTTCCACAACCCCGTGGCTGCCGTTGTAGTCGAACCAGTCCAATCCGAGGGCGGCGACAACCACGCTTCTCCGGCCTTCTTCCAGGGCCTTCGTGAAATTACAAAGCGAAACAACGTGCTTCTCATTGTTGACGAGGTGCAAACCGGTCTTGGCGCCACCGGAAAGTTCTGGGCTCATGACCACTGGAACCTTCAGACTCCTCCGGACATTGTCACCTTCTCGAAGAAAGCTCAAGCTGCGGGATACTTTTATGGTAACCCAGCTCTAAGACCCAACAAGCCATTCCGCCAATTCAACACCTGGATGGGTGATCCCGCTCGCGCTCTTATCTTCCGAGCTATCGTTCAGGAGATTGAGCGGCTTAATCTCGTTCAGAACACTGCTGTCACCGGCGATTATCTTTTCTCTGGATTGGAGCGCCTCGCTCAGCAATACCCTGGCCAATTCCAGAACCTCCGCGGCAAGGGACAAGGTACATTCATCGCCTGGGACAGCCCACAGCGAGATGCTGTCCTGAAGAAGGGTAAGCAGGTTGGAATCAACATCGGAGGCTGCGGAGAGGCTGCTGTCAGATTGCGACCAATGTTGATCTTCCAGAAACACCACGGTGAGTAGACAATTAACCCGATTTCCAACTTCAAGGACCCTGCTAATAGTGCTCTAGCCGACATCCTCCTCGAATCTCTGGAGAAGATTGTGAAGTCTTAGGGGTTTCATTTGATTGTCTAGCGTTCCTCACAAACTTGTTATTTTCCGGGCGAATTTGCGATTGGTTTTCATCTTAGTGATTCAAAATAATGATGGCATGTGTTTTATAAGGTTATCTGACTGGCATAAGTCAAATGTAATGAAAAAATCTATATCTTTCTGAAGTGAAGTCCTCAGTACTGAGTACAGAGTATCTTGATGGCCCAAATTCTATTTTTACAAACACACCCGAAAGCGTGCACTCCGGAGGCATGTCGGGCCGAGTATCTGATGAGGATCACGCGTGTGGTTGGTCCAGGGGCACGAACGAACTTTAACTGGTGAACTTTAAGGCGAGAGTTAAAAAAAGAATTGTTCCAAAGCCGCCTCTGGTGTGTCTGAGCCGGACTCCAGACCGGAGACAACAAGCGCAAAGGTAGCACTGCGTCGTCCATTTTTTTTAATATTTTAATATTTTAATATTTTTATTTTTCCCTTATTTTCCCCACCATAACATTTCCTTAGTTATCAATTGCTACCGGCAGTTATTCATACTGTTTTTCATCTCATCTACCTATTATCCTCCTCGTTCGTTCACACTCCCTCTTGGCTTGTACTCGTCATATCAATAACTTCCCCGCCCACACGCCGCTCGTGACCTCGTAACACCGCTGTTCCGTTACCTCCCCATGGCTCAAGCAGAAATCGAAGCCGCTACGGCTCTAAAGGTAGCGGGGAACAAAGCCTTTGCTAAACATGACTGGCCGGAAGCGCTGGGATTCTACACAAAAGCCATCGAGAAATATGATCGAGACCCTTCATTTTGGTGCAATAGAGCGCAGGTATGTTTTGTCACGCAACGCGCCCTGGGACCTTGTAGTCTCAGGGACGAAATAAATGCGCGAGTTTGAACTTTTTTGTGGATTCCGCTTGCAAAAAAACAAAAGAAAAGCAAAGGTGGTGAGAGAAGGGAGATAGGATGGATGGTTCTATGTGGGCTAATTGCGGCTTTCTTCTCTGGGCAGGCGAACATCAAACTGGAAGCGTATGGCTATGCTATCGCGGATGCGACCAAGGCGATCGAGTTGGATCCCTCATATGTCAAGGTCTGGCGCATGCTCCCTAGCTTGGTGACATCGACGCATGTCTAACATCTTGGTTTGCCAGGCGTACTGGAGACGAGCCGTTGCGAATACCGCCATCCTCAATTCCAGAGAAGCCCTGAAAGACTTTAAAACCGTTGTCAGAAAGGCCCCGAACGATCGCGATGCGAAACTTAAACTGGCGGAATGTGAGAAGCTGGTGCGAAGGATTGAGTTCGAGAAGGCCATCGAGGTCGCGGAGCCGCCGTCTGCATTTGAGGGGCTTGATATCGAGGCGATAAAAGTGGAGGAGTCCTACGATGGCGTGCACCTCGGAGATGAAATGACGCAAGAATTCATAGATGATATGATCGAGCGGTTTAAGAACGGGAAGAAGATCCATAAGAAATACGCGTATAAGATCGTGAAGGCGGTGAAGGATCTTGTCTATGACGAGCCGACTATGGTGGAAATTGGTGTTGAAGAGGGAACAAAACTGACTGTCTGCGGAGATACACATGGTAAGGAAGATGTTCACGGGACCACCGAACCTAGGAATTCGTCTAACTGTTATCTCTTTAGGTCAATATTTTGATCTCCTGGAAATCTTTAGACTCAACGGTTTCCCTTCGGATACTCACGCATACCTGTTCAACGGTGACTTTGTCGACAGAGGATCTTGGTCAACGGAGATCGCTCTTCTTCTTTTCGCATACAAATGGCTGCGGCCCAACAAATTCTTCCTAAACCGTGGAAACCATGAGACGGATGATATGAATCGCGTCTACGGATTCGAGGGCGAATGCAAGGCCAAATACACCGAGCGCCTCTTCAAAGTCTTTTCCGAGTCATTCTCCGCGCTTCCACTCGCCACGTTGATCGGAGAAAAATACCTGGTTCTCCATGGAGGTCTCTTCTCAGATGACGACATTACTCTTGACGATATCAGAAAGCTCAACAGACATAACCAGAGACAACCCGGCCAGTCTGGATTGATGATGGAGATGCTATGGACCGATCCGCAAACCGACCCAGGTCGCGGCCCAAGTAAACGAGGTGTGGGATTGCAGTTTGGTCCCGACGTGACAAAACGGTTCTGTGACAAGAACGGCTTGAAGGCCGTCATCAGAAGTCACGAAGTGAGAATGGAGGGTTATGAGGTTGAGCACGATGGCCGGTGTATTACAGGTTTGTTTCCTGTGCCTGATTGATTATGCCGAGAAAGCATTCACTGACGAAACTTAGTCTTCTCCGCACCTAAATATTGCGACAACACCGAGAACAAGGGCGCATATATCAATGTTGACCCAAAATTGGAGCTCGAATTTCACAAGTTTGATGCTGTTCCTCATCCTGATATTAAACCAATGGTATGCTTGTCATGTTTATATTGTGTCTCTGCTCCTTCAGTTCACTTTGAGCTAACTGGACTTCTAAACACCAGGCGTACGCTCAAAATTCCATCATGTCGCTGATGTGAGAGCTTAACGATAAACACTATATCAATCTATTGTGTCTTAAGACAAACCAGAGCCCATGTATCACGAATCTGGTGGATATATGATTTGAGAGCCCTAATGATCGTGTCTAGCGCGGAGTCGGTTGGCATAGAGCAATTATGTATCAATTGGGATTTGTTCCTTTTTTGATATATCAGACTGTGGCTTTTGATTGTTTTCAAGCGTTGCATATACAATCGAGCTATCGTGGTTCGCCGTTGATATAAACAATCGATATTTGTGTTGAAGACTCGTACTCTTCTGCATTTGTTTCCAGGGCTTTCAAGTACGTCAATACTAGAAGATGGGTAGTATCCTATTCCTATAAAAGTTTGCAAGCTCCTATTTACTTGCGTAGAAGTAAAGCGTAGCTTTTCGTAAATGGCGCTCCGCGCTGATTTTATTGCTGCTGTATTGCTCCCTCGTCCATCGGCTCCACCCGCTATGGTGACAGGTTCTTGTACGCATCCAATTTAATCCCTCAAACAACCGCGTCATCCAAGAACCTCCATGCAGGATACTAAGTTGAACACTTGTCTAAATCATGGAATTCGATCCCAAAATCCGTATGCTGGTCATTGCCCTGTCGCACCGTGAGGGGCACAAGCTAACCCCACCAAACAACCAGCTCCGATTCTCACATCGGAACGACAAACGTTCGCATATATTTCTGCGCTTGAGAGATGGCCTGTTATTCTGGTTGGGACTCTCAATTCCCTTCGCGCATGAAATATATTCCGCTAATTGGTACTCTTGGAGACAGACGGGCGCCATTGACGACCTCCATCGCTCTCTCATCAAACTTCCTGATCATGAAGAGGACAAGCGCAAAGAGGGAAAGGACATTGTCTCGCAACTCGCGGCGTTGAAATACGAACTGTTACACAATAGGAAATTGACGTGAGGAAGCCCTGTCTACTACGTACCAGCGAAGCTGGAAGCTCTTTCGATGTTCCCGCGTTGACGAGAATATAGGCCTTTAGAGGATGATGGCGAAGGCGATATCGAGACATACAATAAGGAGCTAGAGGAAAGAGGAGAATTGACCTGGTTCAATGCGCCATGGCTCTTCACAGAATGCTATCTCTGTGCGTATCGAACATCAATACTGTTCCTTTGCCATGATCTCTGACTGTTTGGAACATAGACAGGCGGATAAACGTCCTATTCTCGCGCGCAGAGTACTGGAAGGACTATGATATTTTCGCGCGTCAGAAAATGTCTACATTTAAGTCGTCACGCCCCGCAGTTCTCGAGCTTGGTGCGAGATATAGACATCTAGACAAGGAGATCAAGGCAAATCATTCCGGCGAACAGATAGAAAAAGCAGATGAATTACTCTTCGCGGAAATGTGCGAGATTTGTCTCTGGGGAAATGCAACTGATCTATCCCTTCTCACATCACTCACGTACGAAGATATACAGAAGCTCCAAGGTGCGAAAGCGCGCAAAGCAGCTGAAGAGAATATCATAGTCAATGATCTTCCCGCGGCATTTGCTGTCTTGAATAACGCCCGGAAGACCAAAAACAACCAAGAGCGCCGCGTGGACATCGTTCTCGACAACGCCGGCTTTGAACTATTCGTTGACCTGATTCTCGCTGGATATCTTCTCCTCTCTGACCTTGCCACGACGGTGGTCCTTCATCCCAAGTCTATCCCTTGGTTTGTTTCCGATGTGGTACCCAAGGACTTCGGAGATCTAGTTTCCGTCCTCGCCGACCCTCAAGCCTTCTTCACAGCTCCAGAAGACAAGCACGATCCGAAGAGCAACGATAAACCTGCCCCGCCGCTCACAGAAAACGAAGTTGCTGAGCTACAGTTTTTATTTAGCCAATGGAGCCAATTCCATGCGGACGGGAAGTTGATCATCCGGCCGAATCGGTTCTGGACTACAGCAGGAAGTTACTGGCGAATCCCAAGCGAAGAGCCAGATTTGTGCAATGACCTGAAAGAGAGTGAACTAGTTTTATTTAAAGGAGACTTGAATTATAGAAAGTTGACCGGAGATGTAAATATCACCACTTCCCTTACAGAACTTTGCTATACCCCACCCCCCTTTTTTTTTTTTTACGCCTTCAAGTCGACTAACGCAAGTACTTGTATATAGGCACACTGGGACCCAACAACGCCATTCTCTAATGCAATCGGCCCTCTGGGACCCGGATCAGGAATCCGCACTCTTGCCCTTCGCACCTGTAAGGCTGATGTGGTGGTTGGACTTCCTGAAGGCGAAGATGAGCGCATCCGTCAGACTCCAGGGGGCGGAGCAGATTCAGGGGCTCGGAAATGGGCATGGGGCGGAAAATGGGCCGTTGTGCAGTTTTGCGACGGAAAGGCTTGAGTTAATGGTATTTTCCGGGACTTTGCTTCTAAATGTAGCGCGAAGAACGAATACCCTTTAGCTATAGATGCGCAGCATGGAGATTGATAAAATAATATGGATATGGAGCCTGAACATGAAACTTGGGTACAACAATGCCACATTAACAGAGGAGCCATAGATAGTGGAGCATCTAACCTGGAGAGTTGGCACTGTTATGCCCAAGGATATTCTATTTTCTATGGGCGCAGTTGCTCTCTCTATTCTGAGCTCAACTCGATAAAGCCAAAAATAATAACTAACTAGTTAAAAAAAAAAAAAAAAAAAAAAAAAAAAAAAAATTAAAAAGGACATAAGCACCTATGAGAAAGCAAACGAAGAGTAGGCCTATCAACCAGGATATACTATAAAATTAACCAGTGATAGTCAGAGAAACAGGGACATGAACACCTTCAAACACCCCCTCTCCTTGGCCAACAGGAATGCAATGAAAAACTACAATGCACAAATTGGTATCATCGCAAGACTAACAAATCGACAAAACAAGCGCATCTGGAATATGTTGAAGGAGATGTGAGATTAAACGCGACGCCGAGATCCCCACATGGAATGCAAATCAATAGCCAATTAAAGCCACATTAACCTCAAACTGCCGTGTATACGTTCTCTTTCCCTTGAGCCCGAGCTTTCTTTGCATCGTCGCTGCTACGTTGAAGCCGCGCTTTCGCACTCGCGGACCGCTCAGGGTGCGCGAGTGCAAAAGCTTCGGCTGCAGTACTGGCGGGCAAATGGAAGTCTGGCACTAGGGACATTTGTCGATTTAAACCAGACGTTTTGCTGGCTTTTTGTCGTGGAGTTTTATCGTCTGTATTTTTTGCCGGGCGAGGACGAAAGTTGGCGCTTTTTTTCCTTTCATCAAGTTCCATGTAAACCATGGAGGGTCTGGGCGAGAGAGTAGTCCTCACGTAGTCCTCTTGAGTGGTAGACTTTTTCGGGGACGCTGAACGACAGCGTTGGGGAGGCAGTAATTTAGCAGCTGCTAGAAGATCCAGGTTGTTCTGGCGGCGCTTGAGTATATTAGGCGGGAGGTCGTCGCCGCCTAAATCTGTTAGCATGGCCGCATCGTCGCGGCTATTTAAGTCGCGCAATGGAGATATCTGAATATTATCTCTAGGACGTTGCGGCCGGAGGTCCGCATTGCTTGGTCTGGATGAATGCCGCGGTACGCTTCTTTCTCTTTCTCTTTCTCTTTCTCTTTCTCTTTCTCTTTCAGTGTTGTTCGTTGTTGGGTTGGCCCGGCTTTGTCCGTTCTGGTGGGATGATCTGTGTTCCCGATGTTGTGTAGCATCACCTTCCTGTTTGCTTGGGGATGACTGTCGACCTGAAGTCCTGCCTGGGTCGGGAAGAGTGCAGTTATTTGTGGAAGCTCGTTTTTCGACTGCGGCTAGCTCGCTTCTTAATGAATCAATAATGTCTTGCATTTCTCTCTTCTCGGCTTCAAATGTCTTTTTTAGTGCATCTTGTGCTTCCCAATGAGCCTTTGAAGAATCCCTGAGTCGCTCGCTATATTCTTTAACTCGACGCTCAAGATCTTCTTGTTTCCGCTTTAATCTTGCCTCTTTAGACACCCGTCTCCCTTCGTAAGTTGAGATTTCCTTTTTGATCTTTGCAAGATCTTGTTTGAGAGACAAGTTCTCGTTGTCAAGCTCACGAGCTTTCTTTTCTGAGCTTTCAACAAGTGTTTGCAGCCTTTTAAGGCCATCCGACCGACCCTGAGATTTTAACCGAGCGTTGGCTAGGTCTAACTCTGCCTGTACTTCACGAAGCTTCCGCATCACAGCATCCTGTTTTGGGTCATCGTCATGAGAGCTTTCATCACTGTCCAAGACCCCATGTCGTTCGAGTGTTCGTCGTAGACTGGCTGCCTTGTGCTTATGTTTCAATGTCAATGCGGTTTGTTGAGAAAGCTCCTTAACCATGGCTTCATCCTTGGGTTCTCCAGTATTGATGTTGTCAGCCATTTTGGCAGCAATTTCGGCAAGATGATGCTCCATAACTTGGAGCTTCTCCTCCTCCTGCCTCAGTTTATCCGTTAGACGGCTGACTTGCTCATCTTTTTTCCTTGCAAACGACTTTGTTAGTGCCCGGTACTCGAGCAGCTTTTTGATTTCGCGATCAGATTTCGTTCTATAGCTCTCATATTCAGCCTTCCAAAATTTCCCTGATTGCGAGTGAGGCTCATTTAGATTTGTGGTAGGATCATCATCAGTCTCTTCGACAGGATCCTGGGAAATTTGTGGAGTAGGTGTGGCAGGCTTTTCGGTAGGGGTAGTTTTCTTTTTCTCTGTGATGTTAAAAAGATCGTCTTCTTCGCAGGGCTTGTGCTCTTGCGCATTTAGGGAAGATTGGGAAGATTTGCTTCGATTTTTCCTTGACAGGTCCGAGGTTGGAGCGGGCCATTGTCGACTGATGTTTCCGGAGAGTAGGTCCTTCTTTGGGCTTAGGCCAAGGGTAGATCGTTTGCGCTCGTTATCAATGACGCCTTCACCAAATGATACAGTCTTTCTCCGCCCCGCCGCTGTTCCGGGTGTAACCAGAATACTTTTTGCCGGAGAAGCCATGGGTTGGGCTGCCTCTTTCGGTGGCGGCAAGGGCTCTCGCGGTTGGGATTTATCCTTCGCCTCGGATCTGGCTTTCTCAAGTTTTTTAATAAGATTATCGCTTCGCTGGTAAGTGTTCTCTAGTGGTTTTAGTGGAATGGTAAGCTCGCGGTCCTCGTCGATCTCGGCGGGAGTGCCGAGGAGAGCGTTTTTGAAAGCTTTGTAGGCGAACGCAGGAGCTGGAGTCTCAGGTGCATCTTCGGGGTAATCAGTAACAGTGAAATCGGGTTTTGATAGTGGATAGGTGGATTGGCTGTTCTCAGAACCTACCGACGCCTTCCCCGCGCCCGGCACCTGCCAACCATCCCAACATATTTGCGGTTCTCAACTCCTACAAGGGTTCATTTGCCACTAAACCAGTTTTAAATTTAGCAGGGTAAGTAAAGACGCGTCTGTATGACGGCTATTTATTGACGGGATGCAATTGTGGTGGTGCCGCCGTCATCATCGGCGAAGGGAACCACGTTTGTTTACGCTGCACGGTTTCGATGCCCGTCTGAGCTTTGGCAATTGGCAGCTTCACAGCGCTAAACCGCTTCTGGCGCCAAGCAACTCTGCCCAATTTCTGGCCCCCTGTGGTGTGTCACGTGATACTGAATGGGCGCCCAAAAGCCGCATTGGATGGCGGAGGGGCACGTCAAGAGGGCGCAGGATGAAGAAGAAGGGGAGTCGATGGGTCGTTACAGAGGCATTAATCTATTGATAAGCATGGGTTGTACTCCGTACGGAGTATGGGGAACGGAGTACTCGGTACTGATGGTAATATTGTCTGGTTTAAAGTCGCGTTGGTAGTTTTCCTGGCACCTGGTGTGTCTCTCACCTGAAGATTTGGTACGACCTTGCTTGATCATCCATGATAGTCCGAGCGAGACCAGGGCCGGATGGATGTCCATACATACTCCGTACATTCCTACTACATGGCCTGATGCCAGGATATCCATGGCAGCCTGGTTATGTAATATTGCCCTGCGCCTAATCTCACTTCAGCGGGGTGAAAGTGTTCCAAGGCTGGCATGGAAAACTCATATGGAGATAAAAACAAAATCTTTTGTAGAGATACGTGTTCTTGTTGTTCCCTCGGCAAGGCCTTGATTTGATGCCTAACAGCAATTCTCACATGGTACAGACACATGGCCTTGGAAAATGAGACAAGCAGTGACTGTTTTGAGCGGACGGGGATCCGACCAAAGTGAGGCAGTTCTGGACCTGATCATCACCTCCACTACGGGGGTAGAGACACGCTCTGCCATATTGACCACCAGTCTTTTCGGGAAACATGGTATCCAGTTTCTGATGATGCATGCATGTACAGAGTAGACAGTAGATATGTGAACTGTGCCCTTTTATGGAGCCAAGCAAGGCGGGTCGACAGCTGTCCCTTGGGGGTGGATAATCTCTGCAGGAAACAGACGAGCGGGCGGTTTTCCAAGGCGATTCACCGGCGAAATGTTGTTCCGAGTCCCTCCGCAACCGGATGCCCCACCGCCTTATCAGTTCTGCCATCAAGCTCCAAAGAGGTTACCAGGCGCTGTCTGAGCTCCAACTTGCACTGTGAAATATTGTCGTCCACTGTCTCCTGTTCTATCTCCTGGTCAACTGTCATCACATCATGCTAAGGTAGAGGGCTGCAGCTTCGGCTGCCCTTTCTGTTGCTTCCTTCATCCGGGGCAACAGTTTCAATCTTCCTCAATTTCCGTGCCTACCTCTTCCACGAGTCAACTTTCACCATGCCGGCCAAACAGAAGAAAGGCACCAGGAAGAACGGGCACCTAGCAGCGGAAAAGAAAAAACCGCAACTATCTTCAGATGCGGGCCCTGCAGCTTCTCCGTCCGCCATCATTACAAATTACCGAGAAATCCATGTGAACGAGGCTGAGGCCTTGCGTTCAATCTATGCTGATGGCTTTGAATATGTAGAAACTCGGCAGTCTGCTTGGAAGGTATGTCTCTGCACCTGTACTCTTTGTGTTCACTCTACCTGTCTCACCAATTCCGGGATTCCCCGCTAATTATGTGTGTTTCGCCGCGGATCAGCAATCTTCCGATATTGCGTTTAAGCTGCACTTAAAGGCATCGTCCAACTGTGAAGTGGGTGTAGACCTGCTTGTTGAACTGCCAGCGACGTACCCGAAAACTACCCCGAAGCTGACTTTGGAGTGTATTGACGATTTGCGTGGTGACGCTAAATCTCGCATCCAGAATGTAGTCGTCACAAAACCTGCCGAGCTGCTCGGCAATGAAATGATCTATGAGTTAGCCGTCTCGATACAAGACATTCTGGAAGATGCGGCTCTTATGCGCGCACGATCTGACGCAGGTCGAAGCCTAGAAGAGGAACGAAGAGCTCAAGAGGCGGCGGCGCTCCAAAAGGCTGAACGGTTGAAGCAGGAAGAGCTGAGGAAGCAGCAAGAAGCTACAAAGGAGGAAGAAAAGGAATACGAGGCGGCATTCAAGAACCAGATCAAGATCAGACAGCGTGAGAAAGAGCAGAATTACCGTCGGAAGAGCAGGTCCACATTCGAAGACGTTGAGCATCTAGACCCGAGCGACGATACCCCTGGGGCTGTAACTTTTGATAGCCCTATGACAGTCATTGATAACGAAGGGCGGCAGCTAACTTTCAGGGCTGTTTATGGGAGAACTTTGATCAACCATACCCACCACAAAGAGACATTTACCGTGAAACCGGTTGTGCTAGGAGCTACGCACCGTGTTCCGCTCCTGGTACTCAAGGAAATTTTCATCCGCGAGAAGGAGACAAAGATCTCGGACGTTAGACAGAGGATAGGATCAAGTGAGGACAAACTGGAGATTCTCAAGTCTCTTCGCCATCCAAATTTGGTCGATTTCGTCGGCTACAAAATATATAGCCCGCTCGACCCGTACGCTTCCCATGACAATACCTGGCATGTCTCTGCACTGTTCGAGTATGCGAATAAGGGGTCGCTTTCCGAACTCCTCGACATGGTTGGTACTTTGCCGGCAGAGAATGTGAAAGCCTGGATGATTCAGCTCGTCGAGGGCCTCGAATTTTATCACCGCCATAGACTTGTTCACGGGAATATTCATTCTGCGCGTGTCCTGCTCTTTCGGAGCTCAACCGGTAGCACTGTAGTAAAGTTACTTGGAAGCATTGAAGAAGCGTTGCCATTGCCTTCCAGCGCGAAGAGGGCTTTGGATACCTCAAAATCTACTTTCTGGCAACCTCCGGAGCTGATGCAGGACGATGCGAAACCAAGTATTAAGTCTGATGTATGGGATTTGGGCATCGTCTTCCTTCAAATGGGTTTTGGAAAAGATGTCCTGCAACGATATACGTCGGCAAATTCACTTATTACTTCTCTGGATCTCTCCCAACCTCTTCAGGATATGTTGCGCGAACTCTTCCAAGTGGACCCTAAAAAGCGACCAACCGCTTTTCAAATCCATCCTTTCGAGTTTTTCCGGGTTGACTCGCCCTTAATAATGCCAACAGCCACGCCGAGTTCAGCACCTCACCCAAGGCGTGCGAGAAGTGATTCCCAAGGGATGCTGCCAATTTTTTCACGCTATGAGCATGATTTTGACGAGGTGGGCCGTTTAGGTCGAGGCGGATTTGGCCAGGTTGTTAAGGCGAGAAACAAACTCGACGGTCGGTTTTATGCTGTCAAAAAGATATCTCATAAGTCTTCTGCGGCGTTGAAAGACACTCTTTCAGAAATTATGTTGCTCTCCAGACTAAACCACCCCTATGTCGTGCGGTACTATACTGCTTGGCTTGAAGAGGATTATTTTGGCGTCGAAGATGATGCCGTGGAGTCGACTGACCAAGAACATTCCCATCCAAACATCGAATTTGGCTATAGCACCAGCGGACTCGACTTTATGAGTTCGAAAGGATATCCGAAAATTGAATTTGGTTATGACAGCGACGAACAACCTCCCGACGGTGATGAAAATGGGGAGGGTCGGACCACTTCCAATGGAACCATTCGTGAAGACGATGATGATTATGACGATAATGAGGACGAGCCAACGCAATCAATTACAGGTGAGGAAGGGGATGAACTTCAATTAGTTAACTCCGGAAGTTCACACCAGGTGACTTCGACGCTATATATCCAAATGGAATATTGTGAAAAGCACGTAAGTAAAGGTCATTTTTCTATCTCCTCTCCTATGGCTTTTGACAGTTCTCCTCAGACTCTTCGCGACTTGATTCGGGACGGACTCCATGAAAACGTTGATGCTTCTTGGAGACTCTTTCGGCAGATCCTGGATGGCTTAAATCATATTCATACGCATGGAATCATTCACAGGGATTTGAAACCGGATAACATCTTCTTGGATGTCACCAATAATCCTCGTATCGGAGACTTTGGTCTTGCAACTCGTGGTCAGTTTTCAACGGCTATCCAGTCCTCCTTTGTCCCGGATATTGGTGAGAGCTTCACGCGGAGTATTGGTACAACGTATTATGTGGCCCCGGAGATGAAATCTGCTGCAGATGGCCAGTACAATGAAAAGGTGGACGTGAGTCATTGCCTTCAGCTCTCCATTTTAGCATTTCCCAACCATTTTGCTAATTTAAACAGATGTACTCTCTCGGGATCATATTCTTTGAAATGTGTCACCCTCTCAACACTGCCATGGAGCGGGACCATACCCTTCAGGAAATTAGAAAGAAAGACCATGTGCTCCCTGAAACTTTTGAACTACCGGAAAAGGTTGTCCAGGGGCAGATTATCGAGTCACTCATTAGCCACCGCCCAGGGGAGCGGCCAGCAGCGATAGAGATCCTTCAAAGCGGAAAGATTCCACTACAGGTTGAAGAAGAAATGTTTAGAAAAGCCGTAATGGGTTTACTATCGGATCCAAATTCTGCAGACTACAAAAAGATCCTCTCTGCAATATTCTCACAGCCATCCAACAAATTCGAAGATTTGGCATGGGAAATTGATTCGCGAGAGTCGCCGCCTGCTAACGAAATGGTACTGCAAGGTGCAGTGAAGGATCAGCTAATAGCGATATTCCGGAAACATGGAGCAGTTGAAACCACAAGGCAGACAGTATTTCCTCGCTCTAACCATTATGGGCCTGGAGTTGTCAGACTGTTGGACCCCGATGGGAACCAAGTTCAGCTGCCGTTTGACCTAACACTTCCAAATGCACGGTCCGTCTCCCGTCAACATCCGTCAATCGATAAGATGTTCTCGTTCGGAACTGTTTTCAGGGAAGCACTCCATGGAGGACAGCCACGTGCACACAATGAAGTTGACTTCGATATTGTCTCCCACAATACCCTCGATCTTGCTTTGAAGGAGGCAGAAGCAATCAAGGTTTTGGATGAAATCCTTGATGAGTTTCCGTCTCTGAGAACGGCACAGATGTGTTACCACCTCAATCATTCAGACCTTCTCGATACTATCATCGCGTTTTGCCGCATCAGTTCAAAGCAGAGACCGCTTGTGAAAGAGGTGATCAGCAAGCTCAATGTTGGACATTACACTATGCAAAAGATTCGAACTGAATTGCGCGCTCCTACTATCGGAGTAGCGTCTACATCAATTGATGACTTGGCACGGTTTGACTTCAGAGGTAAGGAATTCATGCCTTTTTTGTTTTGTATTATCTACTAATTAGTGTGCAGATTCTCCCGAAAAAGCTTTGAAGAGACTTCGTTTGATCATGGAAGATACCGAATTTGTCGACAAGCTAACCCCTATCTTCGCTCGCTTGAATGCTGTTATCTCCTACCTGAAGAGGTTTCGTGTTCGACGCAAGATTTATATTAGTCCTCTAAGCAGTGTCAATAACAAATTCTACGGAGGTAGTATCTTGTTCCAGTGCATCTTCGATACGAGGAGAAAGGACGTTTTCGCAGCCGGTGGTCGGTATGATAGTTTGATCCAAGAATTCCGTCCGAAGATAATGTCGTCGCGACCTCAATGCCACGCGGTTGGATTTTATCTCAGCTTCGATAAATTGACGGCATCGATGGCGAATCTCGTTAAAGGAAGAACTAAAGGTTCCTCAAAACACATCTCGGATATCGGTGATATTTGGCGGAAACGCAAGGTAAATAGTGACCACCTTTGTCAGTGGCCAGCGCTAATCACCTTTCAGTGTGACGTCCTGGTGGCAAGCTTTGATAGCAATGTCCTCCGAACACTGGCTCTCGATATTTTATCAGAGCTATGGACACATGATATTAGTGCCGAGTTGGCTATCGATGCCTCGTCCTTGGAAGAACTTCTTACTCGTTATCGAGACGATAACCACAGCTGGGTGGTTATTGTTAAACAGGACAGTTTAGATCGGGGATTGAAAATTAAGAGTCTCGCTAGAAAGGAAGAATTCGATGTCAGATGTGGCGATCTCGTTGCTTGGATTCGAGCTGAGATTCGTCATCGAAACCAGAAAGAGAAAGCAGAGACTTTAAAATCCACCAAACAGGGAACGCAGGACCCTAATCCTTTGAGTAGGGAGAGAGACATGGACGTTCGAATTATTGCACCAATGCACAAAGGCAAAAAGACAAATCGGCAGAATATGGTTGAGTCCGGTATGTTAAGCTGTTATGTCTGATGTCAAGTTAAGTGTCCTGACAACCGTCATCTTCCGTTTAGCAATACTTCGAGCTCGCGAGACGGCCGACAAGGCACTGGATGGTCCTATCGCAGCTATCGACATACGTGATGATGTTCTCGAGGCCATTCGCAACACCCGCCTTGCTGATGCGGACGCATGGCGTGTTGTCATTCAAAGCGTTCCATTGGTGGAAAGGAAGTACCTGACCGATCTGCTCAACTTACTGTATGAGCTTGCCAGCGAGAGCAAGGAGCAGGACGGAACCGAACGATACCGAAACGCCTTTATCTACAATTATCGTAATGGTAATTGTGTCTATTATGATTTGACGCTTGGGAAATGATGGATAATCATGTATTTGATGAATTTGATGAATTTTCATGCTTTAGATGAAATAAAGGGTTCAAGACTATGACAATATGCATTTCGCATCCAGGCTCAATTAGCATAGCTAGTTGTCGGTGTCTATCATACAGTGCTTCGAAACATCAATCGCTTTCATCATCGCTGCCGTAGGCTACCAGAGGGCCAGTATTTTGTGGGGTAGAAGCTTGTATTATATTTGAACCACCATATCCATGCAACGCTGCTAGCGTTGCGCCTGAAAGAATCCCTCCGCCTCGGTCTGCCGTAGAAGCAGCTGTAGTAAACGTGTGCTGAGTAGCACCGGCATCCTCGATCATATATGGCTGTTCGGGGGCTTCAAGTTGTCGAGTTTCTGCAGCTTCTTCGAGTTCTCTACTCCGAGCGTACCAAACCTCATCGGGAGGTTCGTAGCCCTGCAAGCCGAACCCTCCTTCAATTTTTTTCCTCTTCCTAGCTTCCGGGTCTCTTCCTTCTATTTCTGCCACAAAATCAGCCGGCAGAGCTCTTCGGATGGCCTCTGCTGCTTGTTCATCGATTCGTTGGGCCTCCCGCTTCTGAGCTGCTGGATTCGGATCCACAGTAGCCCAGCGAACGTTCAAAATCTCATTATGATCCAGACTCTGGTGCGCCATAGCCTCCTTGGCAAATTGCGAATTTGCTTCGTTACTATACGTAACGAATGCAACACCTCTGTTGTTAAGAACTCGGATTCGATCGATCTGACCCCATTCTGAGAAATGTCTCGCGACGACTTCTTCAATGTCGTCTGTAACATGTATCCTTCCCACATATAGCGTTCTATTCTGTCTCATAAAGCTTCCCACGCCACCCATGTCATCGCGGTAATCACTGAACTTGTCTCGACCAAAGCAGTCGACGTTTGGATTGAATAGATCATGTATGCCCGGCAATCGGTGTAGGTATTCGCACTCATGGCCCTTCGGACAAACCCCTCGCGCGAAGTATAAACAGAAAAATGACCCGGTCACTTTATCTGCACGTGTATACCCACTATCCGTAGCTATAGAGCATCGCGAAGGCGCTTTGTGTTTCGAGAGATACTTGTCTTCGCGATCGCCACCAGACCATTTGTTATACCAAATGTTGTAGATCGTACCGGTTTGAGGAGGTGGCTCCGATTTGATTGTGGCCGGGTCGATTTGCACGCGAGCAGGCCGTCTCTTGCGGCGGATTATCCGCTTTGTTTTCTTCTCTGGGTCTTCGGAGGCTGCTGTACTGGTTAGGGCGGTGTCGGATTGCTTGGTCAGGGCGGAAGTCGTTGGTGCGTCATTTTCAGGGTCAGCAACAACACCGGCGGAGTTCGCAGGGAGAGTGGCTGAAACAGAAGGTATCGAGTCTGTAGATGCCATTTCTGTGTCGACAAGCCGTGCTTGAATCTGAGGTGTCTGAATTCTCCAGACGAGCCCTGCGCAGCTACAGCTCCAAGATGAGCGATCGAAGCTCAGCTTACATAAGCAAACTCCGCCAATGCGGGCCTTGGACTGGGGTTGAGATCAAGATGACATTAGAAATTCGATCGAGGGGTGGCCTATCGCTTGAATGATATTTATTCCAAGTTATTTGCAACAGTCATTGAAGGTCATTTTCCTGTTGTATTGTTGATCCTAGGGTGGCTGTGGTAACTGACAGTGGACCGTCAAAATGGTGAACATCACGGATAGGATCAAGGAGTGAGACCTGCCCTGCGCTAGAGATATGGCAAACTCCAAGGATTCTAATAGATTACTTGACATTAGGATTGAGGATGAGATGCGGAGGACGCAAAGTACGTGTTATATTATCTTACAAAGTAATATATGCTAACCGAAGCCATAGAGAACAAGGCGACTGGTGCGTTATGATGAGCATCCAGTCTTGCCGCAGATTAGCATATTGACCTTTCGCAGAATACCATCTTGGTCTTTTGAAGGGGTGCGTACTGCAGAGCTGCTTACTTTTTGTCATTAAGTCGACCTTTCCATGCATGGGATCAGGCCAAGCCGGATGACTGCTAGTCACCTGGATGAATTGAATTGAAAATCTCTACCAAAGCAGCCACGGATACCTGCCTTAACATATCTGCCCGTGGATATGGGGGATGCCTTAGTTCAGTGTTTAAACCGATCTGACGGATTGCCACGATGATACAGGAAGCTCGCTCGACTACGTGCACAGCTGCTCGAGCCCACAGCTGGTTCTGGGTCCAGCGGCGGAACGGGCTTCGATGTCAGCAAGAGCGGCGATGCAAGAATTTCACTGGTGGGATTTCCATCTGTTGGAAAATCGACATTCTTATCGAAGATTACAAAAACGAAAAGTGAAGTCGCTGCATACTCTTTCACAACCTTAACGGCTATCCCGGGCGTACTTGAATACGGAGGAGCAGAGATTCAAGTACTTGATCTTCCTGGAATTATTGAGGGCGCCTCTGAGGGGAAAGGAAGAGGAAGACAGGTCATATCCGCTGCAAAAGTAAGTCCTTCAAAAGTTGATAATCGTTTTAGGCGGGATCACTAAGATAAGTACACAGACTAGTGACCTGATTTTAATGGTTCTTGACGCGACAAAACGTGCTGAGCAAAGAGCGCTCTTGGAAGCTGAATTGGAGGCTGTTGGGATCCGGTTGAATCGTGAACCACCGTAAGTTTGGACCGACGTTTGGCTAATATCTCTCCTACATAAAGGACTGACAATATTGGATAGAAATATCTACTTGAAGGTGAAGAAAGCCGGTGGAATGAAAATTACTTTCCAGAATCCCCCCAAAATTTTGGATGAAAAGATGCTCTACAATATCCTTCGAGATTATAAGATTTTGAATTGCGAAGTCCTAGTTCGGGATGAAAACGGTTTGTCTCGGACCCCTTCACACCCCAATTGGTAATTAGCTAATAATCCATAAGCTACGGTTGATGATTTTATAGACGTTATCATGAAAGACCACAGGAAGTACATCAAGTGGTAAGATTTGTTTGACACTGGCGATGGTAAAGGGCTAACATCTCCATAGCTTATATGTTTATAACAAGATAGACAGTGTCAGCGTTGACTTCCTTGATAAACTAGCTCGAGAACCTAATACGTGCGTGATGAGCTGTGAGTTAGACCTAGGAGTCCAGGATGTCATCGATAGATGCTGGGAGGAGTTGCGGTTGATTCGAATATATACCAAGCGGTACGTAACCTCGCTACCTACACCAGCTCCGGGCTGTGCCATGGCTAACGGGATGATTCCAGAAAGGGAGTTGAGCCTGACTTCAGCGAGGCGCTCATTGTTAGGAATAATTCAACCCTCGAAGATGTCTGTGACCAAATCCATCGCTCACTCAAAGAAACATTCAAGTATGCGCTCGTGTGGGGACAAAGCGCGATGCATGTGCCCCAGAGAGTCGGACTGAGTCATGCTGTTGCAGACGAGGACGTTGTGTCGATTGTTACTAAATAGTTGTTATAATTTGCAGCGGCATCAACGGTTTGCTCTGATGACAAGAAATCCTTATACAATATATTTTAGTTGATGATAGACTGCGGGCTTCATCCACGCCTGTCAGTCTCCAAGGCTCATCTGCTGGCAAACACAGCCAATTCCCCCATAAGCCATTCAATTCCGTAGTACTGTAGAGAAAATAGCGAAATACACCGTCGAATAAACAATGATTCACATCGAGTTCAACGCACCATTTCAACACAGAATACGAAGTTCTGTTATCACCCATATTTTGATAGAACCTTCGCGAAGGTTCGATGGCTTCGCTGCCGGTGTCACATTACCATGTCTTCTCAAAAGCAATGAACCATCCTCTTGCTTGCCCTTCAACAAATAGCATCCCTACATCTTGGATGTATCTTCTTGCTAATTTCCCGTGAGATAAAATAGAAAATTGTTTGCTTTTTACTCCCAGGGCTCTGACATCACCAAACCTTAAATCTCCCCTCACCGGCTGGAACCATTGACTTTGGTGACACTTGTGACCAAGTTCAACACCTTGCTCTCGTCCAATTTCGAGCAGCAGATTTAGTTCTTTTCCTCTAAAACAGACTACTCTCGTCCCAAATATTAATATCAACACAATTCAGCAGCCATGGTTGCTGAAACCAAGCTCTATGATTCTCTTGGGGTTCAGCCAAGTGCTTCACAAGATGAGATCAAGAAAGCCTACAAGTATGCACAGCTTCTCAGCAATGTATTTTTTCACAATTGCTATTTTACTAATATATTTGTCTTTTTAGAAAACAAGCATTGAAATGGCACCCAGACAAGAACAGAGACAGCCCTCAAGCGTCTGAGAAATTTAAAGGTGAGTGACTATTCCATCCTGTGGGTGGAGTAGCTAAGCTGAGATTCTCAACCCTTTGCTAACCAGCAGGATAGAGGTCTCCCAAGCCTACGAAGTCCTTTCTGATCCCGAGAAACGCAAAGTCTACGATCAATATGGCTTAGAATTCTTACTTCGCGGCGGCGCCGAAGCTCCGCCCGGAGGCCCTGGCGGAATGCCTTTCGAAGGAGGCATGCCCGGCGGATTCCAAGGGTTTGGCGGAATGCCTGGTGGAACACGGACATTCCACTTTTCAACTTCAGGTGGACCCGGAGGATTTAAGTTCAGCGACCCAGAGGACATATTTTCCGGATTTGCTCGCTCGGGTGGCTTTGGCGGCGAAGGCCCCGATATATTCTCGATTTTTAATGGCCTAGGTGGAGGTATGGGAGGAGGAGGGGGTGGTGGTGGAGCATTCCGAGCCGCGGGTGGTGGACAGCCTCGATTTAGACCTTCAGCTGAGGCGAGACGGCCGCCCACGCCTGAAGTCACCACTGTCGAGAAACAGCTTCCGGTTGCTCTGGAGGATATCTTTAAAGGCGTACACAAGAAGATGAAAATTAAAAGAAAGACCTTTGATGAAAGAACAGGGAAGAGAAGCGTGGAGGACAAGATCTTGGAATTCGACATTAAGCCCGGCTTAAAAGCGGGTAGTAAGATCAAGTTCAAGGGCGTAGGAGACCAGGAAGAAGGAGGAACACAGGACCTCCATTTCATCATCCAGGAGGTAAGTTTACTTGAAACTAGAATGATATTCTTTGAATACAGGCTAACACTAACGTTTTTGCTATTTAGAAAGAGCATCCCTGGCTGAAACGTGTTGGAGACGACCTGGTTACCACCGTCGAAATCAGCCTTAAAGAAGCATTGACCGGCTGGAGCCATACCGTGACCACCATTGATGGAAAGCAGCTGCGGGTTTCTGGGAGCGGACCTACACAACCGGGCTATGAAGAAGTATTCCCACATCAGGGCATGCCGAAACCAAAAGATCCTGCCCAGCGAGGCAACTTTATTGTTCAAATCAAGGTGAAATTCCCGACTAGCCTAACGTCAGCGCAAAAGGCGAAACTCAAAGAAATTCTTTGAAAAGCCCACAACTCCAGATATACCTATTTATTCTATTTTGCATATTATAATGAAAGTGAACATGAAGGGATGCATGCTATGGTGTTTATGGCGAGGATTTGAGAGTTTCTTGGCGGACTTGTTATGTTGACAGTTGTTCTATGTTCCTTTTAGTTTCAATTCTACCTGACATGTACTCCGTACTCCGTACAAATGGCCCTGTTTTGGATCCAGATTGAAGATATTTCCAAGACTTCATAGTCAGCGTTACCCAGTAGATACTCTGTAAGAACTTGTACATAGCTACTACTAAATGAAGTTCTTCCTCCGATGAACCACAAAGTTGAAAACTTGAGAAGCAAGCACTTGTCACTGGTAAATGGAAACATAATGCTATTTCTATCACAGATGCAGCGCCTGAAAGCTGTGTCCCTGCGCCCTCACCCCTCTGGCTTTTAATCTCTTCCGTCAAGCGGCCCATTCTGCTCTTAGCTGACGTCATATAATAACTAGTTGATGGATGTTAGTTTATTGTTTGCCCTGTTTGCTTCGGCGCATCATGTTTGCCGTGTTTGCATGTTGGTGCGCGACTTTCGACGCCCTGGCAGAGCTGGCTGCATGATCACCATCACCGCTGCTTCGCCATTTGGGATTCCCAGAGCACAGTTGATGCAAAATGAAAAGAAGAGTCACTTTTATCCATGAAGGAGAGGGAGAGTTTGACCCGCAACAGGCCCATCTCGATTCCACCTCCCTGACATTACGATCCTTACGCGGAGCCCGGCAAGAGAGGTTAACGTTTGGCTTCGAGGAGCTCCCAAATGAGGTATGGGAGCTTGCCTTGTGATGATTGGTAAACTACTAATAATATAAACAGTTCCAGCAAGTTCTAAGCCAATGCGTTGAATTGCATATCCGGTGGGTATCGGAGTACCCATACTCAGCCATCACACCTTTCACAAGTAGGCTACCTACGGGTCTACATATTATTCTCTCAGCCTTGACTTCTAATCGATCGTACGTTGCTTATTAACTTCTATGGCACCTATTCATGATCTAACCTGCTTGTATTTAGTAAACACCTGTGCCCCTTGTTACAGAAGGCCTTCGACACTAGCCTGAATTGCACCATCCCGGAGGTAAGGTCCTCAAACCCATAGGATCTGAGAGCCAAACTGATATAATTTTTTTTACCTGCTCCTCTTCCTAGACTTCTTTTATAGCTCCAAGCAGTGTAACAAAGTCAGGCGCATTGTCCTCCCTCCAGTTTTATCAGCTCCTCCCCTCGCTCGATCAGCTGGCTACGTATATCCAGGAAGCAATATGCTCGAATCAAAGCACTGAATGTCGAGATAGCGCTGCTATAATTCGTTTCGCAGATACCCTTGATATAGATTACGATCGTGTGTTAAATTCGTTTGTTGTCACGGTATATTGGTCCAAATCAGTCGCGAACGGAGGGTGGAAAGATACAATTCACAGTAATAATTCGAGCAAAGACAAAATAGATGTAGGTATCCTAGCGCCGCAACAACCTTTAGATCCAGACGAGATTCGAATTGGTGGACTTTTGGCTGTGGTTGGGCGGGATAAAGAATTCAGTATGTCTTTCCAGAATACATTCGGACAACGAGGTACTGACGGCTAAAACAGAGCCAACTCTCTTTTCCTTTCCTTCCCGTCATCATTCTCTACCAAACTCTTCGACATATAAGGCTCAATTAGCTTCACCCACCGGCCTCCATCCAACACTGCGTCTCTCCATTTCTCGATCTGCGCTCTCACCACCTCCATCTCCGCCTGAAACTACGTGTAGATTGTACACGTACATCACTCTCCCGTCGTATATCTTCCCAGACGAATACCAACTGTCCACCACTGATCCTCTTTTCCTCCAATCACACAACATCCGCGGTCTCCATCAGGTTGCTGGAGAAACTGATCTGGAAGCGCCGGACTGGACAACTCGTCGCTGGGGTTCACATCTTCTCGTGGAGCTAGCCACATCAAATTCAGATGATGCTAGTGACTGGACAAGTACCATTCCATTGCATCTTCGCTATCTCCATCCTTCCAAATCTGGCTACCACAACGTCTCTCTTCCCTGGCCCATTGTCTTCTGGGCATGCGAGTCCGAGGATCAGGGTAAAATGGATGTTAACCCATTCGATCGGGTGAACTTGAGCTGGGATGATTTCTTTGGCCCGAAAACATTTTTCTATCAATTTCACCCCTCTCCTCGACCGGTAACGGGTGATGCAACGCGTGAAGAGTTGAAACTAGTCGAAACTATTCGAGTCCCCGTGTTACAAGTGGACGAGGATAACCAGTCGACCACTAATCAAGCTAAGCAGATCGAACTCGGCACTGTTGTCGTTGTTGTAGCAGGATTTCTATGGATATTGTGGAGGCTGGGTGCCGTTTTCAAAATCTCAGGGATTGGAGCCAACCGTGGCCAGAGAACTCGAGAAACTGAGAAGAAGACTCAATAACAATCTCCTATATTAAGCCTAATAATGGATGGAAGAATATAGGTCGTAAATTTTATATAATTTTTTTCGTTTGTTTCTCAGCGATATGGGACGTCGTTACCCTCTACCCGAACTTGAGGTTTAGATGGGACATAGAAGTTAGATGATAACTCAGATATCATTGGTAACTGCGTGTGGCCCGTAATTACTCTAACATAAGCTTCATAGAAAACATGGCGATTATCATGCAATATTAATCAAAAAAAGCAATCTGAAAAAGAGCCCCAAAAACAGACGGCCAAAGTTGAGGAAGCAAACCCAATGGTAAGAAACTCCGTGTTGTTTTTTTTCGCAAAATTTTTTATCAGTGCAAAATGTAAAAAGCGGGGAAAAGAATCAAGGGAAAAAGAAAAAGGAGCATAAAGAAAGAAAAGGAAAGGGTGACAGTGCGAATGCATCCCAAAGAAACAAGAAAAATAAGCAATCGAACCCTCGCCAGTAACACCCATACATAACAAGGCGCATTCCATGACACTCATACATTAAACTCGGTAACCATATGATCCCACAATGAAGGGAGCCAGAGGCTCACAGTTGAGAAGTGTTGAGGGCGGTAAAAGCTCAGCGGCTATTGGGGAAAAGAGGAAAATGTGCTAGCGAGAGAGATAGGAACATAAACAAAGAATAAAAAGGTACGTATGTGGTTCGGAAATGATACAAGGTACTAATATGGAGGGTATTGTCAAAACACTGCAAGCCGAAGCCCCGCCCGGCTTGGATTAAAACTGTTGCGCTAAATGCAGACGAGCGCCCTGGCCATGACCAACCATGCTGGCGTGCTGTTTAAATGTGCGCAGATATTCATAGGGATGTATATCCAGTTTATGCCGGGTTCCTCCAATTTTGATAAGCCAAAACATGACTGTCCAACTGAAAACATCAAAAATTGAGGAATTCAACAGTGTTGCAGCGTAATCGGGCCTCATAGACGAGCAGGTTTCACAAACAAAGGTAATGCAAACCTCGAGGTAAAGGTGGCGAAAGGGAAAGATGTAAGATGGGCGTGTTGACGAGAGGCTGAGTCGTGTCGCGTAACTCCGTGGCACATTTTTGGCCAAGATTCCAAAGAACATAACCATAACCACACGACAAATCCGTAAAGCAGCAATAAAACACACGAGAAAAACCAAGCAGCACACGTACTCAATCATGGATCATTCGGGCGTAGGTCACGTCAAACAACCACCACATCACCTTCAGCATCAGCCGGGTCTGAAATTGTCATGTCGGCGTATTTGCTTCCGGAAAGGAGCATGGAATCGTCATCCAAAGCGATAGCGCTATCATCATTATTCAAGCTACCTCGTCCGACTACCACCTCCGATTCACCCGTAGCTGTCACCGCATTCTCAGGGTTTGGGGCAATTGAAGAGTCCGCTGTACCGTTCGTCTGCTCAAGGATCGCCGGGGGCTGACTCGTGGCCGATTCCGAGTTTAGTAAAAACTGGCGTAATGCTTTTGGAGAATAGTGCATAAATCCTCCCTTTTCCGCTTGCCATTGTATCATTTCCATAAAGAAAACCTTTGTCATCCACCAAGCACTAAAACTTTCAGCACCTTCGAGGGTGAATCGGTGAAGAATAGCCGTCCACATGGCATCTGCCCTGTCGATTATGCATTGAGGAGCATGGCCTGGGAACATTTTTGGAAGTCCTAGAATAAACGCGATCCAGCGATCTGGGAAATTCGTATAGTCGCGGCCTTCCGTAGTGGTGTAAGTAAACTTCTGGAATCCCAACTCTTGATCATAGAGCTCAACTTCGGGTGGGGGTGCATCGAGAGGACTCAGTAACGTTTTGACATGTTCCTTGAAGATATCAACGATTCCTTGTAACGAACAACGTGGAATTCTTGCTTTGCAAATCATGTCCGTTATATTCAAGAATGAATGGAATTCCTCCCACATTTTTGTTCGGTTTTCAATATGGCAGAGCCAGGCCGCTGCGGAATTCGCAGACTGATTCACTTCCAACATCCGCTTCACAAGGTGACAGAAGAGACGAGCAGGGACGAGGCGCGCAGTGGATACGTGCTCGGGCTGTGACTTAAATGTATCCTCAATGTGTGGGACAAGACGCCGTGAAATTGAAGTGAAGGCCTTTACGACGGGTTCTGGGACGACTTGCGTAGTCAAAGGAGCAATGAATGCTACCATCTTCTGGTACATGAGCCAGTCGCATTCCTCAATCCATGGAGCCATATCGGGATGAATGAGAAGCTTATGAACGGGGACGGTAAGGGTGCCTTGAAATGCGGAAATGTGTCGAAAAAGATTCTTCTCTTTGCAGAACCTGAAGCTATCGATCACAGAAATGCAATGTGATCTATAGAGAGCCATGAGGGCACCAGCAACATCCGAATCAGACCCTGGCGGCAGGTAGCTATGAATGCTTGGTAGCTGCAAGGTTTCATTATCGCCAGCAGGGGATTCCTCTGCAGACTCAAAGTGAAGAATCAGATGGAGCTTCTCCTGGGCTGACATGGCTGAGAAATCAACATCTGAAATAGAGCCAGGATGAGAAGCATAAGATGAATGACATCCACAGTTTTGATGAGAGTGTGAACGCGCCTGAGGATGTGGTGAGTGAGACACGTTGGCAAGTCGCGTCTTTGTTGTCTCCAAATGACTCTGAGTAGAGCTTGTGCTAGAACATTCGATGTTAGGATCAGACGCAAACTCTTCACAGAAACAAAAATCTCATACCTCATCCTGTGACTCTCCTGAGTGTTTTCGCCGGTAGTTGCCGTAGTCTGGTCCACAACGTCTTTCCCGTTCACATCAGGTTTTGGCTCAGATTCTATGATCGATAAATCCACATAATGGTACTTTGATTCTCCTCGAACACCAAGACGTCGAGTCTGTACGTTAGGAAATATGATACGAACTAGCTTGCCAAAGGATGCTGGATTGAGAACCGAGACACGTTCCGTCCCACATTTATCAGCATAGCAGCAATATACCCTATCCCTGCGGACTGATCCAGTGCTTTTACGACAGTTTTCTCGCAACCTGGATGAATATCAGCGGGTAGGCTCCAACTTTGTCTGGAGTTCACATACCAGATCATAGCGAATACCTGCTTGACCTTCTCTGATTTGCCACCCGCTCCTTCATGCTTCTGCACTTCTGCGGCCATTTGGCGTAGGGTATACCCGTCATATTGTCGAAGAAGTCTTCTCAGCTCGTTGTCATTTGCAATTGACGAACTTGTTCCTCTCTTCTTGCGGGGACCTTGCTCGGAGCCTTCATGATCTTCTATGATATGATCGGGAATTTGATTTTCTACACCGTCAAACAGATTCGGATAATGAGTTGGATGCATCTCTCCCGTCATGCCATGTTGGGATAGCTCTGGAGGCAGCCCATGTGCTGCGACATTATGCACATGGATATCGTGGCCCTGATAGTGGACGTCCATACGAGGCTTAACAGAGTTGTGGTTTTCCTGCAGGGCAGGATCAAGTAGGGTCCCAGGGTTGGAATTGGCAAGCTGGTCACCAAATCGCATTAGCATTTCTTCAGGATTGCCATGGTAAACCGACTGCGACGGCCCAAACTGAGAACGCATGTAAGGTTCGTATCCTTCAGGTACTTGTTGCTCAGGCATGTATTGTGTGCTACATGACTGAATGCTTGCAGTGGAACCACGGGATCTGGGCGGACGACTAAATTTGGAGGCTGCGGTATTTGAGCGCGACCTTCCTGGCTCTACTGTGCTCTGGCGGCTTCGTGTTCGCTTTTGGCCTCTCTGGGCAGGGAAGGGGTCTCTTCCTACATACCGATTGTGGTCAGCTAAACAATCAGACGAGTTGTAGCAGTAAGCCGCGACTGATTCAGCCGCTATCTTGAACCTTACCCGTGTCAGGTGGCATTTTCAAATAAGCGAATGACGGCTGTTTGTGCTAACTATCCAAAATATCCGCTGTGTAGGCGTCGCTTTCCAAAGGCGATGTGTTGTTTGTATCCAAAGTCTTTCCGATGTGATTCGACACCCACTGCACGCGCCGAGGCGCTGAGGTAAAAATAATTACGTCAGAGAGCGACGAGTCGATAAAAGATACCATAGAGCTCGACAGTTAGCTTCCAGTCCTCGATGTCGCCGTTCCGATGTCGACTGACTGACGTTGCGATGCAGCCTCTTCGCAGTCTGTAAACAACTGTTTGTTGATGGGGAAACGCCGCAGCCGTTTTCGGTTTTGGGGGTGGAGTCACGGGACCTGTGGCTGGCGGAGCGGTGAGCACCGGCAGTAGTCGCTTAGTCATATAATTGTGGACAAGCCACAGATCGATCGAGTCTACTACATCTGATTGGCTGTCATACGACCGCGCCACATGATACCCTCACGTGTAAATTACGGTACAGCAGACCACGGCACACACGGGACCGGGGCAATATAACTATTGGCGAAATTTGGCTATTACGTCTTGATCCTCCTTGCTCTCTCCAAAACACCAACTTCCCTCCACCAACCTCCCAGCTCACCAGCTCATCCCAGGTCAACGCCCTTTGCTCGGTTGATCGTCATACAAGCTGATAATTGCCATCTTACATCTGACACAACTCCCTTTTTGGATCCCTCCTTTTTCGCCGGGACTCGTCCGCAATCCCGAATCTTAGCAAACATGTCGTTCCAGGACCGTGCGCTGCACCAGATTGCTCAGATTGACAAGGAGGTCAGTATATCGGAAAGTCCCACCTTCTCCTCACCCTTGAACAACAGCTGCTTGAGACATTCGAGCTCTTGTCGAAGGCAATAAACTCTATGCTGGCTGAGGTTCCAACTTTCTCCCTTTTGCCCGCAGCAGCTGACGTCTGCTATTGTAGCTCTCGAAGTATCCTGTCCTCAACAACCTTGAGAGGCAAACCTCAGTCCCGAAGGTGTATGCTTTCTTGGGCCTCGTTGGAATTTACTTCTTTTTGGTTTTCTTTAATATCGCAGGGGAATTGTTGGTCAACTTCGCTGGGTTCTTGATTCCTGGATACTACTCACTCAACGCGTTGTTTACGGCAACCAAGACCGATGATACCCAGGTAAGTCTTCCCACTTTAAACTCCCCTTGTTATGTATGGCAGACGCTGACAAATGGTTCCAGTGGCTCACTGTTAGTAACCTCGTTCCTGTCTCGAATTGTCAATTGTCCTTCGACCCTGAAGCTGATCACATGTGAAATAGTACTGGGTGGTCTATGCCTTCCTAACTGTCATCGAGAGCGCTATTAGTGCTGCTTACTGGTTCCGTATGTCACTAAATGTGCCAAAGTATCATTTTGAAATTGGTGCTAACAGATACCTAGCCTTCTACTACCTTTTCAAGTTTGTGCTTATTTTGTGGATGGCCCTTCCACAGACTCAGTAAGCATATGGCCCCATGCCTTTGGAATAGACCTATTCTCTGATCACTGTAATAGCGGTGCCCAAATCGTTTTCGGATCCTTCATTCAGCCGGTGTTCTCCCGCTACTTCCAGAGCGGCTCCACCTCCTCCAACTTGCGTTCGCAAGCCGATAAGGCCACCAAGGAGCACTCTACCTAAGAGCCTCTTGGTAGATGGTAGGAATCAGTGATTGAGGACGTTGAAGCCCGCAAAAAACCAATTTTGGCTTGTCCTAAGATTCCTCCGTTCTTAAGAGGTCCAAATGCTCGATCAGCGCCGTGGAGACGCACAACTTTATGAGAGAGATCGAGGGAACGCAGTAGCTGCTTATATACAAGTGTTCGATGGGGTTGAGTGCCTCGAACCTTGACGGGATTTGTATTAGAAGGGGCGGCTGTTGAGGCTGGTTCGGTTGTTTTGTATCATTCCTGTTTTTTTTTTTTTGTTGTCGGGTTTCTTGTTTATCGTGCAAATCGATAGGACATTATCTGCGTCTCTGGATGATAGCGTAGCTCAGGGTGGAAATTCTTTCCCTATTTCGGTTTTCAGTTGAGCGTGGCTCATGTACAGTCGTGGGCATGTATTTGTCTCAAATGCCAAACATCACAGCAAACAACAAAAAGGGGTATCAGTCAATAAAACCCAAGTTTGTTGCCCCAATTGTCCAATTTGGGATTTAAAATGATTTGGAATGGAAATGGATTCGCGTCACTTGTCGTAATGGGCGGGATATGGTCCTTGCTTTGATTGGCAATGGCAAGAATTTTGAAGGCGGCCTTCTGCAACGTTTTCTCCATAGCTTTTCGTACCTTCGCCCGATCTGTAAAGCTCAGTTAGATGAGCTCATGTCCAGGATTATTATAGCTAAAACGTTATGATGGGCTATGCTTCCACCAATAGACTACTGACCTGACTCGGTTCTCGGTGTAGCGATTGTCACATCAACGGTCCATATCTCCCAGCACACTGCTTCTTCATTCTTTCCAGCAAGCGCTCCGAACCAGAGTCCACCTTTTCGTCGCTTCTTTTCGAAGAACTGCACAGCTATGCGCCCGCGGACACCACCGTTGGGAGAGTTCGAGGCGGGGGAAAGATGTTGCCGAATAAGGGTGTTTATGCGAGAATCGATTAGGGTTTCGACTTCCACGTCGTCGACAGCGGGGAGGGTTAAGTCTAGAACGTCGAAGGTGTCGGGGCGAACGCAGGGAAAATATCGGTGGAAGAAGATGGTGTGGAGGATGCCTGAGACACGGGGCGACCGGGTGGTTAGCTCGTTTCGCAATAATATATATATATTTTCTTTCCTTCAAAAGCATGGATGCCTGCGGTTTTCTTGCAGAGCCCACTAGCCCGTAGCAGATGCCATATCTGCGGTTTTGCGGCGCACAAAATCATGTCGAGCGCAGAATCCGGGGTTATGCGCCCACCTTTGAGGACATCTTTCACAGACGCGGGGTCGGCGAACACGTCGATTACGTGTTCCGGGGGTTTTCGCGGGTCCATTTGGGCGGCGGAGAAATTTTTTTGCAATGCTAGAAAGGGTAAGGTATAGAGGAAATATGTGACCCAGCGGCGTAGGAGACCAGCTGGGTCGGAAGATTGGGTTGGTTTTAATTATACTTGGTGTACGCGGGGTGGCAAGGTCGTGAAGTCCAGGGTCGTGGTCGACTCTTCCGGCCTGGCCAGCGTTTCACACCACGACTTTTGCTTGGATGGATAATTTTTTGGTGGGGATTAGCTGTATGTGCCTTAGCTCCGGGCTGAGTAAGACTTTCCGCCCCTCCATTTAGCTGCATTTTAGACTTTCTTCAGTTTCATGCTTGAGGAGGGCACGCATCACAGGGTCTGCTGTTTAGATCAAAGAGGTTACGATGTCAGAGTAAACTACGGGATAAGCAGGACAAAGGCCTTTGCCGACATCTGAGAGTACATAGGTCCACTGCGATTGGGCAGATGAAAAGATCATCGGTATCAAAGATGGAGAATACCTGTGTCTGGAGTACAGTCACCTGGCTATTTCCAGCGGAGTTCGCCGGCTCTTTACTCGAATACAGCTTGGGGGGGGTTTCCTCGCGAAGCTGAGGTCATGACGGAGGCTCGGAGTGGCGGCGCATCAGGACTCCGCATCTGCTAATCTCCAGCTCAGCGCAAGGACAAGGAGATGTGTGGCTAGTGAGCTCCTTCGTTGGGAGGTGGTTAGTTACATCATGGCTCACTAGCCACTGCTGACAAAGATAACCGAGGTCGTCTGTTGGGGAATGAGCTCCTGCCAGAGCGATTCCATCTGAAGATCAACCTCCACAGCGCCCAACCTCAGTCGTCTGAAACAAACTCGTGACATCCGCATTGAAGACGCTTCTTATCGACTTTTCGTTTCGGTTTTTGCTTTTCTCAGTTGATTATGGTAGTCCCGTTATCATAGCGTCACCAGCCAAGCTCCCAAGTCACACCCCTTGAAAATGATCAGCGCAACGAGGCGCTGGCTGCGACAGCATCGCAAAGGCCTTGCCATCGGAGCAGGTGTTGTGGGCATTGGGTATTTGGCCACGCAATATGTCTTTTCTAAGATCTCAGAAGCAAGCGAACGGATGAGCAGTGAGAGGATAGCCCGAGAGAAGTGCGTAGTGGCCCAAGCAAATCGACCGTGGAACCAGAGTAATGGTACTAACGACGTGATCGGCACATAGTCTCCGTCGCCGATTCGAACAGAATCAAAGTGATTGCACCTTTACCGTTCTCGCCCTTCTTCCAACGGCTACAGAAAATATCCTTGCAGCTCTTCCTGTCGAGGAGCTAACTAACGAGCTTCAACAAAAGCGAGCGGCCAGACTGGCCAAGCTTACTGCGAGCGAGATGCAAGGGTCAGAAATGAGCTCTGGACCACCTAGTATGACAGAAGACGATGTTTCTAGCTTAAGAAGCGACAACTACGTGCATGCAAGTCAAGTGGTTGACTCTACAACGGGGGAGCAAGCGCAAAGGGCAAAGTCGCGGACACAGCTGTGGAACGATTTGAAGATCAATTGTAGGTGCTCTTTGTCCCAGAGTGTTCTTTTAAATTAGGTTCTCATTTGCTTTAGCCCTCACACGATCGTTTACGCTCTTATACACACTCTCGCTCCTCACCCTCCTAACGCGTATTCAGCTGAATCTTCTTGGTCGGCGAAATTATCTTTCGAGCGTTGTGGCACTGGCATCGCCTCCGCAAAATCCGTCTACAATCAGCCTTGAAGACGATGATAATCCCGAGCATTCATTTGGAAATGACTTTGAAACCAATAGGCGGTACCTAACCTTCAGTTGGTGGCTATTGCACCGGGGATGGAAAGACTTAATGGCCGAAGTCGAGGCCGCAGTCAAAGATGTCTTCGGAGAGGTGAATCCGAGAGAGGATATAACCCATGAAAAGCTTTCAGAGTTAACGCTTGCCGTCCGGAAAAGGGTTGAAGGAGCTACAAGTGGGGAGAGACGGTATGTCGTCTATTTCTCTCAATTTCGGACTATGCGATGCCTATTCTAATCTACCATTTTACAGAGTGCGGAAGTGGCTCCCCTATCTGTTACCTCCCCGGGAACAAGAAGACTTTGTCCTTCAGGAGTCGGGCGTCCTCTCTGCCACGGAGGCAAGTCCCCAGAGCGCTGCAACCCTCAGGCATCTGTTGGATGAAACGTCCGACCTTATCGATTCGCCGTCATTCACCCATGTTTTCTCTCTCTTGAACAACGAAGCTTTCTCCCATCTAATTGACACCAAATGTGCAACGGAGGCTTTTAAGGGGCTGTCCCAGGCACAAAAGAAAGATCAGTCTCCACCGTTCTCATCCACAGCCACTATGGTACCCGTCGCGGAGCCCTCAGCACCAAAAACGAAGCTTGCTTCCATATTAGCGGTAATTTCCCGCCAGTCTCATGTGATAGGAAATGGTACCAATCCGCCCAATGAGTATTTATCGATCATGGAGCGAGAAGTCCGCGAGTTGGAAGCCTTTGCGGCGGTCATATATAGCAGCAATTTTGACTTGAACCCGTCGATGTCCATGCTCGGCACCAAGATAGGGCCTGAAGGTCCATCTACAGCTGTGGAGGATGCACCTGGCGGCGAAGCCAGCATAATCGAGCTTCCAATACCTTCGGCGGAAACTGCCAGTGTTGCCAACGCGGAGCCAAATGAAGCTGGGCGAGATTTTGGGTTTGAAAAGGCGTGGGGTAAAGCTGTTGAGCAGTCTTGAGCGGGCTGTATGGAGTCTTGGATTTACTCAATGAGTTCACGATATATATGTATATACCTTGCAATAAGCATGATTCCGCAATTGCCGGCGCCATTATTTCTTCTACTTTTTTAGGTCAATTGGTTGATAGACGAGGCGTTGGGATCGCAATAACTGTGGAATGAATTTCCGCCCGGCTTTGACGTTGCTCGTTTCAGCTGGCTGAAACGACGGTATTAAGCGCAGAGTATACGGAGCATAGAGTACTCCGTACTCCGTACGGAGTACGGACAATAGACCCACTTCCGTCCCGTAGTTATGCAGCTCAACAGTACCAATTTTATGGTTGGCAGTGCGAGCTTCAAACGTCATCCTTGCATATAATTTCATTTTATTTGACAGCTGACGGTGTGCTGGTGCGGATTTGCGGGAAATGGCTCGTGAATCCATGACCCTCCACCATGGACGTTCAGCCTGCTCACGTTCCTAGGCGGGGACGAAGGTTGTGTGAGCTTGATCGCACATGGCGCGGCGGCTTCACGTCCAGGCGGACGCGCTCTACTTATGTAGGTCGGTTGGGTGGGGTGCGGAGGTGGCTTTCAGTGTTGGGCCCGTGCGGTGATTGGCCAGTTTGCGATTTAGGCCGCGAGCGGGTTCCACCGGGCCACGGGACCAGCACGCCGCATCCAGCAGCAGCCAGGCTGATCCCAGGGTACTGTACGTAACGCACGTTCGGCCTCCCGTCCAAGCGGCCTGCCTCCTGGCCTCAGCAAGGGAAGAATGTGTGAAGCTGCCCTGCGTCCCTCCATTTTCTCAAAACATTTTCTCGTTCCCCTCTCCTTCACCTCCCCGGAGAGAGCAGAGTTGGAGTTTGCCCTCGACGTCTTTCTTACTTTGTTGGGGAAGGCCGCCTGCCTGTCCGTCCTCTCTGACCGTTCAACATGGCGTCGGTGGTAGCACAGACAGGCACTGTGGGTGGCTCTGCAGCTCCTGCGGCACCTACAAACAGAGCAACTCCGCAGGGTGGTATATTCGATCATCTGAACCCGTCTCAGTATGATCCAAAGAACCCGCTTACCTTGTTCATCATCCAGGTAAAATGCAACCGACAGGCGAGGACTGGTGGAGGTGGTTATATGCTGGCCTTCTACTAACTGAACGTGCTCATCTCTCCAGGCTAGCATTATCGTCATTTTCTGCCGTCTTTTACATTTCCCACTGTCTAAGATTCGGCAGCCTCGTGTGATATCAGAGGTGATCGGTGGGATCCTGCTCGGTCCGTCTGTGATGGGCAGGATCCCCGGATTTCGAGATGCCATTTTTCCAGAAGAGTCGCTGCCAAATCTCAACCTGGTGGCTAACCTTGGATTGGTGTTGTTCCTTTTCATGATCGGTGTTGAAACTAATATTAAAACCCTCACGAGCAATTGGAAAGTTGCCGTTGGCGTATCCGCAGCCGGTATGATTCTCCCGTTTGGACTGGGCTGCGGCATCGCATATGGGTTGTACCACGAGTTCCGCAATGATCCCGGACTGGCTCCAATTAGCTTTGGTACCTATATGCTTTTCATCGGTATTGCAATGGCTATTACTGTGTGTTTCTTCCAAAAGTTCCATCTAGCCAATCCCGTCCTTACCTCTTATATCTAGGCATTCCCCGTGCTTTGCCGTATACTAACTGAACTGGAACTGCTAAACACGAATGTTGGAGTTATTGTTCTTTCGGCTGGTGTTGGAAACGATGTCGTCGGCTGGGTCCTTCTCGCTCTTTGCGTTGCTCTCGTCAACGCAAACACGGGTATAACTGCACTCTGGGTGCTGCTGGCTTGCATTGGCTTTACTCTGTTCCTGATATATGCGGTTCGCCCCGTGTTCCACTGGTTTTTGAAGCGAACTGGCAGTCTGCACGATGGTCCTAATCAGTCCGTCGTTGCCTTAACACTCCTTTTAGCCCTGGCAGCTGCCTTTTTCACCCAGGTAATTGGTGTGCATGCAATCTTTGGCGGCTTTTTGGTTGGAATTATCTGTCCCCATGACGGAGGATTTGCTATCAAACTCACTGAAAAGATTGAAGATGTAATTGGTGCCCTCTTCCTTCCGCTCTATTTTGCACTTTCTGGGCTTAATACCAATGTCGGCTTGCTCAACTCTGGTATAGTGTGGGGTTATGTATTTGCTGTTGTTTTTATTGCTTTTATCGCTAAGGTCACTGGTGGAATGTTGGCCTCTCGGTTTCACGGCTTGCTTTGGAGGGAGAGTGCAACTATCGGAGTGCTGATGAGTTGCAAAGGTTTAGTCGAACTTATTGTCTTGGTATGTTGGCAATTGGCCATGATATGAGTGCACTTGACCTCGACTAACTTCTACCTAGAATATCGGCCTTCAGGCGAAGATCCTCAGTAGTCGTACGTTTACTATCTTTATAGTAATGGCCCTGATTACAACCTTTGCTACTACGCCTCTTACCCTGTGGTTATACCCTGAATGGTATCAAACCAAGGTGGATCGGTGGAGGCGTGGAGAAATCGACTGGGATGGAAATGTACTCGATTCTGAGAGCGATCACAGCGGTGGCAGCTCAGATCTCGCTCAGCAGAAGGCCCGTTCCTTGTCCATCAGAAAGCTGATGGTTTACCTCCGCCTCGACAATCTTCCAGGCCTTTTCACGTTTATTTCTTTGTTGGGAGCCGATGATATGACAACTGTTGAAGTTTCGAAAACTCATCATAGCCACGACAGCAACGGGGTTGACCGATCCACCAGTGCAAAGAGAAACAAACCCGTCGAAGTTCATGGAATTCGACTCATCGAGCTCACTGATCGTGACTCTAGTGTCATGAAGGTGTCGGAGGTTCACGACTACAGCTTTAGCGACCCTATTCTAAACACATTCCGTACCTTTGCGCAACTGAATAGAGTTGCCGTTTCCGGTGCAGTCGTTATTGCACCGGAACATGCATACGCGGAAACATTGGTCAACAAAGCTCGGGACTTCTCTTCAGACTTCATGCTCATTCCATGGAGCGAACGTCAGATTCCTTTCCTCGATGTCAACAGCGAGAAGTTTGCCACCGGCCCACACAGTACATTCATCTCCAACATCCTGAAGAATTCGAAAAGCCATGTTGGCATCCTGGTGAACAACGGCTTTGGAGGACCCGCCTTAACCCAGCCAAAACCAGGTTACCTGAAGCGCACTATCAGCGGACGAAGCCTTTATCGAACAAATGACTTGGCAATGATGCCCTCGATGGAAGATGGGCATCATATATTCTTCCCTTATTTTGGAGGCGATGACGACCAAGTCGCTCTTCGCTTGGTTCTCCAACTTGCCAAAAATGCAACAATCACAGCCACCATAGCACATGTCGTTCTTGATGACACCGACACTCCTGCCTCTTCGTCCAAAAACCCGGCAGTATTCTATGGCCTTACCATGGCACCAGAAGAAAAGGAAGCCGACAGTGCGTTTTTCAACACCATTCGCGATTCTCTTCCTTCCGAGCTTGCTCCCCGAGTCATCTTCCAGACAATTCATGTCACGACCACCGACCTGATCAGTGCCACCTTGCAGACAGCCAAGTTAGATGTGGGTAAATCGAACCAAAATCGGGGTGATATTGTCATAGTCGGCAGGAACAGTGTCGTGCACGGTACCGGTTCGAGTTTCGGCCTTGCCACGTCTGCGCAGTCTGGGGAGATTGGCTCGGAAGCTCGAAAGGCGCTAGGTGTCCTTGGTGAATCAATGGCTACGAACGCGAATGACGTGAAGGCTAGCGTGCTCGTGGTTCAGGCGGGTAAAGAAGGCTGAATTCCCATTACAGCGATTTCCAGTGCCTCTTGATTTACAACGGAGGGGGGAGGGTGTGCTGGGTCTTATTGAAGGCGGTGACGTTTCATATATATATCGAGAGCGTATATAGGCCAGTATGAATGTTTAAATCCTAACTATGTGGTTGCAATTATTCCTTGGAGGGCTGCGTGTTCGCGGGTGTCACACAAGGTTATCATCTAGATTTGTTATACCGAGCATTGCACAATTACACATAACTCAGGGGTTTGGAGGCGGTATGTTGTTAGAATCCTACGAAGACGTTGCAACGACACCTGCCGAACCGACAGATCATCAAGCGCATCTGTAAAGCCCGGAGGCCCCCTGTGCACTTGAATGTAGAATGTACCCTGGTAGGTTCATGCGTCAGCTGAAGGGGGACAACGGATGCTTCTGGACGAGTCAGCCGCACTGTGAACGACTACACCACCCCGCCCAAATCCCCGCTCCTCGCAGCATACATACTCAGAAGCAAAAGTATTATTTGATATAATTTGAACCAATAGATTTCCAAAAGCTGGTCGCTACCTTTGCAGCACTGTGCCGGCTAGAAAACAGAAATGGTGGGATCCCACAAGGTGTCCGCTCCTGTCTTGACTACCAACACGTAATCACCGCCTCCAGGTGAGAGGAACAACCCGCTAGTCATACAAATAGGCGAGACTAGAAAAGTAATTCGTCGAACGGTTTTCTCCCACCGAAGGCTTCTTTCCAAAATACCCGTGCACACCCGCGTCTAAGTTCTGCACCATCAGAGAAACACGGGAACGAAGTACACACTAGCCATCGCGCCATTAAAGGAAGAACAAACCAAAAAAAAAAAAAAAAAAAAAAAAAAAAAAAAAAAGGCCGTTGTTGTTCCTTGGAACTAAAGAATTTCCCGAGACTACTTGGGCTCGCATGTCCAAGGCGCTCCAAGAGCCAAAGATGCCGTCGGTATAATAGCAAGATGATCATCTTTCGGGGTATCAAATGTATTGCGTTTTGTCCAGGCAGGTAGAGAAACGAAGCATTGCATGATGTCCAACAAGTTTAAGATGACGTTCCTCTCGCTGTTCTGTTTGGTTTCGTTCATTGGGTTTGATGGGATTGTTTTCCTCAGTTCCTCGGTTGAACCCAACAAGCAAAACAGGTCTTTGTTGCGGAGCACTCCAGAGGAACGCCAAATATGTGCTTTTCGGCCAGGCTAACACTTCGTGAGAGGTCGCTCTGAGAAACGCGTACCGAAAGGGATTCTTAGCTCTGCCGCCCGTGTCACATCGCAGCTATGACCTCCGGGTAGCTAACTAGGAGTATGTATGCATTTAGCACACCCAAGCAACCGGTCCGTCGTGGATTCACGGAGGCCGTCGGCACTTGAGTTTCAAGATCTTACCGAAAAGAGTAACTCTGGCAGTGTTCTGGCCGCGAGTCGAAGAGAATTAGATAGCTTGGACTCCGATGACGGGCTGTCAGATTTTACATGTGGGTTCACACAGCACGGAGAAATGGGGCATATTTGATAGATCGCCTCTTCGGTCAAATTCATATGACGGCCGTCGGCGCCCACGTTCGCGGGCGCCGTTTTATCACCGAAATTGAGTCTGCGGTGGCAAAAGCTCGCAACTGTCGGCCCCACAATTGGGAGGCAAAGCTGTTGTTTCCAGGCCTGCAAAGCACCCTTCAGAACGGCGCTTTCGCAGTGGGGGTGGGGGAGTCTTTAAAAGTAGTTTTTAGTTAGTTTCTCCGTACGGAGTCCCCCGTACAGAAACTCAATTATAATTTCCAAAAACCACCACCACCACGGCGGTCCTCTCAACAACCAACCTACGGAGTAAGTTCCGCACCAAGATCACAGGACATGTGAGCCACTTAGCAGGTTTGTTTTGTCGCATTTGCTTAGCGAAACTTCGCTCGAAACGACAAATCGTCGGTCGCGCTCACCGTAAAGTCTTTACGTCGTGGAGGACGTGCGCTACTCCAATAGATTGAGATAGAGATGTTGGAGATATCAGAGATGTGGGCACAGCGAATGGGGCGAGTACCTCTGTACGAGGTACATAGGTCGAAGCCTAGTAGAGTGATCCGTACCAAGGCTGGGGTTTGAAAGGTGGATCTTCTGGAGTTGCGGACAGCGAGGATTTCAGCTGCTCGGAATCTGGATCCATCAGGAGCGTGCCAAGGGCCAGCTCACTTCGAGTCGGAGCTGGAACGGGCCAACCGTGTTTCGCTCACAACCGAAATCCCACAGGACCATTTTACTTTCAAAATGATTTTTTTTTTTTTTTTTTTTTTTTTTTGGCCACTCGCCGGATGATGGAGATAAGGCTCATATGCATGTACATATACATATGCACAGTGAAAAGAGAAGAGCGGCAAAAGCTGTGGGGGGCGTGGGGGAAAGGTTTATCCCTCATCGGGCATGCGGAAGCAAGCTCAGAAGGGAGCTTGGCAAGGAGCGCAAATCTTTCGTCTGAGGGAGAGTGAAGATCGATGCAAAGAGGCGCGCTTTTGGATTACGTGGACTCAGAAGCCTCCTTCGCTCTTGAAGAATCCCGCGAAGATACCTTGGCGACTGAAATTTGAATTCGAGAATGCTGTCCCCCTCGGCAGGATTTCACAGCAGGACGCCAAAAAGCCCCGAAAAGCGACTATTTTAACCTTAAAAAGTTTATTGGTGACTTACTGTAGTTTAAGATTTCCTGCGGGAGGAAAAACCCGAAAATTACTTCCGAGAGCGGACCTCCTGTGTTTCTAGAAGGTTTGCAAACGGGCCAACCAAAACGTAATTTGCGTCTCGTCTGGCCGATGAGACCTTGCTTCCCCTGCAAACGCCGGAAGGGGGGGAGGAAAGAACAGCAGATCGGAGCCGCTGCCGGTCCTTCAGGACTGCAGTCCCATAATCCATTTCCTGTTCCTGGCCGCCGCCGCCTTTCCTCGTGCTTGGGGTTGACGCCGCTGGTGCGAGAGCAGTTAAGCCTTGGGAGAGTTTGCTAGCGGCGGGCCACAGTTGCAACCAGTCCGCTCTTGGCAAACCTTCGATCCGCGTCCGAGCGCCGCTACTGGTCGGCCGGGTGGCTTGGCATTTCCACCGTCCGCCGTCGAAACATCCGATCCGGAAGGGGCTGCTGGCCAATCAGCGTGCGGGCTTTTGGCGTGTCTCACGCAGTTGTCGCCTGTACGACCGGCAGTTACGCACACACACGCCAACACCCGCGGCAGCACAGCTCGTCGCTCGTCGCTCGTCGCATCACCGGCAGCCAGATAAAAGACCCGATCCCACTGCTCAAGAGGTACGCTCGGCTGTTTGGTCGGGAAGTTGACTGCGTAAAACGTGGTGTGAGAGTTCTGGTGGATCCAAATCTGGTTTACCTGGTCTGCGTTGCCCTGTCCCACTCAAACCCCAGAACAGATCCCAACCTGACCAACTGGAGTCTTCCCACCCCCCGCAATGGACCGTGCTGTCAATGCAGTCAAGTTAAACTTATGAACGGAGTACTACATATGTAGCAGTGGCGGATAGCTCTCCTCGCTCTTCTCGCCGTCGACGAGCTAACTACTCAACCAGGGATCGAGTCGGGGACCAGGGAGTGACTTGTGGAGATTGCAAAGCCGGCTTCTGGAATTTCCTCGCCATCCGGCCCCGCCGCGTGCCTCTCGCGATCCCTCTGCGCTTCTCGTGCTCGTAACTGAATAAAGGTACGATCGGCGGCGTCCTGCGAAAACTCTGGTGCTAGGTGGCTGTTCTTATTAAACAAGCAACCTCCCCTTGGTTACCCCGGGTTCTCTCGCCTTGGTCGATCCCCGCGTTTTTCTTTTTCTTGCCCTTCAGCTCTTACTATCCTGTACTCCGTAGTAATTTTTTTATTTGATTTCTTTTTTTTTTTTTCTGGCCCATTGTACTCCATCTGTACTCATTGTGACTTGCTGTTGTCATTGATTGTTTGATCACTGGGTACAAGTTCAATTTTTTTTTTTTTTAACCTTTTTAACTTCCACTCTCAGCGCACGCAGACAGTAGCTTGCCCAGCTTCGCGTCACAAACCCATCAAAATGGGCAAAGAAGGTGAGTGTTTTGCTCTGATATCTACTTACCTCTGTCTGTTTCACGCCTTTGTATATGCCTTTTTTAACTCTTGAGTTTCACTATAGTCTTGGACGCTGAGGCGCCCTCGGATACTTCCATCGAGAATGGCAGCGATGTCCCAAAGCTCACCAGCACAACGGAACGTAGATTGATGGCTAAGATTGACCTTCGGCTTCTTCCCGTCCTTTGCGTGCTCTACCTTCTTGCCTTCTTGGATCGGTACGCCATCGCAATGCATCCTGTTGATTTGAGATCCTAATGTCTCCTCCAGTGTCAACATCAGCAATGCTGTCATCTTTGGCCTACGCGAGGATCTTAATATCGTTTCTGGCACACAGTACAACACCGCCTTGACAATCTTCTTCGTACCATATATTCTTTTTGAGGTATTAAAATTTCCGTTTCTAGACTGTTTTCCAGTTTTGCTCACTGACTTGGCAGATCCCATCAAACATCCTCCTCAAGAAACTTCGGCCACATGTGTGGTGTAGGTGATCCCTTGCTGGCCACGCTCGAAGAATATTGGCGCTCATATTTCATATTTAGTGTCTGTTTGCATGTTCCTCTTTGGCCTCGTCACGCTCTGCCAGGGCCTTGTCAAAAATTATGCTGGCCTGTTAGTGACGCGCTTCTTCTTGGGTCTCTTCGAGACTGGCATGTTTCCAGGATGTAAGCTCGCCTTTCTCCGGTCGTTACTCCCACATCTATGAAGCTAAACGCTTTTAAACAGGTTTCTACCTTATGGGAATGTGGTACAAGCGAAGTGAAGCCCAGAAGCGCTTCTCTTTCTTCTTTAGCTCCACAACTTTGGCCGGTGCTTTCGGAGGTCTCCTGGCTAGTGCCATTGGCAAAATGGATGGGCTGTCCGGCTACCGTGGATGGCGATGGATTTTCATCCTTGAAGGTCTTCTCACCTGCGTCGTCGCCGTCGCGTGGTTCTTCTTGATTCCAGACTTCCCCGAAGATGTTAAATGGATGAACGAGGAGGAGCGATCTTTCATCCGTGCTAAGCTGAGCAAGGATGTCGGAAGTGCTGGCCATCACATCTCTCTGACCTGGAAGGATGTGCTCGACGTGTTGAAAGATTGTGAGTCGCTGTGATCTCCAGCCTAGACTTCCAAGGGACTAACCCTCTTTTGCAGACAAGGTCTTCGTCGGTGGATTGATGTACTTTGGCATGATCGTTCCCGCCTACAGCTATGCCTACTTTGCTCCCACGATCATCAAGACATATGGATACAGCCGTATGCCTCCCGTCCCATGTCCCGCCTTTGGCTTCTCATTACGCTAACTCCCCGCAGCAATCAAAACCCAGCTTTACTCCATTCCTCCATGGGCTGCGGCATTTGGCTTCGCTATGACTCTTGCCTATATCTCCGACCGCGTCAGACATCGCTTCCTCTGCGCTGTCATTCCCATCTGCATGGCAATCGCAGGTTTTGCGATGGTCCGAACGATTCACGGTGAAACAACTCGTCACACTCAATACGGTGCTCTATTCCTCATTACCATGGGCGCCTACAGCGCCATGCCAATCATCGTATGCTGGTTCGCGATGAACCTAAGTGGGCACAAGCGTCGCAGCATCGGAACAGGTTGGCAAATCGGGTTCGGCAACAGTAAGTCAAAGCGCGCCCCACCCATCCTTCGTCACAACAAAGAAAACAGGCATATCCCTGTACACAGTGTCGAATTATCCCCTAACTTTCTCAAACCTCTTTAGTTGGCGGCATCATCGCAACATATTCCTTCCTTGAAAAGGATAAACCAAACTACATCCCCGGCCACTCGATCTGTCTTGGATTCCTTGCCCTCGCCGCAGCCATGTGCTGCGTCTACTTCGTCCTCCTTGTCTATCGTAACAAGAGCCGTGACAAGGCTGCCGCTGCCGGTGCAGAAGTGGTTGATGACAGCGACCTCACCCCCGAGCAGTTGAGAGAGAAAGAATTGCTGGGAGACTTGAACCCAAGCTACAGATACCAGTTATAAAACAAATGTAAGAAAAAAAAATGTATTTTCTGGGTGGACAATCATTTAACAAAAGGGGAAAAAAAAAAGGAAAAAAAGAGAAAAGGAAATAAACTGCGGTATTGTGATACACAGTTTTGTGTTGGGTGGATATGTGCTGCATATGTCATCTATTTAACTATGTGCGGTAGTTCTCCTTTCGGGGTTTGGATGCTACCATGGCATAGCGAACGTGATGAGATAGAGTACATACTAGAATAATTCTAATACTTTACATTTATGCTATGGTCCTTGTTGACAGCAGAGCCCCTCTGACAATCACCCTGGGTTACAAATTCGATAAAAAGGCGATACTTAACAATAGGGATATGCAACAGCCTTTCGCCAACGCCGTCGGATCCGCATTGCTGAAACGAATACCAAAGACAGGCGCCAATGAATTCCATCATCGCATCGTCATAGAATTGTCAGGGCATAAGTGAATAAAAACTTAAGCATACATGTTGAATGAGAAGTCCAGCTGGCAGTAAAGTCCAGCAGGGTCTACCTGAACTGCAATGAAGGGAAGAACCGAGGACCTGCATAACCGTACGCAGTGATGTTTTGAATATCGACTGTGCCATTTCCGAACGGACTCCACATTTTGACGAGGACAAACCGCCCAGACCTACCACTCTCCCGGTTAGATACAACAAAAATGGGATGGACGTGTAAAGGCTAAAGGGTAAACGTGAGGGGAAAAGGCAACTTACACAGGCGGATCGAACTTGATACTGACGGAGCTCTTGTCTCTTCTGATAAAAAACCTTGCATGTGGGGAGAGGACCTCCTCTGCAGGTGGGACTGGCTCAGTAGCCTCCGCGTTGCCAGAGTACGGCCCTGCTGGAGGCGCGATGATATTCGGTAGTAATCGGCTCCTGAGTCCAATACTGCTCGAATCGACACCCATTGATTGTCGCACCTGACGTCGAATTTCGTCGAGGAGACGATCAGACGTGTCACTCACTTCATCATCACTACTATCGGTGCTACACTCCACCGGATATAGATACTCGGACATATCCTCATATGCTCCTTCAGCATTAGCTGTCAACTCCTCTGAGGGTTGATCGGGTATAGATCCATCGTCAGACCTATCGTCTTGTTCTAGAGTGACATGAAATTCCGTACGACGGTCTGGCGACAACTGTCGGCTAGTCGTTTGGGGCTGGCTACGGTCTTCGGGGTCAGTCGAATTATCTGCGTGGGAAGATAATTGTTCTGGGTGTACTAGAACTGTGCGTTGTGGTGACTGTAGCGAGGCTCGAAGAGCGCTAAGATATCGTTGTGAAGTAGTCTGCCAAGAATGTCGGCGAGGCGGTGGCCGCAAAGGTCGACAAGAATAGATTATATGATACCGGGCCGTACGACTGAGTAGCTCATCCGATGCCATAGTCACAAAGACCATCCCCTCACGAATACCAGCCCTGAATCAGCCGAACGAGTCAGCGTATCCTCTGATTAGTATTGCATAGATATCTAGCCCGAGACTCACGGTCCATCATATCCAGAGTTTGGAGCTTTAATAACCAATCTTCTCAAACAAAATGGGGTTTGGCCGTGGTGCTTTAGTATAATGTTGCATCGTTCGTTCTTGGCACTAAACACTGAATTGTCATTCTCCAGGATATTCTGTGGCCACGAGGTTCGACCGTTTAATCCATAAGCCCCTCCATCGCAGCTGAGAATTTCCATCTCCAGCGCCCCAGGCACAACCTGACCGTAGTGTCCGTAGCTTAAACCCCGTATGCCTTCGCGTTTATCATCGGAATCAAGTTTGATCCGCTTATTCCGTCGACGGCTTGATTGTCTCTCGGAAGGATGTTCGCGGGAAGCAGGGTCAGGGGTCGCATTACTATCATCCAACAAGGTTCGAATTGTTGAACTCGCTGCCCTCAATCGCTCCTGGGCCGACTGAATGCCGCTCAGTCCATTAATATCGGCAAGTCTACGTGCTCCTACCATCATCGATAAATCGTCCTCCCATCCTGCTCTTGGTCTTCTTGACCCGGTACTAATCAGGTGAGTTTCAACGGCATCTGAAGCATCTTGCATAGCACGTCGCAGACGATCACGGCGTTCAGCGTGATCCCCTGACGGCCTATTATTAAGACGGTAATCTGACAATCGAGACGCCGCAGTGGCAGGGTACGACTCCTCTACTTCACGGTTAAGGGTGTCCAACGCACGGTCTCTTTGTGTTCCATCCCCGTCATGAAATTCAATGAGCTCTCGAAGGTGTCGTAGTTGACTTGCTAGATTTAAACGGGCGTGGGTGGCCTGCGATAATTGGGGTCTTGGGGGGTGATCGTTTGATGCCGGAGGGTAGTCAAAATTGTCAGACTGCACGTGTCAACACAACATTAGCCTTACCACCAAAAGGCTATGGACTCCGCAAATACGAATTGTGGCATCATTTCAAAGCAAAGAGTGCACAGTAAATACCATCTTAACAAAAAGAAAAGCCGTCACTTCACCGCAACCCAGGATATGAAAGGATGGCAGTCAAATGCAACGCCAGAGGTGTCGCCTAACATGTGCAAGGTGGGAGAGGTGAGGACGGCGGGTGGATGCGAGGACAACACGAAAACGTTCTAGCTTTCCAGGGTATCTTTTACTCTAACCACAAGATTTCGGATAGGGGTCCAAAACCATAAATGATGACGAGGAATAGAAGGAGATATCATAGAATGAGGAGGGAGAGTTATCGAAAAAGAGGACGGGGGATGGAGTGTCGTCAAGAGCGGCCGGTTAGAGCGCGGACGGGGGGGCTTATGTCATCGGAAAGGGCGCTTTTAACTAGTGTCGAACTCTAAATCCATGCTGCCTAATTACATAATCAATTTAAGGCTGACCCACTCTTAAGCCACACTTAGGCACGTGATTTACTGCCTCGGAAGGTTATCTAATCATTGCGCCAAGCCGCCAGTGACGCTCCATTATCAAGCGCGATCTGAAAGCGCTCGCGCCAGATTGTTGAAAGCAGCAACAAGGAAGAGTAACTCAGCCAACAAAGGCACCAATGAGACAAATACAACTGAAGTATTAATTGCACTCTTTATTGCACTTCTCCTTATATCTTCTGCCAACTAACTTACTCTTTCATTTGATCAATAACATCATATCTTGGTATTCCAACACAGCATTTCCACGACCTCATTCGAGCTCCTTATACAGATTTAGGCCAATGGCACAAACTGAGAGTAGCAAAATTAGTGCAGGTGAGGCTTGAAGCCAAGATCTGATTTGACTTTTTCTAACAACCAAACCCAGATGAAATTGCTCTGTACGACCGTCAGATTAGGCTATGGGGTGTAAAAGCCCAAGAAAAGTACATATACCTTTAGCCTTTTTTTGAGGATAGCAACTTAGGGTTTCTAATACACTTCATTGCAAAGAATACGAACAGCTAAGATCCTTTTGGTGTCACTTAAAGCACTGGGCAACGAAATAGCCAAAAATCTGGTGCTTGCAGGAATTGGGTCCCTTACTATCCTTGACAATGAGACAGTCCGCGAAGAAGATCTTGGAGCACAGTTCTTCATCTCTGAAGATAACATCGGACAAAACGTATGGACTCTATGTTTCCGTGTTGCAATCAGGACTGATACTTGCTACAGCGGGCGGAAGCCGCAGCACCGCGCATCAGACAGATGAACCCGCGAGTACAGCTCCACGTTGATACTGAAGATGTCAAATCCAAACCTCCCGAATTTTTTGCTACATTCGATATCACGATTGCTACTGACCTCGACTTTGACACATTTGCAACTGTCAATGCTGCATGTCGGGTTGCTAACCGGCCGTCGTATATGGCTGGTTTGCATGGCTTTTACGGTTTTATCTTTGCAGATCTAGTTAGCCACGATTTCGTAATCGAGCGCGAAAAGTCAAACGTCCCATCACGCACAAACGAGACGAGAACAAGAAAAATTCTTCATATAACCACGAAGGTAGAAAATGAAAAGGTCATCGAGATGGTAACCAAGCGCGAGATCTACACGCCCTTGATTCTAGCAAACACATCTCCCTTACCGGAGGAATTTACAAAAGTTCCCCGGAAACGAAAGCAGGTCACTCCTCTCCTTACCTGCCTTAGAGCTTTATGGGAATTTCAACGCCAGAATGGCGGAGTCTATCCGTCCTTTTCGAGATCGGATTTGGAACGCTTTACCGTCTTGTCGAATGAACGTCATTTAGAGCTAAAGCTTGACCCTTCCATTTTGACAGCTGAATTTCTACGCAGTTTCTTGCAGAACATCGGGAGCGAAATCAATCCAGTGGCGGCATTCCTGGGTGGGCATCTAGCGCAAGATGCAATTAATGTATTAAGCGGCCGTGAACAACCGCTTCAGAATTTTCTTCTCTTTGACGGCGAGCGGAACGTTTCCCCCATCTACTCCCTTCACCCTTTCTTTCCCGATGCGAGTGCGAATAATAATGGAGCATAGGCCACGGCATGTTGCACGGGCGGATATCATTAGGGAATGTTGAATCTAGAAGGGCGGCTACTGTTTCTAGGCAAACCAGGCATGGGTTTCTGGTAGGACTGTAGTAATATAGAGCAAGAACCAGGCTATAACACGAGTCTAGATTTTCTTTTTGCCACTCCAAAGAAAATCAATTCCAGAAGACGGCGGATAGAGGAGGAAGGCTCGTTGGGTTTAAAATAGCTGCGTGGCATTGTACTCCCTAACTACTCGGCTATGACTTCAATCAGCCACCAGTTCTTGTGCATGCTTTGGGTGGATGGAAAATATCCCATGTCCAGAAGCATCGCCTCACAAAATCTTCCTTGCCGGCCCACAAGGCTTGCATTAGTCATTTGGACGGTCTCTGGAGGCGATCCTCACCATCCATGTCGTTAGGAGATCGAGACGCCAATTCCGAGGAGCACTGGGCTTGTTCCGCCCTGCGCTTGGCGTCGGAGTTCGCCATTTTTAATCCGACGGGAAGTCTAAACGCGAAAATGACGTCACTCGCGTAGCCACACATTTCACTGAGAAACAGCCGCCGCCGACAGACGCATTGATTGGATCGCGTCTGTCAGTTTCTGAGTCAAAGTTGCTGGCATTAAAATTTTAATGCCAGGGGTTTTGGTGGTCTGGACGCATGGATTGCGTGGTTCCAGAGCCTTCATTCCGTAGTCAAAAGGCTGAGCAGTCGGATATAAATATGCCCAAGTGAACAGGATTGATATGCTCTGATCAGATTCCTCGACCGACGAAAAACAAAGAGACAATTGCAAGATTAAGGGCAAATCAATTGCGATCCTAAAAGCTAGTTGTGAGTCTTCCAAACACGAGGGATAGTTGTTTTGCATAGACTAACTGAGATGCAGATCTAATAACACCAACAACTAATAACTAAACTACCATTCGCTATCGCAAAGCATAATCTAGCAAACACAGCCACCGAACTTCAAACATGTCTGCTCACGCTACCGATATCAAGCTCTTCCATTCTTATCTTAACCCCGAGTCTGTCAACAGCACTCCAATTACCTCAGCCAATACCAGCAGACGCACAAGCACCTCGGACTTCTCTCAGGTATCTCAGTCCCAGGCAAAGAAGGAGAAGAAAGCTTTGAAAAATGCAGCCATTAGCGAGAGCCGCGCCGTTTATTTCTCGATGCTCCAACGATAAAGAAGACGGAGCGTGAAAACTGTGTTGTGGATAGAATGGATTGACTAGTTATAACTTACATTTACGATATGGTAAGCAAGACTGGCGATTTTCCTCATCCTTTGGCCTCAAAGCTCTAACATCGAGACACTATCTAGGAGATACTGGCGCAATTTGAGAATTCTTTATTTCGGAAACCAAAATAAAAGTTTATACCCCTCAATGACCTCAATGGACACCGATATTTTAATATTTAATCGACCAACTAAAATTTGTCTATGAATATGTTTTGTGGATATGCTGGAATGCATGGGTAGTTAAGTTGAGTAGAGATACGAGGAAAGGATATTATTATCATGTCATAGAGAATATTTATCAAGTTAAATATGACTTTCTGCTTGAACCAGGCAATGCCTTCCCTGTTAATCATCTGCAAGTTTTCTACATACTGTGGGCCATACATAAAAACCAGAGTTACCTCACTAGCTTGCGCATGGATAGTAGGAAGCCGGGGTTTTCTCTAGCCTTACCCGGCTTTTGAATACATCAACATATTCCCCGTCGAGATAGCCGTATGTAGCTTTTCCAGTCCTTTAGATGGATTTCAATAAGCATGGGAACGCGAGCTTACACATAAGGTTATGGTTTGCAGCTGCATTCATCATATGAACGCATGCACGAGCGGCATTGATCGAAAAATCGATGACAGCAACAATATTTCTGGAGAGGCCATCCTGCCGGCTGCGTGTCGCAGAGCCTCGTGATTCAGCGTCGAGCCGCCTTTGGATAATGTAAAAAAGAGTAGCCGTGTTGTCATGTTGATGCACGAATAGAGATGAAGAAATACCGATACAGCTTCTCTGTTTACGCGTGCCTCCAATGTAGAAAAGTCGATTTTCAGTCGGTCGGGGATTCCGCGTAACCAGGCGGACAGTTCGTTCATGATTCCCTGCACGGATGTCAGGAGACTCATCCGTGATCTTGGTTTTTTTCCGGTATATTTCTGTTTCCAAAAGTAAGTAGACGACAAGTTCTTATGCCTATCCGAAGCATGAAATGCAGATTGGTGAAATTGCAGAGTCCATGGGGTTCTCCGTCGCTCTATCTTCGAAATTGCAGCCAATGATTAAGATCGTTCCTCGAGCCATGTCTGCCGCTGCGGATGCTTATCTGACCCCCGTTATAAAAGCGTATATCGATTCAATTTCCGACAACTTCGATGGTGGTCTCGACGGATAGGAAGATTGTCGTTTCGAATTCATGCAGTCAGATACCGGTCCCGAGGTGTACGGCAACTGGAACGCACCAGTTGCCATTACTCATTCCTCGACTATCTATTGCCTCCGCTGCATGATCAATTTGGACATTCCTCTGAACCAAGGGTGCCTGGCCGCGATCGACATCCGCATTCCGGAGAGGAGCATCCTTTCTCCAACAAAGACAGCTGCAGTTGTGGGTGGGAATGTCATAACCTCTCAGTGTATTACTGATGTCGTCTTCAAGGCCCTTCGCGCATGTGCTGCCTCTCAAGCCTGTGTCAACAACCTTACTTTCGGCAGAGACCCCAAAATTGATCCGGAAACAGGTAAAACCATTCCCGGGTTCGGCTACTACGAGACCATCGCAGGCGGAAGCGGTGCTGGCCCAACTTGGCACGGGGAGTCCGGCGTTCATGTCCACATGACTAATACGCGCATCACAGACCCCGAAATATTTGAGAAGCGCTATCCGGTTCTCCTGCGTCAATTCTCTCTTCGTGAGAACTCCGGCGGCAAGGGTTTACACTCAGGCGGGGAAGGTGTGGTCAGGGAAATTGAATTTTTGAGCCCTCTGCAATGCTCCATTCTTTCTGAGAGGAGAGTCTATAGACCATATGGTCTTGAGGGCGGCGAAGATGGACAGACAGGGCTGAATTTATGGATTACAAAGGACACTGAAAGCGGGACTGAGAGGGTTGTAAACATTGGAGGGAAGAACACAGTGATGAAGAAGACCAATGATAGGATTGTCGTCATGACCCCTGGGGGCGGCGGGTGGGGGAAAGCTTGTTGAAAGAATAGAATCATACATAGTTTGAGAGGCGTGTTTATGCTCGTGCGCCATTTCGTTGCCCCTTTCCAGAGTTTTGGTAACTTCCCATGCCAAGGCTGTCTCACCCGTGGCTGGGCGTTAGCTCAATGGCTCAAGGCTGTGTATGACGTCACTTCATCTCACGGGTTCTTTTGCCGAAAAGGGCGCCAAAGGGCGGAAGAGTAGCGCAAATCTTCCGTGCTAGGGCTGCAAAAGAACGGCTCATACTCCGTATTGTCCCTAGACAATCAGATAACACAGGGTGCTCTGTAAGGAGCCTTCTTCATAGGCCATGACCCCAGTCAAATGCGATACTCTGTCCACATTGAGCTGAAAGTCACGCGCGAATATGTGCGAAATGTACTCTGTACTGAATACTGTTTCAATTCACGCTGTAACGGCCGATATTTGCAACAAGGAACCTGATGGAGAATTAAAAACAGTATAAGTGTATTTTATGAAAGTGAAATGATGTACACAGTAGAAGAAGAATCGATAAGTCGTGCAGCAAAGAAAACCCGACCGAACCCTGGAAAGCGCTGATATATTGTCCGTCCTAATTTAAAATTGCCCCCAGGGTCAGAATATCCCTTTACATTCCCGGTGTTGAAGTGCCTAAACCTCCGGTTTGGGAGGAACAGGAGGAGGGGTGGGTGTAACCGGGCTATCTTCCTCATCACGATCCTTATCAGCAGCTCCAATTAATCCCTCGAGCTCAAACTCCTGTGCATCCCTAATTTGCTCGGTCTGAGATGGAGTGCGGATAAGCCCATTGACTTGTGGAGACTCGAGCTGAAATCGCTCCAAGGCAAAGGAAGTCGAAGAACGATATTGAGGCGGTCGTTGGCGTGACCCGTTCCGTGCCATTCGGGCGCCCCGGTTGTACTTAGCGGTCTCAGGGAATGCGTGAACACCGTAGATGTGCAGGAGGATGTTGATAACTGCAGGATACGTTAGTACCAACTAGGGGTTTAACAAGGAGCAAGATTTTCTTACATAAAAACATTATGCATGCAACGCTGTAGAGGACTAAAATGTAAGAGACATGATCGATTCCTGCATTTGAGAGGAGTTCCATCTGCTCTTCAGTTGCTCCCATGAAGAGGAAACCTGAAGCGTAGAGTAACTGAAAAATGTTGTGAGTCACAAATTCGGCCAAAGAAACGATGGTCTCGACTTACGAATGGGGTAAGGTACTGAAAACTGCTTGCTTCAGTTCCATCATCGCTAACAGCACTTCGATCCTTCAACACAAAACATATCTCGACAATTCGAGCTGCTCCAGCTGCCATCAACGTATATCCGAAAACAGAGTGAACCATCGCACTTAGTGGCAGGTGCTGTGGATGGGAAGACATCGCATAGCCCGTAAGAAGAATGACAATTGCCGGGAAAATATTGCGTCGTGGTCTTCCGTTGCGTCTTCTGCTGAGCCAGAGACCCAAAAGACCTGCACACCACCAGATGATTCCCATGGATGTGTGTTGCATATCATTGTGTCTCCATGGCTGGCCCCAACGATGCTCTGTAAATGTATTAATGCAGCCCCAAAGGGTAATGACGAGTGAGTCGAAGAATTCCTGGCTGCGCCCCGTTCTGCGGAGCCAAACTTGCCCGACCAAAAGAAGAATCGTAAGGATGATCGCATAGGCAATGAATGCACTTCCCATAATAAAATGAGCAAGGCACTGTCCAAGGTGATCATCATGACAGAAACCCAAGGCAGTTATGCCACCAAATAACATTTGAATCCAGCTAACAAGAGGCATCATTTTGCCCATGAGTCCGTGTAGGGTGACAACATAGCATCGAAATTTAGCATGAATTCCTTTGGATAGATGTAGCTTCAAATATGCCCCCAAAACAAGTTGGATTATAAGCATAAGCATCAAGGAACTTGCAAAAGCGGCATGGATATTGGTAGAGAATTGACGGCCTTTGTGTAGATGGCCAAGGAAGTAAGCGAGGAATGCAACGACGGCACCGACGATCTGAACAGGGACATGCCAACGGGATCTAACGAGCTAAAATAAAACCGAAATATTATATGCGAAAGCATTCATAAAATTGGGCTTGAAGTTACTCACACCGAGGACCATTCCAGTAGGAAAAATGACGCCGAAGGCCAATACCATCAACAGGATATGGGTCCATAAAATCGAATCCTAAGGGCATACACCTGTCAGCCAAAAGTTTGTAGTAAATTAACCAGAATAATTGAAAAAACTGAGATAACTCACAAGTGGCTCAGCAGAAATAACCTGGCCTTCAGGCAAGCTATCATGATGATCATGGCCATGAACAGTTGCTGCCAGTGACAGCACAACAAGAGCTGCTGAAGCACCGAGGCCGCCCATCTTCTTCATCAACAAAGCCTGTATTCACAGTATAAGTGAAACCTGAAGAATCTGAGCTGAAATGAGGGTTGAAGAGGGTTGAGAGACAAATCTCAAGAGGAAAGGGGAACTGCGGATGTCAATTGTGCTCGGGAAAAGAATGAACACATCAGGAGGGATAGACAAAGAAAATCTAATATGTATCTGGTTTCCACAGCCAACAACAAGGCTGCCTAAAACCGCGTAACATGACCACTACCAGGATGATTATGTCGTCGGCCATGAGAAGGAGATGAGAGATCGTGAGCCCAAAGTTCCGACGGAAGAAGGTGGATAACGAAGACAATTCGGTGCTGAATAAGCCACCGCCAAGGCATCGAGACGGGAGATCCCCAAGCGTTGGTAAAACGAACTGAGCGGTTGGTCACAGCGGACACCAGCCCACACCGGTTCCCGGCACGCCTCCTTACCCGTATCAAGCCGAGGGTCCCCTTAAGCACTCCGGAATAAAAGTATCAAGTCGAGCAACTTATTTTGCCTCAACTACTCCGTACACATACTCCAAAATGCCCGCACAACTGCAGTCGAACCCTCCAAAAAAAGGGCGACCATCGTCTGAGCTGGCCGCAGTAAGCAATGGCATCATCACATCACCCCAATCAAATACCCCAATGCCAGTTGCTGAGCTCACTCCGCAACAGGAGAGAAAAATTGTTAGTCCCAATGGATCTTTCTTTCATGCTGCTAGATTGTTTGTGAAGTGTCATATACTCACCCCAAAAGCATGGAAAGGTCTAGGGACCTGCTAACATGCCGAAAATTACATTTTCAGAGATCCCTTGAAGCAAGCATATCCAGGCTTCAATGTCAAATAACCCAAACAGAAAAGCTTCTTTCAGAGGCTCAGGAGAAATACAAGTAAATACACTCCTACAAACCCCTCCCGATGGCCTGGCAGATCTGGGAAAATGCGGTTGGTTTAATACTTTGCGTATGAATCGTATCCTAATAACTTCTTAAGGGCAACTCATCCCGCAAATGATCCTCCACCCGACCCAGCATTCATAGTGAAACGCCACATTCGCCTTCTCCACGAATACAACGAAATCAAAGACATCGGCCAGGGTCTGCTCGGACTGATTGCGGAAGGTAGAGGAGTCAGATGTGTAGACGTGCAAAGGGAGTATGGGATTGGCGGTAATGATTGAGTTATAGTTATGGTTTCGTATTATTCCACAAGCATTGAAGAAGTTAGGGACCATGGAGTGTCGATTTTTCGAAATGGAGCTTAAAGTATTGTAGACATGAGCTGGCTCTTTCGCCTTCCACTAAGCACCTAGCTCTGAGAAGAGCCTAACATTTAAGACATTATGATGTTAAAAGAAGGGAATGTCATTTTGCATGTGCTCCAAGAGGGAGAGCTGTCTATACTGCAAATAAAGGAAATTTCAGGGGCAAAAAAAAAAAATATCACAGAACCGCCACACCATACAATTGAACGTAGAAATCATAATTATCCTGAGCCAAAGAAAACATCGTATTGGCAAAAAGGTCGTATAGCCATGGTCGGAATGGCAAGTCATAAGTCCAACAGGGCAAGTATCCATGAACAAAATATTTCCAAACATCGGAGCATACCATCCGAGTAATTTCACAACACAATTATCTAAACCGGTCATCCCCCAACAAGAGTAATACACTCTTCAATAGCAGTCTCAAGTTCGGTGATTCGTGACTTTAGGACGCGGTTCTCCTCTTGCAGTATAGTAGCAACATGACCAGGATCCGACGATCTACCTCCTTGGCAGTTGGGACACCGGGAAGAAGTCAGGGTGCTGAGAGAAGAGCCGGCTGCGGATATGCCCTTGAGGACCCTATCATAGGCTGAGGGCCTCGATGGGGAAAGAGGTCGAGGTTTTAGCGGAGATGGCTGATAGGTCGAAGGAGACGGCACGTCAAGAGTTGTGGATATGATGGAGGCTGGTCTTGTCGGAGCGGTATCGTCCGTTCCTTTAGAGAAAATACTCTCCGAAATACTTTCGTCTGCGGATTCGAATCCAGAATCAATCATAATCGAAGCACCGCTCGAGGATTTAGAGTGTTTCTTGGTAGGGCTAATTTGTATTCCGGCCGGGTCAGGAACCTCATCGAGCTTTCTAACAGGCACAATGCTTCGCCGTCGCGCTTCATCTTCCTGTTTCCGCTTCTGTCGCTCTATATTTAGCTCTTCAACCAGAGCTTTCATTTCATTTTCTTGCTCGAATACTTTGGCGGCCATCCCATCTAGCTGGGATTTCATATTTTGAAATCTTGACTGGGTCTCCTCGAGCTCCTCTTTTTGCTCAATTTTCTCAGCGAGTGCTTGGTGCAGGGCGAATGTACGTTGCTTGTAGGCTTTTTGTAATTGGCGAACCAAGTTTTCTGCATTTCGTTGGAAATTCACGAGCGCCTCTTCCGGTGGTAGGTTGGGCATATCGGTACGGAAAAGAATAGCGTCAATATCAAGGTTCAAATATTCATCGTCCGCGGGCTCCGGCATCTTGGGCAATTGTTCCTTCTGTTGCTTCGCGCCAAAAAATGAAAACGGGCTCGAATATGTGATGTTCTTTAACGGGGATGGCACGTTCATCTTCTTATTCGGAGACGAAGAGTGGCTATGAAGTGTCGGAGAGGATCCGCGAGATCGCTGATCTTGTTCTGTAGTAGGCGAGGGAACTATTCCAAGCCTAATAGGTGTCGATTCCCCTTGAAATAACCCACCAAACAGTCCGTTTCCGTTGCCTGATTTCAACTTGGGCGTTTCTTGATCCGTACTAAGCACAACATCCTCCAATGCATATGTCGAAGCGATGCTATGTCTATTAGGCAAAAATAGATCTGTCCTCGCTCGTCGATGTGTGGGTTGGAGTGACGATGTACGTTGTTCAGACCTGGGGTATTGAAGCTGTCTGGGAGACTGTCTTGTCACCAACGCTGGCCTCGAGAGTTCAGGTTCACCTATGGAGTTCTCTTTGAATGGGTGTTTCGTTTCGAGGGAAGGCCGCAGGCACGACAAATCGTCAGAAGGGTCGATAGGCATGATTGTTGACTCAGTCGTTGGGCCGCTAAGGAGAGCTCGTGGCGGTTCCGTAGGCGTTGGTCTCGCGGAAGATTTGGCAGCTAGATCGCCAACATTTTCACTCCACGTAGCCATTTGGTGTACAGGGTCAATTGGGAACCACCACTTCACCAGATGGCAATGCCGACCTAATAATTGACCGTGCGCAAGCTGGCTTTCGATGGGTGAAAAGTGGCTGAGCCATCCAGGTCCGGGAATAGGATTTGTAGTGGAAACCGGATTCCTAGGTTAATTGCGTGTTTTGAATGAGCAGCAGATGCGTCTGAGTTTCAAAACGAGTGCTGCGTCTCTCTCGAAGCCTATCCGGTGTGCTGATGCTGGACGCTAAAGAAGCACCGCGCATGCAGGTTTGTCGCCGGGGCACCCATGTCCATTGTCCGGGTAAATATGTGGCTGGGATCACCAACTCGGACAACCAAAGAGTTAACTAACTAAACCAGCCACCACAGAGTGAAATTAGTCATCGTCTCACTGCTCCTCAGCTTTTCGTCTCTTTTACTCCATACATCGTTATATTTCCCGCTCGCTTCTACAGAGCTGAGGGCATGGAGGACGCTATGGTTTCTTCAGGGTCGTTCTTGCTAACAACCAACCTGTCAATAAGCACGCTCCTTTGACTAACGCAACCGACATATTATGAGGCTGGCTTATGACGAGACAATCAGTTTCATGGAAAGCCACCCACAAATTATGACTCTTAGTCAGGGTCTGTACGGAGTCCGGAGTATTCTATATGAAATATATGTTCCTGATTACTCTGTGCTCGCCATTAAAAAGCAAATGGATCAGCTACGTATCCCGTACGTATAGCAAGTGGAATAGAATTGGATGATGCACGGTTGAGTGTGATCTTGAACGATAAGGAATGGACCCTGCTGGCAAAATCAAATCACACAGGAGACTCGAAGCTGACGCTGCTACGGAGTATGGCTCATCAATTCCTGTAGTCCTATTGTATGTGTGTATAGTACATATATTTGTAGTACTATTTCACAACTCACCCCTTTGTAAAAGGCAAAGAGGTAGCTAAGACCTGGGTGTGTTTCGGAGCATGCAGCCAGGAAGAAAGTTACATGGGCCAATCAGCTTTTGGCATGGTTAAAGCAAAAATGACTTTAAGATGGTGTAGGTGATGGCCCTCTATTTATATGTGTTGCATGTGGAGACCCATTCGTTTCAAAATCTAGTGTGGCCTCTGCGAGTCCGCTCCCAATGTCCAATCCAAGGAGTGTTCGGTTAAAGATCTGGAGCGATGCAAGAGGTTGGTAAGCTGAGACAAGCCGTCAGCATAACAATCCATGACGCTATCTGGGAATGAAAGTAGGAGGATATCAGCCATACATTGTACCACATGCCCAGCCTCGTAACCTCTTACAAAAGAGTAATTGCCCGCCTGACCGACCTCCCCATATTGCTTCCCATCAACAGTCATCGGAACATAGCCCGAACGTCAGAAAGCCGCAGAATTAGAATAATTTGCTGCAAGCGAAACTGCCTCGCCACCTAGCCAATTACAAACGAAATCTGCGTCACCATACATGAGTGTGACCCGAACAGGCAGATCGAGTATATATTCCACGTCCTCAAGAGATCTGGCGTATGCAAGATCACCAGTTTGCTAAAACGCATAATAGACGTCGTAGCTCATACTGGCCCAGTTGAGCGCTACCCCTAGTGCCTTCCGAGTAGAGGCTTTGTTAAAAAAGGGCGCTAGGTAGTCCGGTTCAGGAGGAGTCTGCGATGAGGTCAAAATAGAGTAATCAAAGATTCGAAATATGTACTCACGTCAGCAGTTATGCGAATATCATACATGTTTCGAGGATTTGCGTTCAGATAAGGAGATCCTATAAATCATTAGGCGTTCCAACCCTGCACAATGCTTCTTGGTTACGGACCGACGTTGTCATTACACATATGCACAGCTTGAACGCAGAGGGTAAAATCGGCTATAGAGGAATAGTTTGTCGCTCTGCAGGCTTTGATTTTATCCTGACATCCACCTGGCATTGAATTTGCAAACTTCATATAATCATACACTGGTTGGTTTACCTGAGAAAGTTAACGGTCAGCTCTTTATCGGTCGTAGCATCAAGGCTACGGACGCCTAAGGGAAACCAACTCCTTTGGTGTTGTAGGTATTGTGGTTCACAATCTCAGGGAAATAAGGCGCCTAATAAGATCCGGTAAGCAGGCCGATCGTGACTTAAAGTTGAAGAATCACTTACCTCGATCCCTGTGTCAATAGCACCATTTATTATGCCCAGAGCATCAAATACCAAGGGCTGACCACGGAGTTTTCCGTTTATGATCTTAGTGTTCTGGTGGTAAAAGTACCTGAAGAACTATAAAGATACAAGTAGCAATTCAGAAATATAACAACTTCGATGCAGACTCACAGTAGGCCCGTAGTGCCTGCAAATGCCGTCAGCTTGGACCAATAGCGAAAAATTGACAGCCTTACCCGCCGTTACTAACTGTCCATAAGTTGAAATGTCTTGACTTCAACCTAGGGTTTAACTTGGGTAGAGCACCATAGAACGCTTGCACGGCATCCCAAGCTACTTTCGCAGCCGCTTGAGTAATCCCTGTACAGATATAAGCACACATTCGAAATTAATTTTGTCGGGTCCGTCAATTTCCCACCAACCTTATTTGCGTCATTGATGACAGGGTATCTGCCAGTGACTCCAGCAAACGATGCATTCTCGAATATCCGTGTTAAGGGATTCAAAGATCCTGGCTCAATCGACGAATGAGAGAAGCCTGGTAATCGATATGAGTGAGAAGCGGTTACAAACATGCAATACTCTCATACCAACTCCGATAGGTTGCCATAGAACAAGTAGATTTGACACCTCCGTCCATGGATGATGATTTATATACGTAGCCAGTTCTTCGGTGACGCCACATGGCCCGAGGCCTGGAGACTCAGGCCAAGTCAGTACAACAATATTCAGTTAGATTTTCAGTAGGCTTGCCTTTGGATGCTGCGTTCAGAGAGTCACTTCCAGGACCACCACCAAGCCACAAGGTAGTCGGGGCGTTATGAGGATCCTGCCGGGCTTCAAAGAACATGAAAAACATATGAGCGGCACAGCTAAGGTTAATGTAGCCGGAGTAGCTTTTCAGGCCGGGAGTTGTTTCGCAGATTCCAGCTTTGCCGGGCTCAGTAAAACTGATACTAGCGCCTGTGTTCGACCTGATGGTTCTCAATCGCGGGTGTAGATATGGCAATCCTTGCGCATCGTTTCCATCGTGGTTTGGAAATGCACATGTTGAGGTCAAAAGAAAAGTACCAATAACAGCCTTCTTGAGATGCACGATGGAAGCCTCCACAAGGGTATGGGAATTTAAGAGAAGTGTGGCTTTCTCCAACACAGCTATGGGTTGCGCGAGTGTATTTATATTCAAAATGAAACTGGCATTCTATTTCATTAGATAGAATGGCTTTGAAAGAATGAAGCGGAGAACCCAATCCCAGCAACTACTTGAAAATCCAAACCCCAAGAGGATGGAAGAGTTCTCCCATGCTCTCATACGGAATAGAGCATGCATAATATTGTGGGAAACTGCACAACGATGAGCCTCGAGCATGACCAGATGCATGGGTTGGCTCTTCCCCGGACTCAAGATGCATTGGCCTTGGTCAGGTCCATAGATCCAATTGCCCTGAGGCAAAGCTTTCCCCAGAAAATTTATTTGCGGGCAAAGCTAACTAACTGTGGAGTACTCCGTACCCCACACCGTCTTTCAGCAGCACATCCAAGCGCCAAAGAGACTTTGGGATCGGAACATCCTCACGGCAGATAGGTTCTTCAAAGCAATAAACTTGTCTTTGAAGCCGATATGCCACCATCATAGAACATGAATTTGGGAAGCTAGGGAGTGGTGCGCATTGAATCCAGGGGAAAAGTCATCGGCGATTCGCCACCAATGGCACTCCGTAGTTAAGTAGGAATCAAACTAGAGTGTTCGGGGCCCTAACCAACCCAAACCAACCCACTGCACCAAGCTAGATACCCCCCAGCGAGCTATGTATAAGACGAGACCCCGCGGGGGGTAACGTCAAACCTGAACAGGTGGATGTTGCAATATGATCCCTGCGCCTGGCAGAGTCAGCGCAATGGACCTTTCCCCTGAAAGAAATCACGTGGATGGCGATGACTAACTAAGTTCTGACCGGTTCCCCTGACATTCCAACGCGCTAAAGGACACTGTGGCGCCCGCCCGCCCAAGCGTCATACAGTACTATCTCTGAGCACAGCATCGCTCCGGCTTCTTCTGCAGTTCAGTTCACGATCCAAGGCTATTACTTAATGTCACATTTGTTGGTAGGACTTCCAACCTGAGTTCTGGTCAATTGACCAGAACAAGCGCTGCGGGAGCCCCGAAAAGTCATGGACGTACCCGGCTTTCGGGATGTGTGTCTCTCTTGTGCGCAGGCCATCATTGATATCCCACTTCCATACTTGATTGGCTTCGTCGTCTCGACTCTTATTGGGCTTACTTTTCTTGTACGTTAATGACCTTCCTGTGCCGATACTTTGCTTCGGTAATTAATCATATCGTGCTACGTTATAGGGATACACCCTCATCTTCCTACTCGCACCTGTCCCGAGACCTCCGTTCCCTGAGGAAAAGACGTACCAGACAATTGCAGAAGATGGCTCTATCACGCCACCCAAAGCACTGCCATGCTGGTATGACCGCATAGGAGCCCAACCATCCGATGGTAACAGAAGTGATAGCCTAGAGGATGCCGAATTGTTTATGTCCGTCGTAGTCCCCGCGTACAATGAACAAGAACGTTTGCCTGGGATGTTAGAAGAAGCAGTAAACTATCTTGAGCGAGCATATGGAACCCTGACGCCTCACATAAACGGCTTAGGGAAGCGGGAAAATCCCAAGCAGGACAGAATCGGAACCACGCGCAAACGCAAAACGAACAACGTTGGTACATCGGAAGGTTTATTGAAGGGCTGGGAGATAATAATAGTGTCCGATGGATCAACGGATAAAACTATCGATACTGCACTATCCTTTGCGAGAGATCACCAGCTATCCCTCCATCCAAAAGGCCATGCTGGACCGTGGACTTCAAAGTTGAGAGAAGGTGTCCACATCCCACCGGGCACGATCCGGGTAGTTACATTAAAACAAAACCGGGGCAAAGGAGGCGCCGTCACACATGGAATGCGGCATGTTAGAGGCCAATATGTCGTTTTCGCCGATGCCGATGGCGCAAGCAATTTTGACGATCTCGGTAAACTAGTTCAGGCTTGTCAACAGGCCGAAGATTCCGAACTGCGGGGTGTGGCTGTAGGGTCTAGAGCACATCTAGTCGGAAGCGACGCTGTGGTCAAGGTACATCATATATTTCCCTCTCCCTAGAAAGACTTCTCTTGCTAATATGCTACTCCAATCAGCGCTCCAAACTCCGCAACTTTCTAATGCATGCCTTCCATATTACAATCCGTCTTCTTACCCCTCCACGTACCGCGCAAATTAAAGACACCCAGTGTGGATTCAAGCTCTTCTCCCGCGCCAGCTTACCATACATAGTTCCTTATATGCATTCCGAAGGTTGGATATTCGACGTTGAAATGCTTATGCTGGCGGAATTCGCGAACATTCCCGTTGTCGAGGTCCCAGTAGGATGGAGAGAAGTCAAGGGCAGCAAGTTGAATGTTGTTTGGGATAGTCTGGGGATGGCATGGGGATTAGCGATGTTGAGAGCGGCCTGGGGATCCGGGGTCTATAGAAGGCGTGTATGATCACTTGATTTTGCCTTTGGACTCGGTTTTTGGTAGAAAGACCTGGGCCTTTTTCTAGTTATTTCATTTCAGGGAGTCTGGAGCGCGAGTTGGATCTATATACCATTATCCCTGTTATCATATTTTTTGTCGGTTGACGGGGCGTGTACTGATAGATGTCACATAATACGCAGGGATCCATCTACATTTAGATATGTCGTACACTTTATCTCAGGGAGCGGACAGATATCATTCTTTATATAACCTTAATCTGCAAGCAATCAAATTTTATTATGTCGTTATAATCTTATACCAAACTACCATGTCCAAAATCACCACCATCAAGGAATTCCCGTTACCTTCCATATAGAAGAAGCACTGGGGTATCAGCAATCAGAATATTCCCACCAAAACTAACATCCAAAGCGCCGGGACCCTCCCACAAAAGTTAGGAACATGATGAAACTTTCCAAATTATTCGACATCAGCAGGATTAAACGTAAAATAAACAAGACAAATGGCCTGTAAAACAAATTCAGTTTCAGATTTCGAGTGCACTCCCCTCAGATCATTTTCGTAATGCACAATTACCTTTTTCGCTTTTGCGTTTCAAATGAAGACGATGCCGTTGTCAATAGCCTTCAAGGCTGAAGTTCCTTCGGTGGAACCAACAAAAAGACCCAATACAGCATTCAACGGTTTCGCAACTAGTCAAAAAGACTTGAGCCTCGATCACTTCCTTGGTAGTTGGATTTGGATTTTTTTTTGTCCCCTTAAAGATTTCAAAAATTGAAAGAACACCAAGGGCCGCCTAAATGTTGTTCGCAGAGTCCAGTCTTTGGGCGACATCAATATCTTAGAGACGGCTTTGACAGCACTCCATGAGGTGGTGAAAAAGATGATGGCGTTCCAAAAGCCTTGTAACGGCAGACCAATCGCTGCTGCAAGGAGTAGCCCGAAGTTTGGTGTTAGTGGGTGTATGAATATGTATATCCGGTTTGACGTAGCAGGGACCTAGCGTTAAGATGATTCGTTAGCCTTGCAGCAAAATAGATGGGGAACTTCTCAGAGGAGAGGTTCGGCAACCCATACCCAGGTGATTATCAAAGAGACGAAATATATGGATGCAAATTTTGCATAAGCTCTAGCAGCATTGTGCCTTTCCAGTGATAATCTTCTCGCTTTTTTCTCTTGGCCCTCAGTCGAGGCCCTCAGTCGTCTTTCAAAGTCGATAATATTTGCGAGACTTTGACGGCGTCTCAAATCTGCTAGTTCAGGGAGGGTCTCCAGGCTACTGTAGCTTTCATCGCCAGGCTGCTCTGGGATGTGGGCCTGGGCCGGGGGTTCGATGCTAGCGGCATTTGAAAATTTTTGGGAGGCTTCTTGGTTACTGGACATTGAATTATTTTGGGAAGCCGATATATGGTCAGATATCTGTCCCTCTTGGGGTGTGGATGCCGAAGTATCGTATGAGGAGTTCGCCGCTGGAGCCCGACTGCCAGACATTAACCGACTCCCTTGAATCGATGCAGGGTCGAAAGAGGATTGGGGCTCAGATGTCTGTTGGTCTCTTGACATAGACGGGTTTTCCAATATCACTTGGCCGTTTGCAGGAAGTTGACCATCTTCTAGCTGGGGAGTTTCAGAGGGCTGAATTTCGTCCGAGAGTCGCGGCGATGGGGCACTCAGGACCAGCCGATCAGTGGCGGTAATACTCTGAATCCCCCGTTCATGCAAGAACATCTTAATTCCAGCGGCGGTATAAATTGATAGTGTCACAATAAACGCGAACCAAACGATGCCGTAGTACACACCAAGACGGAGTGAGCCCCAAGGACGGCTAATCCAGCACCACAACTGACGAAAAGAAGGAATCAGTAGGGATTCTTACCAAAAGTGACCAGCGATAACATACAATTGCATCACCATAGACCCTCCCTTTAGATTCAGTTTCAATAAAGAGAAAGACTATTGCAGGAACGAACTCCAGCCCATAGCAAAGTATAAAATATCTCCACTCCAACCTCCTCAATTCTGGCAAGCCATAATGGCGGAATAGAATCAAGTAGACATTCCAAGCAATACACAAGTTCCAGAGAGCATCTGCAGATGTAAACCTAGTTTCATTTTAGTAGGCCCATGGGTAGGGCAAGAAAAGCCGCAAAACATTCGGTTCACAACACACCATTGAATAAAAAAAGCCTGAAATCTGCAGAGCGAACTAGTTTCACCAGCCCTGGGTCCCGAGCGTGCGATCAGCTCAGCAAGATGTGCTAAAATGTTTCCCCATGTCGCGTAGAAAATGAGGCGATTAAGTGGAGTGTGAAAGCGACGACTAAACATATAACATCCAATGACAAGGATACAGGCCAGAACTGAAACAGAGGCACAAGTTCGGACGGCAATATCTATTGAATGGAGTTGCGCCGCAGTCAAATTGTTTCGGGGGACTTGGACCGCGGAGGTGTCCATTGACACGGGCTCTTATGCCAGTAAATTGGCAATCGGGCCACGAAACGAGCATCGCCTTCAACGAGGGAATATAAAACTGGGCCTTGAAGAATCCATGGCGATACCCTATCGCTCTAGGACCATCATGGAACCTGGAATATTGAGATCATGGAGGAAAGAGTTGCGGCAGAATCAGCTCCGAGGAGTTCCTGGGCGGTGACGTAAAGACTTTACAAGAAGCTTTTTCTGAGAATCAGACTTCTAGCTAGGAAGCTTTATGGCCAACATGACAAATCATAAGCTTATCCATAGTGCAAGGCGATGTGTTTCTTCAGAGACAGCATGCCCAATAAATGCACACTCCAAGCCGCCAACAGGCTGCAACGCAACTTCACTCAGTCAGAACTACCCAGAAGTGCAAACAGCAGACAGGCTGCAACATATTCCAAGAAGATCACAGCAATGTCACCATTGCAACCGGAAAACAGAATGATTTCGGTATCATGCTTGGAACTTCTAAAGAAAGGTACTCAAGACACTGATTGAACCAGGGCAAAGCATCCAGCAAGCAAGCTGCTATTTTGATCATCCTCAGCATCAATCAGTGATCGAAACTCATCGAGAAGGAGAACATTGGAAGCTCAAAGCGGTAGACGAGGTTGGTGAAAGGACAAGGTTGGATAGGGCTAAGGTGAGCCAGGGTTAACTAGCCTGCAATTTGAGTTATTAGTTAATACACATTTCATACATCGTGTGGGCCCTCTGCGGCTGCAAATCCCTCCAGTGGGTAAGGTAATTTTGTAAACAAGTTACCTACTATTCCAGATCGGCACTAGCAGCAGTTTGGTCTTGGCTGAACTTTGTGGCATCCTTCACACCAGAAAAACAGCTCTAGTCTTCACTTCAGAACAGCAAGTCATGATATTGCGTTGAAGATGGTCCCTGTGGGTTCAGGCTGCTATTATGATCTTCTGGAGACACCTTAAATCTCACTCCCCACTCTCTTGAAGAGGAAAGCTGGGTCAAACCTTGCCTTGGCATCATTATAAACCCAGCTTAAAAAAAAAAAACATCAGCGGGATTCCATGTCTGGGGTGAGTGGACAATATGAATGCGACCATCTGATCTTTCCCTCCACCGCGTCAGTTGATCTCATAGCCCCTTGTTCCACTTTCTTAAGCGGAGAGTACCTCCGAATTACACATGAGTCCCCCCAGGTCGAATCCCGAACACGCTCCCCCAAGATCCCACCCTATCCCAACCAGAAGCGCATTTGACTTAGAGGGGTATATTGAACAAGGTGGTTTGGCCCTCGAAAGCCTGCGAATAAGTTTCGAATGTGAAAGAGCAGCTTTTGCAGAGGAGCGTAAGCTGTGGGAAAAGGAGCGCTGTATCATGCAGCAAAGAATCGCGGAGCTTGAAGGGCCAGGTGGCAAAGCCGGCACTGCAGCAGCAACAGGGCCAAAGGTCAACCTTTTCAAAGGACCCCAGGCGGAAGAGCAGCATCACGTATGGGAAGGCTCCAGTCCGACAGCTAGACCCTCACGAGTATTCCCAGGAGATGTGCCGCAGGCGGAACCCGAATCAGAAGGGCCCGGGTTATCCCCGTCATTAGACGATGCACTGTCCCCTAGATCTCGTCCGATTGACCGATCTGGCCACGTACCCGTTCCAGTTGAGCTCGTAGACAGCTCATTGGATGGTATAACACTGAAATCTACAGCACTACCACCCGATATCGCTGCCAGAGTCTCCCCGCCGATCTTGACAAGTTTCGGGTCTCGTGATCCCGCGCCTTTCCATAAGCCAGTGGACACAGAGCTCAAACCCGGCTTGCCATCACAGGAACCACCCTGCTTAGCGTCCCCTCACGGCGGCATCCCAAGCGACACATATCGCACTCCAATGGTACCTCTCGATCAAGCAGTGGAAACTATGTTTCCTTTCCCTATCGCCGAGTCAATGCCTAACGAATCGCCTCATGCTCCATTCCCATCACTCTTTCCAGTCGCGAGCCTCGACACAGCTCACTACCACAAAGAGCTGGATGACGATCCCGCTCTCCAAGGCACACTGGGTTTACAGAATGACATCGAGCAGGATTTGGAATTCCTCGAAGAGCTAGACGAGAAACTCTTAAAGGAAGCTCAAAGAGCTCTATCTCGACCCTCTCTCTCATCGGACGAGGAAGATGGAGAAGATGATGGAGAGCCGCCCGAACCGGAGCCAGAAATAAGGTTCAAGCGCAGTACGAACTTTGGGAGTGCCTTTGGATCAACGCAACTTGGTTCATAGCGTTTGCGCATCTGCTGGATCAGATAGCTATATATACGGACCTTTTTTTTTTATAACATATTTCGCCGACGAATTTGCGGGTATTGCTTCTGCACCTGGCGGCAAGTTCTTGGTTTTCAGAAGAAACTTGGATCACGCTCTTGACCTATATTTTTGAAACATAGCTTCATATCTATTTGAGATCTCCTTTCGTTTTGTTTGCAATTTTGCCTGATTCTTGAAGGTCATTTTAATTCCCTCTTTAAAATCTTTCGAGCATCCATTTATGCTGGTGCCATTCGGTTAGAGAAAATATTTTACCTCTGGAATCCGCATAAGCTGAAATGTCTCTGCTCTGGAAAATCTAAGCGGCACTAGCTTGTACTATTTCTTGATTATGGTTGTCTATTCATACCAATGGGTTTAAATCCCGTACAAGTGAGAAGTTTGAATCTCTCTCGGATTCAAAAAGTAAAATCATCTAATTCCGTGTATTACATTCATGTTGAATACAGAGGCCAGAGCCCTGGGTCAGAAATATGATCTCCATTTCTAATGCAGGTACTGCCCAGGAGCATATTGAATTATCATACAAACCAGCCAAAGCAGAAATTACATGTACCAGCCAATTCGAAAAGTAAGGGTGAGCCACCTATCTGCTCATGAGAGAAGGGTGAGACATAGGCTTAAACGCCCATAGTAAAGTCATGCTCAATCCCTGGGGTAACACTCGCAATAAACTTCAAAAACACAACCAAATATTGGTCGACACGGATAGCGACTTGCTGATCATCCTCGTCCTCTTCGCTTCCCTCAGGCTGCAAGACCTCCCACTCATCACCGGCATTCTGACCAGAAGGTGGATTTCCGGCCCTATTTCCTCCTCCGGAGATATTCAGCTGCGCAGTGTCATCCACTAGTCCTTTCAGTCCACTCTCCACCTTTGCCGGCTCACCGGCAGCATTTGCACGTTTCAGCTTTTGCCTCCGGATCTTCAATGCCGCGTCGGCGCGATCGAGGAGGATCTTCATGACGCTGGCGTGCTTGCAAGGGTGGACGCTAGCCATTTTCACACCACCGTCGTAAAAAGGGAAGTCTTCGAGGGTTACTGTCTTGTCTTTGTAGTCGCCGACAATATCTTCCATCATGAGTTGAGGTGTAAGGGGTTCGGACGGGGATAGATAACCGGACAGATATAGGCGAGGGGTTCTATACCAAGGTGTATAGGTTATGTAGAGGGAGTAAGTGCGTAGCGGCCTGCCATCTGATCAGAAAGAAAGATTCGAGATGGTGAGAACCCAGGAGACTCACGCCTTTGTCGACTTCCCGAGCGGTTCTCTGATTATCGCTTCTTCATCATCTTCCTCGTCCTCCATGTCAGGAATCTCCTCCTCCTCCTCCTCCTCTTCCTTCTCCCCTACATTTCCGGCCTCATCTACCGTCCTGACATCCTTTATTCTCGCCTCGCTTCCCATTGTGACGGGTTCGCTGCCACCACCACCGCCGCCGCCGCCGCCGGTATTCAGCCACCCATAATCTTCATCCTCACCTTCCTTTCCATCACCAGACCCCAGTCCATCTTTAATCATAACATCCTCTTTACCAGCATCTCCCGCAAAATTTTCATCTAGTCGTCTATGGCACGGCACGCCGCGGGTAACCAAAAACTGCTTTCCCTCCGGTAGATAAGGGACTCGTTTGGCGGGCGGGGCATCGGCCCAGGACCAGGTGGGAAACTTGTATACGAGATAGTCTCCTGCGAGCACGAATTCTTCTGGGGTTATCTGGCCGGTGGAGCGAAATGTGGAAGTGTGAGAGATCGGCGCGAGCTTATCACGCCAGGTACGGATGTAATTCATAATGTGGGGAAGCGTACTGTCGGTTCCAGGTGTCTGAGAAGACGTTCGGAATGATGCTGCTCTGTATAAAATGTGTTAACAGTTGCAAAGCGGAGCAATTTAACCTTAGAACCCGATGTTAACGGTTTGTTTGTCTGGCATTGTGCAAAAGGATGATGCCCCTCATATCATGCAGATAGGCAGCCAGGCACCTTTGGAGCATGAAAGTGAGGTTCAATGATGATGCCATCCACGTGATCATAATATCACGGATCCAAACCTGCAAACCGCCTTTTTGTTATCAAACTCAAAAGCTTTGAGATTCTACCAAATGAGAGATCGCATAAGCCACCAGGCAGGTCTACTTTCATCAGAAATGTATTATATATTCATATGTACATTCCCCGGGACCTCAATACACTAGGGTGAATAGGTCAGGTGTTGCCAGTGAATGATGAAAACTGTCTCCCGTGACTAGAAACACAAAAATACTAAAACAGAGCCCTTTTTCACAGTGTACCTGGCAGTGGGCCGACTGACATCAAAATGAATATGCCAACATCCGCTGAGCAATCCCTTTCCGGTGGACAAGGCGCGCTGCAGTACGCTACTTGTCGTATCCTGGATTCTAGGCTACTGTTTAGCCTTGCCAGGCGTGGCCGCGGTCGAGGTCGGTCACCGAAGTGCATACGGTATGGGCTCCGGTATCTTTGTGGGAAGCGGTAGATTATTGGCCAACTGACCTAGCGCAACCGATTTTCCTCCATCTGGGCTACCGAGTAGTTACCGGGATACGGCGCCCATGCTACCATTCAAGGTCCAAACTAGTCCGCGAAGGAGCCGTTGGGGGAACACGATCGCCTAAATGTAGCATCTTTATCATAGGTGGGGGGAAACGTCAAGACCGAGGATGGCTCCTTTCATAAGTATCCATAGATCAGCATACCCACCGAGCCTATCCTAATCGTGAGATCTGAGAAGTAGGAAGTCCCCATGGGCGCATTTCATCCCTCTTCTTCCATTATTTTCCTTCTCTCAATTTCCCTCTGCACATCCGCCACAGTCAGCGGCAGCGGTCTTCCATTCCACTTCTCTTCTTCCGCTTGCGCGAATGCTTCCATGCTTCTCATCGCGACGACCAGGAAACCCAGCTCCTCTCTATCAACGTCGAATACTTCCCACCACTCACAGTCTAGCAGTTTCACCCCAGTCTCCCTTGCAGCTAGGTATATTGCCGCCACGGCGATTGCATTTGGCTGATGTGTTACATATAGTAGTTGTGGAGAAAGTAAGGCAGTATTAAGGTGCTCGATTGTACGCTTCACAGCAGCGGGGGTCGATGAGCCAAGAGTCTGGAGATATGTGAAAGCGATAGGGTGCGGGATGGCGACATGGGTGTCAAAACCAAGCGTGCGGAGGATAGCGGATTCCATTTTCATGAGCGCAACACGTTCAGACTGGTATGTTCCTTCAGAAACATAGTAGTTTTCTGGGTCTGCCCTGGGCGGTGGCCCTGCGGGATTGACAAAGCGCAATGGTGAGGACTTTGGGGAAAGAAGGAAGGTGTAGACATTGATTACAGAACGGGGAGACACGGGAGTTAAAGAAAGCTTTCCAGCGATGTAGATGGACGCGGCGGAGATGTCCTAGAGACATTCAATGCACTGTTAGTTTTCAACTCTGCCGCCGGGGGCTGGTACCCGTATCCCGTACCTTCGCACCATGTATGGCCAGACTCCCTCCCTCTGGACCAATCCAGAACCTTGTAAAGAAAACAATCGCCTGAGAAATAATGTCTTGCGGGAGTCGAAGCAGCACGCCAGCGGCTTGAGTCAATCTCACACCAGCATAACGAATCGACGTCTCAAGGTCGGCGGGAATCCCGTCAAGGGAAGAGGACGAAGTTGCGAGTTGCGTGGGTGTTGCAAGGGAATTGGAAAGAATGCCCAATGCGGGCATAGACGAGGACATGTTATCTCGAAGATGAGGGTTTAAATCGTCCCTCAATTTTCTAGCTCAGCGACATGGAAAAATGGCCTCGATCGCGAGCGTTTTGGACGCGACCTCTCGGTTCTTAAAGCAGCGCACCATCCAGCCAAAGCGGCAAGCTGTGGAGGCTTCGGTCCTCGTGAAGCAGCCATTTCGACTTCACTGCTCCATACGTTATATCAGATACATCCTGTTCAAATTATCATCTGGCACTACCGCTCTTTGTCTAGTAGTTTAGTCCACTACACCCTTTGCATGAACTAGTTACTACTCGACCCTTCGAAGCTAGCTATTGCAGTGAAGTTGCGTATCATCTGTTTTGATGATAGCTGATGGTCTTTTCCTAATAGTTCAATATATTTCGCTCCTTTGGTCATTCTCCTCTATTCTACTACGGAGTACGGAGTACAAACCACTTGAATTCTGTACAAGTAATCAGGAATCAGCAAAGGTTGGCTCCCAGCTCAGCTAACCTGAGTCCCTTCTGGCTGTCACCTCGAGTCGGTGGCGGTGCCCTGAACGGTATTCCCAACATGAAGGGCTACAACAATACGCTCCCTTGCCACCAGACCCGCGCCTAGGGTTCAGCTCAGACACCCGACGGACTGATTAATGTCCGTATCTTATCTCCTGATATTGGGACCTCGCGCATGACTAGGAAAAATACACAGCCTGATGCGCTCCGTCGCCCATGTCCGTCATACCCTGCCGGGATAGCTGCGTCCCGAAGTTGATTCAATTTCAGATGCCTTATCCAATTTTCTCTCCCGCAAGCGATGGTTGAGTGCGTTATGTTGCACAAGGGTGGGGTTATGTATGCTGATACTTAAGAGACCTCCATCTTTGTTGGGCCTATGATCAGACCTTTGGTTGAAATATTATCGCCTCTATCTGAGATTGTCCGGCAGCAGGTGCGGAAGTGACCTCCACGCCAATGAAGCCCTATTCATTCTACGGCTTGTCAATCTGTGACCCCCAGTTGTCCCTCCACATACAATTCGAGAATTCGTCCGGTCACACTGTGCATACACATATTGACGCCTTTTCCGGATTGTCAGCCCATATCCTAACCCAGAAGTCCGGCCTTCTTCCGCCCCTTTCTAACACGTCATATTCTATCAATATTATGGTTCACTCACCGATTAACATGGTTTCTTTTGTACTACTTGCCCATGTATGGCTCCCCTCCCTCGGTTGCCTTACCACAAACATATCTTATGTGGAACCACAGGGATCTTCCGGTTAGCAATGCCATAACACCTCAAAATTAACTAAAGAAATGATTTAAACCCCGACCGATAAAATCCTCAAAGCTACCATTCGCGATCCTCCTCCGCGATTCTCAGAGCCAAAGGGCACAGAATAGGTATACCTTTGCATGACACCACTAAAGCGGGGGTATTGGGGGGTGGGGAAGGAAGTATTAAAAAACATACATATCATCCCGCCTATTTCAATTCTTCGATGCCGGAAAAACATCCCGCTTCCAATCAACGAGATCTAATACTCCTTTCTCAAAAGGAGTCATCGCCCGAGAATCGCATTTAGTTTGTTTTTGCGCAGCCTTGTCTCACCAGGGACATTGGGATATGGAAATTCCGCCGCCGGAAAAAGAGAGGGGGGGGTTGGGTGTCTGTAAAATAAAATACTATTGTAGGCACAAAACTACATTTGTGCGTGCCACAAGGTTCCTTTTTTTTTGGCGCACCAGAAACAGGTTGTAGGGGATCTGGCGATGGATACGTTTTCAGTCCACGCCTGGGATGAAAGCATATTGATCCAACCGAGAAGGAATATGAGACAGGAGATGGATATGGTGTTCTCAAGTCCAATTACTGTGAGCCCGAAACAAAAATATATACTACTGTGCTAAAATTATTAGACCTGGTTACTATTTTTCTTTTTTTTCCCTTCTTTTTTTATTCCAACTCTTTTTTCAAAAAAAGAAAACCAGCTTGCACTACAATACACCACACAACCCAAACCCCATCAATCCAAGCCAATATTGCTCAACCTTCTTCTCCTCTCTCCCCAGAAGCAAACTCCCCTCCACTCCATTCCTTTAGCGGCCTAAAGTTCGAACGCCATGTAATATCCAATCCCATAATAAGAATAATAAATGGCATGTATGTAGAGTGTCTTCCTGAACAAGTCGTATCCAAAACCACCTCGGTCTGTAAGCACCGACCCAGCCGCACTGTCATCCAAGCGCCCTCTGTCCTAAACCGGCATTGAGCAAAACTAAGTAGCCGATGCGATGCTTGCATGAGCCATGTAGTGCATTTCTTCCGGCATTGTTGTACTAGGTTCGTCCGGCTGTCGGCGGTGTACTTGTCTTGTGTTTTACCGTCATCGTGTATGCTTTGTGACTTGATCCTGTAATATCCAACCGGTGTTAAGTGCCGTCAACAGATCGAGGATCATGGTCAGCCATTTGTACAGGCCCTATATCCATCATGTGCATGTCATTGTCCTTCTTTTCACATTTTGTCTCCACACGCTCTCTTTCGCTAAAGAATCGACCTGCTTCATCAAAAAGTGCCGGGCCTTGTGCATAATTTTCAAGCTCCAGAGCGAAATCTTTAACAATAAACTTCTTCTGTTGTTCATTAAAGGAGATCCAGATATCAAGCTAAGGAAATAGGTAAAATCAATAGTCAGCATGGTGAGAATACTTAGAATACTAGTTCCCAACTCACAGATGCAAGACGATGGCCAATCCAGAGACACCTTTCAGTTCTTGGTGCTGTAATGCTGGGGGGTTCCAAAGACCGCTCCTCGTCATCTTCCAAAGTGGAAAAGTTGAAAAACCCGGAAGGATAATATAGTTGGCTCCAAATCAATCCACGCATAGAGAAATCTTCTGGAAGATGGCACTTCATTCCACTTTCTGGCATGGGAAAACTTTGACTCTTCAAACGAGATTCATTCAAGCCCTGTGTGTTTAGTGTATTTAGGAATGTCACCAACGCCTGCCATGGTATTTCAGACTGAGCATATGACATACCCTCAGGAACCAATGCCAAAGACCACAGAAATGCCAAAGAGACATGTACATGGGGGAGAACATTTTTATCACCAATATGTTTTAGCACCAATGCAAGAGTGTGGAATGCAAAACAAGAGGCATAAGAAATAACTTCAACAGAGGTTTGGAAATGACCAGAATGAGACACAGGGTGCAAGGATAGTTTAGAAGCAGGAGTACTATGCTGGGTGTAGTAGGAATCTTTAATTTCAGAGATGTTGACAGGGGAGTTGGTGGTCTCAACAAATGCCTTGCCAATAAAAGAGCCAAGATCATACTCAAAAAGAGAGACAAAATTTGCAGAAGCAAAGTAGATTCCCTGTTCCCTCCATTTTGACCCCACACGGCCAATCTGTGTTTCCAGGAAGGATATGAATTCATACCCGTACTCAAGAAATGAAAGTATTGACTGCTTGTTGAAAAGAACTCCGTGAGCTCGCACAAATGATAACATCAGAGGAGGGTGGTGAAGTGGTTCCTTTTGTTCCAGACAGGGGCTGAAAAGAAGAAGGATAGAATCCTTGGTGTTTGGGAATGGGTGGACGCAAATGAGGGATTTGGAGTAGAAGAACAGCTGAAGAAGAATGTTGGGTCTGGCAAGAACAGCAAGATGATGCTGAATTCTCCCAACCATGGGAGACTTGTCAGCTGCCTTGTTGTACCAATACCTTGCCACCCCAGCCCAGACCTCCCTGTCACGAAGATCTGACTCTTCCACAGCCATTTTATACCGGGCCAAATCCCCCAAACATTCAATCCATGTATCCTCAAAGCTGGGAACGCTCTCAAGGAGCAGGGCCATCATGGAATAGGCGGTATATATGAAGGCAAGCATGTGGTCCAGCACCTCAGGGAGCCTGTGGCGCAAAAGTTCCAGGAATGAATGAATCGCATGTCTCCACATCCTTGCAGGCATAGCATAGCGACTGGCTAACCTCTGGAGGGCAGGGCTTGCTGACGGATGCTGGGATGCCAAAAAAAAATCATGGTGCTCGTGTAGAAGGGTCCTATGCAAGGCCGTGAGAGCCTGCCATTGTTCATTGGTCAGGGTTGAAGGATTGTTGGCTTGTTGGCGGTCAATCTCAACACATTTTCTTTCCACAAGGACAAGGCCAGCATAGATGGTGCGAACTTCATTGATCAACTGCTCTTCTGTGATCTGACGGGTCTCAGGCTGCAGGGTCAATTTGTTGACAGGTATCTCATTTGTGGGCTGTGATCTCTTCTCCAACACTGACATTGAGGCAACAGGTGAGTCAAAGTCATAAGCTGTGTGCTTCCTGGCACCAGCAAAGACCCTGTGGGTTCCATCATCATAATTTGGAGTGAAGACATTGGGCTGCGGCCGTGGACGAATGGGAGCGCTGGCAGCAGCAGCTGATTCCTGGGGCAATTGGCGTTTGCGCGACTTTCCTGGGGTGAGAGACCTGTCGCGGAGCTGGAGGTCTTCCAAGCGCGGGGTTTCAGGAGGACTTGCGGAGGAATAGGGCTCAGCCGTGTGGTTGACAATGCTTCTAATTGACATGTCAGGAGGACTGCCTGCAACTGCGGTAGGGCAGCAGAGCGGAGAGAGGGGCGTTTCTCACCGTTGCTCTGGAGAAGCGCTGCTAGTGGCGTCGGCGCTCAGATAGTCCGCCTCCGGGGCCACGTGGGATTTACGTGATTCGGTACAGAGGGCGGCTGCGGTCGTCGCTGGGGACGACATTTTGGCCGCGACGGTGATGGCACCAAGGGAAAAAGGGCAGCGTAGGAGAGGACACTGAGAGCGCGCCGCTGCTTTGCAATCTTGAGTTAACGATAAGTTCGATAATTCGAGGTCGCCAGTCAAACCTGAATTTCTGAATTTATATATGAAATTTTGGTGCTCAAGATTTTAAGAATCTTGGCTGCCGCCTGATCATCGGGGCGCACTACCAGCGAACCGGCAGCCAGCGCAGCCCTGCTGGCAAGCAAATTGGTATGCGGCAGGATACAGTTCAACTCACAGTGTCCTGAGCCACGATACAACTGTTTGTAATGAAATATAAAGTTCAAAACCAAACTTACAGAGTGACTTTTGAAATTTACTCCTCAGTCACCTAAAACTTCATTTCCATACTCCCTAATCATTCCCTAAGCTACCCTAATCCCTAATCCATACCTACTACGGAGTACTCCGTACTTTTGCCCACCTAATAACTACCCTAACCTTCCTTGATAATCCCCTCTATATCTACATAACTAGTTACAACTGGTTGTTGACCGGTTGTCAACCTAGTCATATTACACAATCCTGTAATATTACCAGTAAGGACCAGAAATGTTAACTAAACTACGGTCAATGAACTTTGCTTAGTCACATGATATAATAAGCTCGGCACACCGTGGGTTGGTCAGGAACCAAAAGCAGCCTTATCCAACGATCACCTAGAAATTAGGAATACAATCCCCAAGGGGTGGAGTTCAGCCTAAAGAATACGGAGTACAAAGAAGCAATTACAATCCGGCCCACTAAATATGCGTATATTGAGTCTCCCGCACTTAATGAGGTTTGTATGTAGTTAAAAACTTGGAGTACTCCGTACTTTACCCCAGATTTCTTCAACGTACTCCGTACTGTACGGAGTACTGTAGATCGGTTTCCTCAATCGTCGCATCCGGCTTTCCCTCTGAGGTTCTCTTCAAAACAAAAGGGACCAATCGCCTACTTCCCACCTTCAACTTGTCTTCTCTCAAGGAAGAGAGCTTTATTTTTTTTTGAGCCGCAAAATTCGAAATCGCCTTGGTCATTCCAATTTGTAGTCAAAAGGTATTGAGCCTTGCTAGCCCTCCAGAGCCTTACTTGAATCGACACGGTTCTCAGTTCCTTGACAATTCACCACCACCAGTGTCTCCAAGGGTCACGAGCGCTCCATGGCGAGCAGAGTGTACCGCAGCAGGTAGCCCTAAAACTTAGCCCCACTCCGTTCTATGTACATACATAGTTATCTATGTACTCCGTACTCCGTAATTAGCTGGGAGTCCCGTGGAGTGGCTTAACTTTCGAACACTACAGAGTACAGAGTACAGAGGAAGGCTCCGTGCCTACAGAGATACTGTTGACAATCAGCGCAAGAATTAGTTACGACTTATACACCCTTAGTCTTTGGATTCGAATAATGCCTTAAGTTGTCTGCACGATTGTCCTCAACAATGGATCAAGAATGCCCTGGCGTGATGTCTTGTATCGAATGCCATCACATTTGATGAATGCAGCCCTCTAGACACCCTTGTAGGCACCAGTGAGTGACTCCCAGTTGATTGAATGCATATCTTCTCTTTAATGATACTAGATAGTATTTCGAAACTTCAGCCCATCGTATGCCGAATCAAAAAAGGAAACGGGCATCTCTAAGTAGTGATCGAGAGCAGATGGACGGAGGGTTGGGGCACCCCCCCTCACCAAGACGCGAGCCTATGGCCCATTAGAGAAGCGCCTGCAGTGCAGCTTGTGCTGGGCATCAAGTGGTTGAAATTTCTGGGAACGAGTATTGGATCGAGACACAGGCCACGACTTCTCTAGACCGAAGTATGTGTGCGCCGTTTCGCTTCGTTTCTGGGCTACTTATTAGCTTGGAATCTCCTTCACCAGGAGGTACTTAAAGAATATCAATTACTTTCCAACAATCGTTCGGCATCAAACTTCATCTGGCAAGAAATCCTAATGGCACTCTCCAACTCTCATTTGAAGACCTCAGGCCATTGGCTGCTTCAAAAATACAGCTCTGGGATTCATTCCTATCTCAATACAGAGTTGCTTCTTGGAAAACTCCTAAGCTTAGTCCAAAGCTAAGGTTATGTTGTCCCCCTTGAATCGCTAACAAACGAAATGTTCCGCGATTTTATTCGATTTAAAAGCTGCAACAATTCTTCTGTCCCCCTTACCTCGAGGAGAGAGGCTACCTAACTCTGATGTGACTGAGGGCGTTTCGCAGCACTGAGCTTGAGGGCCCAAGCGCTGTCCACGCAACCATCCCCCACCCCTCTGTGCAGGCTGATATGTGTAGTAGAGTAAAACAACAACATTCGAATGGTTGTTCAAAGGCCCAGCGAATGGAAGACCCAGGAATTGCCGGCCGCGATATTTGCATAGGATGAGCTAATGGGGTTTGCCAGGCAGAAGAGTCATTGTCTGAGCACCACAACAGAATTGATGGTGTGCATAAATTTGCTAGTCATGACATATGTTTCAGGATATAGTGTCCCTACGGACAGACAAGGCTCCAAGTACAGCATACCGGGATTCCTATGCAGCTGAACGTTGCAGCATCGAACACAGCTAAGCTGGGGGATCTAAATAGGCGGTATAAGACGCAGGAAGCACAAGGATCCTAAGCATCATTTCTGAGGCAGCAGGGGGAACCATACCTTACACCCGAAGAATCTGTGTTGCACCAATTTTTTGTCTGAGGGAGAGTATTAGGATGGTTACAGAGCCAAGAGGTCTCCATATCTTCCGCTATGGCGTGTTATCACTTTGTTGACGATTATCCCAAGCGTTGTTTTGTTGTGAGCTCCCTATGTATTAAGGACCCACTAGGCTCGTAGGCTATTCGAACTTAGTATGAAGTTCTCCAGAGACATCAATCGGAGCAGCTTCCGAATTGAGTTAATTACGTGGGTACTCCGTACGCTGGACTGTGGGATGTTCGGAGCTTCTTCCGCTGCCGGAAGCCCACCGCTTGTCAAAGGCGGATCTGGCTGCCTTTTTATCGTATTTCAAGGGTAACGAGGCACAACGCTAGGGAGTCTGCATCGATCGTCGCAAAGAATACGGAAAAGGCAGGCAGATGGGAACGCTGGTATCGGTTCAAGGTGCTGTGGCATGCAGACTCCAGAAGGAGGACAAAATTCTTTCAGCCCAGTCGGCCAGGTCTCCCCAGGCCGCAGTCAAAGATGGCGCCCGTTTGGATCGGCTAATAGCGCCATATTTAGGTTGTTTTGAAATCTGAAGAAACTGCGGTGACTCCTCGTCCGTCTTGATAACCAAAAACGGTGCCAAACAGAATTCGTAACACAGCATGCGGCGCATCTGGCGCATGCAGCTCAAAGAAATATCCCTTTTTCGATTCTAGGTAGGCAAGGAAAACAGGGCTTCAACCGAGACCAAAAGCCTAAACCAATGCAATGGTTGCTAGTCAGAGTCTCGAAATGTAATCTCGGTGTGGCCTGTTTATGCTGTGAAGGGCTAACTTATTAGGCCGTGCTCTAGCCTCTATGCACCATCGCACTGCGAGTTTTTTGAGATATCCAATGAACCATGGGCCATAGCAAGCCACTCCTAATCATCTGCGACATAAGAGGCTGCTCTGCTCCTTTGTCCATGTCTGAGATATTCGGCTCTGGCGTTCACACAAGTTTCCAGAGGCACATGATACCTATATCCATATCATGGCAGCCAATCTGGGAGGGAAGCTTTCGCATGGCGCATCCAAAAGTTTGCTGCTGGAGAGGGTGAAGCGAGCCTGCTCAAGAGATTTTCAGTATCAGGCAAGAAAAATGTCTCCGCCGCCTGGATAGGCACCCCAATCAGTCCAGGCCCACCGCCAAAGTCTATCATTGCTCATCATCGACGAAGAATATTTTGTGTATGCCACTCCAATCCATCTTTGGTGGCGAAGGGAGCTTTGATTCGTGTGCATTGCTTAGAAACTCCTGTGGCGACTGTAGCGTCTCAACAACAAAATGCAAGGCATCCTTCTCTTGCGAGAAGATCTTTCCCTCTAAAGAGAACGGTGGACTCACCACTAGTCTGGGTTCATTCTGGACAGAGACAGAGATAAGAACACATACAGAGGACAGAATATGGAGTGACAACCTTAACGCATTTTTCAGCACGGAAGAGTGTACTCGCACCCCATTTGATACATCATATTTGCAATCCAACTTTACAGACTACAGAGTAGCGAATGACCGTTTGCAACTTTGCAAATTCAAACCTGTCAGAGTCACCCAGCCTCAATCACGCTGCCCGCGCCCCACGCCCGGTAGCTATGACCTGTAAACAACCTGGCAGCATTCAAAGGCTGTTCGTTCCCTTGAATGGTATAAGCCTCCACCCGCACCCCCTATCCATCCGCCCAATTGCTCTTACAATTTTCTCTTTAGGGATTATTGTTAGTTATATTTCCAAATACCAGCCATGTTTAGCCTCCTACAGCAAGGCAATGCTAATCACTGAGACAAGCGAATACGTTCTTCAATTCCACTGGCACGCGCTTTTGAGGCGACGGCTGAGATTCTCCCCCTTCCTGCTATGTACAGGGTACAATGGACTCCCTTGCAAACCCGCAAAAAATAAAGAAATAATAAAAAAAAACAAAATAAATTAAATTAAAACTCTCGGAACACATGGAATGAATAAGATCACCAGTATGTATTTGGGATTCAAGGATCCGAGATGTCGTATCATAAACTCAATAGAGAGCAAATCAGATCCATGTCTGCCAGCTGAGTCAAAAGTGGGTGTTGCCCTCCCACCCACCCGCTGCTGAAAGGAAAAGCTGGATGGCAACTCTGAACCACCAACAGGATTGCAACAACTTAGACGGCCTCCGGTCATTATTATTGACAAGACTAATCCTGGAAATCTCAATCAAGGCGACAGACAAGTGATCAGGCCAGCAAGGTGGGGGGGAGTGAAATCATACATGCCAGGGACTGAGTAAATACGGACCCATTTTACTCCGTACTTCCATGTGAGTTCAGAAAACATTCTTACAGGTCTTGCTTGGGGAAAGGAAATACCAAAAGAAATGGTTGCAAGCACAGAAATACCGAAAAACAAATTTAAAACGCCACTTCATGATTTTGACGATGTGGGGGGAAGGAAAACAAAACAAAGCAAACGGCCATCAACCGCAATATTGGTATATGCAGGGTATAACGGCAAATATATCATCATTGGTCCATAATATCACAGGAAAGTATGAGAAGGAACTGAAAAAGGCGGATCATGAAGGTACAGGCCATTCAGGGAGTAAAGATCCGGTACTATAAGACCATTAGTATTATTGCTGAGAAGATTTCCAGAGCATGTAGGAATAACCGCACCCTCTCACGAACCGGTTTCCGGCAAAGTGGACAATTCGCATGCTCACGAGGTCTGGTGGGATATGCAGGGAACGTGGGGATATGCTGCTCTGCACACCATTGACAAAGAATAGCATGGCCGCATGGAATGATAACAGTGTCAACCGTCTGACTCCGGCAGATCTGGCAATCGAAATCAATCTTCATTTCAGAGCTCTCTTTAGGCTTCGGTCGCCCATCGTTTTGGTTATCGAGTCCCTTTTTCACCGTTGAAGCTCCTGAGTAATCTGCGGCGTATCGGTTAAGATCTATATTTACTTGCTCAACAGACTGTCCGCGATGTTGGAACGTGAAATGTCGCAGAGCTGCATTCACATAGCGGGAAGTGGCCCTTTGTTGGTTACTCGATAAAGGTCGGTTCGTTCCGTTTGCGGCGAGCTGACGCTGTAATGCTGCGTGCTGCGCTGCGAAAGAAGCCTCTTGCGATCCTGGTAGAAGGCGAGGACGAGTATTCCGATATTCCGACGGACCCGTGTTGTGTCTGTTGTCCATTGTAAACGCTTCCATATGGCTACGTCGTGGTCCTGAGACTTGCTCTGGTTGCGCTACGCCATGTGTGCGGGAGGGACTACCCTGAGGAATATGGGGGTCTCTCGTTGCCGGGGACACGTTAGCAGAAGCGGCCCCGTTATCCGCGGTTCCGGGCACCTGGGTCTGGTTAAGAAGTTGAACATCCGTAGCTGTCGTCATAGGTCCAGGATAGAAGTATTGACCATGGTACAGATTTGGGTTCATGGTTGCCATGACTGGCACATGATTAGCCTGCGCAAATGCAGCGCGACGCTCTAGTTCTTGTGCAATAAATGCATCCCATGAATTTTGAAATGAATGATCTAGGCGAGGTTGAGAAGCTTGGGGATTGTTATTTTCGGGAACAGTTTCACGGGAAGCGCCATTGGAAGTTGTGCTGTCGCCCAGCTGCGGTTCCGGGTTGGACTGGACAGCACTAAAAGGATGCAGGGCAGTTCTATCTGTTGCCCCGGCCTCGAGAGCCGTTGTCGGTATATTCCAGTTGTTGGAGGATGCTGTAGAGATTTGGCCTCCCGATATTTCGCCTAGAGTCACATATGAGTATAATTCCACGCGATCAGCATCAAGCACAGAGACTTGCCTTGAGCGTTAAGCAGAGCAGGCGATTCTGCGACATGGACTTGTCTAAATGTTTCGGCACGCTCTTGTTCGGCTTCGTTGTGACTGTGATTCTGTCTAACAGTGGAAATTAACTGGCCATTAGGCTGCCCGTGTGGAAATTCGGCCATGCCGTCAAGGCTCGATTCAGGCCGGACAGCACTAGATCCTTCAGGAAAGTTCGAAGGCGAGTGGGGCGGAGAACTTTGCACTTCTACGTTGGCTTCACTCGATGAGGACGGTCGGAGCCCAGAATTAGCCCTCTCTAGGGCATCGTCTCCCGGAGAAACAAGTGGACACACGGGCGGTTGTTGCTCACGGAAGCGGCTGGGCTGGTGAGAAAGCGGGAAGGACGTGCCTGAATGAGATTGGGATCGGGCCACGAACGGATCTCCGTGGGAACTGCGATTCGGAGACGGGGAGTGGCTTAGCGGAGAGGAAGAAGGAGGACAAGGATGAGTATGTGGGAGAGTATGGGGATGAGTATGAGGATGAGGGCGAGGTTGATGGTTGTCCTTGGAGTAAGCGCGACCTATTACGCACAAATAAGTCAGCGAGTTCAGAGAGCATCCGATCTTTCTACGGAAGAAGCCGAGTATGAATCATCGTAGCAAAATGGCGTGGGCCAGCAACCACAGCGGCATACCTACCACAATATAATGGAGAGGACGAGGCGGGCTCAGAAGACCGGGTTGCAGCTCGATGGCCGGGTCGACGACTTGAAGGCGGAGGCTCCGGACAAGCGATTCCGCGACGCGGGGAATGTCGCGTGGCGGGAGGGTCAGGTCCGTTGACACATTTATCTATGGTTCTAGAATTTGGGCTTCTCGTCTGTGTTGTCTCTTGCACGTTGTGGTCTTCTATGCTCCCATCCAGTCCTACCGCAAGCAAAGACATTATCCTATCGGCCCATCTTAGCATCCATCCGAATCTTGAAGAAAGAGTAGCCTAACACACCACTATCTGGCCCGAGTGTGACTGTTCTCGGGAGTAGCACTTTCAAGGCCTCTCCTCTTCTGTGTCTGCTAATGAGGGCTCCAGTTTCGGGTATATTGTGATTCTATATCTGCGCCACCATTCCTCCACCCGATCTATGACTGAAATTCTTTCAGAGGGATTCAGCGAATGGATAAAATACCATCCCTAGGAACCTTAGGAAGGGAAAGAGGAAAAGAAAAAAAAAGGAAATAATCATCAAATATTCTGGTTTAGTTGAACGGTTACGCAAAGGAGTAAGGATAATGATGACAGAAAATCCGAAAATCCTCTATTTATCGAATTTTCGGACGCAAAAGAATGGACATCGCTTAAAAACTCGATATGGGTATCGATAGTTTAGACGATGGGAAGCTCAGAGAGAAAATGAAACAACACTACAGCGTCTCATCAAATAAATGATGCAGAAACTGTGTGGCGTGGAGCAACGTAGGTTGGGAAATAATGATGATGATGACGATAATGATGATGATGATGATAAAATATCAAGAACAAAACGGTCCCACATCCGTATTTAAACAGCCTTTCCACCTGACCTCGCGACTGTGACGGATCGCCTGGAAAGGTGAGCCGAGCGCGCGGAGACGAACTGGCCTGCCTTTGGAGACTCGAAAGATGTGGGGGTCGGCGATGGCACGGTCCTGGATTTCGTCGCTCATGCTTCTCGCCGGTCAATGTTCTTAACCATGTCAGAGCTTGGGAGAATGCAACAGGCTGTGTGAATTCGGTCAATTCCAGCCTTAAGCATCGACCGGCAAGGAACCAATGACAAATGCGTAGCCGGCTTGAGCAAGACAATGAACAAGTCTGGGGATGTTTTCAGGTTGTTTACGGCGGATGATCACACGCATGCAGCGGCCGATGGCAAATTGCTTGAGAAATCAGCCAATCAATAGCCATGTTTGTCCAAACCAGAACGGATTTCGAGTGCTCAGTGGACTGGATTTATCTTGTTGGACAAGGAGTGTCTGCTTGATGCATCACCGGCGAACAGCAAATCGCTCAACAGTTGTAACGTTAAAAGAGCGAAGTTACTAACTAGTCAGTTAACCCTCCCGAACATCACTGCTTATGTCAGCACTTGCGCTGCTCATCTCGCCCGCCGCCCCTTTGAGCAGTCGACGGACGCGCATGCGGGAGAAGATCATCGAGAGCCAAAGCTTCCGCAGCCATTACCGAGTACCGCGTACGGGGTGTGCTTACGCAACGGAGATATTCTATGTCCAAATAAAGAAAAGGCTTGTTATATTGGCGCCGAGTCGTCCTCGACGCGTTCGAGATAGAACCTGGATGATATAAGTAGCCCAACTGGTGAACCTCCCAGTCAAAACTACCCTCCCCGTTCCAGCAACGATGGCATGATGCAATCTGCATCCTTTCATCAACCACATTTCTCTCCCTCATGCGGCTGAGAACTCACCTCCTTTACCGCCATTTTCAGCATCCTCGTTGTAGGATGTCAACCTTTACTCTTCCTAATACCAAACCTCCTGTGACCGTCCAGTTGGCTCCGGATGTAACTGAGAGCCAACTTCTTTCCTTTCCTGCATTCAAGATCTGGCTCTCGACTCTGCAACACTCACTCTTCCTGCAGGGGAGCGCGAAGCATGAATTCAATTCTGCGCCATATGCACTTCGGAAAATTGAAGTACAAGCGGTCGACTTCTTTGGTCGGGGCCGTTTAGGTTTCGTGAAGCTACGAGCTGACGTCTCGAATGACAGTGGGGAGAAGCTCCCCGGGAGCGTGTTCCTCAGAGGCGGGAGTGTAGGGATACTGGTAGAATATGCTCCAAACTGCTCCCGTTCATATATACCACGACTAATGCCGTTTTGCTCTCTCTCAGCTTATCCTCCAACCTGACGACATTCCACCCGACTCCGACCCCGAGAAACGCGTGATATTGACCATCCAACCCCGCATTCCCGCTGGATCGCTTGCCTTCCCAGAAATCCCCGCCGGTATGCTCGATGATAGCGGGACATTCTCTGGCGGAGCGGCAAAGGAGATCCAAGAAGAAACGGGCCTCTCCATTCAACAAGACGAGCTGCTCGACATGACCGCCCTCACTCTCGGTCCCACGACTCGAGAACCTACAATTCCGGAGAATGAAGTCAAGGAAAAGCTGCAGGTTGGTGTGTACCCATCACCTGGAGGAAGCGATGAGTTCATTCCCCTATTTTTATGCCAGAAGCGCATGAAAAGGGTTGAAATAGACCAACTGCAGGGCCAGTTGACGGGACTGAGAAAGGAAGGCGAGAAAATTACGCTGAAATTGGTACCGCTGGAACAGCTGTGGAAAGAGGGTGCGCGGGACGGCAAGTCGTTGGCTGCTTGGGCCCTCTACAACGGTTTGAAATCTGAGGGGAAGATATAAAAGGTCAGAGGCATCTCGAAGACTAATGCATGCCAAAAGAAGCCTGATTGGTGTCATCATTCTATCGAATCTATCTATCATCTATGAACAGTCGGATCTGGGGCGTACGTGCGGCACGTGTCCTCCAAGGTATCTATCCAACCAAACTCCACTTCTTCGCGATCTCAATCCCCTCTGCTAGAGTTCCAACCCTAGCATCGATCGCATATCCTTCTGCCTCCAGTCGCTGCGTCTCAGCAAACAGTGTTTTGAGTGGTAAGGTGAAACATTCAATGAATTCGTTATCTTCCAGCTGAGGTTTCGGGTTTTGGTTCTCAGGGAGAGACATATCCACACGGACATGCACCATGTGGAGGTTTGTATTGCAAAACCCGGGATCTGTGATGTGAAAAATGTAAGCTCTGCCCCGGTTTCCCGCCCCACGCCAATCCAAGGAGCCTATACGGAATACATACCATTCCACATAACCGGACTAGTTTGCTCAGGAACCCCAACATATCCCGTCTCTTCTTTTAACTCTCTGATCGCACATTCTTCTGGCGTCTCACCCGCATCTATGAGCCCCGCTGGAACTTCAATGACAATTTTGTCGATTGGCGGGCGGTACTGCTTTTGGAGTAAGAGTTCTGGTCCCGATGGCTTTTCTAATATTGCCACAATGCCTACGCCATCGATTAAGCAGTCCTTAGGGCGGGTCTGTCGATGAACGGTTAGTTTCTAGCTTCATATCAAATACACATACAATAGTACATATGTACAGGTGTTCATATACAACCCCATTCCCAAATGTTTGCCATGGAACCCACAAAGCATATTGATCTTAATGTATTCAGCAATGAGCGGGGCCTTTTGTTTTTTAGGAGGGGGAAATGAACAACATATACTGTACCTACCTGTCTCTCAGCACTCTCCCAAGTTCGCACAGTTCCCCTTGGATCCGTATAGGTACATTTCGAAAGCCGAATCCATCGCGCCTGGGCGGGATCCTATTCGGAGCCATACGCCCGAGGATTGGGACAAAATCAGCCCCAGTTGCATGAATAACTTACAGGGCTAAATGACAGGCATCGTGATTCGAAAGGGAAAATGAGGGATAAGGAGATAGGGTTTGGATATATTCCCGGTGTACGGCGAATACAGCCGTAGCGGGGCTTAGGAAGAAAGCGAGCGAAAGATCGCAATAAGGTAATTGAACAGGAAAAATAAGGATTTGTATTGAACTTCTTCTTGCCCGATAAGATTGAAGAATAATTCGGATGTAAGTATCATACCAATGGCTCTATCGAGAGAAGTTTCTCTTTCTCCATGCTGATGGATGTTGGGCAGCGACGGTTAGCGAGGGGCAAGATCTTAACGAAGTTTCCAAGCAGTAACTAAATACTTATTTGCTAGAAATGCTAGCGATAAACGAAGAATTTCAAAGGGTTTATATAGACCCAACAGCTGTGTTTACTGTGTAAGCTGCATAAACAATAGAGATGTATGTATGAATCTTGGGAGTCAGTACCTCGTTAGATGTTGGGTAAATGAATAGTTCGCGGGCTGATCAAATATCAGGATTGAGTGGTTTAGTTACGTAAGATGGTTGGTCGAGAAACACGGACTGCTCTCTCTGCATTCATTTCATCCCGACATCCTGACGCTCAAGAGACGGCTCTGATTACCTCTTTCCAGACGGCATAACTGCGTCCTCTATAGACCATAATTTTTAGGAAATATTTGCCGGGTGAGCCTGGGAAAGAAACTTCTTCCTCTCGTCCTCTCCAGCTTCTGATACAAGGGCCTCATGGGAACTATCCGTCAGAATCTGTGCTTGTGCTGGTAGGTTGAAAAGCACACTGTAGAGAGTTTCAGGCGTCTGCCGCGAATCTAACCCAGCTCCCCTCCCACGCAAAAATACTTCTAGCTGACTTAGATCCGAAAGTATTTCCTTATCGCCAATTCTCACTATATGTTTCGGAGGATTTTCTGACTTCTGGTGCCGAGGCGGAGGATCGGATGGCATTGTGTACCTTGTCTTAAACGCAAAATCGAAAAGGGGGTAGGATGAAATTTTTGGCAAATCTGGCCGAGTAATCACCAACCATAAGAGCATTGCCCAGACGAACGTAAGCACCAGAATATGTAACAGGAGGAAAAGGATAAACATCGACTTGTTGAGAACTATCCTCGTATACGGCGTAGCAATCGCTGCCTTTGTGTGAAATTCTGGAGGGAGCGATGTAGTGATTTCTTGCGCCGACAGCTCCACATTGCCAAAGTTGTTGGGATTGAATTTCCAGAGTGGAAACGCAAGAATACTCTGAAACGTCTGATATAGCTCTCTGGACCAATACTTGTTGCTGAGCTGGTCTTGACCGCTCCAGAAATGTTCTGCGATTGAAGACGTAGCAGGAATTTGGGCGGCTTTATAGTCTAGGAGCCAGGTTATAGCCTCTTTAAAGCCGACAAGATCAATATCGGTGTTTTTGGTGGGCTCCCCAATCTCTGAGATCGCGACAACGCTATAATTTGACCGGGATGCGACAACATTCGCTTTGCGACTGTAAACAGAAAATGTCGTCGTGAGATTTGGAAAAATACCTGTGCCCTCACATTTACCCGCTTGGGTGCCGTTTGGACACACATATAAGCCTTGAGTAACATTAGTGACTTCCTTCAGGGTAACCGAGTTATATACATACCGGCCGTAATTGATCCGTTGGCTTTCGGGTTATTTGCTAAACAAAATCTCAGCCCGATCAGTGTCTGGTCGTCACCAAAAACCATGCAATCCTTATCCATGAAGATATCTCTCTCAGATATACGACGCTTGAATTCAATTTGGGTTGAAGGCACGTCGTATATTTTAATGACAGACTCCGAGGGGTGACTCAAAGGTGGCCATGGAGTTGTCATGATGAGCCCTCCAGTGAGCAAATATGAATCGCAGTCTTTGTCATGACAGGCAATGGGGTCGCCAACTACCGAATGCATCGGATTGACGACAAAGTCATAGAGCATGGACAGTGCTGTATATGGCACGACACGATATGGGTATTGAGGGGATAGATTCTGCAGCTTTTGTAGATAGGGCTGTACAAACGAGCCGTTGAACTGGCCAACACCGGCGGTCGCATTATACGTATACACAGAATCATAACCGGTCATCAGTGAGGTGTTTGCTAAGTTTGACTTTTAGCAAGATAGGTTTTCGTGCGCTCGTGAGGGGTCGCAAATAGCTCACCAAAGAGGAGGACCCCGGATAACCAAACGGCGCAAGCAAGTGAGATCCTGCATTGGACATTACAGTTAAATAATCCTCAAGTTAGGTCATACGAAATTGAAATCGATAACGCACTTTAACAAAGGCCAAAGCCTATCAGTAAATGTAGCGGTCTTCGCGAAGATGACTTTTGCAGATCCCAAGAACCCCGTGGTCGGAGTCAACCCAAGAAGGCTCAGGAAATTTAGTCCGCCATCCCTCCCTGCAAAGGCCCATTGAACCAGCTCGAACACGTTTGCGAGTGCCAGCGCAGAACAGGCCGATAAGAGACTTTGGGAGGCTCGAAGGAGCGTAAGAGTTCGACTGGTGGAGAGTTTAGCTTGGGAGATCCAAGCAGTGACGGCAAAGAGCACAGTTCCTAGAATTGCCCATAACAACAAGTTAGGGAGAGAAGAACTTGATAACGTTTTCTGCAAACGACGAGTACGAGACCTCGATTTGGCTTCGAAGTCGGCATTTGCAACAGAAGACACGCTCATGGTCCTCAGGTCCGCAGTCTCCATGGGTGAATAGTGCGACATGGTTCAGCAGAATCCTGTGGTGGGCAATTATCAACGGCCTCAGCTTCTTACGAGAGGATCAGACTGGAGTTAATAATATGGCCTGGTGAAAAGAGCTTTGTTCACCACGACGCAGTGGGATCGCCGGTTCCACTGCGCACACGGGGTTTTCTGGCCCAGTTCCAATGATATATATGGATTCTGCAGCGACTCTACGATGCAGCATTTTAGGGTCACGACTCAACTCAGGAACGAATCAATGATCACCCATCCCCGTCTCCACGTTTCACCGCAGAAACTCGGGAAAATATGTGAGCACCGTGGAGTTCTTCCGTGGAATTTGGGATGCAACCAACTGATCACCGCCATTCTGCGCGACAAGGCTCTCGCGTGAGCACTGGAGAGGGTGCCTGGGAATCGAACGCGGCTCAAATAAGATAAGATTGTCTCCGTGTGCCGTTGTGGGCCCATGGCCCGTTCACTCTTAACACAGAATCGGAAATCCTTGGCTGACACGGGGCGCCACAGCATCCTCTCTGCCCTATGATATCGTGCCAGCCAAGGGCGTCAAGACAATTCTCCACACTCGTGGTGAAGACAGTCTTTTTTTTTGGCCCGACATCGCCCTCCTCAAAGAGACACAGCCCAGGACGGTTAGCGAATCAGGTTACTAGTGGCGAATTTGCTGATGCTTCCAAGCCCTATTCGTCCTTATCTGGAGAAGAGCACCAAGCTGGTGATCACCGTTTCCAGTAATGAGCTGGGAGGCGGGAGAAAGAGCCTGAATGCTCTCGAATATAGATATTTTTGGCCCCAGATCATCATCTTCCGCGGAGGACGGCGTGTCCAGGCCTTGAGATGCGCAATGCACGAGGCTATAGCCAGCCACCAACCTCTTCACCAATCAGTTTGAGGAGGGCATCACCCCAAAAAACCGCGTGTGTGGATCCGTCGTTATTTCTTTTTGCGAGCTCGGGGGAGGATCTGTAATGAATCTCTCTGTCCAAATCTCGCTCACTCGCCCAGGGTGTCATTCCTCCATGGTATAACTACCTAGAGAATCTCCCTGGCATCGTCAATGTAGAAACGGGTTGAAGTGCATGTCCTCCGTACTGGTTCAACATGTTTCGGCTCATTCTCTACGCTACCTTTATTCTCGGCGCCCTTTCAGGTCAGAGTAAGTCTTCTTCTGTTTTTGACGCGATTTCTCTGTATGACTTGGCTAAAGCCTTGCTCTCAGCAAAATATCCTAGTCATGGAGAAGGAGCGGCCAAAGCCATCGCAGCGCGACAACAACTTGAAAACTGCACACCGTATTGCAAGGTTGAGGTTAAACCCGTATATACGTTTACGTGGTATCCAATGGAATTTTCCACGACGGTCGTGGCCGCTACCGTAATTGAAATTGTAAACACACTGGCGGGGACAACCAGAACTTCCACAATATCCAACGATCTCCCAAGCGGATACACTCCTCCCGCGACGAATGACGATGGGACCCAAGTGACAACAGTTACATATAGTCAGCAAGGCACGACAAAGACCACCGTCCTGTTAGTACAACGGTTCTCATAGATTGGGGTACTCAGCTAAGATATCAGCAGGGCTTTTCCGACCAGTTTCACCTCCTGGGCTGATGGATACACCTGGCAAGGGAGGCTACAAACCGAAAAAGATGACGAGACAGCCTGCGTGACCGCGATCATACCCTCATTTGTCCCGTTTGAGTCCTTCCCACAGCCAACTTCGATATCGATGCCAACTCATCCGTCCGGACCGGATCCAAAAGGTCTCCTCTTCAAGCCCACGTCAATAGATTTGGGAGCGGGAGCATATGTGGAAGCCTTTCCTGACGAGGGTGCTCTGCAGACCTGCTCCCTCAAACGCTACCCGCTTCCCTTGGCAGTGGAGCCGACTACCCGATTTTTGAGCAAGACCATAACGTATTTTGAAGGTGGGAAGGCTGTAAGGTATGTTATTTCTCAGCGATTGGAGAATTGACGTAGCTAACGGCTTTCAAAGGCAGGCAGAAAGTTCTTCCCATCCGGCAACTCCAACCTCGGCGGCCTCAAAGGCATTGTCCCACTATTGGACTATCCTTTTTTCCTGCCTCACCTCTGCACTGGGGATCATTTTGATGTAGATATAACTCGACGTTAGGCGCTTTTTGGAATTGCAGGCGGGCGACTCTGGCCAAGGCGTTGAGGGTTTAACAAGGATTTCTTGCTTCCATTCGCATTCATAATAGCTCCAAATTCAATGCACTCTTTCCAAAAGGTCCAATCCTATCTCTTTCAACGTATCCGTACCATTTACTTGGGAGGGAATGCGTTGGTTTGAGGGACTATGTATTAACGTTGTGTGGGACGGGATTTCGTTTCAACTCCGCCAACCTTATCTCCGCTTGCCGACTCGACTGAGCGCAAAACTCAATTTCCCCCCTTTCCCGTCGCACGGACGAATTTAATACTACTCCATAGAGCTTCCCACCGCATCCCAGGCTTCATTCTTGAAAAAAAGGCGAAAGTCTTACGGAGTACGGAGCACACGGCATTTATCGCTATTGCGCTTTGATCCTGCTGATTCAGTGTCATGCTATTCTTCCTCTCTCTCTCTTTTTTCTTTTTTTTTTTTTTTTTTTTTTTTGAGGAACTATGTACGGAGTACTTCGCGTCTGTTGGGATGACCACATCGGCAGAGTGCGGCGCAGTTGTTTGCTTCGGGCAGAAAGGCTCGCCCAGTGAGATGCAGCTGACTGATAGATCTAGATTCGTCTTTTTTTTTTGTTTTTTCCCCCGAACTGCGAGACGAATTTTTTTCCGGAATGCGGAGTGCGGGTGTACATAGTTAATAGCTCCATCGCTAACAAGGCTGAAGGCCCTTTTTAGCGACACACACATATTAATAGTATGAATACGGAATGAGTACGGAAGTACTCCGTACTGCGTATTTGGAATGAATTGGTGGTGCGGCATCTATGTTTTTATTTGATTTGCTCGTTATGCTTCCTGTCTAATGCAAGTAGAATGAAATTACATTCCAGTACGCCTTTCCTTGGCGATTGTTGATCGATGTTCCTAGAGCGATCAGAAAATAAAAATGCTAGGAGCTGTATCGCGTGTATCGCAACATGTGCATCGGCAGGCATTGCGTTTATTTATTAACTTTTCATCCTTTTTTTTCTTTTTTTCTTTTTCCATCGTTTCAAGGTGTTACCGTCGTGAGGCGAAAAGCGAGGGTAGAGCGCTATGAAGAGGCGTCCCCATAAAACCTCTTTGTTTCTTTAGGCGGCCTCGATTTCAGCAAGGCATTTTTCGAATTCGGCCCAGTCCTTCATAACGACCTTGCAACCCAAATCAAGAAGAGTCTTGGCCATTTCAGTCTGTTTCGTGGTGCCGTTATAGCTGCCGACATAAGCGATGACCGGGATTCCAGCACGAATGGCACTCAATGCACCACTCTTGCTGTCCTCAATGGCAACGCATTCGGTAGGCTCCTTGTTGAGAACTTTGAGGGTGTGCAGGTAGATGGCTGGGTCCGGCTTGGTGGTGGGCTTCTCGAGCGAGGTGGCAGCGCTGAAGATGTGATCCTTGGGGAAGTATTTATCCTGGTCGACTTTCTCGATCGATGCCCTGACACGGCGAAGAGCCGAGGAAGAGACGACGGCGAGGCCATACTTTCCGGACTTTGCGAGCTTCTCGAGCTCTTCGTTGGCGCCAACGCAGGGCTTTGCCTTGGCAACGAGCTTGGCGATTACACGGTTTTCTTCCTCCTTCACATAGGCCTCGAGTTCCTCTGGGGTCAGAGTAAAGTTGAATTTGGCCTGCAGCGAGACCATCATCCCACGGAAGTTTTGGCCGACGAAGTCGACGATGAGCTGGTCGCCGGTGTAGCGATGGTCGATGTTGTTCTTTTCGAGGATCTCATTGGCGATATCGGCGCATGCTTCGAAAGCGAGTTCTTCGGAGAGGACAAGGGTATTGTCGCAGTCGAAGAGAATCTCAGTGATCTACAGGTAAAGGAAGAAACAAAGTCAGCAGCATGAACCCACTAGAGGTCTCCACACCCACACGCCGGCATGCAGTGAGTGGACATGGAACCACGATCATTCCCTGGCAATCAGGTGCGGGAGATGGAGAACTAACCTTCGGCATGGTGGAAGTCTTTGTTTAGACCGCTGGTCTTCGTATTCCGTTGATCGATATAAGATTGATGGATATTGAGGACAATTGGGACAAGTATAGAGGAACACCAGGGCTAAGCGCGAAGGGCAGGCTGGAGAAGTGCTTGACAGGTGAGGAGTTGGCAGAGAAAAGAAAAAAAGAGAAGTGAGGAATATTTCTAGGCAGGTGAGTGAAGATTAAAAAGGTTTTCCCTACAAGCTTCGAATGCGTGAGAATAAACAGCAAACAACTGGGAAAGTTCCGTTCGGAGGGGCTGGTGGCGCCGCGTGCGAGATAAAGTGCCTTTGGAGGGGGAGGGGCAGCGCTACATTAGATCGCAAAGCAACATGGATGCGACCGTCACCGGGTTATATGTATGGTGTGGATTTTGCTCTAGTAACGGGAATGCAGGCAACAATACTCGCATTTTGAATGCAAGGATGACAACATGATGTTGACTTTGAATTTGATTTGAATTTCTGAACAGCCCAATTGTCGTCATTCGCCGACCCAGCCTGATCCACGGCGTCGAAATTGAGATCCATACCGCGCAATTCTAGCCGCACACTCGCCCCAGCCGGCGGGAGGTGGAGAAACCCCTCCTCGGGTAGAATTCAAAGCCAAACGTCCCAGGGAAAAAAAAAAAAAAAAAGGTTGGAAGAGGCACTGACGTTTTGAAGAGGGGGCATGTTAGATGCTCACAGGATAATTAACTACCCCAACGCCTTGCCTGGATATGCCTAATTTGGTTAATCGTGTCGTCTGGAGGAGATTCTTTGAGATGGAGTAGGAGATTAGAGAAAAACTCGCAATCCTCCGTACTCTCACTCCCTTGTACTGGCTGCGCTCGCAGATTCCCAGCACGTGTCGAACCAGTGTGTCAGTTGCAGTCCACATCCGGAGAATACTGAGTTAAATTTCGGAGCGTTTCGGCCTTGAACCCACCCATCTCCAGCCATTGCCGTGCGCCCCCAAGGCATGGCGGGATCGACCGCCTACCCGGTCTCGATTTCCGAAATTGAGTTTCCCTCCCAGGCTCAGAGTCTGTCGCATATCCTTTCGGATCTCAAGAGAGCAGCGTTGTCTATAACCAATAGGCTGAAATCTATCGAAAGTGATTCGCAGTTTGCCCAGGGAGTCTCCGAGCACTATCGTCTACCATTAATAGCAAACGAACGGTGTGGCAGTTGGTATATTCAACCCGAGAGAAAAGTAGGAAGCGCGTATTTCAAAAGTACCGATGGCCATGCCGGTCAATGGGACTTCAGTCTCCGTCGGCTCAACCTACAGGTTCTCGACGTTCTTAGTCAATACGGAGGGTAAGAAATCCTTCTGGCATATAGAGTATATGGAAGCTCAACAAAGCTAAAATCTGCCCCAGATGCATCGTTGTGGACTCGACAAGAAGGGGCAAGGGTAGGAATATTTGTTTCTTCATATATATATATCCCTGACATTGTTGTTAAATCATCTTCTAGCAATCCCTGATGCCCTCTCGAAAACTGCTCCTATCTGGGCTGCAGTGATGAACAAAACTCTGTTTCCCGATGAGCCTGCATACCATAATGTTCAGTTCCCGCCAGACTTCCTTGGCGCCTCCGAAGAGTCACAAATTGAAGGCCGAATTGACGGGTTTGTGGCTGCATTCAAGGTAAGCATCTTCTTTCTGACAGAGCGTGGCCGAGTCGCGCCGATCTGATCATATGTTATCAAGGCCCTGGGACTGGACCTGGAATCGCTGAAGAATAGGATGGGAAAACCCGTCCGCTTATCGTGGGCAACAAGGGATTATTTTTATCCTGAATACCCCCAAAATAGGAATTTTCATCTAATGGTTTTGTGTTCCGCCTCAAAACGCGTGCGAGGTGCTGAAATGTCAGAAGGTGGGTATATCCAGGGCGCAGGCGATGACAGTGAAGGGTGGGCATGTGGTCTCACGCCGGATATATTTTGGAACAATCGAGAACTTCTCCTCAAATCCAGGGAGGAGACGCTACCGGAATTGATTGGAGGCTTGGTTGAGAAGGAACGTCAAACTTCTTCAACTGAGCAGGCAACATTGATCAAACCAACCAAAAACATCTTTGTTGGAAAAAGCGAATCGCTCAACGTCCCGGATATCCCCTTCGACTTGATCATTGATTGTCATGGCGACCCCAACCTGTCACAGGGTCCAATATTAAATCTGGGCTGCGTCGCAGGTAAACTTGGGAGCCGCAATTTACGAAAGGTTCTAGACAAGGTTGAGAAATTCGTATCCCGCAACCTAGAAGAAGATTTGTCCCAGTCTCTGGTCATAGTATGCGATACAGGGAAAGATTTATCTGTTGGAACAGCTCTTATGATAATCTGTCTGTTCTTCGACGACGATGGTAGGTGCTCTCTCCATCTGCCATCACATCTCAGGGGGCTGGGCTCACCAACTAGGGTCCTACATACGATTGCAATCCGGCAAACCCATTAACAAGCAATATATCCGTCAGCGGTTGGCATGGATAGTGTCATCAAAACATGATGTTAACCCGTCGCGGACCACGCTGCAATCTATCAATTGGTACCTCATGGAAAGACACGACTGAGAAAATAGCGGGCGAATTCCCGGGCCAGAAACTAAGATCCAGCTTTCATAAAATTAGAGATTAAAGCGTCTATAACCAATCAAAATATAGAATGTACTTTTTACTTGTTTTCAACGGCTTGAACAATTGCGCCATCCGCACCCTGGTCCAGGCCGTTGAGGGTTGCCATATCCTCCTCGGCGAGCGCAAAGTCATACAAATCAGCGTTACTTTTAATATTCTCTGGATTATCGCTCTTGGGAAGGGGAACCCATTCCTTCTGCAACGCATATCTCAAGAGAATCTGGGCCGTGGTCTTTCCATATTTCTGCGCTAATGCTACTAGGGTTGGTTCATTGGCTTTATAGTTCCGGACCAGCGGCGAGTACGCTTGGACAACAATTCCATGCTGTTTGCAATAGGCATCGATGGTCTTTTGTTGGCACCACGGATGAAGCTTAACGAAGGAAGCGTCCTGTTAACCAAAAAAAATTCTCTTCCTTGTAAGAATGGGATGATGGATTGCAGCGTACCTCTATTTGATTGACATGCGGCGGCCATGTTTTCGCATAGGCCTTCATTTCCTCGATGTGCTTCACGCCATAGTTACTCACGCCAATGCTTCTTGTTTTTCCTTCTTCCAGTAACCTTTCAAGAGCAAGCCACATTTCTTTTCTACCAGCCGGCCCCGCGCTTGCTGAATGGATCAGAAACAAGTCGACATATCCGTCGTTTCCACCAATCTTTCGTACACTGTCCAGTACTTTCTCATACGTCGCCTCCGGAGATCCTGCCGTTGATATTATCTTTGTAGTTACGAAAATGTCTCTCCTATCCAGCCCAGAGTCGCGAATCGCGTTCCCGACCTCCGCCTCATTCCCGTAGAATTGAGCAGTGTCAATGTGGCGGTATCCGACTTGGAGCGCGGTGATGCAGGATTTCTCGCATAAGTGTTTTGGAGACTTGTAGACGCCGAAGCCCAGGCGAGGTATTTTCACCGATGAGTTAGGGAGTGGGAGGACGTCTGTGATCACAAGGGGTTTGGGGACCGGAGGAGCCATGGCTGGGATTGATCGGTCGGCACGTTGATCTTGTGATTAACGTCTCGATGAAAGCTCCCGAGATATCCTTGTCCTGCCGGCTTTCGTTCAACCAGGGATTCAAAACCTTGATACGGTGAAATTGATATGATGCCTGCCCCCCTTTCGCTTTGGCTTTCCCTCGATGCAACTTGTCGAGCAGTTTCGGTGGGGCAGCTTGGCGGTGACTTGATTTCGGGTGGTCGAAGGGTCAGGCAACGCTGGGTAATTCGGGTATGGACGACTTATTCTTCAGCAGGAGATACGTGTGACTCTGTAGATATTGTGCTGCTTCAATATCTTGAAGCTGAGCTATTTCCCTTTATTAGGAGGTGATGAAGTAGGACGAAATGATATCACGCAATTTTGCCCAGCGATTACAATGGAAGCAAACAGTGCAAAATTGGTCCGTTCTCGTGCAGCAAATGGTGGGGCAATCCTTTTGAAATCCCCTTCAACACTTTGGTAATAAAATAACTGCGAGGAGAGTTTTACGGAGTATGTTACGAGACTGTATTTTTGAGTCGGGGGGTCTTGCCCACTATGCCGGCAGCTTTCCGGTTTGATTTCTCCACTATCGGCTACATACAGCCTTCTCGCTGCAGTTAACTGAATGCTTCTCCGTGCCAAAGGTCCTCATCAATATCCTCCAGAGTTCTCCGTATTTCGCATATGCGAATGACCATCAATACCATGAACCAGCACGGCAATTGGCCAATGATACCGCGTTCCTTCGCGTTCCATGTGTATGCGCTAAACACGGACGCTAAAAACTCTTGGCATTTGTGCCAAGATATGACGCAATTGGATCCATTTTTTGCAACTTTGAATTCAACAGACAGCCAATGAGATGTGGCGCCAAGCCTCTACACAAAAGACGTTTTCCAGCTCCTTGCCGTGGGCGGCGCGCCAGATGTTTGGCATGGGATGCTCTGTGAAGACCGTAGCTAAAGATGAAAATGTCGTGACGTACTACGATGCTGAGTGCTGGTTATTCCATAGAAACCTCGAAAATGCAAGTTTCTAACTCCCATTTTCTTCCATTCCAATCATTGCACACAGTACCTGCGGGCACGGCGGTGATCTTCTTTTTCCGCACAAGGTACCAATGACGAGGGAACTGGCTTCCGTGGTATAGAGAAGCCAGACTTCAATGATTCGGATGGACTCAGGAGATTCGTTGTCGCAGTTCCCTCCATATCGTGCGGCTTCTTGTCCTCCAACGTGCCACTTCCTTCGTTACGCTCCAAAGTCTGTTCTGCGTCCTAGAGCGTGGTCCTGTTTAGATATGGGAAACCCCCTATCCTGTCTCCGGGCATAGGTGTACAACTTACCGCCTTATTTAGAGCTGCAAGGAGCTCAAGGGCATGGTCCTTATTCCATGCAGTGAGGACTCTCTTAGACACTAGTGATGTGAAAATCACGTCCCACATACTCAGCATGGTGAGCAATACGCTGAACGCCACGACTATCAGAACTCCAAGACTGCTCAGAGTGGTGTGGTCGGCAGAGTTGAATTTAATAATCGAGCACACGCCCTTTAGCACCGGTAACAAGTCCCAGGTGTTGTCGACACGCGTCCTATCCAGTCCCGGAGTCTTCACGAATCTTAGCACTGCCAACTGAATCCGTGCAAGTGCCACTTGGAACCAGCGCTCCACTTCGACTTTCCATTGCCCTGGGACAAGACGAAGTTGGTTTGAGTTGGAGAGGAAGCGGGTGGCGAGCAGTGCAGAAGCTCCGCGGTTGCTAATCGATTTGAACAGGGTCGAATGTACCATCGCCAGATTAACAGCGGCGAACGCAGTTTCAATTACAGTGTCTGAAAAGCGATCGCCGGCCAAGATATGATACGAATTGCTGACCGTATAGACACCTTCCCACGACGTGCAGAAGTTTGTATACTTGCTGCAATACATTACCATTTCCTGGCAAGCGACGCTGTTTATGGCCCGTCCGATTCTGTAATACGTATAATTGTTCCCCCTGGTATCGATCGTGTCTATTCGACGATCGAAGTTAAAGAATGCGTCGGAGAAGGGTGCATAGAACACAACTGCCTCTCCCATCACCGTGATCACTGATACTTGCATGGAGGGTCTCTCCGGTTGCAGGAGCGGAGATGCTAAGCTAGCATCCACCGCTAGTTCGGTGTAGACTTCGTACGTCTGAGAAAGGGCGTTGCGGTAATGGGTGGTCCAGTTCGTGTGCTTGTCTAATTTAACATGCGAAAACGCCCGGATCTCTTCTGGATCATCGAGGACACTCTTGAGCAGCCCCAGTGACTGGATCGCCTGCTCATTGGTGTACATGAAAGGTTCTGCAGGTAGGGGTGAGCAGATCGACCGACGGCGAACGAAAAGCTGATCTGACAAAGCGGAGTTCAATCCAAGGTCAGAGAACGAGATATTCCCAGAGTCGAATGACACTGCAATCCCATCAGCCTCTGCGCAGACATCCTTGGAGAATATGCATTTGTTGTTCTCGATTTTATGAGGGAGAAATCGTTTAAATAACAAGTTGCATCCGACAGCACCGTCGACTTTGGAGGTGTAGCAGCGTCGGACATAATCATCGGCTTCTAACGTTGAGTTCAGGTCGAGCTCGTTGAGCGTAGCAGACGCTTCCCGTTGTTCCATCGACGATGCATTCAGTGGCGGAATAGCCTTTGCCAACCAGCTCCCGCAGTGATTCGTTGTTATCGACCTTACAGTCCTCCCAGTGGCGATCTGCGACGTCAGGATTCCGAGAACGACAAATATACCCCAGTGTAAAAGAGATAAGGAGATCAGAACTAGTTTTCCTCGTTTGGCGGGATCGCGCTTCTGCATCGCAAGGCCCAAGAGAGCAAAGAGACTACCACCTGCGGTCTCTGAATTTCGCAGAACAACCTGTTGTTGTCGGATAGAGGATGTGCGAGAAGAAGGCTTGGCCTGGCAATACTGGAGTACATAGTGGACTGCTGAACACCACAGTTTCCAGCTGCGACCGGCAGAGAGGGTGACTAGAACTGTAAGTGCAGCCAACAGCATGAGGGCCTGGTTTGTTTTCAAAGTTAGTCGATATTTGCCAACGGCACTGCCATCATAGTCGATCCAAAAGCCAGTATAGACAACGTCGGAGGTTGCGGAATTATCGTCGAGACGGGCCATTTCCCAGGTGCTTCTATGACTTTGTTCATACCGATTATTCTCCGGGACTCCAGGTGACCGGATATATGGGGATTTAACATGAGTAAAGAAGCTTCCGAGCAAGCTCTATCAGTTGTCGAGACGAGGCACACAGCAGCCTTCACTCCAGAAAAGGAAAGGCGAGAGTCCTCAGAGTTCCAGGCTCATGCTCCAAACATAGTTTATCCCGTTGAGACTCCAGAACTACTGCATGAGCTATTGCAGCTTCGCTTCATGCGCACCTATCAAACAACGCCATCAAGATCAGGCTTCCAAACTTCTGATTTTGTGGCTCAGACATGCAGAGGCATCTCGTGATATCCCTCCGATAGGAGTTCAAACAGCTTGTGGAAGGGAGAGCTGCCAACAACACATTGCAGAGTTTGTGCCCTGCTTGGCATTTCAAGCGATATCTTACAAGGGGCCGCAGAATGCCCAGAGGGTCTCGAAGCAGCGCCCTTTTCCTCCACGTAGGCACGAACGAGAGTCAAATTAGTGAAGCCCTCAGCTGGGTTAATGGTTAAAAAGATGAGCTACCAGCGGCCACCCCCTATCACCACATCAACATTGAGGTGGCCCTCCGAAACGATATAAAATATAGTATCAACCAAGTAGTGGTTACTTTACCGTACTAAAGGCGCCGCTGACCATGTCTCTCATCTCTTTCGAGGATTCATTCGCTTGGGAGGGAAAAGCGGAGTAGAAGCTTTTCGATAAAATGGACGGCTGCTTTTAGTTTGGACTCATATAGCCACTTCAAACGAGCCTTCGGCTCGACGACGAATTTGACGCCCGTGGAATGGGGTAGTTAGGCCCTTATTTTCCCTTAATATCCTGGGAATGTCGTAGATGCCCATAGCACCTGGGATATGTTTACCGATGGCGTTCCCCTTACTGCCTATGCACCCAAACAGCCGAGGAATTTCGTGCGGTATCTCATTCGACACGTCAGTATCCTCAAGGTCCATTCTCTCACAGTCTCTGTGGGTACTGTGCTCTTTCATTGCGTATGAGGACTGCTAAAATAATAGTATGAACCTCAAGAAGATCATGGAATTGTATGGGAACGAGAGGAAGCGAGCCCGGGGAACTCACCCCACGCTAGGGCTTGTTTACGAACTGCAAAATACGGGCCAGATCTTTATCCACCGGAAATTAAGGTTTGTAGCATCGCTCACGCACTTGGACCCATGATGGTCGGGAATGTGTTCCTCCTGCGCATCCCCGGACTTTCGTAGGGCTGCGGTTTAATTGAAGCGGACACGACCGTCAATCGAAGGCTGAGGTACGGAATACTCACAAGCCATTTCACCCCATCTACTCCAATTTATACTATGTCGCATAATATGTCGTACCTCGGCCCAAGAGGTGAGCAATACACCGAGTCTCCCCGATATCGATAAAAGGCCACCTGCCCAATCCCAAAATACTAACCATTGTCCTCGAACCCCAGCCTTCAACCATGAACAGAGCAGCGACGCTGAAGCCGAATATGACCGCCTCCGCGACTTAGCCAGACAAGAGGCAGCAAAGCGCTCCTCATGCTTTGAGCGCGTTCGTTTCTCCTACCCAACTCCCCTTCACTCTCGCCCCAGTACCCCGTATATGCGTACCCTGATCAGCATGAAAGCTGACAGGCCCCTTAACAGTCCCAACAAGCCTACGCCGCCGGCGATGGCGCCCTCGCCAAAGAACTTTCCGAGCAAGGAAAGGCCCACGGTCGAAAGATGGAAGAATACAACCGACAAGCGTCCCAGTTTATATTCCGCGAGAACAACGCCAACGGCCGGGTGCCGGACGACACGATCGATTTGCATGGTCAATTCATGGAGGAAGCGGAAGATATTTTAGAAGAGCGGATCAAGTATGCGCAGGCGCATGGGCAGACGCATCTTCACGTGTAAGTTTGGTGCCGCTCGAGCGTTGCACGCGTTGAAGAGCGAATAACACGAGGGAGGGAAACTTACGAGATAAAATGCAGGATTGTTGGCAAGGGAAACCACTCAGCCAACCACGTCCAGAAGCTGAAACCGCGCGTGGAGCAAGTATGCCGAGATCTCGGCTTGCAATATTGTACGGAAGAAAACGCGGGAAGGATATACGTCAATTTGACCGGTGGACCGGCGCAGATGCCGCCCTATGAATCTCATCATCCTCCTCCACATCAGCAGCCACAGCATCACTACCCGCAACATGCTCCCCAAGCCCATGAGCAGCAGCAGCAGCAGCAAGGAAATACTTTTGTTGAAGAGGCCGTTCGTAGGGCCGTGCCTACACTTTTACGAAAGTTGGAGAAGGCTTGCTGCATCGTTATGTGAGACCTACGTCGATGTGTCGGGGCTTTTGTTTTGGAATTGCTTTTGCAATCTAGACTTCTTAGGAATTTCGATAAGTGGATAGCGGGGGTGAATTCTCGGGATTTTATTTTCATATTTGCTTTAGGGATTTTATTTTGTTGATACCCTTAGTTAGGTTTGCGGGTCGCTTAGAAATATATACCAAACACCAGCTTAAAGGCGATCAGCCTAGGAAACAATATCCTCGAACTCGCTTGCTTCTATCCGGAAATCTCAATATCGGATATGTACGCAAATGAGTGAGTTGCCCCCGCCTAATGACAATTTTACGCGAAACACCATTGCCCATACCATAAGGAAAACAACCTTGATTCAAAGGGGCTCTCCAAACCAAATATCCTTCCCGCACCATTTGATATCATATGAAAACACCCTCCCCCGAGCCCTGACCCATACAGGAAAACACCGGGACGTATGACCACCGAAAAATATGAGCTATGCATAAGAGAAAAGAACTTTAGACCTCCAATCATGGCTTCAGGGTTGGCTCAACGATTCTGTTCAGAATCGACCGCACCATCTCCCCGCTCCCTTCAGCTTTGGAACTCTGGCCATCTTGCGCTTGCTCTAAGGTAGTTTCAAGTTCGTCAATCACCACTAAAGCATTATCACGCAGCTGTGAGACCACTTTTCTCGTATACGCAAAACTGCCGGTGCTCTCCATATAATTAATCGCGTACCGCTTGACCTCGTCGTCTTTCGTTTTTTGTTTTAGGATATTAATAAGTTGTAGGTTATCTGGCTGGGAGCGGATCGAGTGGATAATGGGGAAGGAGAACTTTCCCTCTGTTAGGTCTTCGCAAAGGCCTTTATTTTTGCTGTAGGTTGGGTTGGAGAGGTTGAGATAGTCATCGCAGATCTGAAAGATGAGGCCCATCAAGTTCACGAGGGGGATGCAGTCACTGTCGAGCAGTTGTTAGAAAACATGGGTCTGAGCTGGTATAATGTCAGAGCTTACACGGAGACTTCGCTCTCAGCCTGCATGAGCTTGATAGCCAATCTGAACAATCCTCCCGTCTTGTTTCCCACCATCTCTAGGTAGTCCTCTTCGGTCGGACATGTGAGCGTGTCTCTCCAAAACAAATCCATTCCCTGGCCTCGATGTAGATTTAATAGTTCCGTAGTAAATATTCCGATTGCATCGGCATTTCGCAGCTTCTGGATCTCATCCAATGCTAAGAAGTATATATAATTTGCTGAATTAATCGTTTGCGCGGTCCCGAAAATATTGTGCGCTACCGGTACACCTCGTCGCAGGACCGAAGAATCTTCGACATCATCTACACTGCACATCAAAACCGGACTATTAGCTCTATTCATTATCATTCAATGTGTCTCTGGGCCGTGAGAGCAACAGAAAAATAGCGTACACCTACAGCAGAGAAGCTGTATGAAGCATCAACACGACCTTGGTGATAACAGCCAGGCTCTCCTCGGGGACTTGTAGCCAGCGATTAAACGCCGCGATGAGCTGTCTGCGTATGTCCTTGCCCGGCTGGTGTACCATATATTCATAAGGACCCAGCAGGATCCTCTCCTTCTCCGCGGACCACATTCCGTCGATATTGCTGATCACCGTTTTGGTACAGATCTTCGCTTCACCGGGGGCGCCGCAGCCGTTGGTCGAGCTGGGAGATAAGGTGCGGTTGTGCGACTTTCTAGACGAAGATGCGATCCATTCTTCCTCGGAGACAGGTTTCAGTATTATATTTTGTGCGGGAGGCGAGTAGGTTGCTCCATTTGTGACACCGGTTGAGCTAGTGCGGGGAGGGATCGGGTTCGGGGACGAGAGTGGTTCAGGCATGCCGGCGATCGTTTCGAGAGTCCCTTAGCAGAGGAAATAAGGCCTGGTACAGAGTGAACTCTTGAACCGAACGCGCTGGGCTGCGGGCGCGTATGCTCTGAGAATCGAGCCCTTTGAGAGCTGCCTGTTTTGGTGGAGTTCGTATCAACTGCGGAGAAACGTGCTTTGCCTGGATGCGGGCTGCTTCAAGCGGGCATCGGGGTTTAAATAACACGGCAACAATTAAGAATGCAGCACGGACGGAATCAGGGCGCAAAAGATGATGTGCAGGAAGAGGGGTGTCAACCAGGGAAAAATAGGGTGGAAGCAGAAGTGGTCTCAACCCTACTGGCATCACATGCCACCCACCCCCCCCCCAAACAGATGATGACGATGATGCTAAGAGCTTGGGCCACAACATTCAACGAACTTGCTCAGCTCTACGGAGTACAGGCTAGTTATTCCACCCAGCTCCAGTGTCATCACAAGAACAACTAGATAAGTGAAAACTTGGAAATAACAATGTCATGGAGAGATCTTCAATTTACACAGCTTAGCAGCGGCATAACCGATTGTGTGTATGCTCATGGAGGTAGGCAGTCCAGGCAAGGTCTGGAATCTTATCTCCCAGATTTCTATCTCCTGCTGGTCTCATGAGATAGTTTACATAGATATGATCTTCACAGTAACAGGCAGTCTTGTACCCCGCAGCCTTTGCTCCATCCTAGGAAGCTCTGAGTCCTCACGGCAGGCTGGACGAGACTCCGACTTATCTTCAGAACAAGGCACCTTGGGCATTTCAAATGCAGTCATGTGTCCCGTGTCTCAAAAGACAATACCTTTTGATTTCTCAGGTGGTGATTATCAGGAGCACTCACCATCTTAAACTTTATATTATTCTTGGCGGCTGGTCCAGCCAAAACTAGGATTACCAGTGAGGCTGGACATCAGGACTTCCTGTACTCTACTCCGTATACCGCTCTAGAATTCCGGAGGCAGTTCGTCGGCCAGAGAGCTGTGGGGATCTGCGCTACTCAGTGCTCCATACGTCATGAACATATAGGATGCCTCTAGGGCAGAAGTGAAAAGCCATTGTTCTAGCACTGGCCAGCGGAACATTACCCATTCTGAGCCTTCCATATGACCAGCATTTGCATTGGATTATCATATACTCGATATCATCAGCAGAGCACAACAGCTTATGGAAACTTCCCGAGAATCCCCAGCCCACCTTCTTCAGCGCGCGATCTCCGTCTTCGCCATTGGCCGACAGTTTCTGGATCGAACAAGGTGCTGTGGCTTGAGATGTTGAGACATCAAGGCCAGGATGAGTAATGCATCTTCTCCTTCATAGGTTGAACAACAGTCCTCTTCAATGTATTCGAAGAATGCTTCCAAGGGTTGTGTAGAACTGGGATATGCAGGATATTTCTTCCACCCCCCAAGCGAAAGGTATCCTTAGAAACGTTTGGTACTGGTTCCCTGTGACTACTGTTAATAGGATTGTAGTTGTCTTGGGAAGCTCGAAAAGGGCATCGGAAAAAGAAAGCTCTGAAGATGTGTCCGTTCGGCGATAGATTGTGGGCAGGTGGTGACCGTGGTATTCGAAGGAACATAGTCCTAGCAGTAATTAACCAAGCTCCGCCAGCGTAAAGATCAGATCCATGAAGTATTCGAAGAGGCACAGGAGCCTCCATGGTTACAACAAGCCGGCCGGCTCAGATGCAGATTCGTAGATGCTTTTTAACTATAGAGTTAAGCGGCAGATCCTCATTGATGAGGTGTCGGGAAACCGTAATAATTATTTAGCTGCACTGTTGCGTCGAACAAATTGGGCAGTCCAACAGGCGAGAATTCTGATTGACGGCCCGAGCCACCCATCAACACATGCCATGGGTGGATTCTACCCCACAACAATAACTTTTCCTTTCGTTCCAGACAGCCGACGGGTTCGACTCCCATCTCTTTAAACCATCTACGGATTCCGTTAACGTATCATATCGGTGGCATCTAACAACAAGCACCTTGTGCTCATGTTTGGCACAATGTAGTGAGATTGTTTTCATCATTGCGCGTATGGCAGACTCTGCGCGGAGTATGGAGTATGATTTCAACTCGCACGGCTGACCAGGACAATCCCTGCCCTGTCAAAGTTTTGCATCATCCTTTCCTGTTCTCCAGGCCCCTTGTCCCTTTGTTCCTTTGGATCCTATTGGGAGGCAGCGGGATTTGGCCACTTGCTCGGCTCAGACTTCCATTTTGACAAGGACAGGTTGAAGAACAAATTTTGAGGCATTTGCATTCGAGTACATTATCATTCTCTGAAGGAATTAATAGAAAATGGATTACTAATGGTAAAAAAGCCAGCCACACGCATCTCAAAACTCGCCTCTTGCTAATATGATAGACAGGAAGAGGGTATATGAAAAATAAACATATGAAGCGAACTGGGTAAGGATTTTAGGTTTAGGGAAAATGCGACCAGTCATCAAAGATTTAGGCGCAAAGAAATTTGAGCTTTGTGCCACGACCGTATTCTCCTTGACACCAAAACATCAATTGGTGTTCTGGAATTTGGACGATGAAAATCCTGTTCAGGCCTTGGATACACCTGCATGCTCCTCTCTACGCTGGTTCACATGTCCAGGCGCATCCAAGTGGTACAACTCAGGACAAACAGCGTGCTTTCTCATCAAGATATACCTCTTGAACCACCATGGAAGCACCTTGGTGAGCTGGTACTTGGCGTGGGTTCGCGTCGGCACGGCAAAGACGTAATCAAGTTCTTCGAGGGTACGCTGCTTTGTCTCAGGCAGGAAGAGGAAGATGAGGATTAGCGCTACAATGTTCAGACCAGCGTAGAAACCGAATGCACCAGGCGGTGTGAACGCTCGGATCAAACGTTTAAAGGTAAGTGCGAGCACGGACGCCCAAAAGTTATTCGTTGCCACAGCCCAAGACATACCGATTTCACGATGGGACAGCGGGAAGACTTCAGCAGAGTAGGTGAAGGGAACTGGACCTTCACCCGGGGAGTAGAAGGCTGCAAAGAGGTAAATGAAGAAGGCGATGAGGCCGAGATGGGCCTTGCTGCTTTCTGGGATGAAGAAACACATTCCGGCAGCCAGTAGTGTCCAGAACATTTGAGGGAAGGTGAATAGGAGGAGTCCTCGACGGCCAAATGTGTCGATAGTCCACACTGCCGGCCAGGCGAAGAGGAAATTTATCAGGCCATATCCGAACGAAGCAAGAAGAGCTTCGATGTTGGAAGCCCCGGCTTGTTCAAAAATGGAAGCGGAATAAAAAGCGATGATATTGACTATTCAACAGGACCTCTGTCAGGCCATTCTCTACTAACTTTATCAGGGCAATCGACTTACTTCCACACATTTGTTGGGCGATCATGACAATACCCGAAGCCTGAGTTGCACGTCGGATGCGGGGGATAGTAAACAGTTCAATGAACCGCGTGAGCATATTGTTTCTCTTTGAAAGGCCAGATTCTTCAAGAACGACTTCTTCATGAACGAGCTGAGCATGAACATAATAAAGATCTCTGGCGGCTTGCAGGGGGGTATTACGGAGTCGAAGAAGGGACGCGTATGCTTGTGCATACTTGTCTTTCTTGAGGAGCCAACGAGGTGATTCTGGGCAGAAATAGATACCTAGCACGAGAGGCACAGCTGGAATGAACGCAGAGCCCAACTGCAGTCGCCAGGTGATTGCTCCAACGTTGACAACAGCCAGGTTTGCGCAAGTTCCTAGGAAAATTCCGAACGCCGTCCATACTTGCCACGACATGACAAGACCACCACGAACATTGGCAGGCGTATTCTCTGCGGAGAAGACTGGAACAGTGACCTCTTTCAGACCCATACCGATCCCCAGCATAATACGGCAGACAACAAGTTGCGGCCAATTCTGCGTGACAGCAGATCCGATTGGAGCGAGAAGACTGAAAATCGCGGCGATAAAGATAGTGCCTCGACGGCCGATCCAGTCATTGATGGGATCCGAAAGCCAGCCAGCGCTATCGATCGTCAGAATGAGCCTCAAAACGGTGGTGATCCCAATAACACAATTATACTCACAACAGAGCGATAGAAATGTAGGGAATCGAGTTGACAAATCCCACAATCCATGCATTCCGATCGCAGAGTGCCTCATCGGAACATCCTGAGTCGGGGATATTAAATTCAACCGGGAAGGAGAGATTGGCACCGTTGGAGCCTGTTGCGCATGTATCAGCAAAGTGGCGCAAAGTATACTTGGCCCTCAAATCCACAAGCTAACTATTTACCTGTCTGATCCCAGCCTTGAATAGCTGCTGCGATGGAGTTAAGGCCGATGGTGTAGTACAGAGCCCATGGGTGTCTCCAGCGATGGGTCACTTCATTGCGCAGAGCCTCCCGATCGGACTCATCAAGCTCGGGGATGTTCTCGAAGTCGGCCGGATTTTGGGCTACCAATGCTCCCTTTTGGAGGAGTGGCAGGATATCGGTCATGTTCTTTTTGCTTGCAAAATTTTCAACATCTCTGAGCAATTGGTCCTTTGGGATGTCGCTCAAGGGATTTCGAATCCTGTGGATACATTATCAGATTTGTATTCCTCGCGAAGTTACTCATCTTTTGATGGAGATTTGATCTATCCAGTTACGCACTCCCCAGTAAGGTTTTGAGACATTGCTGCAACGCTCTCCCGGCGGTCGAAGCCGCTGACGGAGTCATGGCTGTTACGGAGGTTAGCTGCTGGGTCCTAACGCCATTGCGGACGGGTTCGACGCACCGAATAGCTTCCTTGTCAGCCATTTTAATCAAGAAGAGCCAGGTTGCTGACGACTGGTGGGAGCAAGATAGAAAACAGAAAGGAAAAGGGTAGGGCGACCACCGGCGTCAACGGCAACCAAAGCAGTTGAAGCTCCAGGAACAAGAAAGACGGGAAAAAAAAGAAAAAAAACAACGCGGCTGGAGCAAGCTATATGTATGTATTTACATTTGTACGTACTCCGTACGTACAGTACATATATTCTGTGGTTCTGGGCTAAAAGCAGCCTTTCTGCCGCACTGATCCCTGTCGGGTTTAAAGCTGAACCGAAGAGGATGGATAAATGAAAGAAGGCGGGATTGTTACATACACTGTATACGGAGTATGGAGGACACAGGTTACCCAACCATGGTCCGCGAATAGAAATTAACGCTTCCCGCGCCTTCTGGAGAATTTCTTCCAGGTTGTGGGTGTCATTACAGCACCAGACCGGTTGGGGGCCAGGGCTGAGAGCTCTGGACAAGCGCACCATGGAAACAACTCGGGATGTACCGTTCTCTGTAAGGATTTACATGTCGAACGCACGGCGGCTCATGGAGAGGGACAAAACCCTAAACGGCCCTGAAAGATATGGGAATGTTTTCGCCTTCTATCCCTTCGAATCTGCTTCCTAATGATGTCTCTGTACAGGGAACCTTTCCATAACTGCTGGAGACTGCTCCATACGGAGTACAGCCCACAAAGAACATCGTTTATTTGTGAGCCGCAACGCTATACGGGTTTCGGTGTGGCGGCTCATGGCTAACGCCAAGGCACAGGGGGGTGGCGTGACGGTTGGTTTGCGTGAAGAGAAGCTTCTTGTCCCCATCTGTCTCCGGTCAGATTTTCATAGTGGCCGGCATTTGCAGAATCTTGTCGCTGGCCGTTTTTGGGCGATCAGACATATAGCATATTGCTGTCGAAGGGATGCCTTTTTTTTTTGGTACTAACAATACAGTACAGCATCTGTGATGTCGTTACAAAGTCACAGCCCAACAACCCCCGCACGGATCGCGCCGAATGACTGCTCCACTTCCTCAAGGCAAGGGTTAAACTGCTAATGACAGCCATAAGGCAGATTTCGAGTCCACGCCTCGCAACATCCCTGAATGGTTAAAAGTCGCACGCTTGGAACTGACTGAGATTCGTACATGGAACATAGGAGGTTCAGAACTCCGCACGAGAACTTTCACCGAAACTTTTTGACCTCGCATGCAAGGGACAAGCGTAACTTTTCAGCCTTCCAGATTCCTTTTTCTGGCGCTTTGTCGCTTGGCGGATTTAATTCGCCATGTTCGGAATAATTTCTATTTCGAGCACCAGTACGGAGTACTCCGTACTCCGTAATCATTGGTCTTTTGTCCTTTTACTTTCTTTTAGGCAATTTGGCGCCCCGTCACAAATCAAATGTATGTACATATTTGAACGCGAGAGACTGACGCTAAGAAATTAAGCTTGGCCGGGGAACACACCGAAACGGAAACGATCGCCGTTCCCGGCGTGGAGTGACGGGTGATAAGCTCTAGGTAGGCTTAGCGCGAGCTATGGCCCACTTCTCTTCTTTGTTTGGCTGAATGGACTATTATCACCGGTCTCTGGCAAGCTTCGTCTCTTTCATGCTTGGATCCTTTTCTGAAAGGTATAATATTACTGTGGAGTACTAGCGGATCGCAGAGGAGCAAATGCCGAAATATCCCTCAACCACACGAGACCTCTACCTTTCATGGGGAAAAGGGCGCGCAAAAATGAAACCTTCGACGAGGCTTCTTCAGAGTATTTCTTGCGTGGGGTGAATATTAACAGTTGTATGGAGTCATTACCCTGGTGGTTGGGCTGAACTGGAAGAGAAACTGGGAACTTGGCTGTGGTGAGGCCATGGCCCCGGAACACCGAGGGGATAAAGTCCTGTCAGGCGACCCGACTTTATACATATGGACATGCATGTTATGGGGCTAAGTCTCCGCCCCGTGTTCTGGGTGTCTTTGAAGTTTAGTTTTTTGTCTTTATCTGTTGGTAATGCATGCCCTGCGTATTTCGATGTCGCTGAGATTCGTTACTTCTTATCACCCGAGACGGATCTGGATGCCCGGGAATTGGTCCAAGTGTTGCTCAGAAATGCAACCCTTCGGGGCTCCTCCGTCCGTGCGAGATGGCACACACTGGCATGTGTACTACGTGGGGAGTACATGGATGACGGTTTTGGTTCAGCACGCGGAGTAGCTTCCACTCAGCAGAAACCAAGTGTCTTGGAAACATCAAACCGCAAGCAAGCTAACCCCCTGGTAAAGTATCATAATCACATGAAGTTCGCTCAGCCTAGTTTGTGCATGGCGGCCGTGAAGATTTACATTGAAGCAGATAGTCCGTAGACATTGCGCAGTTTTTTGGAGCCGCCACCGATGCTAGAACAATGACATTATTCGGAGCGAATCTTGCAACAATGTAGCGACAAAGTCCTGTAGACCAATGCGATACGAGCCATGCTGCGGCAAGGCGGTTTTCTCGGATCTCAATGCCGCAATCAGATGGAGTTCTCTCGGTTCTCAACTTACCTTGCTCTACTACTCGGAATTCGAACTAACAAACCTCTCTATGCTACTTTTTTTTTGGTCGAAGGCTGAGGGCAACTACGGAGCATGTAGTGAGTACGTGTGCGTACTCCAGCATTGGTTGCTCAATCCTATGTATTTACAAATTCTCTCAAATCCCTATCGTAGAGGGAACGAGCTTCAGTTCAACCGAGAAACCTGCTCCAGATGCCTTCCAGAGCTGTTCTTGAACCCGATTTAAAGTTCTGTCCCTCACTTGAAGCAGCACTGGTCAGCGATCATCTGTCGCGGCACATACGACTATGGATATTTCGTATCGCCCCTTTGTGGATCGCGGGATTCAACGGTACTTTACGCCAACAGAATTGTTGACGAAAGGTCTGTTCCTTTTGACATATATTGGATCTGCCCGATCGATTGAATCTGAGGGCGGCATTGGGGTACCAATAGATGGATTGGAGAAGAGGTGCGGGCGGCGAAGATGCAATTTGTGCAGTACATATGTACTCCGTACATACAGTATGGAGCACTTCCCACAGAGGGACATGTAACCGTGGATTATTGGCCTCATGTTCCTGAAAACAATGCCTTTGTATACATGAAACAAGCGAGTGGTGTCGGGTGGATAGTATTGACGGGGCTGGCGGTCTGACAGGCGATTAGAAGCACGGGGGGGGAAAAAGCCCATCTAGTTAATCATAATGCATGGCAGGCCATGTAAGCACGCCGGAGAAGGCACTAACTAGTTATGTGAGGAGAGTTTTGTCATTATTTTCCATTGACGGAGTCTTGGAGCACCCAAATCGCTAACCAGCAAGTAAAAGGCGCTTTCCGTTCTGGACTGTCAAGTCGAGACAATTTTGCCTTTGTACCTTGCATATCCTAATGGGCACAAGGTTTGGGCCACAAAATTCAAGTCTTAACTGTGATGTCTGTCCGTTGCTTGTGGTGTTCAAGCCTCCAACTTTCTACCGTTATTGGACAATTGGCCGGTTGTCAAGTTTATGTTTTAGGAAATGATCCTGCGCGATGTCGTCCTGTGCTTCATTCTCAAACAAACCATTCTGCTTTCAATCACCGTAACATTTCATGCAAATGGGTTTGGAGAACTCATCGACACAAGCTATGATAATTCATCCAATACTTGGAAAAGAACCCGCAGTGGCTGAATCGGGCCAGACGAGATGGCGCAGATCCCGTAACGTTAAAATTTGCAATATCCGTTAACTGCCACACTTTAAAAAATCCCGCCCATCATCACTGCGTCCGCTCTCATCGCGTCCCTCGGGGCATATGGAGAAGATCTCATCGGTTGGCTCAAGGAAGCTGAGTTTCCGCTGTAGACTGTGGATCGCCGTCCAGCGCCCGCGGGATGTGAGCCGCTGCAGAGTTTACATAAGCAGTTGCCGTGCCAGCAACCCGGCCTATTTACGTTTAGCTGATTCAAGTACGGAGTACGGAGTACTCTGTAAGCCGCTCAACGTCCCGAGCATATCTCTCGAGTCGGGATGCCAGGCATCCAAATGGAATAACCATCGCGTCTTTTATTTTCATTTCCTTTCCCTGTCAATTCTTAATTTTTTATATTGTTTCTTTTGGAGAAATAGGTTTTACCGACAATACTCATAGGCGTCACTTAGTCGCGACACGGACATTCCAATGGAGGCACTTCTAGCGCATTCTTTTGACTATCTATCATCGTATGATCAGACTAAGATTCGCAAAGGGCTGCGTCAAGTCGAAGGCCTACTTGCGCAAATATGTTTATCAAGATCAAAAGTATCAGCATCGGAAAAGCGACGGTCGATGATTACCCTAGGAGCCGCGCCCCCTCTGCCCAAATCCTTGAGTGAACTCTGCGACGACCCGGCGTTTAGGGAGTTTTATAAGCTGCAGGAAGGGTTTCAGTGGAATGGTATATATATATATATATATATTTTTCTCTTTCTTTAGTTTATTTATTTATTGTTTCAGTTGGAAAATAATCTCCGAGACTGACTTGTCGGATACACCGGGATAGTTGCATTACGATTGATTTCGTGCCTTGAACACCTCCTAGGTCGCGGGAGCAATGGTGCTAATGACCTCTTGATTATTGCTGCTCTGGATTTAATACAAGGTGTCTTGCTCCTTCACCCACCATCTCGTGCTCTATTCGCCAGGGAAGTTTACATGAATCTTCTCCTCGACCTCCTCGAGCCCGCCAACTGCCCCGCAATTCAGTCATGTACCCTCCTTACACTCGTCACCGCTCTCCTTGACAACCCCGCGAACACACGGACGTTTGAAGAGCTTGATGGCCTTTTGACTATTACATCGCTGTTCAAACTGCGCTCTACGTCGCGTGAGGTTAAGCTGAAACTCGTTGAGTTTCTATATTTTTACCTTATGCCCGAAGCACCCTCGAGCCCTTCGGCAGGGTCAAATGCGGGAATCCTGGCTCCACCAAAGGGCGGGGGTAAGTTCTCGAGGAGTACAAATGGAGCTGGGGATACTGGACGCGACGGCGCCGCCCAAGACACGAAAACCACGGAGGAAAAGCAAGCGCTACTGGGGAAATATCTAAGCAACGTTGAAGATCTCGTGGAAGATTTGAAAGAAACTGCACCGTTTGGCGGGACGGTGTACTAGGTGGATGCCCATATTTTTTCGGGTTGATTTTCGTGGGTGAATACTTAAGCTGTTAGTACCATTTGCGGTTCTTTGATGGTTTTGGATGCTGCTGCGAGCCTGCGATGGCGTTTTGAGGAGTATGGGGGTTGAATGTATGATATGACTTGACGTGTCGCCGGAAAGAGATCTGTTTCAATATCAAGGTAATTGCTGAAGACTGAGCACGGAAGAGTTTCCTCTCTTGTTTCTTCCTCGAAGAACTCATGAGGTACATGATGTTATATATTGGGTGATGGTTACTAAGCGGTTCTATGGTGTAGCGGTTAGCATAGCGGATTCTGATTGATTTCGGAGTCTTCCGTTGACCCCGGTTCGATTCCGGGTAGGACCTGAACAGCGAAGTTAACTTTTTTTAGCCTGTCGGAGGACGCCGCCTTCATTTTTTTTGTTTGATCTGATAAATTCTTTACTTGACGCCAGGTATGGTAAAGGTCTGCGTGGAGGTGAAGACTCTCATACTTTTTTTTCTCTACCAAAGGAGGATGGGATACTCCGTATGGACCGCCACCTTTTCGATTTGGCCCCTGCTTTGGCTCCGTTTTAGATGCAGGACATCCATGTGAGCATAACCATGACTCAGAGCCGGGTGGGCTCTTGTCGATCGTATTCATGGCTGGTGGATATATAGGTTACAAATCATCAAGAGTCTAAGACTCGAGGGCCGAATGGCAAGATTCCCACCCGGATATTCTGTCCATTTCAGATATAAGCTGCTGAGAGCCCTAAAACGAAGACGAGATAACGACGATAAAAGAGCATTTTCTACTTGTAATAGCCTGATTGCGCCTCGTCCAAGTTGAATAAACCCTATCTGATACGAAAATGGTATCCATGATTTCCAATTCTGCCTTGCCTGCATCGCCTTCTCCTCCCCGAGAAATCAAATACCTTGACACAATCGAGGCATATGACCAATGGGCAGAGGTAGCTACATGGCCTTTACCACCATACACAACACCCTCGCTAAATGTCCCTTCTCGTACAGGTTTACGACACAGATGGAAACTTTCTCCAGCGTCTTGACACGTTGGAACTGCAAACTCTACTCCATTTCTTTCTTTCCCAAGTTAATAGCGCTGAATCTCCACCGAAAATCATCGACTTAGGTTGCGGGACGGGGAGAAATACTCTTTCACTCATCCGTGCTGGTGCGGAGAATCTGAGAATTATAGGACTCGAACCGTCAAATAAGATGCTGGACGTCGCTCGTAAGAAGACCGCCGAATATTTCGCAGAGGCACTTCGTTTCGATCCTAACGAGGCGAAGGATAGAGTTTCGTTTGAGACATATAATCTCTTGAAGGAACCCATTCCGCCACTGTCGGCGTTTGGGGCCAATGGTGTCATCTCGACTTTGGTGTTGGAACATGTCCCCCTCAAAGAATTCTTCAAGGCCGTTGCTGCCATGCTGAGGCCGGGAGGAGTTTTATTGTTGACGAATATGCACTCTGAGATGGGAGGGATAAGTCAGGCCGGGTTTGTGCATCCAGAAACTGGGGTTAAAATCAGGCCAACAAGTTATTCGCATACGGTAGCAGAAACCCTCGAAGAGGCGAATATAGCTGGATTTGAATTGGTTGGAGAATTGAAGGAAAGCAGCATAGACGAAGAGTTGGCGGAGAAGCTGGGACCACGCGCGAAAAAATGGATTGGAGTGCGGGTCTGGTATGGTGGCTGCTTTAGGAAGAAATGAAGAATATCATGTTTAGAATCATTCAGCAGATATCGTATACAGGTGCCCGTATCTCTCCATGTATCGTACAAAGTATATTTCCCACTCGTCTATAATAACCGATAATTCTATCATCGCCGTAAGATGCCACGCTCAAAAATACCCTAGAAGTATGCTTCTAGTAGTCGTTGTCGATGCTTCACAAGGTTGTCGTATCGCCTCAAGTGCATTTCCAGGGGATTATGTTTCCACCCGAGCTTTTCATCCAATATCAAATGGGTATATGCGAAAACACTCGCGTCGAATAAACCAGGAGTTTCTCTGTTGAAAAAAAACAAGTTACTTCCCAGCAGGATAGATAGGGATTCGAACGCATTGTTGGCCTCTGCCATTAAGTCATCGACATCAATATAAGGCGAACGTTTTAGAAGCTCTTTTCTCGCAGCATCCTGTAATTCTGTGGCTATGGCCATTCGTACAAGGAAATTCGCAGTGAAGGGGTTGACATAAAGCTTGCGCGCGACGGAGCTGAAATTCAAGGGATCTAGATACAAGGTGTAAAGCTGCCGTTCCGTGTTAGAATTCAGTCGAAACAATTTGAGGCAAAATCTGGACTAACCCAGGCATTTCGTAGGCGATGGTCCAGAAGTGAAGAGTATGCGTCAAAGCGCATGTCAGTCGGTTCCTCTTCCTTAATGCCTAATTGCTCAACTGTCCATCTTTGCAGCTTGTTAGATGGTATGGGGTTTAACGCTTCACTCGACCCACTCGATTGGGCGCCGGGGAGAAGGAAAGGAAGAGATCCGGTAGGAGAGGCATGATTATTTGAGGAAATTATCCGAAATCTTATCCCAGAGAATTTTAGGTAGGCCTACACCATTGCCGAATTTTCAGCTATCATAGCGGAATTGGGTTCGAAGAACTGACCTGCCATTTAAGACACTGGGGATTATGCGAGGGAGCGGACTGTTTGCAGCCCCGCGCATTTGAGAACACATATAAACGATGTTCGCTGGAGTCCGGTAGTGATCGTGAAGGAATCGCGTTCGCCGGGTATGTTTTAAGAGGAAACTTGTCGAAAACGCGCTTGATGGGTGCAGGGACTGAGGGAATCCATGACCTGGCTCGTTGAAGGGACTCTAGTCTTGGAGGTGCATCATCGCCTCCTTCCGACATTGTCATTTCATGTATGGTTAATCCTATCAACCGTTTGATTTGAGCGAGAATGCGAGCTCCCAACAAAATAACCTTCCTGGCGACGCCCAGAGGTCTCACAGCGAGACTATTCTGCCACTTTTCACCGCGTATGCAAGCAGCTTCGGCAATCAACGATGGGGCAACACCGTGTGCTGTTTCCGTCTTTCGACCTCAGATAAGGGGTTTTACAGATCTATTCTGGCAGCTAATTTCTATATCATACTCGAGGCTTCGCTTGAATACGCTTAAAATCAATTCTTTCGCGCTGACCGCTTGTCAAAGTGTAAAAGACCTGAACTTTAAATTTCTGCATGACCCGTGTTTTTGCTTGCAGACTTTGAAGGATAAAGCTCCCGAACTCCGTTAGCTATGCCACAAGGTCACGCTCCGTCTGAGGCTCCAAGAAGCGCCCTCATGTGCAGCGGAAAGGGGCGACCCAGGTTCGGCGACAGCAGCTCAAGACATGGTTGAACCCGGGGGCAAGGCGCGCTTCGTTTCTGCAGTCCTTGAATGCGGCCCAGCTGCTTGCTTCGATAAAGAATCAAGTTTACCACCGAAGCGTGCAGTGTGATGTCCTTTCAGCGTGCCTCCGTTCGCGGGCTATCACTGTTACTGACGCCGAGGGCGTTGCTCAAAACCCGGGAAAGACACACTTACGAGAGAAGAAGGGAACATAAACGGTCCAGGCCCTTCACGAGCCTAATCTAGTCAGGGTTCCAACTCCCAAGGTCACTGGTACATCCATATTACCATACCATCATACAAATCTCAACTTTTTTGTTCTCATATCTCAACAACATTGTTGAATATAGACTTTAGAATTTATATGTAGAGTATATAGACACTTAATAAACAGTCTTATCAATTTTATTTATTTTAACTCTCTTATTTGTAAATTTACTCAATTTACTGATCACACGGCGAGTCTGGTGCCTCAAATGGTTACTCTTGGTGCCATTTTCTCTTTCTCAGTCTTACGCCGAGCCGACGGCCAAACGAGGCCGCTTTTAACTCACTGAGTTCGACCCAAGGCAATACTTACCTCTTTCTAGTATATAAGCAGGCTCCCGCAGGTCAGAGAGGCCGTGTCTTGATACCCCAAGCCCAACCGCGAAGAGAACACCAGACAACATGGTACAGGGAAGCAATCTCCAGTCAACAAGAATATCCGTGCTTCCCTAAGAAGCTCCTCAAAGTCTGTTTGCCAGAAGCGGGCTGAGTTAGCCAAGTGATCGGTTCCGCAGTCTCAGCAGAGTCTGAAAGCGCCTACCGCGCCGCCAAAACTATGTTCTTTTACCGCGGTGAAAAAACATCCCTTCTGGTTACTTTGGTTTAGAAAAACACCCTGTGAGTATAATGCGGCTGTCTGTATATCCGTCGACGCTGGATTGTGTCAAAGAGAGTGAAAGTGTACCTGATAGAGTTGGCATTGATAACATGGAGGGAAGTCTTTGTAGCTTAGTCTTCCATCATTGCTGATGTTGGAGAGAGTTATCAATATAAATGAACATATTGATAGACAATGAGACCATTTTATCCTCAACCTTCGGTCATCTTGCTCAAGCACCCGATACAGAGCTTGGAGCTCACCATCTATCAACGGACAGATATCTCAGACTGATTGTGAACCCAGCCGCTTACCCATCCATAATCGTCCTCGTCGATTTGTGAGCCCTCAACGCTCACAGGGTCTCCCTCCTCATCGTCGTCATCGTTGAGGTAATTGTCACAAGGCTCAGCGGCTCCACTTAATGCCATGAGACGCTGCAACACCCACTGCATGTCTAGTATCCGCACATCTGGCAAAGGGAGATTATCCGGATCGGGTGTTTCGAGGTGTATTTCGTCGCCTGAACAGATTTTGCGTTCGGTGATCACATTCCAGGCTTTGAGGTTCCGGGGCAGTCCAGTGAGATCCTCGGGAATGGAAGGGGTGTCCATGATGTCCATTTCAACCGAAGTTGAACGCCTTGGGAGCCAGTAAAATTTCAGTGTCAGGCATTTACCGTCTTCAGACATTTTCACAGGCTGTAGAGCGAAGAGTCCTTTTGTATGCCAGCGATGCACGTGTGGAGCGAAACACATCAGGTTTTCTAAAACTTCGGTTCCTCGCTGGAAAACCGCATTGTACCATGCATCGACACGTTCTTGGGACCAGAAAATTTTGAGTAAGTTCCAAAAGCTCTTATCCTGCTTGTCACTGCCCATAGAGAAGGGAAAGATATGGGCGACATCAATGGGGTCCGGATACTTTGTCAGAATGCACAAGGCCCCATCTCTTCTGCGGCACTATGATATTGTTAGTGGGAATTTTATCATCAGTCAGAGAAGTGCTCACTTCTTCTTTGGCGATGATCGATCGAGGCTCATTATCCCCCTGCATTCTTTTCGACATTGTCGGTTTGGTCTCGACGTCCCCCACTTTACACTTCACACCGCGAGTTGGAGTGGTGATCATTGTTACTGATGTTGCGGGCTGCAATTCAGATTCCTGCGCCTCTGGTTGGTCGCTTCTCGCCAACTGTTGCAGTGGGGTCGATGGCAAAGAGGCTTTGGATCGTACTGAGGGAGTGGATCGAGGACTTGACGTGGTCGATTTCGAGCGGTGCCGTTGAGACCCTGAAAATGAAGAGATATTAGCTGAGAAAGTTCCTAGAAAAGGTTATTGGAAACACACACTGGCGGACTATTACGCCAAGGTCAAAGTTCTCGAGGAAGGACCGGTTGATCTCGAGCTGGGAAGGGTTAACTGGCGCCACTTTTTCTTCCAGAGTCGAGATATCGGAAAGCCATAGACAAGCCCAGGCCGTTGGAGACACGGTACAATCCAGAGTGTCTTTCAATTTACCCAGCAGCATCTGACGTTTCTCATCCTGAAATTCAACCTGTGGTCCAACAGAGGTGGCGGGTAGATCCATCAGGGTGGACGACGGGTTGTCACACCAAGGAGGCAAGGTAGTGTTTTGCTTCAAGAGAAACGGGGAGCTCGGCAGAAAACACCTGTATGCAGAAGACCTGAGCAATGAAGGTGCAATGATACGGGCGTCGCTGACAGCAGGATGTCAAGTGTGAGTGACGTGAAAATGGGAAACACAACAGTGGCGGGTGATCTTATGATGCACAAACATTTGGGGAATTGCGCTAAGCCGGATTAGGATATGCATGGCTGCAGGCCAAAACTCGCCAGAAGATTTTTTACTTACATGTCAGTAAAAAGATAATAAAATAACTTTTACTATGTTAACTATTAATGTAATCCACAAGCGAGCGAAATCCGCAAGCGAGCGAAAGATTAAATTAAGGCATCCCAACTAACTAGAATTTAACCTGAAATATCTACACTCAACAACCCCTAAATAGATTAAATTACATTGCAATAGGACTGCGGCAGCTTCTTCTTGTATGGCCTAAAATATGGCAGTTTGTACACCTTGGTGGTGCCTGCAAACATGATGCAGGCTCTGAGGCTGTGGGCTCAGAGAGTTGAGCAACTGACTGTTCAACAGGTTAAGCAGGTGGAATGGCAAGCTCAGCAATCTCTTCTCTAGTTAGACCTCCTCCACATTGAATTCAGTGCTTAGATCTTGTATGTTTTTGCTTCTCTTTCTCATTTGCAGCAAATATATTCTGATATTGCTTCTTCATAATAGTGGCATTGACCATTCCATATTTGCAGGCCTTGATAATTTGGTCAAATCCTTCTGTTAAGCCCTGGGGTGAGCTCTCAAGCCCCTGCTCCATAAGATTCGACCTTATCCACCTGCCTATGCAATTGCTGGGGGTTGTGAGGTGTTTGTAGGATCCAGGATGACATCAAGTTGCTAGATTGGCTAGCTGGGGGAGTAGGGGTTCAGAGTTGAATATCCAGCTGCTGAAGAACCTGATCTAGGTCAAATGAGGCTATTCCAGTAGCCATGAAGCCACTTTGAATGTTCTGAGCCTTGAAGGCCTCTATAAGAATAGGCATCCAGAAAATCTGTCTTCTTAATAGTGTTGATTCCAAGCTGCATTCACTGTTCAACTAGACTGTCATATGCCCGCTTCAAAACTGCAAAAACACTCACATCAAGAGGCTGCAAGAGGTGTGATGAATGTGCTGGCATGCACAGAGGAATAATCTTATTCTCTTTGCAGATATAATCAAATTCTGGAGTAAGATGACTGCTGTGCCCATCCAGAATAAGAAGTATATGAGTGCCAATGAAGCGGGGTACGATGGGATGCCTCGTCAAAGTAGGCGAGTTGGTTGAGATGGTGAGAGCGCAAGAAGGATGAAAAATCACAACATAGTAAGAATGGTAATGGCTGAGTAGTAAGAACAGAGAAGCATGCCTTAACAGACACCTAAGCTTATAAGAAATAATAGTACTAAAGAGCCTGTACTAATACAGGCAGCTCTAATAAGAAACAGTAGCAAGCTTTATAAACAAGAGATCTTCATATTCTCTAACTAATAACCAGACTAGCAATAAAGAATAAGTGTGTAGAAAAGTACAAAGATGCACAAAGATATTGAGTAAGATGCAGAAGCTATAGATAATTTATATAGCTTAGAGATAGTAGCTGGAGAGATTTTGTGTCTTGGACCAGAACAATCTTTGTTCTAATATAGTATCAGAATCTTTACTACATTTTCTTCTAGCTTTCAATATTGGTATCCCCTGACAACAGGCAACATCTGAAACAAAACAAAGACAATTTAGTAAAGAAAATAAGAGACTAAGAATTAGTAACAATTTGGTAAGAAAAGAGATAGAAAATAAGAATAAAGAGAGTGACAGCAGTAATTTCTAATAGTGATTATCATAATTCTCTTCTTCCATCAAGTTCTCAGAAGAAGAAGAAGGCTAAACTGATACTGGATTAATATTATTGTGCATATAATATTAATAGAATTTGTTACCAAAAGCTTTCTTTTCAATTTGATATATCTTGACAATAGCATTCAAAGCAATTCATGTGGCCTTTAGATACTAGTTATTAATAAAGTCCTGAGTCTTCTTCTCTTCTGATCTAAAGAGAGTATCAAGCTTCTTAATTACTATAAAGTTGTTCCACCTAATTTAGTCTATCAAGACATTCAATATAGCTTCTAAGTCTTGCAATTGAATAGCAGTAGGAAATTGATATGGAACTGATGTATAACAGTTTCAATGGCCAGAAGATGATGATGGCTCTGAAACTAGATCTCTATATATGGTGGAGAGCTGTAATCAGATACTAGCTTTATTAACTTCAAGATGTTCATGATTCTTCTGAATTACCATATACTAGAATAGTATAATATACTGAATCTTTTTGCATGAACTGTAAGCTTCATGGAGCAGCAGAGGGCTTGTAATTTGAATATTGTCAGATTTGCAAATAATATCAGTTTATCTAATACTAAATTTTCTTTTATCATCTTTAATATACATTGTATTCTTAATGCAGTGAATATAGCTATCAGTAAATAAGCCTCATTCTTCAACTAGTTCTTACTAATTCTCTAGATAATTATGCATTTCTGGCAAGATTTCTGTGCAGTCATCAAGCTTTTCTGCCATTAAGATCAAGAATTCTTGTATTATGTTAATACCTCTTCTAGTAGTAATAGCATCTGAAATATTGACATCAATATGGCAAAATCCAGTTTTATCCCCTGGCTTAGCATACTTGACATAATATGGATAGGAGATTAATTTCCAAGCATGGTCAGATCTTGTCAGCATATAATATAAATAGTACACAGGGTTCTGGTGCATGAGTTATTAGCCAATACTGTAATACATTGTTCTCAATCATCTGTAATTGTTGTGATCTTCCATTATTTACTGATGATAGTAGTACATATTGTATTCATTATTGATTCAAGTGAGTACTGTAGTGGTGGCATCTTATAACTTATCATTCCACCAGTATATTAGCTGAAGAATAATAACAGATCTAGTGATCTCCCATTTCTTCTGAAGATTGCTGGTGGTGAACTTGTTAACTTCAGTAATCTGTGTGTATCAGTTAAAGTCAAACATTCTCATGTTTGTGACCAGAGAGATAATTAACTAATGTTTGAATTTGTAAATATCTAAAGCATCTTCAGCTCTAGCCAGTCTATTTATCAAATGGAACCAGAGGTAGATGCTGTTATTGATCTTGACTGAGCTAATATTGCAACAATTTCTATAAATGTGAGCCAAATGGTTGAGAAGCTTCTCTCTATTAAGTATGTGAGTCTGTAATCTGAGTTTTGAAGCTATTAGTTTTGCATAATTATAGTATAGATAGATATCAGCTTTCTTATCACTAAATACCTTTTCTAATTGCTTCAGAATGCAAATAAGCTCCAATTCTGAACATATTTTAATACTCTTTATCTTTTGCAGAAGTTGCTGTTCAAATCTACAGTAACAGCAAGTATCAGAGCATACTATCATGACAGATTCTTTATGCTCATGTCAAGATATCTCTTCATCACTTTCAGAAGAAATAACAGACTCATCATTATCATCTAAGTCTTGAAGAGTTTGGTGTACTAACATGACTGCAATTCTTTCACTGCAGCACTTCAGAGCTTCTGATTAGCTGAATAAATTGGCCAGCACACTGGTAAATCCAAATGATGACTGTAATTGGCCAGTTTCAAATTCACACAATCTAATTAACATTATGCTATATATAGAGGCTCTCAACACATTACAGCTATGTGGCATAGGCATTCCACTCATTGGAATATCTCTTAATAATCTTGAAGACTGCAGTTCTTTCAGTAGATCTCAGAGACTGCTTGCAGTAGAAGAACTTCTAGCAATATTCTGAATTGAATATTAGAAGCTAGATAACTGTAGAAGAGCCAGCAGCTGTAGAAAATCATAGTTACCAATAGTAAGATCTCATCAGCATAAAGCATCTCTTGAAGAAAGTTCACATATACAGTTAACTTCTTTATCAGCTGTAGTATAATTGTCTGGCAATATAGCTAAGCTCCAGCAATATCCAGCTTCTGTAGTATCTAGTCTTCAGAGTACAGTGCTGTTAATATTATTAGCAAACTTATCCCAATTCTTGTAGACATTTAAAGTATGGCAAAACTTTTGTGCTGCCTACAGACTTTCTACTTTTAATTATATAGTATCAATTCTGTCAATACTCCATATAGCAACAAGTTTATTCTTGATCTTTTGCATATTAATGCAATATCATTCAACATTCAGGGTAATCTTTCAGACATCATGAAAATTAGCTTTGAAATTGGCATGTGTAACATGTTATCAAGCTCTGGATCTTTCAACATATTAATAGAAATAAGCCATTAAGTCAGTAATCATATCAGTTACTTGCATCAGTGTATTCATTAGCTTGATCTGTAGGCTGTAGCAATAGTGCAGAGCTTGATTATCAATGTATTTCATAGCTGCTGTTAGATTATTGAAGAAATGGCCATCCAGATTAACTTCACTATCTCTGATAACAACCAGGCCTTGGTTTTCAGGTGCAGGAGCTAGAGAAGGCAAGTTGCTTCATCCAGCCATTTTAAAGAATATCAGTAATCTAAAAAGAATTGCAAATGTCAGAATAACAAAATAGAAGACAAGAAGAAGTATTAAAAATGTTGAATCTGTAAAAAGAATCAAGCTTGAATGTAAAAGACAGTAGAAGTTTCAGAAAAGAAAAATCAGTCTTTAAATATCTTTTAAAAAATTCAGAAAAAGTGAAGACTTCTGCAAATAATAAAGAAAGAGAAACTTTTCAAATAAGCAAGCAAAAACTTCACTTTACAGATAAATAAAAGAAATCTTTCAAAAAAGCAAGCAAAAACTTCATTTTTGCAAATAAAATACAACAAATTAAACATCTTGTAAAGATATAATAACAGCAAAGCTCCAGTCATCTGGTATAACAGTTAATAATTGTGTTTGCTTCATTTCTTCTTGATCATTTTCATTTTTGCTCTCACTCTGATCTTAGTCATTTCCTCTATTTAAGAAGCTAACATTCAAGAAACTGCTAGAGAAATTATTAGACTGGCTTCTTGTAGCATATCTTTAAGAAACATTCTCCATCTCTTTATCTGAATCTGCT